TAAAACGCCAGCTGAGAGGCGGGGGCTAGGGCGGCTCTCTCTCTCTCTCTCTCTCTCTCTCTCTCTCTCTCTCTCTCTCTCTCTCTCTCTCTCTCTGAGAAGAGCAAAGAGGCCTATACGAATGCCGGCTGCGCTTGCTGCTGCCTCGATCGCCTCGTCGCAAGCGACAGGTGTGTGTGCCTTCTCTCTCTCTCTCTCTCTGCCCGGAAGCTGCACCTCGCCTTTGTCTCTGCCTCCTCCTGCTCTCGCCTTCTTGCGCGCAGTGACTGGCACTTACCTTTGCCACGTCGACCTTTTCGAAGCTCTTGAGCACCTCGGCAATGCGGTTCTGGATCTCCTGCGTGCTGAGGCCGGCGCTGGCGGCATAGGCGCGCGTGGCGCCCAGCTGCAGGCGCGCGCTGGCCACAGCGGTGCGCTGGACGGCCGCGGCGGGAGCGGCGCGCAGCGGGGAGCGGAGCAGAGGCGCGAGACGGAGCATGGCTGGTGTGAGGATGGGAGGGATGGGGAGGATGGGGAGGATGCGGGTGGGATCAGGGTGGAGGTGCGGTGTGGCGAGATCGGAGAGGGCTGAGCACAGCGGCGGCGATGGAAGTCAGTGCACGCGGCGACGGCGCGGCGGCCGACGACGGCGCCCAACGTCGGGCGGCGCAGAGCGCAACGCCGCCGTCGCTCGCCGCTGAGCAATCGTGCCGCCTGGCCGTGCGCATTGTGAATTCAGCGGCGCCCCTTTGTAATGCAAGACTACACCGCGCAATACACCCGCCCACTGCGGCTCGGCCTCGGCCGGGGGGCGGCGCGAGCGATCATCTGCATCGCGCGCTGCTGGCTCGCTTTGCCTCTTTCTTCGCGCGCGCACAGGCAAGCAGAGGCTCATCGTCGCCTCGCACACACACACACACGCCGCCCTCTCTCTTGCCGCTCCACTCCACCCTACCCCGCTCTCAACACCCACACACACCACACGTTCGCTCTTCGCTGCACAGCAACAGCCATGAAGGGCCTGGCGATGCGCAAGCTTGGACGCACCTGTGCGTATCGTGGCGTGCGCTGGCGCTGGCGCTGCGTCTTGGTCCCTGAGCTGACCCCACCCCTACCTTCTTGTTCCTTCCTGCAGCGTCTCATCGACGAGCTCTACTCCGGTACGTTGCCTTGCCTCTCTCTCTGCCCCCTAGCTGAGCTGACGCCCCCTTCGTCTGCGCCCACAGCAATCTCGTCACGAGTCTCATCGCGCACGAACGCATCAGCACCACGGTGGCCAAGGCAAAGGAGGCACAGCGCGTCGCAGAGAAGATCATCACCAAGGCCAAGCGCGCACAGCAGGGCGAGGTGCAGCAGGGCATCCAGGCGCGCGACTATCTCTTCGTGAGTGCTGCTGCTGAGTGCTGGTGTTGTGTGGCAGACGTGGGCGCGGCAAGCAGAGCGAGCGGATGGGGAGAGACGAGCGCACGGCGTCCGGGGGGAAAGGGCGAAGGGAGTGAGGTGTGCGGCACTCTTGCAGATGCAAAAGCCCCACCACTACTCCTTCCCTCTCTCGCATCCCCCCCAACGATGCAAACGGCAGAGACGAAACATATTTTACAGACCTGATCCATAAAACGCCCGCAAGGGTATTTGCGGACACACCAAATATTGCCTTTTTATCTTCTGAGCCCTTCTTCATCTCTTTCCGGTCGTCGTTGGTGCTGGCTTTGCCTCGCCTTCTCTGCCCCCACCGCGCTTCCTCTCGACACGCTGCTGACACACACACCCACACACACGACGAGACAGTCGAATCCGCTGCAGCCGTCGTACCCGCGTCTGCTCGAGCTGGCCACGCGCTACGCCGACCGGCCCGGCGGCTACACTCGGCTGCACCTGCACGGCGCGCGCGCAGGCGACAATGCGCCAAGGGCACTGCTCGAGCTCGTTGATGGCCCGGGCGATGTGCGTCTGGAGATGACTGCCCGTGCCATGGCTCGCGAGACGCTCCTCTCTACTTGCTCTTCTTCTTCCTCGACGACGACGACGGCATCGGCCGAAGCAGGGCCTTCTCGTCTGCCCTCTCTCGAGGCAGACTTTCGTTCTCTGACGCGCAAGAACATCGACAAGCTGGTGCGCTTCAACGCCTCTGCCTCGAGCGTATTGCTCGCCAAGGCACATGCCGAATACTGGCGGCTGCAAGCTTCGGAGGAGCTTCTCGGCGGCGCTCGCCGCGTCAACGAGGCGCGCGAAGCGGCGTGGGCGGGCCATGGACCGCGCGGCGCCTCGCACACACGGCCCATGCTGGGAAGGAGAGCAAAGGCGGGCGAAGAGGATGTGCTCAACCCGGCCATGAAGCCAAAGAAGGGGATGCAAAAGTCCAGCGTCGTCAGGCTCGGCAAGGGCGCGTTTGCAAGCCGACTCAGAGCCAGAGTGCAGATGCCCGCGGTGGCGGAGCGAAGGAGAGAGGAGCGCGCCACACGATGAATGGGCGCTCTCTTCTCTTCTCTCTCGCCCTCTGCTACCCCGTCTTCTCTCTCTCTACGCAAACTGTACTACACCCCTTTTCATGAAACACACATCGCAAGCGCGCGGCCCTTGCGTAGCATCCCATCCCCCTCATCTCCTCACGCCCCGTCATTTCTAACCTCTGTAATCCCCATACCGTCCCTACACGCTCTAGCAGGCCAAGAATGCATGCGTTCTTTCCACTCGTGCATGCCCCGGGTCCCCATGTGTCGTTGGTGTGCCCGGCTGTGTCGCACCGTTTCACGGGTCTGCGTGCGTGTGCGCTAGCTCGAGACATGGATGAGAGGGAGAGGAAGGCGAACGTCGGTCATGGCGCCGCAGTCACGTGCGCGGCCGCCGCTCGACGCGCCGCGGCGTGGGTGTTGCTCTCGCACGACGCGCACGCCGCGGCATGCGGCACGCAACCTTTGCCGCCGCACCTCCACCCCACTTCACCCTCTCTCCTCTCTGCGCCCATGGTCCGTCCCTCGGGCGGCCTCACCTACGGGCGGCGCGCGCGGCGCACCATCGGCGGCGTGAGTGCCTGGGATGCGCCCGAGGGCGCCTCGGCGGCAGCGCGCAGCCAGCACCACCGGCGCGCCAGCAGCGCCTCGAGCAGCGCCGCGACGCTGAGCGACAGCGACAGTGAGGTGGCGGCGCCCGACGAGCGCGTGCAGGTCATCGTCTACACCTCGCCGCGCAAGTCGCATGCCCCTCCACTCAACGCCAACGCCAAGCCGGCCCTGGCGCAGCACGCAGCCGCACCGACGCCGGCCACGCGCACGTCGCCGCGCAAGCCGCTGGGCGAGCGGCGCACGCAGGAGGCCGCCTCGGCCAGCACGAGCAGCGCCGCCGCCTCGAGGCGGCTGCCGAGCGCTCTGGCAGCGTCTTCCTCTGCGCAGCGCTCGGCCGCCTCCTCCTCGCGCCTGCAGACGAGCGTGCGCGCCACGCCCTCGTCCTCCCTCTACTTCTCCGCCTCGTCGCTGCCCTCGTCCAGTCCCGCACGCTCCGCGGCCGGCCGGCAGACGGAGAAGCGGGCAAAGCGCAGTGCCGCGGGCGAGGCGCAACGGCGCATCGTGCAGCTGCGCCAGGCAGAGGAGGAGGCGGCCATCAAGAGTCCGCGCAGAGCATCGCCCGTCAAGTGCGCCGCGCAGCAGCGAGGGCATGACGACGAGGAGCTTGTGCGGCGCATGGGCGGCGCGTCTCTCAGCTCTGAGCTCAGCTCGCCGCCGCCGCCGTCCTCTTGTCCTCTGGCACCTTCGTCGCCCTTTGCTGGCCCGTCTGCAAAGCTCAAAGAGCCGAGCAGCACGTTGTCGGACCTCCTGCGCCTCTGTGGGCAGCCTCGTGCTGCCGACTTCAGCACGCTCGTCTCGACGCTCGCCCGGCCAGCACGAGGTCGTGGCCGGCCAAAGACGACGGCCGATCCGCGCTGGCGCAAAGTGGGCGAAGCGTCGTACTCGGAGGTGTTCGCACGCGGCGACAAGGTCGTCAAGATTGTGCCTCTGCGCCTCGCCTCTGCGGCCGCAGCAGCTGCGCACGCCGCAGAGCACGACGCCGAATGGCCCGAAGAGTCGAGCGTGCAGGATGTGGGGCGCGAGATTGAGATTATGCGCGCGCTGCATGGGATAGACGGCTTCGTTGAGCTTGAGAGGCGAGTGCAGAGGCCGCCGGCCACTGCCGAGGCCGCAAGCTGACGCCGCGGCTGCCAGTGCACATATTGCGACGGGCCCGTATGCCCCAGCGCTGCTCTCGGCGTGGGACGAGTACGCCAGCAGCAAGGCAGGCGGCAGCGAGAACGTGCGACCATGTGCGTTGCATCCTCGCCGAGACTCTCTTCTCCCGCTGCTCTGCTGATACTGCTTCTCTCTCGACTCAGCCGTCCTGCCGCCGACAGCGCACTACGCCCTCCTGCTGCTATCTCACGCAGGACAGGACCTCGAAGGCGTGCGCCTGCCGAACTGGCGTGCTGCGGCTGCCGTCTTCTGGCAGGTCGTGGGCGCGCTCGGACGCGCTGAACGAGCGCGCGAGTTTGAGGTAAGTGTTGCAGCCATTCATCAGATGGAGCACAGCTGATCGAAATTTCGCGATTCGCAGCATCGCGATCTGCATTGGGGCAACGTCCTCGTCTCCTTCTCCGAGCCTTCATCTCCAGACAACGAGACAACAGAGCCGGAACGCACAGCGGCGAGTTTTGTCGCCTCGCTCCGCAGTGCCGAGAAGTCTGGTGTGCGCGCCACAATCATCGATGTCTCGCTCTCGCGCCTCCTCGAGCCGGCTGCAGACCCGCCACTCGTGCTGGCGTATGACTTTGCCGACGAGTCAATCTTCACGGGCGAGGGCGATGCGCAATTTGACGTGTATCGCGCGATGCGGACACTGACGCAAGGCAGATGGGAGGCATGGCATCCACGCACCAACGTACTCGTGAGTCTTTCCGCCTGTCCAAACTCTCCTGCGCAATGACTTGACGCTCGCGCGCAGTGGCTCCACTACCTCCTCGACAAGCTGCTGCACGCCAAAGGCTTGAGACGGCCGCCCGGCGCGCGCAGCGCACCAGCGACAATGTCTGCGCTGGCGCGCTTCCGACAGGCGGCACAGACGGACGACGACGAGCGTGCCGCGTACGAGTCGCTTGCGGCGGCCGCCGCACAGCTGGCGCGCAGCCTCGACGCCGGCGGATGTGGCAGCGCTCGCGAGCTGCTTGTCTGGGCTTGCTGATTGCTACATCATTCTCAGCCCGTCGGTGCATGCGTGAGAGCGCCTGGAGCCCGTTCATCGTGCGCGACTTGGGCTAGCTAGAGCTCAGCTTCGATGATTTGAACGAAAGTCGTGCCGCAGCCCGCCCACACGTTCTGCACCCGTGTACCGGCGTGCCTCGGCGTCCAGATCTCGCGCGGCGAGCACTCGTCGTGCAGTTCTGCCTCGCCCTCCGCACTGCCGGTGCCGAGATTGCCATGCTCGTTCCACCCCCATGCCCAGATGGCGTGCGCAGTGTCCGGCGCGAAGAGCACCACGTGCTCGCTGCCGCACACCAGCTTGCACTGTGCGTGCTCCGACGCAGCTTGGCGCAGAGAGGCGCGCCGTACCAGGCCGGGAGTACCATCTGGCCGGGTTCGACGCATCTCGTTGGCTTGCGTAGACGCGGAGGGCTGCTCGGGCTCATCGCCGAAATAGCCAGCTCCAGATTGGCCCTTGTCGTTCTTACCGCAGCTGAGCACAGTGAGCGAGCCGAACGGTGAGCCGAGGCACGCGAACGTGCCGTTCCAGGTACAGTCGGCGCCGAGAAGCTGCGCGTGCTGCTCTTGCGTTGCAGTCGGCGATGCCATGTAGGACGAGAGGTCGCATGTGCCCTTCGAGGGAGAGCCCCATGTCTCGACGCTGAAAGCATGAGACGCTTGAGCGCAAAGTCGCTCTGGCACGGGCCGCCAGTCAGAAGGGTGCGCCAGCATCGTGTGCTCCTTGCCCGCCGCGAGAAAGACGGCAGCCTCCTCGCTGTCGCGCGATGCAGGCTCGCTTGAAGATGGCCGGGGAACATGCCACGTGGCGAAGCACTCGGGCAGCCAACGCACGCTTTCTGCTCGTTTTCCAGTCTGATCCGTGCTAGAAGGCGCGCCGATCTGTCCGCGGCGTGCAGCTCCCCAGCCAAAGAGCTGCCACACGTCGTGGTCTGGCTCGCTTCGCGACACGAGTGCGCAGGTGTGACGCACTCCCGAGGCAAGACGTCGGATACGCAGTGGTGCCCGCCGCGAAGAGGAGCTGCTCTCGCCGTTGGACAGCGACAGGAGGCGGCTTGGCACTGCCTGTTCTGCCGGATTCTTGCCGCAGCCGAGCTCGCCGAAGTCGTTCGAGCTGCCGAGTGAAAGCAGCTGATCATCCTCGCCGTCTGTGCCCGCCAGAGCGATGAAAGAGGCGTTCCAGCCGCAAGCCACGAGGGTTGGCCTCCAGCTGGTGCAATGCAGATGCTGCTGGGCCGCTGGCTCGCTCGAGAGGTCAAGCTGTGTCCAGTGCAGCAACGAGTCGCGACTGATCGTCGAGCCGAGCTGCGCCTCGGCATTGCTGCCGCTGGCCCACACCTGGCGCTGCGACGGATCGCTTGAGCAAGCCACGATGGCGATGGCATGGTTCGCTCCGCTTGCGAGCGCGGCGATGAAGTGTCCAGGAGGCGGAAATGCGATGGGCTGCTCTGATTCGGCCGGCAGACAGAGCGCCGGCTTGAAGACGTGCGCGTCCTCGTCGTGGCCCAGGCCCAGCTGGCTGCGTGCGTTTGAGCCTGCGACCAGCAGCTGGTGGAGCCGTCTGCTGCCAGCCGTGCTGCTCGAAGAGGGTCCCGCTTCGGCGCTCGCCATCGTTGCTTGCTGTTCCCTGGTGTGCTTGTGGTGTCAAAGCAAGGTGCAGTGAGCGGGGAGAAGCCCAGGAAGAAAGCTGGTTGTATTCGCGCTAGTCCACCCGGTCCGTGCGCCCGAGTTGTTGTATTCCATGCTTCAAGTCCGGGCGGCGAAGTTGGAAAGCACCCTTGGCGCCAGTTGTATTGAAGCGGCGCGCCGCTGCCGTGCCTGGCTGCTGGCAGCACGAGGCGCCCCTCTCCCTTCCCCACATCCACCCTCGCCCACAGCTCAGGCGCGCGCAGGTCGCACCGCCCATCGCTCGGTGCCCACTTCCTGCTGCTGCGCAGGGCCAGCATCCAAGCCGCTGGCTCGTCTGGCCCGCTGGCCGCAGCGCCATGTCGCTCGCCCCGCCCTCCACCTCCTCCGCCGCGGCGGCCGGCGCCTCGACCAAGGACTCGTTCAATGCCGCACTGCGCTCGCGCAACGCCAACAACAACTACATCGCCCACCTCAAGATCTGGGAGACGCTCGACGAGGGCGCCGCTCCTGCATCGGCGGGCGCAGCGGCGCCGCAGCGCAAGGCGCGCTACCTCGTGCTTGCCGTGCAGCGCGACTCGGGCCGCGTGACGCTCAACAAGGCGAAGCGCAACGCCAATGGCAGCTTCAGCATCGGCAAGGACTGGGACGTGAACACGCTGCGTGCCGTCGAAGTGCTGCAGGTGAGTGAGCTGCCCGCCTGCACCAGTCGGGGCAGCGATGGCCTGCTCGACCCGCATCGCAGCCGGCGCCCGCTCCTCGATGCTGATGTCTCCTTCCTGTCACAGCCCGACGCGTTCACTCTCACCCTCTCGCGCTCGTACAGCTGGCAGACGGAGCGGCCGCGCGAGCAGACGCTCTTCCTGCAGTCGCTTGTCAAGGTGTACCGCAAGTACACGCGCGACGCAGCCGGCCCTCGCTGTGTCGGCCTCGAGGTCGAGAGCGGCTCGACGACGGGAGCACCTGCACCTGCTCCTCCGCCTGCTCCCAGCGTCACATCGCGCACGGCTTCACCAGCTCCGAGCAACGGCCCTGCCCTCTCGGTAGACACGGCTGTCGCGCGTGAGCGCTCGCGCGAGTCGCCGGCTCGGCGGCTGGGCTCTGCCGGCGGCACGGGCGGGGCTGGCGCATCCGATGGGTTCTACGATCCGCGCACACGAGCTGCCACTGAGGGATCGGCTCCCGTGTCACCACTCGAGAGCCCGCGGCGTCCGCTGCAGGCGCCCCTGCCTCGCCCGGCGATGTCGCGCAGCAACAGCAGCCGCGGACCAGCAGACGCTCCCCCGGCGATTGTGCTGCCGCCGGAGAGTCGCAACGCAACGCCGCCGCCCGCTCCGAATGGCGAGCCTCGCACGCCGCGGCGCGAACGGAGCCCGCTCGCCAACGGCTCCTCTGTGTCGAATGACGTGTCGCCCGCGCGACATGTGCCGGGATCCCGAGAGCTTGGCGTGCCAGGGGCAGCACCGACCGGTCGATCAAGCCCAGCGGGCGAGGGCTCTGACGCGAGCTCTGTGACCGAGGTGCAGAGCAAGCCGCCTGCGCCACTGGCCCGTCGGCCTTCGAAGGGACGCTCTGGATCCGGCGAGGGTGGCTCGTCGCTTGGCGTGCCCTCCTCGGGCGGCGACGCGCGCGCTCGGCTCAGTGCCGTGGAGCCGATGCGAGGCGGCGCAGCGTACGAGCGCATGCTGCTCGCCGGCACTGGCCTCCGCGGCGTCACCGAGGGCGATGAGGAGGAGGACCCGTACGGCGGAGCAGAGCTCGAGGACGCCGACGTGGTGCCGAGCCCGTTCAAGCCGCCTCCGCTGTCGCGACCACGCGGCCTCAGGCAAGAGAGCGAGGAGAAGCGCAACGCAGGCGGTGACGACGACAATGAGGAAGACACGACGCTGCTCAACGTCGAGGAGATGCTCGAGGGCTTCGAGTGGCGCGGCGGTGCACTCAAGCGCGCCGGCAAGGGCACGGCCGATGTCATCGAGGCGCGCCTGCTCGACGAGCTCGCTGCGTTGGATGCTGCCAACATCCACGCCATCATCGAGAGCGACGACCGCGTCAACCTCGTCGTGCGGCACATGGAAGAGGCCATGGCGGCGCTAGACATGATGGACTCGATGATTGCCGGCTTCAAGGTGCAGCTCAATGCGCGAGCCGACGACATCAGCCACATCGAGTCGCAGAATCGCGGCCTGCAGGTGCACACGTCTAACCAGCGCACGCTGGCCAACGAGATCGAGAAGCTGCTCTCCACTGTGCACGTCGACGACGAGGCTGTGGGTGCGCTGCAGTACGCCGGCCTGGCCGATGACGTGGGCATTGCGGATGCAGAGCGCGCCGCCGCGAGCCTGTACAAGGCGATGCTGCAGGCGCGGCGCACGGACGAGGAGCGCGCGGACGGCAGCGCCGAGATGATGATGGCCGCTGCGACGGAGCGGCTGGAGGAGTACGAGGGCTTGGCCGAGAGCTTCGCAAAGCGCATGCTGCTGCATCTCACGCGCGAGTTCAACGAGCAGTCACAGCTCATCCTCAACGATCCGCAGCGGCGCTCTGCGCTGTCGCCGCCACACCCGACGCTGCACGACCACTCGGCCGTAGAGGAGATCCTCGGACGCTACTGCGGACTGCTGCTGTGGGCCAAGGAGGTGTCGCCTGGCCAGTTCAGCCGCATCTCGGCGGCCTACTTTGCCAGCGCCAACGACCGCTACCGCAAGGAAATGTCGCAGCTGTTTGGCGTGTGGCGCGAGCTCGTGCGTGCGCCGGCCGAGGACGAGCTGGCCGAGTCGAGCTTCATCCTGCCGGCAGGCGCCTCGAGCACGGCGGCACTGCGCAGCGGCACGATCCGCCGCCCGGGCGGACCCAAGGCGTCCAAGGGGCGCGGCGGCACCGGCGACATCAGCGGAGGCGAGGTGAGTCCGAATCAAGAGATGCTCATGGCGCAGCGCTGACGCAGCAGTCCAGGCCTTCCAACAACTTCTCACGTCGGTCGTGCCGCTGATCATGCGCGAGGAGGCCTTCATGGCGGACATGCTGCACATCAACGACAATGCCGTGACGTACGCCGACTACATGGATCTCGAGCCGTACTTCCGCCGGCGTGCGGCGGCCATCTTCGGCAGCGAGGCGCTCAATCTCTCGGGCCCGCTGCGCGAGATGAAGGGCGCGCTGGACCTGATCTTTAGCTTCCTGATGCCCGAGTGGCAGAACTTCGCCGATGCCGCCATCGGACGCGACCGAACGTGAGTGCCGCGGGTGGGACCGGCTCTGAGCCGGGGCTGACGCTCCGCAGCCAGATCGTGGGCATCCTCGCCGCGCTGGACCGCGCGATTGTCGAGGCCGAGCAGGTCTCGAGCGAGTTCCTCGTGCGCTCGTTGTCGAAGCTGCACATGCGCCTTGCGGCGATGCTCGAGCGCTTCATCGCCGACCAGATCAAGGGCATCGAGCAGACAAAGCTGACGGTCAAGAAGCGCAAGGGCGTGGCGCACTTCATCCGCGTCTTTCCGGTGCGTCAGAGTGTCGCTTGCTCGTGCGTGTGCTCGCTGACGCGCTGCGCAGGTCTTCGTCGAGCGCATCGAGAGCCAGCTTGGCGACGCGCAGGCACTCAACATCCGCGCCGCCGTCGACGGCTACTACGAGCAGCTGTGCCGCACGATGTTCGAGGTGCTGCAGGCGATGGCCAAGATGGACGGCGTCGCCGGCCTCGACGAGGACAAGAGCGCGCTCAACCACCACGTCATTCTCATCGAGAACATGCATCACTTCGTCGCCGACGTGTCGAAGCAGACGAACCCCGCGCTCGCGCCGCTGGTGCAGCGCGCCGAGGGCATCTACGAGGACCACAAGGCGGCGTACGTGCAGGCTGTGCTGCGTCGGCCGCTCGGCAAGATGATGGTGAGCGCCAGTGGGGTACCAGGCTCAGCGTGTGCTCACAACCCTGCAGGACTTTGGCGACGGCATCGACGCACTGCTGCGCTCCACGCCCGCCAACGAGGTTTCGCTGCACAATGCCTTCTCGCGCAGTGCCTTCAAGCGGCTCGCCAAGGAGCACACGGCCAAGGACGTGCGCAAGGCCATCGAGGTGCTCTCGCGCCGCGTGCAGAAGCACTTTGGCCTCGACGACGACGACGCGGCGGCGGCGCAGCCGCAGGACATCGACGAGGCCGCCGACGTGCTGGCCCGCGTGTGGAAGGCGTGCGAGGAGGCTGCGGTGCGCGAGGCCGAGCGCCAGCAGCGCATCGCGCGCGACTGCTATGCCGGCGGCGTTGCCTTTGAGCTCTCGACGGAGGACGTGCGGCGGCCCTTTGCGGCGAATGCGCCGTCTGCTGGACGACGCCGCTAGAGAGCGGCATGAAGTAGACCACCCACTAATACCATTGCTGTCACTGCCACTGCTCGTGCTTGATGCGCGATACGAAATTTGCGAAGCCTTGCGAAGCCTTGCGCAGCCCTGCTCCGAGGCTGCGAGTCCGCAAGTGAGCGAGCATGCGAGGGCTCATGTGTCCTGGGTCGGGTTCTGACCGTGGAGCACGTCCGCAAAGCAGTCGGTTTATATAAGCAACATTCTTGCCGCTATACATGGAAGCACGATAATTCAGAGGCAGAATGTTGGGCTCATACTAAGCACTGCTTTGTACGCACCCAAAAGTCGCTGGATCGAAACCAGCTCGTGCTACTCCAACTTTTTGCCTTTTGCGCGCCTGCCTTCCCGCCCTCTTTTTGCGGGCCCACTCGTTCTGCGCTGCGCGTGCTGCTGCGGCACCTCGCCGTGCCGCTTCCTGCGCCACGCAGGCCACTGGCTCTGCGCTGCTCCTCGTCTGAGCCTGCCTTGGCGGGCTGAGTGACGCGACAGGCGCCGACCTGCTGCGGCTGAGCAACCAACGCCTCGACTGCTGCTGATGACATCTCGCCGCGATGGAGCACACAGCAGTCAAGGCAAGGATTAGATGCGGATAGTTGCATGGTGCAGGCGATGTGTGAGGGACAAATACATGGTGGTATGGCATGACAAGTGACGCGGGAGGCACACGGCAGAGGAGATGGAAAGGGGCGCAGAGGTCTAGACGGAGATCGTCTTGAAGAGATGGAAGCCGTCGGCAGACGTCGACATGAGCATGCCGGCAATCTGCGGGTGCCAGTGCACCTCCTTGATCTCGCTGGCGCCGTGGTGGCAGAAGAGCAGCTGCGACGGCACATCCTCGCCGTTGGGGCCCTTGGGCGCCGGCGCCGCGCCGTCCTCCTCGTCGTCCTGCTCGACGCTGAGGTCCCAGAGCGTCACCTGGTCGTCGCGACCCGAGGCGGCAAACACGCTGTCCTCGGTCGGGTGCCACTCGACGCTCGAGATGGGCGCCGTGTGCCAGCGGAACGAGGCGACGGCCGTCGGGCGCGGCGGGGCCGGGCCAGACGCCGGCGTCGGCTTGAAGGCTCGCAGGTCCCAGACGTTGAGCGCGCCCTCGTCGCCGCCCGAGAGCAGCAGGTAGTCCGTCTTGCGGTTCCACGAAATCACGTTGACGTCCTGGTCGTGCGCGTTGGCGAGCGAGATGACGGAGCGGTGGCTCTTGACGCGCACGTCCCAGATGCGGATGCTGCGGTCGGCCGAGCACGACGCAAAGACGGTCGGCTCCTTGGGGCTCCACTGCAGGTCCTCGACGCTGCTCGTGTGGCTCGCAAAGGGCGAGGCATGCGTGTTAAAGCCGGCGTTGCTCGACGTCGTGAGCTTGATGATGCCGCGGCCGTCGCCGGTGAGCAGGCGCAGGCTGCTGGCCTTGCCAGCGCCCGCGGCGCTGCCGGCCCAGTCCATGGCGTAGCCCTCGATGCCGTGCTCGACGGTGTGCAGCGGCTTCGAGGCGTTGGCCTTGTCGAACGCGCCCGGCTTGTCGAGCGCGTTGAAGAGCGGCCGCACGTCGTAGACGGATACGCTGCCCAGCTCGGACCAGACGGCGACGGGGTAAGGGTCCATCGCCCCCTCGACGGGCGCGCCGATGGGTGCGGCACGCACGCGATTGATGCCGCCGAGGTGCGGGATGGAGCGCGACTCGAGAATGGCGTCGTCATCGAGGCCCTCGTCGTCGTCGTCGTCATCGTCGTCGTCGGACAGATCTGGAAAAGAGTGCGAGCGTCAGCACGGGCACAGTGTCTCGCTTGGCACTTTTGCGACGTCGTCAAGGGCTCAGAGGTGTGAAATTAGGTAGCGAGATATTTTCTGCATGTGGGTGAGGCAGGCTTGCGCCTGCCGCCCATGTGGCCAAATGCCTCAAGCATCATCGCCGACGACGTCGCGCAGCACTGCAGCTCAACACTCACTGCCGTCTTTCTGCGTGCGGTGCATCGAGCTTGCCTTCATGACGGAGAGCTCGTTGTTCTTGGCGACGTCGGCCTGCGTGCCGGCGACAAAGTAGGCCGTGTGCGGGAAGCGGACGCGCTCGGCGGCCGGGCCGAGGTGGTCGTGGAGGATGTCGAAGGAGAGGCAGGGCCACGTCACGCCCATGCGGTGCAGCATCTCGTACGCCGACTGGTCCGGCTCGAGCGTCTGGCCCTCGGGCAGCGGCTGTGCGCCGTGGATCCAGGCCTGTGCCTCGACGGCGGCCTCGCCCTGCTCCTCGTCGTCGTCCTCGGGCCTTCGTATCCGGCCGTCGACCTTGACGCCTGCGAGTGGGGGGTGAGCTGGGTGCTGCGGCACAGCGAGGCAAGCGCCGGCTACGCACCGTCAATCTCCATCTCCTCGTCGTCCGAGTCCTCGGCGGCGTCGACGACCTCGCCGTCGTCGTCGTCGAACTCATCCTCGAAGGTGTCCTCGAACTCGCCCATGCCCTCGTCGGCGTCGGCGGCGGGCGCGGGCAGCGAGGTGCGGCCGCGCGCCGCCGGCGGCGGCATGCTGCGGTCTGCGCCGGGAGAGGAGGGGCGCTTCGACATCGTGGCTGGGGGACCGGCGTCGGTGGTGGAGCGGACGATGGAGCGGCCCGCCGCGGCGGAGCGTTCTTATGCGCTGTCCGGGCGTTCTTCCAGCGCGGCCTGCGCCAGCAAAATCTCTGCGGGCACGCCAGCGGTCACGTGCGGGCGTCTGGCGGGCAACTTTTGCGGCGCGCGACCTCCACAGCCGGCGATTTTGTATTCGCGACTTGAGCTGCGCTTCACGCGAGGCCCTGGCCGCCGCTGCCGCCTCTCTCCGCACCCCACGCACCCCGCCACACCATGGGCCTGCCGACGTCCAAGAAGCACGCCGGCCTCGGCCACGCCATCGCAAACCGCCGCGCCAAGGAGGCGCTGACGCGCAACGGCAGCAACTTCCACACGACCGACTTCGACCGCGGCCTGCAGAGCGTCACGCACCAGGGCGACCTCGAGGAGTTCCTCTCCACCGCCCAGCTCGCCGACTCGGACTTCACCGCCGAGCGCCGCAACGTCTCCATCATCAATGCGCCCGGCTCGTCGGCAGGGCCGCCGCGCCGCGGCTTCAACCCCTTCCTGCTCTCGGGCCAGGAGGAGCAGGAGGTGCTGAAGCGCCAGGGCCAGAACAAGCAGCGCCTGCGTGTGCCACGGCGGTGAGTCGGCGGCGCGGCCTCGGAGATGCCGTCTTGGCTCTCTGTGCTCTACAGAGGCTGACACGCATGCTGCCAGGCCGCACTGGGACTCCACCACCACGCCCGCGCAGCTGCAGCGCCTCGAGGCCGACTCATTCCTCGAATGGCGGCGCTCGCTCGCGCAGCTGACCGAGTCGCAGTCCTTCATCCTCACGCCCTTTGAGCGCAATCTCGAGGTGTGGCGGCAGCTGTGGCGCGTCGTCGAGCGCAGCCACCTCGTGGTGCAGATCGTAGACGCGCGCAACCCGTTGCGCTTCCGCTGCGAGGACCTCGAGCGCTACGTTCGCGACGTTGATGTGCGGCCGGGAGAGTTCACGGAGAAGGAAGGGCAGGGACCGCGCCGCAACTTGCTGCTCATCAACAAGGCAGACTTGCTCGACGAAGGCCAGCGGTGAGTCTGTCGTGGCATTGCCTACGATCTTCTCGCCTGACGCGCTTCGGCCTTCAGCAAGGAGTGGGCGCGCTACTTTGAGGAGAAGGGCATTGCATACGCCTTTTTCAGTGCCGCCAACGCTGCGGCCATCCAGCTGGAGCGTGCTGAGCGTGAGGCAGCCGAGGAGCGCGCTGCCGAGCTGGCCGCAGCTCGCGCCGCCGCTGCTGCTCGCGAGAGCGGCAGCGAAGAGGACAGCGACGACTCGGACGACTCGGACGACGCCGGCTCGGAGGACGAGGACGCTGTCGCCGAGCTGTCACACGCCACGGAGCAGGTGCAGCTTAACGTGCCCAAGAAGACGGCCGAGCTGGTGCAGCAGGCGGCGAGCAGTGCCGCCAGCGCCGCGCAGCCACTAGCCGCAGCGGCCGCCGACCCGAAGGACCCGACGCGCGTGCTCAATGTGCTCGAGCTCGAGGAGCTCTTCATGCAGTCTGCGCCGCCGCTGTCCGACTTCGCGCAGGAGGACCATGCGGCGCCGACACGTCTCTGTGTCGGTCTCGTCGGCTACCCCAACGTGGGCAAGTCGTCGACGATCAACGCGCTGCTCGGCGAGAAGAAGGTCTCTGTCTCCTCGACGCCGGGCCACACCAAGCACTTCCAGACGATCAACCTCAGCCCCGAGACGGTGCTTTGTGATTGTCCCGGTCTCGTCTTCCCGCAGTTCGCCACGAGCGCCGCCGAGCTCGTCTGCGACGGCGTGCTGCCAATCGACCAGATGCGCGAGTACACTGCACCCGCCGAGCTCATCGCTCGCCGCATCCCGCGCGACATTCTTGAGGGCACGTACGGCATCCGTATCGACATGCAGCTCGAAGAGGAGGGCGGCTCGGGCACGCCGACGGGTCTGGAGGTCTTGACATCGTATGCCGGTGAGTCCTCCAGCGCGCTTGCAGGAGTGCTCAGCGCTGACTCGGGGTGACAGTGGCGCGTGGCTTCACCCGTCAGGGCCAGGGCAACCCCGACGAGTCGCGCTCGGCACGCTACGTCTTCAAGGACTACGTCTCTGCGCGGCTGCTGTACGCGCATCCGCCGCCAGGCGTCGACGCGGACAAGTTCAACGCCGAGCAGCGCAACGCTGCGCGTGCCGCTCTGGCCGGTCGACGCTATGCGCCGCTGCTGGCCGAGGAGGAGGAGGCGCGTGCGGCTGCTGCCGCCAAGGCGGCCAAGTTGGCGCCGCGGCCGCAGGGCGCGAAGAGCAAGGCCATCGACTCGTCGTTCTTCGAGCAGGAGGCTGCCTCGCGCCCCGCCGTCAAGGGCCGCAGCGGCAATGCGATGCACAGCCTGCGCAACCGCCTCAACCCCGACGGCACGCCGCTCAGCAAGGAGCAGGTCGCCGAGCTCATGGCCGCCGAGGCGGCGCTGGTCAACAAGAACGGCAAGAAGCACAACAAGAGCAGCAGGCGGCGCGTCAAGCAGCGCAGCGGACAGGGCTTCGCATAGGCGCCTCGATGCGCGGCGACCGCAGCAATACCATCGTCATACACACCACCAGACGCGGGCTAGGAGACGATGTTGTTACAGGCGCAGAGGCCGCGCACGTGGGGTAAGAAGATGGTCAGAGTGGGCAGCGCAAGGTCTACTGGCCCAGCTCACGCCGACCAGAATGAGGAAGAGGGTGATGGAGAAGGAAGCAGAGACGAGTAGTGTAGGATGAGCGAGAAAGCGTTGAGGCAGCCCGCCAGGAGCGGACCGGCCTCGTCTAGGCGTGTGAGGGTGCTTTGCGGAGCGTGAAGCGACGCGGCTAAGGAGCGAATGCGAGGGCGGAATGAGCCAGGACGGACGAGACGAGTTGGGGAGCACGAGACGAGGTGACCAATCAAGAGCTGCTGGTGTAGAGGAGCGTCGAGACGTACTTCTTCTTGAAGCGGATCGTCGTGCCGACAGCGACGCAGCCGTTCTTGATCGCCGACGCCGTGAGGTGGTGCAGGATGGCACTGTTTGGCGGCGCAGGCAGCAGACTGAGGTCGTCGACCGTGCCGCCCGTCGCCTGTGCGACGGCCGGATTGGCGGGCGAGGCGTTGAGAAGCACCGTCGAGAGCTGCCGCGGCAGCAGCGGCGGCGTCGGCAGAGACGGCGGCGGCGGCCCGTCCTTGCTGCCCGGTGCGGCACGGCCACTGGCGGCGGCTGCCTCGCATGCATCGCGGTAGGCCTCCTCGGCCTCCTGCGCTGCGATGACGGCCGCCGGGATCTCCTGCGTCCAGATCTCCTCGCGGGCTGCAGCGTGATCGAGCGTCAGCCGTGGTTGCTGCAGCTGGTCTCGGCGCAGCGGCTCACCTTTGTTCGGCCCGAAGACCTCCTCCAGCTCGCCTCGTCGGATCGCCTCTGCGCGTCGCGCCTGCTCGCGCAGGTCCATCGTGTTGCCGTGTCCAGCCAGCGCGCCGCCCGAGCGCCGCTTCTCCGCCGCCTCGGCAGCCGTGTGCGTCTGTTCCGTGGGGTCAGGGTCGTCGGGGATCGCCATCTCGATGTAGTTGACGAGATTGCCGCTGCCGTCCGTGGCCGTGGGCAGGTCGCGGCTGACGCGCCAGCGGTCGTCGACGATGAACTTGAGCCGATGCGTGCCGGGCTCGAGGTGCAGCACGATGGAGTGGTCCTTGCGGCTCGAGCGCTTCAGCGGCACCTTGCTGCGCCACTCGTTGGCAAAGGTGCCCGTCACAAAGACCTCGCGTCCGCCGCCCGCCCACGTCACCGTCACAGGCATGGCTGGACCTGTTGGCGGACGGTAGCGCCCGTCCGCTGGCGCAGCAGGCGTGGGCGTGAGTGGCGTGGGCCGTGCATCGCTCGGCCGCGCTGTGTCGGCTCGCGTTGGCGTCGGCGGCTCCTGAACACTCGGCGACTGCACAGGCACGTCGAACCCGCGCACCGGGACGCGAGGCACGTCTTGGTGTCTGCCAAAACCCGTGCCAGCGATCGGCGGAAAGGCCGGCGTGTTGACGCCCGACTCGATGCCAGTGAACACCTTGACGCCGGCGCGCCGCGTGCTGCTGCCCGAGCTTGGCGTGTCTGAGAAGTCGCCGCTTCGCCGCCTTGAGCCAGCATCCAAGTTCGGCTCGTCAGGCTCGGCTCGCGGCGTCAGCGCCTGCGGCGCACCGCTGCTGCTCGGAGTGGGCGTGCGTTCGCGCCTCGTCGCTTCACCCTCCGCCTCAGGGTCGACAGGTGTGTGGCTCCGCGACGGCCTGTCGTCTGCGCCCTCGGCTGCCAACGCTTGACTTCCGTCCTTCGGTTCCAGGTCCACCTCGGATGCCGCAGTCAGCTCCGCCGCGATCTGGTCGGCTGGCGCAGGCGTCGACATGCCGTCGCTGGCGCCCGGCGCCGCGCCATTGCCGGCGGGCGACGATGATCGTTCCGGCGAGCTGGCCTTGCTGGCGCTTCCCGGCTTGAACAGCACATCCTCGGTGTTCAGCACAGCGGCTGCCGCGCCAACGGGCGCCAGCGTCGGGGCGTGCAGCGTCTCGTCCATCCACGCCGAGCGCATCTCGCCCTGCCGAGTTGGAGACGACGCCAGAGAGCCGGGCGGCGATGCGTAGGTGCTCGGGATTAAAGTGGGAATCTTGAGGTAGGACGGCAGCGCTGCAGGCAGCTGGCGACCGAGCGGGTCGCGCGTGACTCCACTGCCGTCGTCTGCTTGGCCATCGTCGCCGCCAGACGTGATAGCACCTGATGGGCTGCGAGCTGCGGGCGTCGACGAGACGGTGCCGAGCGACTCGGCAGCACCGCCGGCATCGCTGAAGATGCCTCGTTGGCTCGGCGCGACGGCTGCAATGCCCGAGATTGCCTGCGGGCTCGACACGCCGCCGACGCCGCCGCTGGCGGAATGCTGATGCGACGCGAGACTCGAGCGCAGGTGGCTGGACGTGCCGCTGGCGTACTGCGAAGTCGTCGCGACAGACGGACTCGGAAAGGGCGAGACCGCAAGGTGTGGCTCGAAGCCGGGCGCACTCAGCGTGCCGGGCGCCTTGCGTGAGAGTCCTGACGGCGTGCTGGAAGGGGATCGTCTGAGCAACCCGGTCTGCAAAACACAGGCTATACGCGGAGCAAGGCGACACAAGCGCCCTGCAAGCCAGCAGAGGCAGCAGCAGCACGTTGCGACACGAGCAAGGTCTCCTTCACAGGCATCTCCACCGATCGATATCTGCGCTTTCCGGCTACTCACATAGGTGCTACTCCGTCTGGGTCCGTCAGCTCGATGCTCTTCTTTCGCCGGAAGGTCGGCGCAGCATCACTTGCGCCGCTGGTGGAGCGCCACGGCGACGAGCTGCCTGCGCCAGCAGCGCCCGAGAGCGCCGCACTGCCGCTGCGTGAGCGCGAGCGCGGTGTCTTCGCAGCAGCGGCCGAGCCCGAGGCGGCATCAGCGGCGGCGCTGCGCCCAGGCAAGCGCAGACTGCCGCCGCCGGCCTGACCGCGGTGCGGGCCGCGAGCGTGGAGATGCGACGCTGCCGCTCCTCCTGCAGCAGCGCCGCGCGGAGAGACGGGCGTCGAGCCAGTGGTGCTGGTGCGGCGCAGCGAGGGCGAGCGCGGCCGCGTGCCCGGCGGCATGCCATTGGCGCCGCCGGCGCTCTCGCTCGACTGGCTGTTGCCCATGCGAGCGACGCGGCGCGCGGATCGCGACGAGGGTCGGACGTGAGGAGAGCTCGGAGGAGCGCGGAGCGTGCTCGAGGTGCGCTGGACGCAGCACAGAGGCGGCCGCCAGCTGGCTCACGCACGGAGCGCAAGGCGCGGAAGAGCCTCGCCACGCGGATGCGGGGGCGCAGAGGCGCAGGCGACGATGCGTCAGGTAGCACGAGAGCGCGGTGCGGCGGGAGGCGTGAGTGAGCGGGCGGTGTGGATGGAGAGAAGGAGGCAGCGGCTGGAGGGATGCGGAGCGGACGCTCGTCGCACGGGCTTGGCCCCGGCTGATCTGGCTGCCGCGCGGCGCGGCGGCCGCGTCCTGTCCGCGCGCAGCACGCAGCGTCACCACGCGGCGCCCGCCACGGCGCTCCGCATGAAGCCTCGCTCGTGTGCGTGCGGCACGACGACCTGCGCTGCTTGGCGCTGCTGCAGCGCACAGACGGCCTGCTCCTTTCTCTGCTCGCCTCTCTTCGCTCTGCGTTCTGAAGGCGCTATGGAGACGCTGGCCGCACTCTCGCTGCGGGCGCTCTACGCTGCAAGAAGCCCTCTCGGCGCTCGGTAAGCCCGATGATGGCCAGGCCGCGCTACCCGACGCCGTGCGCGTGCCTGCCCAGCGCTGCGCCCGCTGCAGGGCCGAGCGGCCATGACGCACATCCTCGACAGATTGCTCGCCGTGCAGGCTGCCGGTCACCTACCGTGGGCGCTCGGAGCCGCAGCAGTCCAGGCACGCAGCAAGGGTGAGCAACGCTTCAGGCACCAGCTCAGGAGGGCATCGGGGCGTTCATTGACCACGCGGTTCGACACGCGCCGAGAGGGGCACATTGCGCTGTGGACCTGAGGCACGGCCAGCAGCCCTCTGCATGAGCCGCACCGAGCTCGCTCCGTCCTGCCTGCGTGCTTGCTCGTCAGAGGAAGCGAGAGGAAGAGAAGCACAGGATCATGCCGCGGCAAACAGCTTGCAGAAGGACTTGCGTGCACACAGGAGTTGAGCGGAGCCATGCAGGAGGTGCCGCAGTCGCGGCCGCCCTGGATCCTGGGCCCATGCGCATGCTCGAGCCCTCCGATCGGGGCCTCTCTCGTCTTCAAGAGTCAGAGTTCGGCAACGTCGACGACGCTCCCACAGGCCGCACGAGGATGAGCATACGGATATATTGAGTACGATCCAGCAGCGCAGCAGAGCAAAGGAGTGTGGTGAGCGCGCCGAGATGCGGCGGCAGCGAGGTGAGTCCAGGAGCAGACGGTGACGTGGGGTAACTAGAGGGTACATGGGCAGAGGTAGAGAGAGGGTCAAGAAGAGACGAGCGCGACGGCGAGCATCAGGCCATCAGATCCGGCGCCGGGCGGGCGGCTGGGCGGCAAAGGGGTCGTCGTAGGAGAGCGTCTCGACGGCATCGGCGAACGTGACGGCCACCGCCGAGCGAGGCGGGTCACGGAAGGGGTCGCGCTGCAGCACTTCGTAGCTCGGCACTGCGCCGGCTCGCTGAGCAGCAGCGACGTCGACGCCGCGAGCGGCTCGCGAGGCGTAGCCTTGCTCCGCTGAGCCGTCGTAGTGCAGCCCAGCGGGACGGGCCGACTCGAGAGCGTCGGCGTAGTGCGAGGCGTGCGAGTGAGAAGCGTGCGAGGTGCGGCTGTCGAGGGGCGCAGAGGGACTGCTGCCGTGCGACTCGGCAGAGGCGTCGGACGGGTAGAGATCTGCGGCGCTGTGCTGGGCGCTGAACGGGTGGTGGTACATCATGCTGGCTGCCAGTGGTGCCGAGACCGGGTTGCCATGCGTGGCCGAGCGCGACGGACTGGCGGGCGTGATGGCGCCGTACGTGCCAACGCCGCTGAAGCCCGACCGCGGCACTTCTTGCATGACGTTGAGCGCCGCCTGGTCGACCGAGTCGTCGACATGGTAGTTCGTCTGCGGCCGGCTGGGTTGGCCAGCAAGCCAGCTGTCGCTGCTGCGAGGCCGCTCGCGCTCGCGCCGACCAGCCAGTGGCATGGTGGCGTTGGAGCGCGACGAGGCAATGTAGTACGGCGGGTACGTCGAGGCGCGGTTGGCACGCTTGACGGCACGACGCTTGCGGAAGAAGACGACGACGACAATGGCCAGCGCGGCGCCGAGCAGTACGACGACGATGGGGATGTACACCTTGCTCTTGCCGCCTGGCGCGGCGTCGCCGGCGTTGCCATTGTCGTTTGACGAGGTGCCGCTGACGCTGGTGCTGGCGAACGGCAGCGCAATGACCGAGGTGCTGCCGTCGGCGAACACGACCGTCGACGACGCGGCAATGTTGTCGTGCTGCACTGCAGAGCCGCTCGATGGCGATGCGGCGCTGTTGGCGAGCGCCTGGTCGGAGGAGCCAACACGGGCCTCGCCGTCGGTGCTGCTGTTCGACGACGGGATGGCAGTCGGGTCGGTGGAGCGATTGTTGCCTGAGCCGGCCGCGCGGTCGTTGTCGCCGGAGCTCGCTGGCGAGTCTCCGGAGCTGCCTCCAGAGTTGCTGGAGCTGGAGCCAGAGCTGCTCGGGCTCGAGCCTCCTCCAGAGCCCCCAGAGTTCGAGGGCGAGCCCGAGCTGCTCGGGCTCGAGCCTCCTCCAGAGCCCCCAGAGTTCGAGGGCGAGCCCGACGAGTGCGACCCGCTTGACCCAGAGCTACCGCTGTTCTGGCCGCCGCTGCTGCTGCCACCGCTGCTGCCGCCCGAGCTCGACCCGCCGCTGGAGCTCTGTCCACCACCACCGCCATTCGACGGCTGCGACGGCGCCGGCGATGAGCTCTGCACCGGAGCCTGGCTCTGCGCGGGTGCGGGCGCAGCAGACGTAGCTGCTTGTGCAGAGGGTCAGTTGACGAGCCAGCGCAGCGTTCCGCACGCGGCACGCACTGTGTGACGAGCCAGGAGCGCCGAGGATCTTGCCGACGTTGCCGAGCAGGCCGCCGAGTGTGTCGCCAAGGAAACCACGCTCGTCGAGGTCGTGCGCGGCATGGCGCAAGGCGTGGCGCCGCTTCTCCATGCGAAGCTCAGGCTGCACCTGGCGTGGCTCGGCGGCGGGCGAAGACATGGCGTAGTGAGTGTAGAACTGTATGCCAAGCAGGGCCGAGGATCAGGCGAGTAGTTAGACGTGAGTGAGTGAGAAGAGAGCAAGACGTGGATGACGAGAAGGGAGAAGGGAGAACGGGACTAGCTGCAGGGAGAGGGGAGTGGTGATGGACGAGACGACGACGAGGCCAGCACCTGCACCTGGGACTGGCTGGCAACACCAGGTGGGCCCGAGCTGGCGGAGGGCCAAAGCAGACGGCTGACGGCGAGGGCGCTGATGGCGGCGTCAGAGAGCGGGCAGAGAGGCAGCGCGAACCGTGCGCGCCAAGCTGTGCCGCCGTGCCGCCGCTGACGCCGTCGCACTCGAGGCGAGCACACGAGCGGCAGCTGCACGAGCGCTGCGAGTGCATGGCATGGCAGACGATCGGCGGCTGCGCGGCCCACGAGGGGCGTGTGCGGAGGGCGGATGGCGGAGGACGAGGGCGGAGAGCGGCACGAGATTGCGGCCGCTGCGCCGTGCGGGCGGCGTGGGCGCCGCGCCGCGGCGGCGGAGGCGGGCCTGGCTGCCGTCCCAGGGGCTCTCGCGGCGCCGCGGCAGCGCAGGAGCCGCCGCTGCACCTTCCTGCACCGTCCTGCGCTTGCAAGGGGCGCTGCACGGCTGCTGTCATGCGCCTCTCCTCCCCCTTCTGGCGTCGAGATGCGCGCTGCACCTCCTCGCCCCTGCCGCCAGCCGCCAGAGAGGAGCCGCACCCACGCGGCGGAGCGGCGGAGGTCGCTTTAGGGCTGCGCTGGCAGCACGCTCCGCTCGCAGCCCTTCCGTGCGCGGATTGCCGGTCTCACACGCCATGAGCCTTCGCGGATGCCGCTGCCTTGCAGACGGCAGTGAGAGAGTGCTGCGAGAGGGGGTGTCGGGCGTCGTGACGGCGACACGGGAGCGCGCCTACCAAGTACGCTTCCTTCGCGCACGGCTCTTCCGCTCTGCTCTGCGCCGCTGGATGCTGAGAGCGGCTGTACGTCGCGTTGGCGTCGTCGTCGTTCTCCTCCGGGGCCGGCGCATCTCTGCCGCATACCGATGATCGCCCTCGCACGCCCGCTCAACGGCCGTGCGCCCGTGGCGTAGCTCAGCCGCAGCCGTTGGGCCATGGCTGCAGCGCTGGTGCTGCAGCTGCGGCAGAGGGGCGGCGATGGGCCTTCCCAAGAGATGCGCTAGCGTCGGCAGGATGCAGCGCTGGCGCCGTGCCTGCGGGCCGTGCCGCGGCAGCAAGCAAGGATCGTCAAGCTGAAGGGTGCGCCGGGCGGACGAGACCTCGACCGTGATGTGACGGCGACGGCGGCATGCCTCGCTCGACAGCCGCAGCGACACCGCTGGCAACTCGTAGCTTGAACTCTGTTCCCAGCGCAAGCGGATGCGAAGGCAGAAGCGACGCCCGGACAAGGCGGAGCTCGACGCTTGTCGCTGCGAACGCTGCACGTCGGCACGCTCTTGCAGCGACGTGCAGCCGCAGCGCATCGAGAGGTTCAGCGCTGCAGATTTCGCGCTTCGTTGGCCCACGCTCGCCCGAGCCGCCTCTGAGGCGACGTTTCAGCAGCACAGACTCGCTGCCATCGGGAGAGAGGATGTGCCGCGCCTCACTGTGCTGTCGCTGCTGACTGACTGCGCGCTGGAGGCGAGGCAAGGCAAGGCGGAGCGGGAGCGGGCGCAGAGCACTCAGCCGGCACCTTGCAGGCTGCAAGCTGTACGCGCGCATGCATGGGGGCGGGCGCAGGAGGTGCCGGATGCCGACGACGCGTCCAGCACGCGATCGTGCCGAGCCCCCATGACGGACAAGGCCCTGGGCCGGGACATGTGGAGAGCCGAGTGCCGACGTCTGCAAGGCTTCTGCTCGATTGCGAGAGCATCCGTCGCTCATGCCATCGGCTCGCGCTTAGGCCAGCCGGTGCGTAGATGCCAGAAGCAGACTAGGCAAGAGCTGGAAAATGCTCCGGGCGCCAGAAGCGTGCTGCTCTTGCTTCTCAGACGGCTCGACATCGTCTCTCAAGCGTCTCGAGCGTCGCTTGGGGGTCACATGTTACACGATGACAGTGCTGCGCTCCCTCCGTCGTCGCGGCGCAGGCACTACGCCGCCTTCTCCTTCTCCGCCGTCACAGCCGCCGCCGCAACCGTGGGCGCGCCCTGTCGTGGTCCGACGAGCTTGCTGGTCGCCAGCCGCAAGTAGCCCGTGAGCGCCTCGGGGCGTGCCTCGTACATGGCCGCCATGGTGGCCAGCGCCGCAGCCAGCAGCAGTGCCTCGCCGTGCGGCACCGGACGCACGCGCTTCTCCTTCTCGAGAATCTGCCACGTCGACTTGGCCGACATGCGCCCGACGTCTGATGGTAGGACGTCAGAGGGAGGCTGTGCGCGCTCTTGTTAGGCGACCTACACATGCCAAGCTGGTGCCGGCGTGCGGCAGGCACGAGGTAGATCGTGAGGCCGGCGATGAAGCCGTTGAGGAAGAACCGGCCGCGCGGAAGCAGCGTGCGTGGCTGAAGGCAGTATAAGGTCAGGCAATGAGACAGCGTGGCCGTCCATGCCTACTCACCAGCCAGTGCTGAAACACACAGATGAGCGCTGCGGAGCGGCTTGTCAGCTGCGGCGTCACATGCCTGCACACGACGCCACTCACCCCACGCTGTGCCGATGCCGCCAGAGATGACCGTCGCGCCCTGCACCACCGCCATGCCGAACTCTGCGGTGCGACTTCATCAGCGATGCCGGTCGTCTCGACGCGAGAAGACCCACTGAACAGCGCCGTCTCTGGGTCCTTGACAACCTTGCGCCAGCTGAGCAGCTGCAGTGCAGCCATCCACGCAGCGACGAACTTGGCGCTGGTGAGCCACTCCTTCTTGAAGAAGCCGAGAAAGTTGCGTGTGCAGCTCGGCTCTCTCGGATGCAGCACAGCACAGAGCAGACGCGAGTGTGCCGGGTGGGCCGGCGCATAGTCCAGCACCGTGTTGAGCGAGGCATACGGCGACGCCGGCGGCGGCTTGCCCTGAAGCGAAGAGAGCACGGGCGAGACGAAGCTCGGGTACGGAGCGGCAGTCGGCCGAGCAATCGTCAGTTCGCCGACGCCGTCGAGGACCTGACGGCCGCTGGGCCACTCGATGCTGGCGGGCAGGTCGTGCGGGCGCGGTGGCAGGTAGGCCGAGGAGCGCTGCAGCGGCCGGTCATCAGCAGCAGCTTGCAGGCAGGGCTACACTCATACTCACGCTCTCGATGATCTTGCCGTCTGAGTGCGGGAGTAGGAGTGAGCCAGGAGCGTCTAACGTGCTTCTCACTACTCACAGCCGGCCGGAAACGCCTCGGGGTAGAGCAGGTAGGCGTAGAGCAGCTGCGCGTTCGAGACGCAGTACAGTAGCGCCGAGTCGCACCACGCCGGCACCCAGCTCGTGATGCGGCTGCCGGAGCGCCGGCTCTCCTGGTACGCCGCCGCCGCCGCTTTGCTGGCAAAGTCGATCGCAAGCATCTGGCGCGGGAACGGATTGGCGGGCAGAAGCAGCAGCGCCGGCGTCGAGAGACTGGCTGCAACGAAGGGAGCAAGCAGCGGGGAGCGCAGGAAGCGATACAGCCGGGCCTGCAGGCGGGCACGGTGTGTCTGTGCCTTGGTGCCCGAGTCGCGCGGGGCAGAGCGGGCAAGCTTGAGCTGCGAGAGGAGCTGCAGGATCGTGCGGTAGAGGGCGGCGTAGAAGAACAGCGCCGAGCCAGCACGGAAGGAGCTGGCCGAGGAGAAGATGCGTCGCAGCGCATCGCGCGGCCTAGACACAGGTGTGAGCACTGGCAGGGGTGCTCGACAACGCCGCCGCCTCATCCGCTTCTCCCTCGCCGAGATGCCCCGATCCACCTCCACTCACGAGATCTTGCGCAGCACGGCCGGCAGCACGGCGTCAAAGGCGGCGTTGAGCAGGTAGCCGAGCACAAAGGCGCGCGTGGCGGTGCGCGACGTGAGCGGCAGGCGTGCATCGTCAAGCCAGGCGGCGTCGGGCTTCATGAACTCGGCGCGCGCAGCCGCGACGGGCGTGCCGGGCGTCGAGGTGCCCGGCGTCACGGGCGAGCTGCGCGGCGGCGGCGGCGCGGCCAGGCGCGCCTTGGCGAGCAGGCCACGCAGCACCCGCAGCTCGGCGGGCGTGACGAGCAGCGAGGCGGGCAGCGGCAGCGGTGCCTCGGAGCTGCGTGCGGACATGCTGGGCGGTGTGGTGGTGCGGAGCGAAGGATCCGGAGGCGGGCCTCGCGTCATCCGGCGCTCGCTGGCCCGGACCCGTGTGCGGGGAGAGTGATGACAGTGGGAGCGCCGCGGAAGCCGCGGGACGCCGCCGGGCGCGCTTCTCTTGCTGGCTCGTGCCTCGGGCGCTTCTCCTCTCACTCAGACTCCTCCTCCTCTCTGTCTCCTTCTTATTGCTCTCGCCATGTCGAGCAGCAGTGGCATCTCCACTAAGCTCACGCTGCCTCGGCATGCCGAGCTCACCTCGTGGCGCGCCAGCGTCGTGGCGCAGGCGTTCGAGGCCATGCAGCAGCGTGTGCCCGACAAGATCCTGGCGCTCAATGCACGCCTCGCTCGCATCACCGCCAGCACGAGCAGCAGCGCAGCGGCCGCAGAGGAGGAGCGCTTTGGCGATGCGCAGCTCAAGTGTATGGCCAGCGCCATCGACTCGAAGGTCTATCCGCCGGCGGCTGCGCGTGACGCAGAGCAGGGAGGACAGGCGAAGAAGAAGCGCAAAGTGGGCGCGGCCGATGGCGCAGCTGCAGAGGAGGACGGTGCAGAGCATGAGGAGGGCGTGCTGGAGGGACGCGTAGTGCCAAATGCTTGGTTTACAGAGGCGCTCGAGGAGCTGCGGTGAGTGGGCCGAGGCCCTTGTTTTGTGAAGCATCCGTCTGTCTCTCGCTCATGCCGTTCGCCTCTCGCTTCTGGACAGGTCGGAGTGGACCGACCTGATTGAGATGTGAGTAGCTCGACCTCCTCACCTTGCATCCCATCTCTGCATCTTACACTTCTGCCGCTCGCAGCATGGATCACATCAAGCTCTTCATCTCCCTGAACATTCCCATGACCGAGGAGGGCGACAATGGCGGCGTCGCGACGCAAGAAGAAGCTTTGACGGAAGTAGCGCGCTCTCAGGAGACGGGCTACAACTGGCTCAGCACGCCGTGCTCCTATCACTCGGGCCGAGGAGAGTGCATCGCCAAGATGCTCAGGTATCCCGGTAGGTGCAGCTGTGCGGGGGAGGGGAGAGAGAGCGACACTGACGATGCATGACTCCACAGGCGTCGAAGACTTCCGCCTGGCGCTGCACGAGTACGACCGACGAGGGGCGCTCCGGCTGCGAGCACAGTACACGGATCTGCGCAACACGGTGCGTTCTGCGCCTGTCCTCCTCTCGGCCGTGCTAGGGCGCGAGGAACGACTCGCTGACCCCCATCTCCGCGTACAGTACGCAGTGGTGCTGGACATTCTCGAGAAGAACATGAAGCGCATTGCGCAGCCCAAGTCTGGCAGTGAGTACGGCGCAGGCACCAGCGAGCGCAGCATCGTCGAGTTTCGGCTCCCAGCGCTGCAGCTGATGCCCTCTCAACCCCACTGCAGACGGCATGAACAACTACGGATAGAGCGCTGCAGAGCAAGAGCAAATGCATCATATTACTGTGTCTGAGTCGTGAGCCGAGTCGTACCACCTTCCTGGGGCGGCTTTACCCCGAGTGCGAAGGGAGCTCGAGGCGAGATGGCCGTCAAGTAGAAGTCTAGTGGAGGCTGAGGCAGTCGCGCTCGCTTTCCCCGCACTCAGGCGCCACTCGGCCTCCGGCGTCCGCGCGTGGCCGGGGTGCGGCGAGCGGGGTGCACAGGCAGCGGGGAGCAAGGCGCGACATCTTCCCTTCCCTCCACCCACACCCCTGCCTGCTTGTGCTCGATCTCTCTCATCATGCCAAAGAACCACATCACCTTCTACTTCGGTGCGTCGCATAGACATCTTGGCCATGCGGCGGCACGCTGCAGTGCCTGCGGCTGCGGCTGCATCCTACCAGCGCCGACCGCTGACTCCCCGGCCGCTGCAGACGTCATCTCGCCCTGGGCGCAGGTCGGCTTCCGCGTGCTGCAGCGCTACGTCGACATCTGGGATGCCGAGGTGGCGTGGAAGCCGCTCAACCTGGGGCGTGTCATGCAGGTGCGTCTGTACCTCTGGCTGGGCTGCCAGCACGCATGCTGACGCTGCGATGGGGCAGATCTCGGGCAACAAGCCGCCCATCACGGTGCAGAACAAGGGCCGCTGGATGAACGAGGACATGAGCCGCGCCGAGGTCTTCTATGGACGTGAGTGGTGGCGCGCAGCTTGGCATCCGTCTCCTGTCGCCTGTGCTAATGCCACTGCGACTCATGCAGTGAAGCTGCGCATGCCGACCGGCTTCCCCGTCAACACGCAATATGCGCAATGCGTGCTGCGAGCGCTGCAGGATGCAGGCATCGAGTCAGCGCCTTTCCAGAAGGCCACGGCTGCGCTGATGGAGGCGCTCTGGACGCACGACCTGCCTGTGCAGACCGCCGACGATGTGCGCAAGATCCTCGAGCCGGCCAACGTGGCCAAGAAGGAGATGCTGGAAGAGGCATTGAAGCAGGCGGAGAAGAAGGAGAGCAGAGATAGGTTGACTGCTGAGAGCAAGCAGGCGGTGGAGGAGGGCATGTTCGGTGCTCCGTGAGTAGGACGCGGCCTCAGGCTCTGCTTGAGGCAGCAAAGTCGCTGACGTGTCGCCGACGTTGCGCAGTTGGTTTGTCGTCAAGCGTGCCTCGGACGGCGAGACGGCGCGCTTCTTTGGCTCGGACCGCTTTGAGCAGATCGCGGCGTTCCTGCACAAGGTGCGTGCTGCCGTCTGTTGCCGCTGCGCCACATCCTCTGACCACTCTTCGCACGCCAGGACTACAAGGGTCCCTTCGCGAACGACTCACGACCCAAGCTCTGAGGATGCAAGCCCAGCCCATGCAGGCGATGCGACAGGTCTGCTTGTGTCAAGCGTAATGCGCGCCTCCGCTGTCCGCCGTCACTTGCCAGCTTCACATGGTCAGGAGGCTGGAAGACGTGTACTTCCAGCCAACTGCCCCTGTGAAGGGACGGGTCATGACAGGACAGCGATGGCACGCATGTGCGCTAGACACAGGTGGAGCTGGTCCGTCGCAGCTGGGTACCCAGCACTCGCACGAGCACAGACAGGCCTCATCACGATGTATCACTCTAATCGAGCAACTTCACCCCAGCCAACGTCTCTGTCTGGATGATGACGATTGCACCTCTCCCCTCTAAGCAAGTCTGACAGCAATGCCCTCGCGCCCGACACCATTGCGGCCCACGTCGGCCGCGCCGCCTCCCGCGACCCGTGCGCCGGCTTGCTTGAGCTGCGTCTTGCGCTCCTTGGCGTACGCCTGCTTGCGCGCCGACTTCTCGCTCTTGCGCGCCTGGCGAGGGCATCAGCTTGTTAGCAGAGTGGGGAGGAAGAGGGGACAAGGAAAGCGCACCTGCTTGCTCTCCTTAGCCGCCGTCTTGCGCGCCTTCTTCTCCTCTGCACTCTCATTGCGTGGTCGCGTGATGGTTCGTCGAGCGCCAATCGTATCGTCGCTCTCCGCGCCACTGCTGTACGCCTCATCCTCGTCCTCCTCAGGCACTTCGCGCACGGAGCTGCACTCCTCCTTGAAGCCCGTCGGCGGCAGCTCGCGCTCGCGCGGCGCCGCGAGCTTGATGTAGCTGGTGATCTCGGGCAGGCCGGTTCGCGGGTTGATGCGCACGCGCGGCATCACCTCGGAGCCGTTGGTCGAGAGCGAAGACGGGCGCCCGATGCCGGAGGAGGCGATCGTCGTGGGCCGATGTGACATCGTCGAGCCCGCAACCGAGGAGCGAGCGGCAATCAGTCGCGGGTGGTTCTCGAGATTGGAACGCGTGGCTGAGGGGGCGTCGTCAGCATGTGAGACGGAGAGGGGCACTGCAAAGCAGCACTCACAGAGCACAGTCTCGACGTCCCACTTCTCCCTTCCATCTCTAGCCGAGCGCGGCATCATGATCTCCTCCTCCTCGCTCTCCTCGCTCTCCTCTCCCTCATCCACCTCCTCTCGCCTCCTCGCCAGCGGCGCGCCCAGCTCCTCTCGCAGCTGGCCCAGCTTGGCAGCGCCGCTCGACTCAGGCGCGCCCAGCCGTGTGCGCAGACGGCCGCCGTAGACTTCGTGGCGCGTCAGGAAGTCGTCGAGAATGCCGTCGAAGTCTTCGCGCGTCAGAGGCGGAGCGCCTTCGTCATCATCGTCGTCGTCTGAGTCAAAGGAGGCAGGCGGCGGGCGCGTGAGAGAAGAGTCCTCATCGTCTGAGCCTTCGTCCTCATCCGAGCCGGCCTCGTAGAGCGCCTCCATCTGTGCTGCTAGTGTCAGCAAAATCCCCCACAGAGCCACAGAGGAGCAACGCACCTTCTCGAAGCGCTCATCGAGCCCGCTCAGTCCGGCGTTGCGCTCCATGGCGCTCGAGCTCATCGAGAAGGCCGTCGCGCCGCCAGCAGCGCTAGGCGCGTAGTAGCTCGCGGCCAGGCGAGCCTTTGCGCCGGGATGTCTACTTCTCCGACTTGGGCCCTTCTCGCCAAAGATCGACTGGCTTCCCGTGCTGCTAACTCGACTGCCCGCCACGCCCGCACCTCGTGGTTGCTGCGGCTGTTGTGCCCTCGCCTCGCTCTGTGCCGCCTTGAAGAGCGCCACGCGCGCCTCGAGCGAGAGCGCCTCGGGCCCGGCGCCGGACTCCTTGAGCGTCATGAGCTCCCTCGCAGCGCGTGCGGCGGGCGTCTCAAAGAGCGTCTCTTCACCGCCTGGCGCCTCGGCCTGCCATGGCAGCACCTCGTCATCCGCCGCTTCGCCGTCAGCCAAGATGTCGGCGAAGAAGTCGTCGATGTCCTCCTCCTCTTCATCCTCCTTCTCCTCTGCAGCTGGCGCCTTCGCTGCAGCCTCGGCTTCGGAAGCGGCAGCGGCAGCCCTTGCGGCAGCGGCGGCGCGTCGCTGCGCCGGCAGCAGGAAGGCGTCGTCGTCGAGAGCCTCGAGGACCTGGCGCAGATGCGGGTCCATGTTGGGCTGCAGGCCGCGCAGCTCCGGCGCCACATCCTCCATGCGGCTCCAGTCGCGCGCCGGCAAGTGTCGCGGTGGCAGCACGTCTGCCGGCAATGCCTGCCGCACCGGCTGCTTCTCCAGCTCTGCCGGCTTGAGCTCGAAGCCGCCGCCGCTGCTGCCGTCGCCCTTGCCCTTGCCCTTGCCCTTACTCTTGGTGGTGTTGGGCGCAGGCGCAGGCAGCAGCACCACATCGACGTCGTCCACCTCGTCGACGCCGCCGTGCCGCGCATTGTGCGTGCCGCCGATGGGCCGCAAGTGCTGCATGTAGTCGTACGCGCTGTCGTCAAAGTAGACGCCGTACTTTTGCGCCTCGCCGACATTAGGACGCTCCTGCGCCAGCTCATCGCCGAGCTTGGCCTCGAGCTGCGAGAGCGTCTCTCCGCCGCCGGGTGCCGGCGTCGCAGAGCCAGAGGCATGGTTGCCGCGCAGCAGGTTGGCGCGAGGCGCCTCGCGCAGCACGCCGCGAGAGGCATCGCCGTCGTGCAGCAGCGGATCGCGCTGCGAGCGATGCACGACGGAGAAGTGCTGGGCGTCGGGCGCGCGCCAGATGGACTTCTTTGGTGGCATGGTGAGTGGGTGAGAGGGGTGGAGGTGGGCGGGAAGAGGGTGCGAGGTGGCACAGGCCGGCCAGGAAGCAACTTTTTTGGACCCCGGGCGCACGTGATTTCTCCCACGCCCTCGTCGCCGCGTGGGAGCGCCGCGGCGTCCGACGTGGCGCTCGGACGTGCCGCGGGGAGAGCGGGGAGTCTTCGCGCGCTGCATTCGGCAGCCAGCGTGCTTCCCACCCCTCACCTCTCCTCGTCCCTCACACCGCCGCCTCGCACATCATGGCCGACACGCTCAAGGAGATGCTCGACGTGCCGCAGAACTTCGTCAAGGAGGGCACACACGTGCGTCGCTGCCGTGGGCGGCTTGCCCTGTGGCTGGGCGCAGGCAGGCATGTCCGCTGACACGCAGCCGCTCTCTCGTCTCTCCTGCCTCTTCGCAGTTCATGAAGCGCTGCACCAAGCCAAACCAGAAGGGTGCGCCTGCCCTCCGTCTCTGGCCCTTCACTCTCAGCGCACTGACGACCTCGGCCGCCCGCAGAGTACCTGCAGATCTGCCGCGCCGTCGGCATGGGCTTCGTCGTTATGGGCTTCATCGGCTACTTTGTCAAGCTCATCCACATCCCGATCAACAACATTGTGCGTCGTTGCCGTGTGGTGCCTGTGCTACTTGACACCTGACACCTTGCTGACGCCTCTGCGCTCCTTGCAGCTCGTGTACGTCCCGATCCGCACAGGACGCTGCAGCTGCGCCACAATGACACGGCCTGCGCACCGCCAGACGCGAGACTGACACACACTTCCTTCACAGTGGAGGCGCATGAACGTCTCTCGACGCGCAGGGCATCGAGAGGGGCGCCAGGGAGACGCGAGACGGAGGGGCACAGACGAAACAGAATCCAGGATCTTCGTCTTGCGGATACAGAGCGTGGAGGATGGGATTGGACGGCGAGACGTCAGACAGGCAAGTACAAGAACGTGCGCGGGCGAGCCATGAGAGCAAACATGCGGGAGAGCAGAGTCGGAGAATGGCTAAGACGTGGGATATTGCCTAGGTGCCGGCGACGAGGCGAGCCGCGCTGCTGCTCAGCGCTCTCGCACGCGCTGCGTGTACATGGCGTCCAGCTCGCGTCTCGAGTGGCGCAGCCACTCGCTCTGTGCAGCCGCTTCGGCGCTGATGCGCTCCTTGACGTCCGTCGCTAGGAGCTGCTGCAGGAGGACGCGTGCTGGAGATGGCGACGCTTCAGCGACGGGCAGGCGAACGATGGGCGCCGGGTAGAGCTCACCGGCGAGGCAGGGCATCTTCTGCATGTACGGGTCAAACGTGACGCCCGTGAAGACGTTCTGGACGAGCTGGCGGCGCGAGTCGGCCGCCGCGATTGCCTCCTGCGCCTCTGCCTTCGGGAGCAGCGGCACGGCAGGTGGCGCCGCGAGGAGCAAGGAACGACTGCGTAGCCACTCGTGCGTCACGAGACGTCGACGCAGCAGCTCGGCTTGCACCTCCCATGAGACGTCGTCGAGCGTGTCGAGCTGGCAGTGGTCGAAGGGGTGCGTGCCTGGTGGACACGTCGGTCAGCGGAGCAGGACGGCGACACGGAGATGGAAGAGGAGTCACCGCTGCAGGGTGTGTGTGCGTCAGCGCAATGTGGCTGGATCAGGATCAGATGGCCTCACCAGAGCATCACCTGGAAGACGAGCATGGTGGCGTCGAGTCAGTCATCTGGTCCAAGGCTCGCCGTCCACGCAGCTGAGGCCGCACGCACATAGAGCACCACGCCAGCTCCCCACGTGTCGAACTAGCAGAGCTACGGCGTCAGGCGCTGCGCATCCGAGCATGCCCTCCGCTTCACACGCACTGCGAGGGCGTCGTACGACTCCTGAGTAACGCGGCAGCGCAGCGCCTCGGGCGGCAAATACGACACGGTGCCGCACTGCGAGCTTGCGCGCTGCAACTTGCCTGGCGCGTCCGAGGCCAGGCCAAAGTCGCCCAGCTGGACATGCGGGAAGCTGCCGGCAGCCAGAAGCAGCACATTCTCGGGCTTGATGTCTGCACGGGCGGAAGAGTGAGTAGCCAAGGACAACCAGAGCGGATTAGCAGGACGTACCGCGATGCGCGATCCCGTGGTTGTGCAGGTACTGCGTCCGGCGCCGCTCAGTCGGATGCTAGACGACGACACGAGAGATGGCTCACCGCGATGGCAAGACGCAGCTGGTGGAAGATGAACTTGGCTTCGGCGTCGCCGAGCCGACGGTGCGCTGCGACGTAGTTGAACAGGTCGCCGCCTGCCACGCTGTCGGAGGATCGCGCGTCAGCCTTCCGTCACGCCTAGAAGAGAGCTGTCAGACGGACCAAGAGACAAAGTAGTAGACGTGCTCCTCGTCCAGGTGCACGGCGATGAAGCTGTTGATGTTCGGCTGACGACGAGCTCAGCTTTGCAATGGGAGGCAGCGGCGCGCGCGCGCCGTTCTCACATGCTTCATCTCCTTCAGCAACTTCATTCCCTTGACGTCAGCCAATGAGCTCCTCTCAGCTACGGCGCTCGGCCGGAGGACTCACCGCCACTTCGCGGCGCGCATTCCTTGCTGTCTGAGCATCCGCCAGCCATGCACGGTTCTGGCGCTTGCATGCCGCCTGCGCACCAGTAGGCACATGAATGGCCAAGCGCACCGAGGCGTACGTGCCACTGAGCGAAGGAGATAAGCTTCAGTGGCCATGAAGGATCTCGGATGCGCGTAGGGCAATACGAACGTGCCGAGGACACGCGGCAGCACGCGAAAGTCGCCCACTTCCTGCTGAGTAGGCATGACGAAAATGAGCGTGCAAGCGGTCCAGTCTCAGTGGTGGTCTCGGCACGGCGTACCTCGTCTTCTTCTCTCGATGAGCTGGCGTGTCGGTAGAGGTACTCTGTCGACGGACGACGTCAGCTGTGTACACACTGTCACGAGACATGGCTCACCCTTGGAGACGCCCGGCAGGCCGATGCGGTCGTCGTCGCACAGCAGACAAGCGCTGCCGGCATCGATACGCCGACCATTGAGAAGCGTACCATTGGTTGAGAGATCCTGGAAGAGCCATGAGCTATGAATCGATGCGCCATGGCTAGACGACGCACCACGAGCGACACGAAGGCGTCACCTGAGTCGGTGCTGCAGATCTATAGCTCAGTCATGCGGCACGAAGTGCGGATACAACAGGCTCACATGTGCGCGATCAACTTGAAATGCTGTGCAGTCAGATGCCTGAGTCAGTGAGCGCAGTGCAGAGCTAGAGATGGCGTACATACACGTGCGGAGGCGATTGGCGCGTCGAGCACGTAGTCGCTGATAGCGGCGACGTCAGCTTGGCCCAGTGCGCCTAGCTGAAAGCTGTGACTGACCAGCGCGGGTGCCGACCGACTACAAAGGGCACGTGTGGTTGAACAGCCAAGCCTGCCGGGTCCGCAGTCAGGCGAGGGAGCGCATACACGCGGACAGTGGACGTACGCTGCTGTCGCTTCCCACTAGACGTGTAGAGATGCGCCACAGGCTCTTCTCCGTCGTCAATCTGAGCATCTGGAAAGAGATCGGGGTCGAACAGATCGGCATCCAGAACGGGTGATGACTCGGGCGAAAGCGAGAGCTTGCGCTTGGCTCGCAGCGGCGCCACGCTGCTGCGCTCAGGCGGCGCAGGCGGGCCGAGGGGCGCCACCTTGCGCTGCGCTCGCGCGTCGGAGGGAGAGGAGAGGGGCGAGGTGGACATGACCACAGCGGTAGGGCATGTCTGGTGCAGAGAGGGGTCGTGGTGGGAGATCAAGGAGAGCGCCGGCATGGCGAGGCAGTTTCGGCGCACTGCGGGCTGGAGTGCGGCGCGACATGATGCCCTGGCGCGCCGCGTGGGGAGCGCGTAGAGTGGCACACGCGCCGCGACTGCCGACGACGACGGCGAGCAAGCTGAGCATTCAGGGTCACTTTGCCCCAGCCACAGCAGCATCACACAGCTCTTCAATCGCCCTTCAGAGTGCAGTGCAGCGCGTCTATTACAGCACACTGAGCATCCGGCAAATGCCCTCCCACGCCACGGCCTCCTTCTCCCCCGGCGCCCTCTCCTCTCCGCCCTCCTCACCCATCGCGCCCGGCCGCACCTCGCTCCAGGCGGCTAGTGATGGCGTAAAGGGCACCACACCGCCGGGCGTCAGATGTGCGGGGAACAGTTGCGCGAGCAACAGCGGCGCTGAGAGCGTCGCTGTTGGTGACGAGGGCGTCGAGACCTGCGCAAAGAGAGTCAGCCGAACATCTCATTGAGTAGGACTGACAGCGGAGGCGAGCTTGCAGGTAGAACCCAGCACCGTCGTTCAGGGCACCGACTCGCCGAGTCTTCCTTGGCTGCTCCACAGGCCCGCCGCGCTCATGTGCCTCGTCGCTGCCAGCACAAAGCAGACCACTTCACCTCGTCTCGCCGCTCGCACCACTCACTAGCAACAGCGCGCCCTTCTCCTCTCCCTTGCCCGCACCAAGTCGCATCATGGCCAGCACGACGCGTGCGTCTCCGACTTTGCACTCGAACCCTTCGCCAACGACGCGCGTCCTCTCCTCCCAGTTGCCCGGTCCTTTCCCTCGCAGCTCTCGTGCACCATCGCCTGAGCCTGGCGCGCCCAGAGGCGGCGGCAGCGAGAGTCGTTGAAGGAGCGTACTGGCCGGCCCAGCGAGCGTCAGGAGCGTGCTGCGCGTCGCACTACCGCTGGCGGTCGACGAAGAGGCGGCGGGCGTGTTGGGTGCCAAGCCAGCCAGTGCTAGCGCATCAGCGCCAAGTGATGCTGATGCTTCCTCAGCGCGCAGCTGTGCGCGTGTCGGGGCAGTGGGCGTGCTGATGAGCAAGAAGGAGCGCCCCGGGTATGAGTGCGGCAGGTGGATGTGCGAGGCTCGTCGCGGGGCCGTCGAAGCGGCTGAGAGCGATGAGGCGCGTAATGAGGAGATGAGCAGGGAGAAGGGCACAGGCGATGACGCGGAATGCGCTACGCTCAGGTGCGAGAGAAGCAGAGGCAGCGATTGCGGCGGCAGCGAAGGCAGATGCGCCAGCCTGAAGAGACACAGGGCTCAGTGGTGTGCACGGCCGCATGCGCAGCCATACTCACGCGAGCTCAGCCATGCCGTCGAAACGCCCGGTCCTGGCCAGTGAAGCAAGCGTGCAGGGCGAGGCTCGCGGATGAGATGGGTGTGGATGGAGATGTGAGAAGAAGCGGGCAGCGGCAGCACAGAGAGCGAGAGGTGCGCGCGCACGGACGCGGGCGCCCGGGACTCGGGAGTCTAGTTGCCTCCCAGCATCTCCTCCTCCGGCACCCGCCCCACCTTCTCACTCCCGCACGACACCCTCGCAGAGTCCAATCAGACGGCAGCAGAGTCATGAGAATCAGGAGCTATGAATAATGAGCCGACGTGTGATGGGAAGTAATGCTACAGATAAGATGTGCTGGTGACGATGACGACTGCTCCCTTCCCTTTCCTGCCCCTCCCACGATGCCAAGGCCAACTCTGCGTGGGTGAAGTCCCGACGGATGGCACCAGCTACCAGGCCTTCAGTCCAGCGTTCGAGCGTCTCGAAACGATCTCCCTGGCTGCGCCAGCCGTAGCAGGCGCCAGCGTGACGTGCGGCACGGGCAATGGCAGTGCGCTGCTTCTTGCGGACGCCGCGATGGAAGCGGAGGGCAGCGCCCGGCGCACGACGTAGGCGCGAGTGTGTGGCCGGATGGCGGCGACGCTCGAGCTGAGCAGCGAGAGGAGCACGAGGAGTACCAAGACGAAGGTCGGTGTGGGAGCCCGGCTGGGGCGGGCAGGGCGGCGAAGAGCGAGAGTGGGGCGCATGGCTGATGCGAGAGTGCGAAGCTTGTTGAGAAGAGGAGGAGTTGCGCGATACGACGAAGCCTGATGTGCGGTGTGACTGCTGCTGAGCGGTGCTTCGAGTGAGGCAGGTTGCGAGACGAAGAGAGCTTGAAGATACAGCGTCGGGCAACGAGAGAGTGTGCAAGATAAGAAGATAAAGGTAAGAGGATACGGCGAAGGCGAAGACGAGGCGAGAACGACTTGAGGAGCTGATGGTGGAGGAAAGAAGAGGAAGAGCGAGGCCAGACGAGGGCCTTTATAGGTCTTTCAGCCTCGCTCGCAGAGGAGGCGTGACGCATAAGCGCACAACAGCGCAGGATCTGTTTGTGTCCGACAGAGTCTTACCTAGTCTCGGATTCTGCCTGCTCCTCTCCTGCATCCACTGCTCGTCACTTCGGCTTGGCAGAGCATCATGCTGCGTTCGTGCGGCAGCAAGTGAGCAGCTTCGCAAGGCGGAGCGGAGGCATGAGGGGCAAGAGGGTGGAAGTTTGGCTGTCCGCGCGAGCCGCACGCGGCCTTTGCCTCCGAGCGCCGCGCGCGCGCCGGGCACGGGAGCAGTGTGCCGCGCGCCGAGCAAGCCTCCGCCACACGCGCGCACCCTCCCTCTCGCACCTGCCGCATCCGGCGCAGCACGCAGCAAGCCTCCGACGCAGCGTCTGCGTGCTGATGGTACCGCTCCCTCCTCGTGGCACCGCAACCAGCTCGCCTTCTCGGGTGCAGCTGCACTGCAGCAGATGCAGGCTAGCTAGGCTCCTGATGCGACCATGCAAAGCTTGCCCCGAGAGGCTGGGTCGTGAGAATCAGCAGCCGCACGCTCCCACGCTGTGCCTCCGGACCGGACGTTGTGTGCGTCTCGCATGGCCTCCGCGACGCATGAGCAATGCTCCCGTCCGAGCCTCCGCTGCGGACATCAACTTGACCCTTCACCCACACTCGACGTCACCGCAAAGTCGTTGCATAGATGCTGCATTCCTCCTGCTGTAACGCGCTACATGCGAGCGTCGGCGTTGCGAGTCCACTCGACGACTGCGCCGAGGTTCTTCTCGATGACGTTGAGGAGACGTGGCGGCACCACACCGCCCTCGTCTCTGCGGTCTTTGCCCTCGCGCCGGAAGGCCGAGAGATGCTCAATGAGCGCTGCCAGGGAGCCACTTGGGTCCAGTGCGCCGTCGCGCAGCAGCGTCGGAGCGACGCCGGGGCACAGCGCGATCAGAGGCTGCGGCTTGACGCCCTCCGACTTGCGCCGCTGCACGAAGCCGAGCTCGTCGTAGCGCTGGAAGGCGGCACTGAGCGTTGCAGCGTTGATGGCCTGGACAGCAAGCAACGTCAGCATCGATCAAGCGAAGCGGCCAGCAGTATGCTCACCTCGAGGTAGGAGAGCTCGCCGCTGGCGTAGAGCGTCTTGCCAAATAGCTGCGAGCGAGCGTTAGCTCCCATTTCCAGGCACGAGTGAGAGTCAGACGTACCTGAGCGCGCTTCTCAAAGTCCTTGGCGGCGAACCACGCCGTGCTGTCGCCGACCTTCTGCCCCGGCGGTGGCGGCGGGGCAAGCAGCAGGAGCGAGCAGGCGGCAAGCCAGTAGGCCTCCAGCAGCGGGAACACGAGGAAGACTGCGAGAGGCGCGGTAGGTCAGCAAGCTGCCACCTGCGTCAGCTTCAGAACACGCACGATAGCTGTCGAAATTGAAGCGTCCCGCCTTGCGCTCGGCGTCGCTGAGGCCGATGCGACCCTCGCCGTCCTGGCTCAGCACGTCGCCGGACACCAGCTGCTTCACAGTGGCGTGCACGTTGTTCTCCAGCTTGTCGGCGCTGTTGAAGACAAACTCGCCGCGCATGATGTGCGAGACGAAGCCCGCCTCGTGCACGAGCGACTCGAGCGGCATGGCCTGACTAGGTGTCGGACCGCCCTGCTTGATACGCGTGTAGAGCGCAAGACACAGCAGCGCCTCGGAGACGAAGACGTGGATGACCTGGTTGCGGAAGAAGGACAGCTCGAAGCGCTTGACAGGCACGTACGTCGGCTCCATGACGTCCGTCTCGACATCCACGAGGCCCTTCATGACACCGCCGATGGCGCGGTCGATCACCTCGCCAGTCGAGAGCTGCGCGAAGTCTGCGACCTACGTGTGGAGAGGTGAGCAGCCGCACACGCCCAACAGGCACAATCGGACTCACCTGGTAACCCTTCGTCCGGATGATCTCGGCCAGCCAGTCGACGCGCTTGACAAAGTCAGTCCGGCCAATGCCTCTGCCGCGCAGTGTGAGCAGCACAGTGCCGCAGAGCGCCGCCGGCATGACAACGCCTGCCTGATTAATGTCGGCAAGGATCTTGTAGCCGAGCGCCTTGAGCAGCAGCACCTTGTGCTCGGCGTTGCCGCGCGGCTCCAGCGCCACCTTCTCGCCGCCGGGTGCCGGCGCCTCGCGTCGCGCAATCTGCTCGTCGATGAACTCGCGCAGCGACCACGGCTTCTGGAAGCGAATGTCGATGCGCCCGAGCTTCAGCTGGAGCAGTGATGAGGAGGAGCCGAGCAGGCCAAAGAGCGACTCGGCCTCCTTTGGCTTGCCAAGCAGCTCGTCGGCGTATGTCGAGCTGCGCCAACAGCGTGAGCGCAGAACGCGGGCCGCAGGTAGGTAGGCTCACCTCTCAATCACACTGTCGTACTGTACCGAGACTGGTGCAACGTAGACGTCTTCTGTCCGCTCGTTCAGCAGCGCCTCGACGACGTACTTGAGGATGCCCAGCTTTGGCGGCAGCCGCTTGCCGGTCCTGCTACGCGTGCCCTCGATGAAGCACTCGAGGTTCTTGCCCGCGCCGAGTACCTGCTCGACGTACTCTTTGATCACCGCCGAGTACAGCTGGTCGCCTGCGAACGTGCGGCGGATGAAGAACCCGCCGCCTCCGCGCAGTGCACGGCCAACCACCGGAATGTCCAGGTTGTCGCCCGCGACGATGTGAGGCACCGCAATCCCGAGGCGGAACATCAGCCACGATAGCGTGAGGTAGTCTGGGGACGGAGTTGTCAGTCATAGAGGGCGCCTCCGGGTCACAGAACGGAAGAGCTCACCGATGTGCGAAGAGTGCGAGGGCGCAAAGAGCAGCGAGATCTTGCGCTCGGCACAGTGCGATGCGACGCGGCGTAGCTCGAGAACTTGCTCGACGGAGATGTGGATGCCTGGACATCTGTCAGTGCTACTGTCTCCACATCTGTAGCGCGCTGCACACTCACCTTGGTGGTACAAACGCGCCAGCACGTTCTCCACGCTCCACGCAAAGCCACGCAGGAAGCGCGGGCTGTCGAGCTGCGCGACCGACTTCTCCGCCAGGCCGCGAGCAACATCTGTGAGCGTGCGCTCCATCTCTCGTCGCTTGCGCGCCTTGAGCGCCTCAAGTTCCGCTCGCCCTTCAGCTGTAGGTGCTGGCGGGACTGTAGCGTAGAGAGCCTCGACGCGGTGCTTCGCAAGCGTGGAGATGCGCTCTTGCACTGCAAGAAGACGTGAGCAGAGTTCTGGAGACAAGAGCAGCGCACGCACCTTGTTGAGAAGTCACGACGGACTGGATCACATCGCGCGACTGCGTTGGGTATAAGATCGGCGCGCCAATGTAGTCCGTGTCTGCCCAGGTCGAGGTCAGCATATGCACACGGCCCGGGTCGTTCCTGCGCCAATGTGGAGGGTCGGAGACGCTCTCTCTCAATCCCTGGACTCGGCCCCACATGCACACAGGAGGTGCTCTGCAAGCGGCTCATCTGCTCCTTCTCCCGCCAGCGTCGACTCACAGCCGCGCCAGCCGTCGCCGCTGCCGTAGCGGTACACCTGGCGAATCCACATGAGTGGGTCTTCGCGGAAGTGCGCCTTGTACTGCTCGACGACGTTGAGGTCCTTGCTGTCGATGGGCGCGTCGCCGACGCCCGACGTCATGCCGTCGGGCGCGCCGGCGGCAGGGCCGAGCAGCGAGCGCGAGACGGCATCGCGCTGCGAGGTCGAGAGAGTGGAGGCGACGCCGCCGGGAGCCCGCGAGGAGGAGGCAGATGAGGAGGGTGCCATGCTGTGCGTGCACTTCCGCGGTGAGCGACGCGAGAGGCACAGACGAGATTGAGCAGGAGCAGGGAGAAGGAGCAGCGGCTAGCACGGGATGCGTGTGGAGCGGAGGATCGTCGCTTGCCTCGCTTGAGTGGCAGCCGTCCGGCTTCGCAGTGCGGGGAACCGGAGCCAGCGTGGGACGCAAAAGCGATTAGCCTGGCGGCATGGCTTTTGTATGTGCTGCTGTGGGAGAGCAATACAACTTGCTCGCCAGGCTGAAGGGCCGGCGCGGCCACGTGGCTCGCGGCGCCTCGGCGCGCTCCCTGGCTCTCCTCAGCACCCTGCCGCGCCCGTCTCGCGCCCCATTGGCCGCCGCATCACGGCTAGCGATGATGTCGTCGCAAGCATCTTGTGATGGCTTCGTGAGGCTGGTGAGTGCGGGCTCTGAGGGTCACAACGCTGACGTCTAGCTGCTTCGGCCGGCTGCGAGATGCGCGCGGCCTGCGCGCGGCTCTGCGCTGCAGCCGCCGTGCCGCGGCGCGCTGCCGTGTCGTCGCACCGCGCCGCGGCAGCGCAGGCAGACGCCGGCACGCGCGGCCTCTCGCTCGGCCTCCTTCGCACCACGGTCATACCTCGACAGCTCGCTGCGGGCATCCCTCACCCTCCGCCACTGTCTCCTCCGTCACCGCCGTCGCCCTCTCCCTCACGCTCTCACGTCGCTGCGCCCGCGCTCTTCGCTGCAGCGCTCGCGCTTCGTCTCGCCTGCGCCCGCTGCGCGTCCACAGCTGCGTCCGCCACCTCGCAGCTGCGTCCCGTCGCACACGACTGCGCATCGTCCACCGCACAGTCGCACGCAGCTCAGCGTTTCGCTCTCCGCATCGCTGCTCTCACCAGCCAGCACACGCGGTCTGTGCCGCCTCGCTGCACAGCTGGCGGATCGTGCGCCTTCAGGCACTCGTGTGCCCGCCGCGTCGAGGAGGGAGCACTAGAGTGGTGGTGCAGCCGCACAGCACACGCACGCACAGGTGCATTTGCTTGCCGTGCTGCATTTGCACAGAGGCGCTGTGCTCAACGCTCTCTCCTTCGGCAGCTCGATTCGCCGCATTGATCTAGTGCGGAGCTCCTCGCGGATTACTCTGTGCTGAGCGCTGCTCTCTGCGATAGTCTGCGCAACCTCTGCGCGCGCCATCAAGAGCACGCCGTGCTGCTGCCGCCTCAAGGCCTCCTTCCACCGCTCGTCATCTGCGTCTCGCTCCGGCGGACGCGCAGCGAGGCTCGATCATGACTGGTGCATATTGCGTGGCAGACTCGTTGCGGTGGGATGTGGGAAAAGGGTCGTGGGTGTCACTGCGCGTCTGTGGCGCTGAGCTGAGTACTAGGCGATGTATGGGCTGGTCTTTGTGAAGAAGCGGCAGTGCCTGCGAGAGGCGCAGGGCCAGCTGGAATTGGGCAGAAGCGGCGGGTCGGAGCAGGGTCCAGGCTCGTCTTGCGCCTTGCCTAGTTTGCACAGAGCATGATGACGAACGATCTCTCCCCTTCCCTCCTTCCCCTGTTGGCGGCGCCTTTCGCCTTTCGCAGTGACGGCCTATGACTCGTACATGAGTGCGCCGCTCAACGGCGCCGGCTCGAAGGATGCGTACGGCTACGGCGACGACGCCTACGGCTCGTACGCCGACGATGCTGCGCTGGGCGACGAGGAGGAGTTTGACTCGCCCGACGACGAGATCGGGCAGGAAGACCTCTGGGACGTGATCCGCGCCTTCTTCGACGAGAACGGCCTCGTGCAGCAGCAGTTGGCGAGCTTTAACGAGTTCGTCAACAACACGATGCAGGAGCTCGTTGAGGAGGTCAAGAGCATCACGCTCGAGCAGCTCGATCAGCACACCGGCTTCGCAGGCGACTGCACTGTGAGTAGGAGCAGCGTGTGCGCTGGCTCGGCGCTTGAGCCTGACTGTCTGCGCTCTGCCTTAGCGTCGCTACGAGATCGAGTTCGGGCAGATCTACCTCTCGCGTCCACAGATGACCGAGTCCGACGGCAGCTCGGCAGAAATGTGGCCGCAGGAGGCACGGCTACGTAACCTGACGTGAGCAGACGCTGGCCCCTGCGGAGTCTGCGCGGCGCTCACCAGACCACCCTGCACAGCTATGCTGCTCCGCTCTTCCTGGACATGAAGCAGCGGCGTCTCGTCCAGCACGAGGATCCCAACATGATCGATGATGCCACCGGCGACCGATTGTGGGTCGACGACGACAACTACACGCCGCCGTCGGACAAAGATGACCCGAAGATCTTCATCGGCAAGGTGAGGCCCTCGTGATGCGGAAAAGCACCGTGTTGCGCGGACGCTGACGCTGGCATGCCCCACAGGTGCCGATCATGCTGCAGTCCGAGTTCTGCTGGCTCAAGGGCCTCGAGGAGGAGCGCATGTACCAGCTCAAGGAGTGCCCGCTCGACTCGGGCGGCTACTTCGTCATCAACGGCTCGGAGAAGGTGCTGATCGCGCAGGAGCGCATGGCTGCGAACCACGTCTACGTCTTCACCAAGCCTGCGCCGTCGGCGTACACGCACCTGGCCGAGATCCGCAGTGCCGTCGAGAAGGGCGGCAAGACGATCAGCTCGATGCAGATCAAGCTCTTCGCGCGGCACAAGGAGAAGGCCACGCACAACGCCATGCGCGCCACGCTGCCCTACATCCGCGCCGACATTCCGATTGTCATCGTGTTCCGTGCGCTCGGCATCGTGCCAGACCGCGAGGTGCTGCAGCACATCTGCTACGACGACAACGACACGGCCATGCTCGAGCTGCTCAAGCCGTGCATTGAGGAGGCGTTCGTCGTGCAGGACCGCGAGTTTGCGCTCGACTTCATCGGGCGGCGAGGCGGCGGCACGGGCCTGAGCAAGAACAAGCGGCAGCAGTACGCGCAGGACATCCTGCAGAAGGAGGTGCTGCCGCACATCTCCATCTCCGAGGGCGCCAGCACGAAGAAGGCCTACTTCTTCGGCTACATGGTGCACCGCCTGCTGCTGGCCGCGCTCGAGCGGCGCGAGATCGACGATCGTGACCACTTCGGCAAGAAGCGTCTCGACCTTGCCGGTCCGCTGCTCTCGGGCCTGTTCCGCATGCTCTTCCGGAAGCTCACGCGCGACATCTACCGGCATCTGCAGAAGTGCGTCGAGGAGCAGAAGGAGTTCTTCCTCGAGGCCGCCGTCAAGTCGAGCACGATCACCAACGGCCTCAAGTACTCGCTCGCCACGGGCAACTGGGGCGACCAGAAGAAGTTCATGCAGGCCAAGGCCGGCGTGTCGCAGGTGCTGAACCGCTACACGTTCGCGTCGACGCTGTCGCACTTGCGGCGCTGCAACACGCCCATCGGGCGCGACGGCAAGATCGCCAAGCCGCGCCAGCTGCACAACACGCACTGGGGCATGGTGTGCCCGGCCGAGACGCCCGAAGGCCAGGCGTGCGGTCTCGTCAAGAACCTCAGTCTCATGTCGCTCATCTCCGTCGGCTCGCCGTCGGCGCCAATCATCGAGTTTCTCGAGGAGTTCGGCCTGGACAGCCTCGTGGACATGCGCCGCGAGGACGCGCGCGCAACGAAGATCTTCGTCAATGGTGTCTGGCAGGGCACGCACGGCGATCCGACGAGCCTCGTCGAGACGCTGCGCGACCTGCGCCGCAAGGACGACATCACCATGGAGGTCAGCGTCGTGCACGACATTCGCGAGAAGGAGCTGCGTCTCTACACCGACGCCGGCCGCGTGCTGCGGCCGCTCTTCATCGTCAACCCGCACGACAAGACGCTGTGCATCAAGAAGCAGCACATGCAGTGGCTCTCCGACGGGTACAAGCCCGACGGCACGCCGTTCGCATGGACGCAGCTGCTGCAGGAGGGCGTGATCGAGTACCTCGACGCCGAGGAGGAGGAGATCGTCATGATCGCCATGAGCTGCTCCGACCTCGAGTACTCGCGCGCCCACAACGCCAACCCGGCGTGGGAGCGCGACAGCGGCGGCGACCCGTCGGCGCGTCTCGTCTCGCTGCACACCTATGCGCCCGACACCTGGACGCACTGCGAGATTCACCCGGCCATGATCCTGGGCATTTGCGCCAGCATCATTCCGTTCCCGGACCACAACCAGAGTCCGCGCAACGTGTACCAGTCGGCGATGGGCAAGCAGGCGATGGGCGTGTACCTGACCAACTACCAGATGCGCATGGACACGATGGCCAACATCCTCTACTACCCGCAGCGGCCGCTGGCGACGACGCGCTCGATGGAGCACCTCAAGTTCCGCGAGCTGCCGGCCGGCCAGAACGCCATCGTGGCAATTCTCTGCTACTCGGGCTACAACCAGGAAGACTCGGTCATCATGAACCAGTCGTCGATCGACCGCGGCCTCTTCCGCTCGCTCTACTACCGCTGCTACACGGACATGGAGAAGAAGGCGGGCATGGTCGAGATGGAGGTCTTTGAGAAGCCGATGCGCGAGACGACGATCCGGCTCAAGCACGGCACGTACGACAAGATCGACCTCGACGGCCTGTGTGCGCCCGGCACGCGCGTCTCGGGCGAGGACATCATCATCGGCAAGACGACGCCGCTGCCCGGCGACTCGGAGGAGCTGGGCCTGCGCAGCAAGCTGCACACGAAGCGCGACGTCAGTGTGCCGCTGAAGAGCACCGAGTCGGGCATCGTCGACCAGGTGCTCGTCACGACGAACGGCGAGGGCGTCAAGTTCGTCAAGGTGCGCGTGCGCTCGACGAGGATACCGCAGACGGGCGACAAGTTTGCCTCGCGCCACGGCCAGAAGGGCACCGTCGGCATCTGCTACCGGCAGGAGGACATGCCGTTCACCGTCGAGGGCGTGACGCCCGACATCATCATCAACCCGCACGCCATTCCGTCGCGCATGACGATCGGCCACTTGGTCGAGTGTCTGCTGTCGAAGGTTGCCACGCTGTCCGGCCAGGAGGGCGACGCCACGCCCTTCACCGACCTCACCGTCGACGCGGTCAGCACGATTCTGCGGCAGCTCGGCTACCAGTCGCGCGGCCTCGAGGTCATGTACAACGGCCACACGGGGCGCAAGCTGCAGGCGCAGGTCTACCTCGGCCCGACGTACTACCAGCGCCTCAAGCACATGGTCGACGACAAGATCCACTCGCGCGCCCGCGGCCCCGTGCAGATCCTCACGCGCCAGCCCGTCGAGGGCCGCAGTCGCGACGGCGGCCTGCGCTTCGGCGAGATGGAGCGCGACTGCATGATTGCGCACGGCATGAGCGCCTTCCTCAAGGAGCGCATGTACACGGCGTCCGACGCGTACCAGATCCACGTCTGCGACACGTGCGGCCTCATTGCCGTCGCCAACCTCAAGAAGAACACGTACGACTGCCGCTCGTGCAAGAACCGCACGGCCATCTCGAAGATCTTCATCCCATACGCGGCCAAGCTCCTCTTCCAGGAGCTCATGGCGATGGGCGTCGCCTCGAGACTCTATTAATGCCCGGCCGCCGGCACACGGCCACCTGTTCGACACCCCTCCTCATCATCGCAGCCCACTCTCTTCTCTCCATGCAAGTTCTCATGCCCCCCCACCCCACGTCCACCTCGTGTCTCGCATCTCGAAAAGAGCTAGCTAGAGCTTAGCCGTCGCGCAATCCCTCCCCCACCCCACGAGTCTCCCCCTCCAGCCCTCCCTTCCATTGTACTCTAACAAAGGCACATCTGCCACCCCGGTTCTCGGCCTGCCTCGACGCCGTTGCAAACTACAAGTCGATCCAAAAGCCCCCGTCTGCTGCCGCCCCTCGCTGCTGCCACCTGTACTGCTGCTGCTGCTGCTGCTCATGCTCCTGCTGCGGCCCGTGGCGCACACGTCTCTCGAGCGTTGGTCATGGTGATGTGTTGAGTGTGTGTGCGGCGACGCGCGAACACGCTTTTCGAGGGGGCCTGACCCCGCGAAGAGGGCAGAGATGCTAGTATGTCATGTAGAGACCCGGGAGTGTGGCAGAAAGGCGAAACGGCGGAACGAGAGAACGCGAGCAACGAGCACAGCGCCTTAGCGCAGGCGGCTTGAGGCGGGCAAGGATATGAGCATGCCGTCGCGCGGCTAGACAACCACCCGGCGCGCTACTCACCGTGCCTCACGCTCGGACTCGAGCAGTGCCAGGATGTCGTCCTCCTTGACCGGGCCCTTCACGTTGCGGATGATGCTCCGGCTCTGGTCGTCCATCATCTCGACGCGCACCTGGATCACACCGCCGCGCGAGCCGGTGCGGCCAAGAACCTTGATAACCTGAGAGCAAGGCGCCAGGCGTCAGCACGCCGTACTTGGTCAAGCGTGATGGACTGGCACATCCCCTCGAACGCAGCTGCGCCCCTGCCAGCCAGGCAGCGGCGAGTCGGGCGACGGCGACGGGCCGCAAGGCGGCATCCGGACCGCTCGCGCCTATGACCACCAGCATGCCGGCCCGACCGAAACGCCTTTCCCTCCTGCGTCGGCAGCTCCGGACGCCTGCCGCCAACCTGCCAGCGCTGACCAGCGAGGGACGACGAGATCGTACCGCGATAACGCCCTCTCTCCCTCCAGATCCTTCTGCGTCTTCTGTCCTCCTCTCCCGTGCGTGACCCCTCCTGCCAGCATGCCTCTTCGCCCTGCACCTCCAGCCCAGCATGTGCAACCCGCTCTGCTGCTCTGCTGCGGCAAGCGCATAGCGGCGCTCGTGCGGCATTTGAAGGCGCATGCAGAGAGACGCCGACCGCTCCGCCAGCTCTGAGCTCTGCTGCGGCTCATCGACTCACGCGGGCGAGCTTGACTGCAGGCGAGAAGAAGCGTCAGTCTGACGTTCGGCAGAGCGAAAGGGCCACACATGCATGATGCCAGCGGCACCACGGAGCGGCAGGGACACGCACCGGGGGTCTTGGAGGCATCCATGCTGGGCGAAGATTCGGAGAGGGAATGGGTGAGGGTGAGAAGGCGTCGAGGCTGGCCGTTCTCGACACGGGCAGCAGCGCAGCAGCTGCCGCGCCGCGCCTGGCAGGGCGGCCGTGAGGCAGGGCGGCAGGCTCAAGCGTGCGACTGCGACAAAAGCTCCCTCTCCGCCCCTTAGCACGCGTCGAGCCGCGGCACAGCGCCGCAGCTGCGGCACCGCGCCCCTCTGCGTCGTCTTCACGCGCGCGGCGGCGCCACAGACGGCCCGCCCCCACGGACGGCGCGCGGGAGGCGCTCACGCGAGCGGCCGCACCTCGGCTAGCAAGACTGCTCTGCTGCCGCCAGCCCCACTCGCCCGCCGCCGCCGCGCACGGTGGAGGCGCTCAAAACGTATGGCGCCGCCTCGCTGCGGGCTGCCTCTCCACCACCACCCACCCATCGCTCATTCTTCGTGAGCACCGCCGCCGATGCTGTCTGCCAGTGACCTGCCTTACTGACGCTTTCCTTGTCCTGCCTCCCTCTCCTTGCTCCGCCTGCTCCACCCGCTCCTCGCCGCCTGCCCCGTGCCCTGCCCGCCCGCGCCCGTCACTCCGCCTCGCTCGCTCCCCGCCCTCTCATTGCTGTGTGCAGAAAATGCGCGCTAAGTGGAGGAAGAAGCGTATGCGCAGACTTCGTCGTAAGCGCAGGAAGATGAGGGCGCGTTCCAAGTGATCTACTCGCTAGGTGAGTTGTCGCGCAGATGAAGAGAGCGAGGAGGTGAGGTGGCTTCCTCGAAGCGAAGAGAAGGACAGGCGCAAAGGAGGGACGAGACAGGGCCGGGCGGGTCAGATGTGTAACCGTGCAGACGCCGGCAGCCTAGTCTGCTCGTCTTGCTCCTCGATGCAGACCGCGCCTATCATCATCATGCTCACCACTCTTCCCTCAGATCGCTTCAACGCCGTCTCATTTCCCTATCCGCCCATCAAAAGTCAACACCACCTCAATCTGTCCACACGCTCGCTGCCGGCGTGCAGCTTCGACGAGCAGCTCACTCTCATTGCACTTCGCGCTCGGTGCATGTCGTCTCTGCCCGTCGCTCGCGCTGGCCTCGCGGTCGCCGTTTGCGCCTCGTGGAAATTACATGACTGCGACGTACTCTGCCCGTGATGTGTGCGCTGGTTCTCCGTCAGAAGTGCTCCTTGGCTGGGCGCAGGTCCATCTCGAACGTCCACGCGCTGGTGGGAGTGGGCAGAATGAGCAACAGCCCTCTCGCCGCCCCTCGCTTCACTCACTTCGGCCGCTGCTGAGCGAGGAAGAGCCACGTCTTCGCCATCTCGGGCGAGAGCAGAGCCTGCGTGAAGAGGCCGTCGTGAGCAACTGGCCTGGGGCGGGCCCCCTGACGCCACGCTCACCGCGCCGTCCGGGAAGCGGGAGCCCTTGGGGAAGTCGAAGCGGTCGAGCATCGTCTGGCTCTCGATGACGCCGTCGACGATGATATGTGCGACGTGGATGTTCTGCAAAGATGAAGAGGTCAGCAATGCAACATTCAGGCAGTACTCCGGCAGCTCACCTGGGGACCGAATTCGCGAGCGACGGACTGCAGGGGGCGGCGTGATGCACAGCAGGTGAGCGATGGGCTACCGCGACGCTCGTGCCTGCCCACGACTCACCTGGCAGATGGCACGCAGGCCTGACTTGCTCGCGGCGAAGCTGTCATCAAGCACATTAGCCTCTAGTGCTATCGCTTTCCTGCTTTCAGCTTGCCTTACCCAGCGAAGCCCTCGCGGCCGCGCGTCGACGACGTCGCACCCGTCACGAGCACCGAGCCGCCGGCGCCGTTGTTGTGCTGCACCATGGCGCCAATGACGCTCTGCAGGAAGGCGAAGCCGGCAAAGCTACGAGAGCGTGCAGGGTCAGAGCTGTACCACTCGCGCTGGACAACGTAACGGCGACGCACATGCTTCCCTGCACGCCATCACGCACTTGCTCTGGTCTCTGCTCTCTGTTGCGTGCAAGCTATGTGAGCCCCAGCCGGATGACGGTGCAACAAGGCTTACAGGAAGGGACCACGCTTGCGTACGCTGGCGTTGTAGACACAAGTTCCAATCTTTCGCTCAGGCCACGCTGCTTGGATGTCCTTGACCGCCTGAATGATGGCGGCCGAGTCGAGCACGTCACAGCCAAACGCCAGCGAGAGCGGACGAGCGGGCGCCACTTCGCCGCACGCCGACAGTGCCCTGCGTGCGCTTGCATCCAGCTGAACGACGCTCGTTTAGCTGGTTACCTCTGAGCACACGCGAAGCGAGGCTCACCTCGACTGCCCAGGCATCGAGCCGCGCCTTGGTCCTGGACAGGATCGCCACGGCGTATCCCTGTGCCGCAAAGACTGCAAGATTCGAGCGTCAGCACAGAGTCTCTTATCTATTGGGCATAGCATGGACTGACTGCGAGCAACATCGAGGCCCAGGCCAGGCCCCACGCCGAGCACGACGACGATGTGCTGCGCGCGCGGCGGCCCGTGAAGCAGCGAGTGTCCCAGCGGCTGCGCCGGCGCGTGCGGCTCGAAGCTGGGCTTGAGCAGATCGGTGCGGCCGCGTGGCTCTGACATGGCTTGTGTGACTTGCTGAGAACGACTGATGTCGAGGAGACAAGCGATGATGAGCTCGGGCGCCGCGCTCCCCCATCCGCATCGGCACGCCATCGGGAGGCCATCAGCGCGCACGGGGCACCGGCGCGCTGCCTCCGGCTCGCGGCGCGCGCTTGGCGCCGAGGCCGAGGCGAGGGCTGTCCTGCCCATCTCTCAGCGCTCGCTCCCTCGTCGCGAGCTCCTACGGCCTTGAGAGCGATGCTGCTCTCCTCCGAGCCCGTCAATGTCAGCACGTGAGCTGCGGCTCGCATTGCTCACGTGCTCGTCGTCCCATGGCGCCATGACCTCGCACTCGGCGCTTCGCTTTATCCGCCCGCGTTGGCGCTGGCGTGCGCCCAGATCTCATCTGTACGGCTAGCGTGCGGCCTGCGACGCCTCCTCGGCCTCTGTGCCGGCCTAGCAGGTCAATATACGCAAGGCGGTGCGTGCAAGGGCCGCAGAGCCCCTGCGCTTGACGTTGCGTCTCGGGCCTCGAGAGGCGGCGATCTGCTGACTTCCGCGGCTTCACGCTTGTCAGCCCACACATCACACCTCACGCTCGGCTCGACGCTCGCAACCGGATGTCTCGAGCCGTGCGCCTCTTCGCTTCCTCGACAGCGCTCGGAAGTCCCGGCTGTGGGCGGGCAGCGGTTGCTAGCTCAACAGCTGTCCTCTGAGGGCTGGAAGCAAGAAAATGGCGCGTCCACACGCCGACGCGTCCCCTGCCAGCCTCGACCTTCGCCGCCACAACCTCGAGCTCTGCCCCTACCACCTCGAAGCCGCGCGCTGTCGTCTGTCTCACCCAGCCGCTGCAGCGTGGATGTCGCTCACGCACCACCGGCTCTCTGCGTGACAGTCGGGGGCTGCTGCTGCTGCCGTACACCGAGCGTTGCGGCTGAGCCCGACGCTGGCTAGCGCCGAGGGCTGCGCTAAGGGCGCGGACAAGCTGCAGCGGCTGGCTGGCGTCTGTTCCTTGCGGGCCCTCACAGCTTGCCCGAGGCTGCATGCCCATGGCCGAGCGCGGCTCCCCAGCACCAGCCGCCGCACCCGACCCCGCAGCGCAGCGCAACGGCGAGGCGAGCACGAGCACGAGAGGTTTGTCCTCGCAAGCTTGGCTCTGCCCTTACTCCGCCTGAGGGCGCATGATGGCCGCAGCATGACGACCGCAGCAGGCACCTCGCTGCTCTCAGGCGAGCCGCCGGCGACCCAGCCGGCAGCAGGCAGTATGCGCCGCTAAACCGGAGTGCGGAGCCATGCGCGATGCGACAGCAGCGCTGCAAAGCGCACGCGAGGCACCACGAGACGGCGCCTCCTTCGCACTCCCCACGGGCCATGCTCGGCAGCTCGGCTCCGCGGTAGCCGACATCGCTCGAGAGGTGCGCCGACTCTTGCTGGGCCAGCCATCCAGTCCCTGGTGCGCTGCAGCAGCAGGTAGGACAGGGCCTGGCGCCGAGGACAGAGCCAGGGTTGACAGCACTCGGGCTCGCAAGCTCGCTTTGCCCGCGCCCGGGCCCTCGCCAGCGCCAGCCGGCGGGAGCCATCCTGCGCTTCTCCGCACCGCACGAGAGCAAAGCTTTCGCCTGAGCGGCTGAGGTGGTGTCACTCCGCCGCTGCCAGCCGCTGGGCTAGCGATGCGGCATCGGCGCCTCGTCCCGGACTGCAGCTTGCAACGGTCGTCCGCGGTCTAGGTCTGCCAGTTGCCCCATAAGAAGACGGCTGCTCATGCTCGCAGCTGCTCTCCCCAACCCGGACTTGCTCGCTGCTCAAGCTGCTCACCTTTGCTGGACCTGTGGACCCCTGATAGACGGACACGATGCGTTTCTCCTCCCTTCCTCCCTCCTCGCTGCTGGCTGTGAGTGGCACGTCACTGTGCGTATTGCATGCAGATCCGAGCTCAGGCTCGACTCCAGGCACTGTTCCTTGCAAGCTCGGCTATCGCTACGCCGCTGCCCGAGGTGCCCGAGCGCTTCCCGCATGCCATTCTCGCTCGCGCACCCGTACCGCCACAGGAGGACCCCTTCTACGCCAAGCCGAGCGACGACCAATTTGCACGGCGGCCTGCAGGCGCCATCATCCGGCAGCGCAGCGCCACGCCGGGCCAGTTCACGATCCTGCCCCAGAACCTCGCAAGCGCCGAGCAGGTGATCTACAAGACCATTGACCTGCAGGGCAACCCCGAGGTCAACGCCCTCACGGTGTTCATGCCAAAGAAGACGGACCTGAACGCCGACGGCCTGCCAAAGACGCTGGTCTACCAGGTGGCGGAGGACTCGTGCGTGTCTGGAGGCCCCGGCTCGCACAGCATTCTGCCTGACTCAAGCTCTGCCCTTTCACAGACCAAACTCCAACTGCGCTCCGAGCATTCAGCTGCAGAAGGGCGGCAGCGGCAATCTGGTCATTCAGCTCGAGTCGATCTTTATCAATGCTGCGTTGGCAAAGAGTGAGTTGTCGTCTGCTGCTCCTCTCGATTGCCTTGCTGACGCGACCTCGCACTCACAGACTGGATCGGTGCGCCCAGATCTTGAGGGCGGCTCCTTGTCACAGCACTCACCCTTTCCCGTGCAGTCGTTGTTCCGGACTACCAGGGCCCACGCTCAGGCTTCACAGCGGGCAAGCTCGCAGGCACAGGCGTGCTCGACGCTGCTCGCGCCACTCTGCGCGTCAGCAGTATCGTTGAGCCCTCGCGTGCTGGACGTCTGCCGCTGGCCCTCATGGGCTACTCGGGTGGCGCACTGGCCTCCGGCTGGGCGCTGCAGCAGCAGAAGGAGTACGCGCCCGAGCTTTCCTCTAACCTCGTCGCGGCGGCGCTCGGAGGCCTGCCTGTCAATGTCGAGGACATCCTGCTCAAGCTCAATGGCGGACCCATGGCTGGGCGTGAGTCAAGATCTCTCGTCGAAGAGCGGCCACCTTTCACTGACAACCCACTGTCGCAGTCGTCGTGTCCGGCCTCGCAGGACGTGAGTGAAGTGCACACGTGCGTGGCGGAACGATGCTGATGCTTCGCTCTCGTAGAGTACAATGTGCGCCCCGAGCTGCAGGAGTTCTTCACGGACCACCTCAACGCCGACGGCTTCTCGCGACTGCGCGAGGTACGTGATGCGAGACAGTGCTGCTCGTCCGCTGCTCACGCCGCCGCTCGCAGGCCAACGGCACCTGCCTGCCGCAGATCATCCTCGCCAACGGCGGCGTCGACTTTGTCTCCAAGTTAGACATGACGCAGGAGGAGCTGCTGCGCGAGCCCGTCGTGCGCAAGACGCTGGACGAGTCCTTCCTCGGCGTCGGCGCCGGCGTGCTTCCCATTCCCGTATACGCCTATCACGCGACCAACGGTGAGCAAGGGAGATGTCTGCCGCTGCCCATGATTGGTCCTCACCCCGGCGACAGACGACGTGGTTGGCACGGAGTTCGCGGACAAGTACTACGCCGACCAGATCAGCCGCGGCGCCACGATTACCTACGACCGCGAAATCGTCTCGGAGCACCTGCTTGCCTTCGTCACAGGCTTCGGCAGCGCGATCCAGTACCTCGAGGCACGCTTCGCCGGCGTTGCGGCGCCGCCGAGCTCGACGCAGACGCGCCTGCTCAATCTGCTCCAACCCACGGCGATCGCACAGCTCGGCCCCACTGTGCTGGCCCAGATCCAGGTGCGTCTGGCGCTGCTGGCTGCACGCCGGCAACGTGCTGACACCTCCGCTCACAGGCCCTGCTCGGCATTCCGAGCGGCTCGCTCTTCTCGTCCAACGCATGAGCCTGACGACCCTCGACGACACGACTCCGGCCCACCGGACGCTGCGCGTAGAAATGCATCTGCACATCTTCCACGCGTCTGAGCGAACCGCAGGTCTCACGATGGTGATACATTGATGTGGCCAGAAGGTGACGCAGGAAGAGGACGGGTATTGATGGGCGTGCTACACGCGGCGCTGCTTGCCGGCGCCTGCGGCGGCCGAAGCTCCGGCCTTGCGCTTGACGGGCCGCGCGGGCGTGGACGCGGCAGTGCTTGCCGACGTCTCGCCGACGCTCGAGTCCATGCTCGAGTCGGCGTCGCGCGAGGCGGCCGCAAGCTTGCGCGCGCCGCCCTTGCCCTTGGCGGAGCCGCCGAGTGCGAGCGAGGGCGTGATGAGGTCGCTGAGCTCCTTTGGCAGGAGGCGGCGAGCGAGCGAAGATACTGACGAGCGCGCGGTGACGTGTCCTTGTCTGAGCAGGAGGTCAGCGAGCGGATTTTCGGGAAGCAGCAGCAGACACGACTCACGCCTTGAGCACGGCCACCACGTCGCCCTCGTTGATGGACGAGTTGCGGCCAGAGCGCACGGCCTGCGCCTGCAGCTCTTGAGCAAAGGAGGCAAAGAAATCGTGCGAGCTGCGGCAGGACGGGTTCAGCACAGGGCAAGCGCAGAAGTGCGGCGCCACTCACGCATCGTCGACCGCATCGAGTGCCGCCTTCTCCACCTTGATCTTCTTGCTACCGCCAGCGAGGCCGCTTGACGCGCCAGCGCCAGCGGCAGGCGAAGCGAAAGAGCCGAATAGATTGCTGATCAAGCTGACCGGCAACGGCGGAACCTGCTCGCCGGTGAAGGCAGACACACTGGAGATGGAGTCAGCACCGTGCGGGATCTCGACGTGGCGCTCCGACGCACCGGCTCTTGCGTCGCTTGGCAACGCGACGCTTCAGCAGCGCCATCTGCGCCGCTTCACGCTCCGCTGGCCCAAGCGTAGCGTCCGGATCGACTTCCTCGTCAGACTCCCCCTCCTCCTCCTCGTCGTCCTCAGCCGCGACGTCCGGCTCTGGCTGATCGACGGATCTATCCGCAGAGCGCATGCTGGCGCTAGCCTCGCCGAAGCTCGGTTGCTCGCCGGCACCCAGGCTCCCGCCGCCCATACTCAAGTCGCGCGAGTCGGGCTGGACCTCGCTGAGGTCGATGCGCTCGTCTTCCGACGGACTCGCCGCTTCCAGGCCCTCCTCGACGGCAGCCTCGTCTGCCTCGCTGTCACCCACAGAGGAGAGGCGCCGGGAGCTCTCGTCGCCGCGCGTCGACACGATGCGGCCCGTCATGTCGCGCGTGGCGTCGAGCTCCATGTCATCCTGCGACGACGACGAGAGGCTGTCCAGATCGTGTCCAGGCCCGCTGCCGACGATCTCCATGAAGCTCGGGATCGAGTCGCCGAAGGGATCGATGGACATGTCTGACGTCGCGCCGAACGGCTCTGATGCCGCACGCCTGCAGAGGGGAGACTCAGTCGGGTCGGCCACGCGGCTGATGCAGGCCGCTCGACTCACCCTCTGCGCCCCAGACTCTCGTCATCGATGTCATCATCCTCGTCTGCTGACGTGTCAAGCGCTCCGCTGGCGCTGCTGACGCGGCCGCTCGAGCCGAAGAGGTTGCGGCGCGCCATCTCGTCGAGCTCCTCGAGCACGCTCTCAGGGCCGAGATCGAGCGTGCGCTCCAGCTCGGCTTCGCGGGCACTCTTCTCCCATCGACCGCCCAGGCCGCTGACGTCGCCCATCGAGAAGTCGCCGCGCAGCGAGGAGCGGCCAGACTGCGCGCCGACGCTGTGACGCGTGCTACCTCGCTGCGCAATGATGTTGGCAAAGAGGCCTCCAGGCATCGGCGCATCACGTCCGATGCCCAGTGCAGAGCTGGAGAGCGCAACGCTGCTGGTCGAGGCATCTCCCACGTCGGCGCTGCCGAAGGCTCCGCCGTCGCGCGTGATGTCTCCCGGCACGCTCTCGCCGGGACGCAGCATGCTACCGTTGGACCGACGTCCGCTGAGGAGTGAAGAGCGGCCAGGCCCACTGGCAGGTCCAGCGCTGGAGAAGCGCGCAGACGTGTTGGCATCTGAAGTGCTGGCGAACGAGCTGCGCAGCGAGTCCTGGCCACGGCTGCTGCCTTGCCCCGCGGGCACATCCGGCGTGTCCGGCTGGCGGAAGCCGGGAGCTGAGGGAAGGCGGTGGTTAGCCTCCTGCCGGCGAGCGGGCGTGTGCCAGGCTGCCGTCCCGTGTGCCGCTGCCTGCGATGCCCAGATCAACACACTCACCACGAGCGAGCCGCCGTAGCAGTTCCATCGGGCTCTCCTCGCGTCCACCGCCCCATCCGCCCGCCGTCCAGACCCTGCTCTTCCTGCGCTGTGCCGTCCTGCGCGCGCTGGCCATGATGCTCATGTCGCCGAATGCGCTGCCAGGAGTGGCTGCGCCCATGCGCGCGTGGTGAGCCGGCGTTGCTGGTGCCTCTGTGCCGTGCAGCGAGCGGCGCAGTACGCTTGTCGTCGGCGGCTGGGACAGCGAGCGGCCGCCCCGAGGGGCGCCGCGTGCAGCCGGGGTGTTGGGCGAGCCGGGCGTGGCGGCCGTGTCATCGGCGGCCGCACGCGCGCTCGGCGTAGTACCGCGCGACGAGCCGCGCGGCCGACTGGAGGAGGGAGGGCCGGACATGAGGTGTCGCCGCAGGTGGCAGGTGGAGAAGAGCGAAGCGCTGCAGGTGCGGTGACGCGCCAGGCAGCTGTTGGACGAGCGGCGCGCGCCGCGCCGCGCCCGGTGTTGTTCTCGCGCGGCGCGTCTCGTCTCCCGCCGGCAGCGCATGCGCGAGGCCAGCTGTCTCGCCTCCTCACAAGTCACTCGCACGCATGGGGTAGGAGTGCAATTGACAGCGCAGGGGACAGCAAGCAAGCAGCCAGCCTGCCGCGGCCAGCGCCAGCATCGGCGTGCGCCGGGCTGCGCTTTCGAGATGGGAAAATGGGACCGTGCAGCGGCGTTGCCGGCGGCGCGGGCCCGCACAGCACACGGCACGCTGCTCAGTACTCCTCCTCCGGCTCCTCGGCCGGGAGCTCGCCCTCCTCGGCGTACTCGCCCAGCTCCTCGTCGTCGGCACTCGCCGCCTCGTATTGCTGCAGCACAGTGCGAGATCAGCACGAGCCCGCTCGCGCCGAAGGTCTGCTGGGCGACGCACCTGGTACTCGCTGATGAGGTCCATGAGGTTGGACTCCGCCTCCGTGAACTCCATCTCGTCCATACCCTCGCCTGTGACACAGGCCAGATGAGCATGCGGCAACTCGGACGCAGGTCAGTTGGCAAACGTACCCGTGTACCAGTGCAAGAAGGCCTTGCGGCGGAACATGAGCGCGAAGGCATCGTGTGTGCGCTTGAAGAGCTGCAGGCGGGAAGGGTGGTGAGCGTGCTGAGCCGAGTGCGATGTACCGCGAGCAGACTCACCTCCTGGATCGACCTATGCAGAGAGCAGACATCGCATCAGCAGCGGACACGGGGCGGGCAAGACGGCCGCACTCACGTCGTGTTGCCGATGAAGGTGGCCGACATGCGCAGGCCCGGCGGCGCCACGTCGCAGAGGGACGTAGACACACACTGAGCGAGAAGGCACGTCAGCAGAGGTAGCGGGCTCGCACGAGCGCGCACACGCACTTGCGGGATCCACTCGACGAACTGCGACGCGTTCTTCGTCTGCACAGCCTGCAGCTCCCGCTCGGCGTCCCGGCTCGAGACCTGGAGAGGGCGCGGGTCAGCACGCTGCGCTAGAGGCTGCTGTCGCCGCCAAGTCTCACCTTGCCGCGGAAGATGGCGGAGACCGTGAGGTACTTGCCGACTGATGCACGCTCGTTCAGCACGAGCCAGCGCAGACCTCCGCCGCGAGCACTCACGACGCGGGTCGATGGCAGCCATGATGTTCTTGGGGTCGAACATCTGCTGCACGAGCTCCGGCACGCTGACCTGCTGGTAGGCACGGCCGCCCGGCGCGACCAGCGGTGCGAAACCGCAGCTGAAGAAGTGCAGGCGCGGGAACGGGACCATGTTCACGCCGAGCTTCCGCAGGTCCGAGTTCTGGCGCAGGCAAGGCGGATCAGCCTCTGGGCAGAGCTTGTGCACCGCGGCTCCGCCGACGCACCAGCTGGCCCGGGAAGCGCAGCGTCGTGGAGCAGCCGCTCATGGCGTACGAGATGATCTGGTTCAGGTCGCTGTAGTTCGGGTCCTTGGTCTTCAGCGTCCGCTGGCAGATGTCGTCTGTGGGCCGCAGCTGTCAGCGCGCGAGCAGCAGCAGAACACACCACTGCAAACGCACACAGCGCCTCGTTGTCCAGGCAGAACGACAGGTCGGCGTTCTCGACCAGCTGGTGCATGGCAAGCGTGCTGTGGCTCGTGCGTCAGCGGGATAGTCGCCAGACTCGCGCAAGCGGGCGTGCGCACGTGTTGTACGGCTCGACGACAGTGTCGGACACCTGTGAGGAGCGTGTGAGCGCTGTAGGGCAGTGCAGCTCGCGACGGACGCACCTTCGGTGATGGCAGGATCGACCAGGTGGCCAGCATGCCTGTGCTAGAACGTCAGCACGGACGCAAGGGCCAGGGCTTTGTGTCGGCAGCGAGAAGCCTTCCGGCCAAACGCAGCGCCCCTTGACGATGCGCCATGGGGCAGGCAGTCTCCTCCGCGCTCGTGCAATTGGCTCCACGCGCTCGGGTCCTCGGAACCTCGCAGTCCGAGTGCAGACGGGCCATCTTCTGCGATCCTGCTCTGCACAGCTTCGCCTCCCGCTACGGCCCACAGCCTGTCTGTGCCCTACGACGGCCAGCACTACTCCCATTCTCTCCTTTCGCCGCTTACGCGCGCCTAGTCTCCCGCACTGCGTCTACTCACGGTCAGGGAACTCCTCTGGCGGAGCGCAAGAAGCCGTCAGCGTCACTAGGCTTGCACAGCGCACCGCAATGCGCTCTCACCTCTCAGCTTCGTCAGCAGATTTGTGCCGAGGCCCGAGCCAGTGCCTCCACCGAGCGAGTGGATGAGCTGGAAGCCCTGCAGCCCGTCGGCGCGCTCGGCCTCCTTGCGCACCACGTCCATCACGTTCTCCACCAGCTCGGCGCCCTCGGTGTAGAAACCCTTGGCAAAGTTGTTGCCGGCGCCCGACTGGCCGCCGACGAACGTGTCGGGCCGGAAGAGCTTGCCCATCGGGCCGGACCGCACATGGTCGAGCGTTCCGGGCTCGAGGTCGACCTGGATCGAGCTGCGCGCACGCGTCAGAGGCCCAGCTCTGCGTCTGCTCCTTGCGCGCAGCAACTCACCGAGGGACGTACTTGCCCTCCTGGCCAGAGGGCTGGAAGAATACGCCGATCTTCTCGAGCCTGCGCCGAGTGTCAGCTAGAGCCATACGGCAGCGAGGCGCAAGGTGCAGCCGGCAGACTCACTGGTTCGAGTTGTCGCCAACGTAGGTCTGCGCCGCGAGAGACAGTGTGAGACTCAAGTCGGACGTCCGCCCGCAGACGACTGGTCTATTGAGGGGCCGCAGACAATCGCGCCTCGTCTCTGCGCCGCATCAGCTGCCACTCACGCCGTCATCGTTGAGGCCGTGCTCGGCAAGGCAGGTCTGCCAGAAGGCCGAGCCGATCTGGTTGCCGGCTTGGCCCGCGCAGAGCCTGAGCGGAATAGAAGCAGCGTGAGCACTGCGCCAGAGAGCGCTGCAAATGGAGCGCGGGCGGCGTCGTGCCGCTGCGTGCCGACGGCGGCGCTGTGGCCAGCACGTCGCGAGCAGGAAGAAGCGCCGACTGGACGCGTCGGGCCTGCCCGAGGTGGCTCGTGCTGCGTCGGAGCGTTGCAGCAGGATCGCGCGGGAGGCTGGTGGCAGCGAGCAGGATGCCCACAGGCGCCAGCCTGCGCCGCAACTCTGCAGCGCGTCGCACAAGCGCCTGTGCGACTTACGTGATGAGTTCACGCATGTTGGAAGAGGAGCGGGTAGGGGAGGGAGGGGGTGAGGTGGTGTTGCTCACGCTGCCGCGAAGAGCGCCGCCGCTGCTGCTGCACGGCGGTGGCGCAAGGCCCGCTGCCGCGCCGCTTGACAGCCCAGTCGCGCGCTCAGCCGCCCGCCGCCCCTGCGCCCGAACGCGTGCGTGTATATCTCGCGGAACGGCGGCGCGGCCTGTCAACACCCCAGCACGCCGGCGGCCATGCGCATAAGTGGAGCAGCAAGGCACTCCTGGCTACCGCAGAGCATGATGACAGATGCGCTTGCAAAACGACGAGGTGCTCCAAGCTCGGAGCGGGCGCACGCTGAGAGAGGGTCGACGAGTTGGTGGGGCTGCGACGCGTCGCGTTGCGCCTCCAGCATGCCGGCGCCGGGACCATCACCAGCGGACGCGGTGGGCTGGCTGAGAGCGCTGCTCCGCTCGACTCTACTGGAGCAGAGAGCAGCGGCGAGCTTTCTGGCTCCAGGACACGCCTACTTCATCATGCATCATTGCTTGTGTCCGCGGAGGGATGAATGTTACAAGCTGGCCACCAAGAAGGCTCGCTGCTGGCCCGAAGCTGTCGCGGATCCGGCCGGCAGCCTGCTTCCCGAGCGCTCGCTGCTCATCATCAGAGAAACGCATCACGAGCTTCCGGCAGCAAGGCTTGAGAGCAGACTGCCGTCTGCCCACAAGAGTGTGTCGGCAGGGCCCCTGGCTCGCCGAACGCTGGCGTCGAACGACGGCTGGCGCCAGGGCACGGCCAGCGGTACGAAAGACGGCTGCGGGGCGCTGAGTCTAGTATCGAGCTGCGTTCTGATTTGCAATTGCGTCTGGAGTGGAGGAGTGAGCAGCTATGCCTCGCAGGTGCAGAGGGACAACGAGCTGGTGCTGCTCCCAGCAGGCGCCTCGCGCTGCTGTGGAGCGAGCTGCACCCTGCATGGCGTCTTAGTCAGCGGATCTCGGACCCTTGATCTCAGCATCGGGACCAGCGAACAACCGCGCAGGAGGCGACAGCTCAGAGGCGGAGCATGGCAACGGACCGAGCTCGATCACTGCAGCCTGTGAGGCTGCTCTGGTCTGCCTTCAGCACGGCGGCGGCGGCGAGGAGCGGAGGAGAGGCAAAGTGCGCCGCTCGAGCCCCCATCAGCCTCGGGGCGCGTCGCGAGGCGCGAAGCTGGCGGCAGGCACGCCGCGGCAGCGAGCGCCGTGGGAGCGCCGTGCCCTCTCCGTTGATGAGCCGCTCGAGGTGCAGCGGAGCAGCAGCAGCAGCAAAGGCTGCCTCTCACCCACCACCACTCCCGCCGTCCGTCTCTCCCATCCAAGTCTGGCTCCCTCCGTTGCACCTCCGACGCTCGCCTCGCCGCTCGCACCCGAAGCGTTGCTGCGCTCGAGCACGCGGCTGCTCCACCTGTGGCGCCCACCGCTCGCGCCTCGCACAACTCGCCAGCGGGCCGTCTGGGCTGCAGCGCCATGAGCTCCAGCCCGCACATCGAAGCAGGCGGCTCTGCCGTCGCGGAGGCGCCTGCTGCTGCCGCTGCCGAGGCCAGCTCGAGCAGCGCCGCTGAGCAGCCTCAGGGAACGCTCTCTGGCGTGCTCGAGGAGGTCGACGATGCGGCTGAGCTGCTCAAGCAGCCCTTCGAGCCGCAGCCGCTCGTGCCGCAGCCCGTGCTTGAGCCGGCCAAGCCTGCGCTCAGCGCCGAGAAAGAAGCTCGTATGGCCGAGCGCCGTGCTCGCCTCGCCCAGCGGGCCGCGCCCTCCACAATGCCGCCCGAGGAGGCGCCGAGCGGCTCGAGGGCAAGCGCCGCTCCGAGCCACGCTTCCGTGCGCTCTCGCGACAGTGGCGACGATGTCGAGCAGCCGTCGAAGCGAGCGCGCACGAACGGCAGCGGCGATGGCCGGTCCGCCGTTGGCGTCTCGGCAGCGGCAGCGCCGTCGCTGATGGTCGGCGGCAGTGGCGCTCGAGCGCCCACTCAGTTCCTCGACTCGTCTGGCAGCTTCGTTCCGCCGCGCGCCTCCAGCTCCCACAACGGCGAGCCTGCGTTGCGTCTGCCTGTCAAGACGGAGAACGGCGGACGCAGTGCTCGGAAGGGTACGGGTGCCGCGATCGATCTGACGCTCAGCGATGACGAGGACATCCAAGTCACTGCCACGAAGCGCAACACGGACGTGCAGGTCGACGAGCAGCGCACCAATGCGCCCGTCTGCCTGGGCGCTGTGAATGGCGTTGTGCTGTGCTTGCACGGCTTGCCTCGCAGCCTGATGTACGAAGGCACCGGCCGGCCGGAGGACGTGCCTCAGGATCCGGCCTACGAGAAGCGCAACTGGCCTCGCATCTCGAGCTTCTGGTCGCAGCCGGGCTATCGCCCTATCCTGCTGTCGATCCACTCGAAGAACGACGGTCCTGTTGGCCCGCGCGGCAGCTCCGACCACATCGAGCTCAACGTGAGCACGGTGCAGCCGCCCCTGGTCGCGGCTCAGGCAGCCGCGGCGCACGCGCGCGCCCGGGGACTGCCCATGGAGCCGCCGAAGGTATCGGCAGTCATGCTGGCGCCGTTCGGCGCCCTCTCTGAGAAGCACAAGAAGGCGCTACTGCCGCTCCTCACCTCGGGTCTGATCCGCTGCGAAGCTCGCTGCAAGATGGCGTCTTCGAAGCGTGGATCGGTGAGCTCACTTGAGCAGCGCTAGCAACTTGGTCTCACGGCTCACCCGCCGTCCTCACAGATGTTCACGTACCCCATCGAGATCCTCATCTTCACCACCTCTGCCCAGGTCGGCCGCGTCACGAACGTGCTGCTCAGCGAGGGCGTGCAGATCGACAAGCCAGTCTGCTACGAGCCGCTGGACTACCCGCAGGCGCCGCGCCTAGTCTACAGCCGCAGCGCGCTCCCCGAGGTGCACGGCGCAGGCGACTTCCGCCAGGGCCCGAGCATCTTCACCGGCGGCTACGGCGGCCACGTGCTGCAGACCAAGGAGCAGACGGAGGAGGAGCGCAAGAAGCAGGTCGACTCGGTGTACGACAGCCTGCGCAGCGGCGACGATCTGCCAGAGGTCGAGCCGCACGCCGTCATCATCACGAAGCTCTTCCCTCATCAGAAGCAGGCGCTCTCCTTCCTGCTCGACCGCGAGCAGGACCGCTCCTTCGACCTTCCGCCGGCTGGTGAGGCGCAGGAGGCGGGAAGCGAGAACGGTGACGCCAAGGGCAAGGGCCGCGCGCCCCAGGAGGAGGAGACAGTCTCGCTCTGGAAGGCAGTGCGCAAGCGCGACGGCACGCCGCGCGCCTACCTCAACGTGGTGACGAACAGCGAGTCGCTGCGCCGCCCGGAGGTCTGCCGTGGCGCGATTCTCGCCGACGACATGGGCCTGGGCAAGACGATCACCACCATCGCGCTCATCGCCCATACGTATCTTGATGCACGCAAATTCGGCAAGACGAAGCCAACACCCGCCGACCCTGCCAGCGCCGCCGACTCGAAGGCCAAGGAGAACGAGCACGAGGAGGCCTTCACCGGCAACGTGCCCGGCGCCCCGCTCGGGCGCATGATCAAGAAGAGCCAGGGCGGCGGCAAGGTGCAGGCGAAGAGAGACGAGGCGGAGCGCGTGCGCCGCAAGAACCTGCGCACGCGCAGCCGAGCGACACTCATCGTCCTGCCGCTGACGCTGGTGTCGAGCTGGGTAAGTGCCGCAGAGCGATGAAATGCTCTACAGCTGCTGACACTGTGCATCTACAGGAAGAGCAGATCAAGGAGCACACGGATCCGCGCTGGCGTGATCGTCACGTCCTCATCTATCACGGCGCGAACCGCAGCTCCGACCCGCTCTGGATCGCCAATCACGACATCGTCCTCACCACGTACGCAACGCTGGCGAACGAGTTCTCCAACCAGAAGACCTGGGTCGCCGATGGCGAGGAGGATGAGGACGCGCCGGACGCCGAGGACAGCGACCCTGACATCGTGCCGCTCGACGAGTTCGGGCAGCCGATCCTGTCAGCGGCGGCGAAGGCTGCGAATGCGCAGAAGGCGGCTGCCGCGCGCAAACAGGCGACGAAGCGCCGCAGGGCGGAGGCCGGCGAGTCGAAGAACCCTCTGCAGCGCATTGAGTGGTTCCGCATCGTGCTCGACGAGGCGCAGTGAGTCTTTCGCGTCGCGCGTGTCCGATGCCCCACTCACGCTTTCACTCGCCCGCAGCACGATCAAGGAGACTCGCACGTGGCAGTCCAAGGCGACGTGCAACCTGTCCGGCCAGCGCCGCCTGTGCCTGACGGGCACGCCGGTGCAGAACCGTCTCGACGACCTGTACGCTCTCATCAAGTTCCTGCGCCTCGAACCGTTCAACGATCGGGCGACGTGGAACGAGTTCTGCGGCTCGCGCGACAAGGGTGGCGGCCTGCGTGCGACGTCGGCCAAGGAGAAGGCCAGCGCGCCCGTCGACGGCACGTCGCTGCGCCGCATCCAGACGATCATGAAGTTCCTCACGCTGCGCCGCAGCAAGGACGGCAAGCGCAAGGACGGGCAGCGCCTGCTCAACCTGCCGCCCAAGTACGGCCGCACGCTCATGCTCGACTTTGACCCGCGCGAGCGCGCCGTGTATGCGCAGATGCACCAATCCTTCAAGGAGGAGTTCGAGCTGCTCAAGGCGTCCGACACGCTCAAGCTTAACTACGCCACCATCCTGCACGAGGTGAGTGCTGCGTGCGCATTATGGTGAGCACTGCTGACCGCCCGTCGCGCAGATCTCAAACTTGCGCATGGTCTGCGACCACGAGGCGCTAGTCGACGACAGCAAGGACCTGAAGCGGAAGAAGAATGGCGGAGACAACGACGCGGTGCAGGCGATCGTGACGGACGGACTCACCCGTCAGCGCGCGATCGCGCTCTTTGCGCTGTTCGCCGGCGAAGACCAGGCAGAGTGCGGCCTATGCGGCGTGGACCTGACGCGCAACGACGAGGAAGCCGCCGCGGGCGGTCCCGCGGCTGGCGACGGCAAGATGCGCCCCGTCGTCACCAAGTGCCAGCACATGTTTTGCACGCCGTGCTTCCGCAGCCGCATGCCGGCCAAGTGGCCCGACTGCAAGGCCGACGACCGCGCAGCGTGCCCCGCATGCGACATCGTGCTCGGCCTGCTCGTCGAGACGGTCCAGCTGCAGCCGTCGGACATCGAGTCGCGTGACGGCGCCGGCGAAGGGGCCAACGACAGCGACGCGGAGAGCGACGCTCCGCCGCGCAAGAAGGTCACTTTCGGCGCCGACGCGGACACGCCCATCTCGAAGCGCACCGATCTCAGCTCGAAGATGCGCGCCCTGCTCGCCGACATCACGCCCTTCTCGCAGTGCAATGCGCACTCGATGCTCTTCGACCGCGACGCGCCGCTGCTGCAGCACATGGCCATCTCCAAGGGCGACGAGCCGGTAGTCATTGCGCAGCACCCTCCGACCAAGGACGGCGGCCCGGACAACATTTTGCCCGTCAAGTCCGTCGTCTTCAGCCAATGGACCAAGATGCTGGACCGCGTGCAGACCGCACTCGAGCGCGCCGGCATCAAGTCCGTCATGCTCGACGGCCGCATGAAGCGCGACCTGCGCGCAAGCAACATCGAGCAGTTCAAGAACGACCCGGGCACCGAGGTGCTGCTCGTCTCCATCAAGGTCGGCGGCACTGGCCTGAACCTGACCGAGGTGCGTGCTCGCGTGACATCCCACGTGTGCCGTAGCTGACTCCGCTCTGCAGGCCTGCCGTGCCTATCTCATCGAGCCGGCCTGGAACCCGTCGGTGAGTAGCGCCATGCCGCGGTCAAGCGAAGCCTTCTCACACATTCCCTCGCAGATCGAGAACCAGGCGCTGGACCGCATTCACCGCCTGGGCCAGCAGATGCCTGTCATCACCACGTGAGTCGCGCCTGCAGCAGCGCCGGCGACAGCAGCTGACATGCATGGGCCCACCAGCAAACTCGTCATGACCAGCTCGATCGAGGAGCGCATGGTGAGTGACTCGCCTGCGTGCGCAGCATAGCCTGTCGTGCTGACTCGCGACCGCCTTGCAGCTCGCTCTGCAGCGCCACAAGCTCGAGCTGGCCGAGAAGTCCGTCGGCGAGAGCGGCCGCGGCGCCAAGGGCAAGTCCGACCTGCAGCGCCTGCTCGAGGAGACCGACTTCGTCAAGTAGGCGCAGCGCGCGGCTCTCCTCGCCGGTGCACCACACAAGCGCCACCCTTTCGCGACCGCCTCCACTGTCCCGTCGCCCGATCCGATCCGCTCCCACACATGTATCATCCCTCATACACACGCTACACGACCTCAACATTACCCACCGCCCGCGCGTCACCATCTGTATCACTCAAACACGCCTGCGTCTGTGCTGCGCTGCTGCGTCAAAGCCCGGTGCATTGCGTGCGTCATGGCTGCGGTGGTGTGGCGTCGGCCCTGGCGCTCTCCAGATCTGCCGCTCGCCGCGCCGCCTTCTGCGAGCGCGCGACGGAACCGTAGCATGCGCCGCAGATGTGATGTGCGAGCTTCGGCGTGCCGCAGGCCTGGCAGTGGACCAGGTCTGCAAGGAGTCGAGCGGTCAGTCACTGGCCGTGCGAAGGATCCTGCCGCGCTCGGAGCCCGCTATGCCCAGCAGCAAAGAACAGTGCTCGACGCATGCGCCACAGCAGACTCCTCCTGCACGTCGAAGCTTGTGCTGACTTCGAGACATCCTCTCGCATCTCCAGCGCTGCTTGCAGGTCCCGTAACTCACCGACGCGGTCCTTGAGGCCCTTGTTGGCCGATCTCATCGCTTTCCGGCTGTGGCTGACCTTGCTCTTGGGCACGGCGTTCAGCATGCCATCCCAGCCAAAGACCTCGTCGTTCGCGGGCTCAGCGGCAGCCGCTGATGACGGGCCAGCCTGCGTCGGAAGCCAGGCGAGCTTGGCCGGCGCCGAGGCCGAGGCCTCGGGCAGAGAGAGCGCGGCGAGGGCGCGCGGCAGCATGAAGGAGATCGAGACGGTCAAGCGCGGCGCGATGGCGGCCCGCAGGGCAGAGCGCAGGACAGAGCGCATCTTGTGCGAGTCGTGGTGGTTCGCTGTGGAAGTCGGACGGCGGGAGGATGAGGTCAGGAAGGTGCCGCGGTTGCGGCGTGTGCGGTGGCCGCGCTGCTTCTCACTCGCTCTGGCAGGCGTCGGGCGCCTCGGCCGAGACGCGCCGGAAGCTGGCCGCCGGCCCGAGGCTCCTTGGCCTCGCTGTCTGACTCAGACCCTCACTTCCTCACCTCTACCCGACCTGCAACCTTGTGCTCCATCTGTTGCCATGGCTGCGCCTTTCCTCCGTTCAGCTGCAGGGTCTTCGCTGCTACCGGTAGTCTCGAGACGGCTAGCCGTCCCGTCGTGCGCCTCGCAGCGCCTCGCGCTCCGCAGGGCCAGCCACCTCGCTTCTTCGCGCGGCCATGCGGCGTCATCTCTGCGACCGCCGCCGGTCCCGTTGCCACGGCTCTTGGTGCGCTGCTACGCAACACCAGCAGAGCCGCCACTCGGCCCAGAACCGGGCGCGAGGAGCTCGTCTGGCCCCTCGGCGCAGGCCGGCCAGCCATCGCGCGCTGCCATGGCCGACGCCGCGAGGAAAGAGGCGTATAAAAGGCGGAATCAGTCGCTGCTCCTATACACTGCTGCCACTGTGAGCAGCTCGCAAATATGGCTTGTCGCACTGCGCTGACTCTCGCCCAGTTCATCTTCGGCATTGGCGTGACCTATGCCGCCGTGCCGCTGTACCGCGCGTTCTGCGCCTCGACTGGCTTCAGCGGCACCCCGATGGTGGGCACGGGGCGCTTCTCTGCCGAGCACCTCATCCCGCGCTGGCTCGACCCACGGACCGGTGCCGAGACGCGGCGTATTCGTGTGACGTTCAACGCCGACGCCTCGGACGCCCTGCCGTGGGGCTTTGAGCCGGCGCAGAACGAGGTGTACGTGCTGCCGGGCGAGACGGCGCTGGCGTTCTACAAGGCCAAGAACACAGGCCCGGTGGACATCACAGGCATTGCCACGTACAACGTTGCGCCGGACAAGGTACGTCTGTGCTTCACGCTTCTGCTGTGGCTGGCGCTAACAGGGCTCTGGTAGATCGCGCCGTACTTCGCGAAGGTCGAGTGCTTCTGCTTCGAGGAGCAGCGCCTGCTGGCCGGCGAGGAGGTGGATCTGCCCGTCTTCTTCTTCATCGACGCCGACGTGCTCGACGACCCCAGCGCGCGTGACGTGCGCGACGTCGTGCTCAGCTACACGTTCTTCGGCGCGCGACGCAACGAGAAGAACGGCCAGCTCGAGTGCGTGTTCTGCGTCGCTGTCTGCTTCGCCTGCGCTGACCTGGCACTTCCTCCTGCGCAGGCCAGACACAGATCTCAGCAAGGTGAGTCCGGTCCCGTGCAGCGTTGAGCTGCCACGTCCTGACTCGAGACGCTGCAGTACACTGTCGGCAAGGACCTCTAATGCAATGTACCACCACCGCCACTCCTAATCATGACGCTCCATGACTTTGCCACCGAGAGGCCGCTGCATCACGATAACTTAGCATGAGTCAAATTGTTCGTACTGACGAGGCGCGCAGAGGCACGATGGGGGAACGTGAGGCTCGCGGCAGTGAGGGTGATTAGCCTGCGCGGAGCGGCGAGAAGGCGGAAGAGGAGGACATGCAGAGGGGGCGTAGAGCGAGGAGGACGGTGCTGGTTCGGGCGCTGGATGGGAGTATGATGAACGAGCCGGCCGTGGAGAACGCAGGTGCCGGCGGCCGGCGCGAGAGCGTGCGTTTTGTGTGGGCGAGATGAGTGAGAGTGCGAGGTGACGATGTGGGAGATGGTCGTGAGGCGTAAAGGCCAGCAAGCGGGCCGTCGTGGCGTGTGCGGCGAAGTCTAGTGTCCTGCGGAGCTGGCGTAGCCGTTGGGCGCGCCCTGGGCGCGTGGCCGCCGCGTGCGCAGCTGGCGCGCAGGCCAGCCGGCGTACACGGCGCCAGCCTCTGCGATCTCGCCACTGGCCACGAGCGTGTGCTCGAGGAGCATGGAGCGCGGCTCCATCGAGGCGCCGGAGAGCAGGCGCGAGCCCGTGCGCATGGCGCAGCCGTCGCCGATGCGCAGCCGGTTGAGGCTGAAGCGGCCACGCGAGTTGATGTGCGCCACCACCGAGCAGTCGTCGAGCGACACGTTGTCGCCCATCGTGACGAGCTCGGGCTCGGTGAGCTGCAGGCTCGGCTTGCCGCCCGCCCAGATGGCGCAGTTGCGCCCAATCGTCGCACCGAGAGCGCGCAGGTACCATACGACGAAGACGGTGCCGGAGAGGTTGCCCAGGATATGGCCGCCGAAGCCCTTGCCGAGGAGGCGCTGCAGCGTGAGGTGCAGCTGCCAGCGCTGGCAGTAGCTGCTCTTGTCCCAGTCGTAGCGGCCCTCGCGACGGCGGCCGATGATGGCCCACTTGGTGAGGATGACCCAGGCGAAGGCCAGAAGCATCTGCACGTTGAGCACGACGACGAAGCAGATGGCGATGAAAGCGTAGATCAGGCCCGGGCGGTACCAGTGGTCGCTGAAGAGCGCCGCGTCCGTGTACTCGAAGTGCGCGCGCGAGACGTTGAGCGAGACGACGGTGACGACGGCGGCACTGGCCCAGTAGCCCGACGAGAAGACGGCCATGAGCAGGTTGATGGCAACGAGCATGAGGTACGGGAAGACGAAGAACGAGGCCTTGCGCTTGTAGAAGGCGCGGCCGAACGGCGTGATCGTCTCGTCATCGTCGCCGACGGAGATCTCGCTCTTCTCCTTGGCCGCGCGACCGAAGCTGACGGCCGAGCCGTTCTTGCTGCCCATCCACACGGTGTTCTCCTCGTAGAGGCCGTTGCGCACTGCGAGCGCGCCCGAGCCCATGACACACTGCTTGCCGATCGTCGTGCCGGGAAGGAGCACGACACGGTCCGCAATCATCGCACCGCGGCCGACACGCACGCGCGCCCAGCCGATCGAGTCCGACGTGAAGAGCTCAGAGCGCGAGCCGAACACGACGTCGTCGCCGATCTCGAGCAGCTCCGGGTCCGGGCAGTACACGCCGCTGCCGGGCCAGTACACGCGCTTGCCGACCTTGGCGCCCATGGCACGGTAGATCACCGACGTCATCTCGTAGTGCGTGCCCAGGATCGACATGGCGCGACGGATGTTCGGCTGGCTGAGCAGCTGGCCGTTGATCCAGCGGCGGAAGAGCGCAAGCTGCGTGGCGTTGCGCACCGAGCCCTCGCGGTTGAGGCCGAGGCAGCGCTTGAGGATGATGCCGATGACGAGGTTGATGAGCGGCGGCATGATGTTGCGCATGATGCGCGCCACGTAGTGCCAGCCGATACGCGGCGGGTAGGCGAACCAGGCAATGACGCTCTTGACGCTGTCGCGGTGGTTGAACTCGAACGGCTGCGACAGGAGCATGAAGAGGGCGGCGAACCACGGCACGTAGCAGATGACCCGGATGAGCAGGATGAGCGGCGTGCCGACGAACCAGATCAGCGCCGGGTGCGGCGTCGGTGCGGCGTTGCGGTTGTACGCCGCGTAGGCGTCCGACGACGGCTCCTCGTGCGACGACGACTGCGGGCCCCACACCGTGCCGTCGGCAAGGCGCGCGCCAGGCGAGATCTGCGTGAACGTGTTGACGACGCAGTCGCGGCCGATGATGATAGGCTCAAGGCGGAAGTAGCCGTCGCGCTCGACACAGAAGCCGCGGAGGAGCGACTTGTCGATGCGCGCGCCGTCGTGGATCGTGATCAGGTCGTGCTCGGCAATCTTGGCCCAGCGGTCGATCTTGACGTCGTTGCCGATGGACATGCCGAGCAGGCGGAAGTACGTCTGCTCGAGCCCGGGCGTGAGCGAGAAGAGACCCTTGCCGGCCGTCTTGAGCGACTGGTTGACGAGCCACCAGCGGAGGTGGTAGTTGCACCACATCGGGTACTTGCCGGGGCGGTAGCGGCCGATGACGAGCCACTTGAAGGCGATGGCCGTGACGGGGCAGATGATGCGCGACGTGAAGCGCGCGACAACGATCGACGCCAGCAGCACACCCACGCGCTCCCAGAAGTCGTCGCGGATGTAGTAGGCAGAGAAGGCGAGACCGTGCAGGATGACCGTCCACGTCCACGCCGCCTTGAGCGGGTAGAAGAAGAGGATGGGAATGAGCTGCACGAACACGACCCAGGGATGCGTCTGGCTGCGCGGCCGGTAGCCGTGCGCGGCAATGGCCGGGTCGAGGTCGCCCGCCGCGTCGTCGTCGTAGCGGTGCGCGCTGGCAAAGGCGCCGCCGCCCGCGCCGCCCTTCTCGTCGTCGTAGTTGTCGGCGTAGTCGAACTCGTCATCCACGATGCCCTGCTCGTCCTCGATGAGCATCGCGATGCCCTCGACGGTGGAGTTGTTGAACAGCGTCGACACCTCGAGCGTCGCGCCAGTCTCCTTGCGCACGAGAGCCACAAGGCGACCCAGCAGCAGACTGTTGCCGCCGAGCAGGAAGAAGTCGGACTCGGCAGTGATGGTGCCGCTCTCGGTGTCGAGCAGACGCGCAATGATGTCGCGCACCACCAGTGCCGTGCGCGACATGGCCGAGGCGTTCTGTGCGCGCACCTCCTCCTCCATCGTCTTGAAGTCGATGCGGCCGTTGACCTTGGCCAGCGGCTGCCTGAAGACGTGCAGCGGGTTGGGCACCACGTAGCCGTGCAGCACCTGCGCCAGGGCGCGGTCGATGTCGGCGGCGTCGTACTCTGCGTTCTCCTCCACCTGGATGAACGCCTCGGGGGCGCCGTCCTTGCGTTGCCGCACGGCCGCCTCGATGATGCCAGGGATGCGGTAGCACGCCCGCTCGACGGCGCGCACATCGACGGTGACGAGGTTGCACGGGATGGGCTCGGAAAGCGGCACCTCCTTGCCGGGCGCGCGCGCCTCGAAGTGGCGCTGCAGCGGCGGCACATCGTCCGACAGCGGTCCAATGCCCAGACGCGAGCCGAGCTTGATGCGCAGCGGCTTGCCGGCCTGGTTCTTGGGCAGGTCATCCATGTACACGGCTGCAAACGGCCACTTGGACGGGTGCAGATGCGAGCGCAGCAGGTTCTGTAGCTCGGCGAGACCGATGCGCGGCTGGTTCGGCACGGGCACGATCACGACGCCGATCGTCTCCTGCAGCACCGTGTGCTCGATCGAGAAGGCGAGCGTCTGCTTGACGCGGTCCTTGCACGCCTGCGTGATCGCCTCCTCTACCTCGAACGGCGAGACAACCTCGCCGCCCTTGTTGATGATCTCCTTCGAGCGACCCGTGATGTACAGGTAGCCGTCGGCATCCTTGTGGCCCATGTCGCCTGAGTCGAACCAGCCCTCGCTGGAGAATGCCGACGTGTCGAGCGCGTCGAACGGGTCCGGCGACGTCTCGTAGCCCGAGAACGTCGGCAGGCCGCGCACAGACACGGCGCCAGTCTGTCCCACGGGCAGCTCGCGCTCACGGTCGAACGGATCGCGAATGGAGAGACCCGGGCCGCACGCGACACCGGAGCAGCCAGGCCGGTCGAGCTGGTAGTCGACCGGCGGCGAGGCGATCGGCATGCACTCAGTCATGCCGTACGATGGCAGCACGGCGGCGCCGCCAAACGTCTCCTTGAGCTGGATGGCGAGCGACGGCAGCAGGCCACCGGCGGCGTTCGCGATCATGCGGATCTTCAGGTCGCGCGACGGCTGAACGCCCTCCGGACGCGACGCGAGGATGGCGTGGTGCATCGTCGGCGCGGAGTAGTACCTGCGAAGGAAAGTCAGCGCTGTACGTGGCCGACACTGCACCGCGGAACTCACCAGGTGGCGCCAAGCTGCTTGGCAAGCGTCCACCACATGTTCGCGTCGAAGCCGGCGCACATGATGGCGCTGCCGCCCGAGAAGAGCGGCGACCAGAGGTTGCGCACAATGCCGCCGACGTGGAAGAGCGGCATCATGTTCATGTTGACGCTCTCGGGGCGCAGGTCCCAGCTCTGCACGACACAGCAGGTGCCCACGATGAGATGCCGAAGCGAGTACGGCACGACCTTCTTCTTGCCGCTGGTGCCACTGGTGTGCAGCACGAGACTCTGGTGCTCGAGGCCGTGGAGCTGCGACGGCTGGCGCCCGGCGCGCGACATGCTCGCCTCGCGCGCGAGCGTCGACATGTCGAACAGGCCCGCCGGGCCGACGCCGCGGTTCTCCACAAAGATGACCTCCATGCCCTCCTCCTCGTACAGCGCCTGCACCTCGAGACGGTCGGCGGCATCGCGCGTCGTGACAATGGCCTTGGCGCGCAGCCGCACCGCGTCGTCGCGGAGCTCGCCCGCCGTGCAGCTGGCGTTAATCGGTGCGCACGTGTGGTACGCAGCAACGGACATGAGCGCCAGCGCGTTCTCGGCGCCGGTCGGCAGAGCTGAGGGACATAATGAGCGGAACGCTCGTAACGCACCGCGGCCGGCGCGACTCACCCATCATGACGCGATCATTGGGGCCCAGCGGCTGGCGCGAGTACGGCAGCGAGAAGCCGGCGATGAAGCGCTTGATGTCGCGGTGCAGCAGCGGCTGCCGATTCAGATCCGGGCTCCACAGCGCCGGCGCGGGCGTGTTGCAGATGACATCGAGCAGCGTGCGGATGCGGCCATTGTCAGTGACGTGCCGCGCGATGTGGTCACCGAGCGAGACGCCGCGTTCCGGCGGCGGCAGGCCGTACAGGAACGAGAGCGGAAAGTCGGACATGGCGCCGGCGGAGCACGAGCGTGCGAGATGCACAGGCTCGCTAGGTCAGGGCAGGAGTACGGGGCGGAGGGAGCTGGGAGGAGAGGGTGTGCGGTGGCGCGGCGGTGTCCAACAACACTGCTGAGGCGACACGGGCTAGCGACGCGCGAAAGACAGGAGGGTATGCCGGTGCGAGCACGAGAGCGTGAGCGACAGGCTCTGTGAAAGCGCTGAGCAAGGAGAGCGAGAGAAAGAGCGTCGAGCGCTCGCGGCGCAGGTGGCTCGCGAGGAGGCGGATGCGAGCGGGGCGGAGAAGGAGCGGGCGCGCGGCAGAGGCGGGCCTGGCGCTTGCTCGAGTAGCCAGCAGGGAGCGGGCTGAGAGCGAAGAGAGAGCGCGGCCTGAGGAGACGTCGAGGTGCGAGGCAGCACCGGCGAGGGAGAGGCGGATGGGTGAGGACGAGAGAGGGTCTGCTAGGACGCAAGGCAAGCGGAAGGGAAGGGCGCTGAGAGGCGCGCGCGGCGCCGCTGCTGCCGCGCGCGTGTTACCGCCGCGCGAGGCGCAGACGGCGCGCCTGCCGCGGCGGCGGCCTGGCGCGGCACGGCACGGCATCGGCATCAGCAGCGGGCGCAGGCCAAGAGGGGCTCGCAGGCACACGGCCAAGACTGACAAGGTGTAGAGCGTGCGGCGCGGGCGGTGCAGGCGCCGGCGCGCAGGCGGCGCGCCGCGCAGGGGTCGCGGCGGGCCTGCGGCGCCACGCCTGAGCCGAGAAATTTCGGCCCGAGGCACTCGCCCTGCAGGCCTTCTCCGTCGAAGCCGCCGCGGCTCGCCAACGGCAGCAGGCAGGCGGGCGAGTGCCGGCCCAGCGGCAGGCCGCCCCGTGCGTGCGTGCTGCAGCACCGCTGGACATCGCGCCGCCGGCGTGCAGCGCACAAACTGCGGCGCGCTGCTGTCGTGAGCGGCGCTCCTCCTCTCTGCTCGGGCTGTCAGCGGACGCAGGTTCCAGCAGTCGTCTGCCGATGCTGCAGCTGCGGCTGTCGCTACGCGCTATAGGAGTGCGGATGCTGCGATGGATGCCTCAGGTCGCAGCGAGGCGCACGCAGAGGAATCCCGCCGGAGGGAGCGCCGCAGCGCAGCCTCTCCCGCCGCGGCCGCGCCTGCACCCGTGCCGCCACAGCGCTCCTGCGCTGCGTGCCTTGTCCTCCCGTGCCCGCGCGCGACAGCCGAGGGCCAAACCGAAAGGCGCACAGGGGCTCAAGCTCCGCTCCCGAGAGCATCACTCTTGCGCCGACGCCGCCTCGACATGCGAGCTGTCGAACGCCATCGCGCCGCGAAGGCGGCTGCAGCAGCGATCAGCGTTCCTGGAGGCCGCCGAGCCGTCGTCAGCTTCCGTCCTGCTCTGCGCCGCGCAGGTCGCCGGCGTGCCATGCGCAGAGTGCCATGCCATGGGCGGTGGAGGCCTGAGCTCGGCTGACGGCCAGCCAGTCGTCTCGCACCCGCTTTGTCGCAAGCCCTCCGTGAAGCTTCGCCTTGTCAGCGCGGAGTGCATGCTACACCAGCTCGACGTGAGAAGTGTGCTCTCCTGGGCGTTGACGAGCGAACAGGTACTAGCCAGAGGCTGGCGCGCGCTAGCTGCGCCCGTCGATCTTCGAAGGGCGGCGCTGGCTCTTGTCGGACGCAGCACAGCATCAAGCTCGATGGGAGAAGCTGGCTTCATCGCACGCAGCACGTACGATGTGGCGGCGTTGCGCGAAGGTTGCTCAACGGGTGCTGCCCAGGCCACCGCCTCCGCGTCGTTGACGGCACGCATGAGACGCTGCCACCCGCCTCGTCCAGCATAGTCGCCGAGGCGTGTCCTCGCCCGTCGGAGCCCGGATGACGACGGGCAGCAGCTCCGTCTGGCCCTCTGCTACGGCCAATACTCGGCAGCCTAGGTGGCCTGCAAGCAGCCGTTGCCTCCGCTCCAAGCGCAGGGTGCAGCGCTCGTCACGTCCTTGTTGATGCGCGCCGCGTCGCGCAGGAGACCTCAGCTCTCAGAAATGCTTGTCTTATTGCCGCATGAGGGGAAGAGAGGCTCCCATTTTGGGCTCAAAATCCGAGTAATTATGTCAGCTACCTGGAACAGTGTGCATCATCGCAACGAGCTGCAGATGCTCTGCCACGAGTCTCTGTTCTGCGCGGGGCGCGCTGTGTCTGCAGCTTTCGTTCATCGCCCAACAGGGCCAGCGCTGACGTGATGGCGCTTTCTCATCTAGCCTCCGAATACGTTGCGCAGTCCGTCTGCTAGCAAAGAGGTCCATCAGTCCACCACAGACACCAGGCCCGAGAGCATCAGCCCAGCTGACTTTGTCACCGCAAGCGGCCGGCAGCCCGCGCGCGCTCGGCCGCTCCGAAGCCGTTGGCCGCTGCCAATGCGCCCGATTCCGGCGCCGAGCCACGCCAGAAGCCCTCCGAGATGCATCCGGTACCGCTGCTCAGCGTGCAGAGTCAATCGCCTCGGCATCGGAGCTGAATGCGCTATAGATTATGCAAGCAGCTGTCTAGACGGTGCTCAAGCCGCCAGCGCTGAGCGCAGAATGTCCTGCTCGCCGGCGCTGAGGTACGGAGCCAGGCGGCTGGCAGCGTCTGGCCGTTGGCTTTGCGCCTTGAGCACACGTGTGAGGTACGCCTGGAGCGGGGAACGGTCAGATGGAGCACAGCGGCGAGAAACGCATCTTCGCTGCTCACCTTCTCGTCCATGTTGTACACCTCATCGTTGGCCAGGTCGGCGTCCTCCGCGGCGGCGAGGTCGTCGAGGCCGTCCGTCAGGCCGCCCATGCCCAAGCCGCCCGGACCCAGAAGGTCTGCGAAGGAGTGTGAGCGCTGCGAAACTGCAGACCTAGCCTCGAGACGCACCGGACAAGAAGTCATCCCCACCCTTGGGGCCATCTTGGCCTTCCTCGTCATCCCACTCGCCGTCCTGATGCATGGGAGGCGTCAGCTGGGCGCAGCGTGAGGTTCTAGTTGCACGCACATCGTCATCGGTATCCGGGGTTCTTGCGCCGTCCGCCAGCTCGTCAGCACTTGGTCCCGGCGGCCCACGCCGCGCAGTCTGCCAGCTATTGACCAGAAGCTTGAGGATCTTCGCCGGCAGAGGCACCTGCGTGTAGCGGTGCGGGACTGTCGATGTGTCAGACGACGTCGAGTGCGTGCTGGCGCGTCGGAGCGACTCACTGGTCTTGGCTCGCGAGCGCGTGCGAATCACTGCAAGCGACAACATCAGCGAAGGACACTCGGACCGGGCGGCGGGTGTCGCGCACCGTTGACGTCGTCGGGCAGCATGTCGCCTTGCACCATCACGTTGTCAAGAGAAGGCCGAGCGGCTTCGAGCAGATGCGAGAGAGCAACGGTGCTGTCAGAGCAACATCAGTGAGCTGCACGAGCACGTGGAAGCGCAGGCCTGACTCACCTCACGCGCTCTGCCCAGAAGCCTGAGATCGTCTCGGCAGTCTCTACCCACTTGCGGGCCAGGACCTCCAGCCCAGACGCAGTCTGGACCCCCTCGGAGGCGGGCAATGTGACCTGCAGGCCCTCCAGCAGCTCGATCACGACGGTCGACTGCTCGAGCATCAGGTACGCGAACGGCAGAATGAGAGACTGGAAGGGCGTCAGAGCACTGTGGTGCGCGCCAGGCTGCTCAACGCTCACCTGGGCGAACGTCGATGTCTTGACGGTAGCAAGGCGATTGAGCAGCGCGCGCAGCAGATCAGGCAGCACGGACTGAATCGCATGCGGACCCTTGCGCAGGAGCGCTATCAAGAGGTCGCCTACCGCGAAGCCGCCGCTCTCCAGCTCGTCTGTTGGGTCGAGCAGACGTCCAGTGATCGCCAGAAGGCACGACATCGCGGGCGTGCCGTCGGCAGCCGTCCTACGAGCAGACGATCAGCGATGAAAGCACGGTGCCGACTGAGCGACGCACCATTGCAAAGTCTGCTCTGGCGCTTTCCGAACGAGCGAGGTCAAGCAGGCCACGCCGCTCTGCGTGACAGTGCTCAGCAGGATGTCTTGTGCAGCGCGCCGGATAGCTCACCTGCAGCATGCTACGGTCGTCGCTCTTCATGACTAGCGTAACGAGCGCGCCCATCGTCAGGCTTGTCGCATCGACGGCAGCAAGGGTCTCAGCGGAGGAACCACGCAGCAGCGCGGCCACCAGGTCAACAGCGCCCGAGGCAAGCGTGTCGTCCACGTCATCGCGCGACAAGACCTCGATCAGGGTGCTGAGGCCGCGATGTGCCACGGCTGCGGCATGAGCTGCCGACTTGCTGCCAGCAAGCGCCTCGAGCAGATCATCGACGACCATTAGCAGCATGTGGTCTGCGAGCGACTCGCGTCAGAGACAAGGCAGCTCAGAATCGGTGCGACACGTACTGTTCGGCTCTCTGCTCCAGGCTTGCAGTGTCGCTGCGATGATCTCGGCGAAGACGCCGGCGGGGACCGTATCAGGGCCTGCTGCCTGGCTCTCATTCGCCACGAGCTGTAGCGTCTCCACGATAAGCATGAGCGTCGATGCACTTGCGACGGCGAGCAGTGGTCCCAGGCGTGCGATGATGCGAGCTGCAGTCGCGGGAACCTGCGCAGCGTCGATGTGCCGGTAGAAGCTGGGCACTGGCGTCAGCGCGTAGCGAACGCAGTGGCTGAGCAGGAACTCCTCACTTCTTGACGCATCGCACGGCCGAGAGCTTGATGACCACATCGCCCTCGGAGCCAGAGTGCGACTCGTCCTCGATTGCAAGCACTGCCGAAGTGAGCATCTGGTGCGCCAGCTGCGGCGGTAGAGCCGCGGCGTACTGCGAAGCGAATACGAAGCACCGTCCGAGAAGGAATGGCTCGGCTGTGTGTGACTCAAGTGAGCGTCGACACTACAGCGTCTGACGAGGGACTCACAGTTCGAGGCCATGTGCGGCGCCACGAGCTGGGCAAATACGCCGCCCAGGTCGAAGGTGGCGGACGTCTGCATGGCGAGCTGTTCCTGCACGGCCTCGGACACTCCACCCAACAGAGCGAGCGCAGCCTCTTCCTCCTTCCAGGCATCGCTGTTGCCCGCTGACCGCAGGGCAGCCGCATCGCTGCTCGCCTTGGCTGCGACTTGTCCGAGCCCGTTCAACACCGGCTCGGAGAATGTCTCGAGCAGCTCGTTGAGCACGTCAGCCGCGACGCCGCGCAGAGTGAAGCCCACGCCTTCGTCGTCGTCCGCTGCATCGACAAAGGCGCCAGCGTCTGCCATCCACTCCTCCTCGTCATCCCGCGTCATGCGCGCAAAGACGCGCAGCGAGTCGAGGAGCGAGGTCAAGGGCGCCTGATCGGAGGCCGCAGCAGCACGTGCGAGCAGCGCCTCGCGCGCCTGCGGTGACCGCAGAACAGTCGAGATGAAGTCGAGCACTGTCGAGGCGAGGCGGGGCACCGTCGTCCACACGTCACGATCGCCGTCTGGCGCGTCGGGAACGGCAGGTCCGTCATCCGCTGATGCAACGTAGAGAACACTGAAGGCCTGGCGCAGCGCCGTCAAGTCCGAGAGTGCAGCCCGGACGAGCGTGCTGACGTGCGGCTTGAAGTGCGACCTGAAGTGGTTCGCCATTTTGAGGGTCTGTCGCAGCCTTGTCCATGAGTCAACCGGTGTCGTGCAGCCTCAGCACGTACACGCACCTTCCATGCCTCGCTCCGCAGGCCCAGATCCTCCCAGAAGGCCTCGTTGCTCTGCAGCGGCTGCGACACTATCCGCTCCAGCGCATCGAGCCACTGCGGCAGCGTGTCCGCCGTCGCCTGCTTGGCAGCCTCTGGGTATGACTCCCGCACCATGAACAACGTCTCGAGCATATGTCGGAAGACGGTCAGCGCTCGGGCGCGCACAGCAGGCGGATAGCGCTGGAGTGAGCTAGCGTGAGCCTTCTGCTACGTAGTAAGGCTTGCCGGAGGAAGCCAGGAGCTCGTGCTCCCTCCGCTGACGACAGTGCCTGCCTATGCGCAGCACACTCACCGCTGTGTCTGCCAGCACCTTTTCCAGACTCGGCAGCAGCTCGCGACTAGCGCCCATGATCTGTGTCTCGTCCAGCTCGCCGCCGACGAAGTCCGCCAGGAAGCACATGGCGCCGTGCGTGGCATCAGAGCCGCCCTGCTCCAGGAGCTGCCTGATCGACGGCAGCAGCTCAGGAAAGTCGTCTGGCCAGTCCGGCGCCGAGGCAGAGCTGAGTGCATAGGCAGCCGCCAGCCGCAGAGCTCGCTCGGGCAGCGTGAGGGCCTGCAGCAGCTGTGCGCGCACCGGCGGCTTGGCGGCAGCGTCGAGCGGCGCATTGCTGGGCGGCAGGCCGACGAACGTCTGGTGGTACGGCGACCAGCGCTCGTTGATCCACTTGCGCAGCGAGAGCGCCGCTGCCTGGCGCAGGTGCAGCGGGTACGCGGCGCTGAGGAGCAAGCTGCTGAGTGCGTGGCCGCAGGCGGGCGTCGCGTGCAGGGCGGCAAGGTGCGCCTCGGCCTCGCCGCGCGAGGCTGCGTCCGCCGAGAGCGTGGCCGCGAAGACGTGGGCGAGCTCCTGCTCCATGATGATGTGCAGCAGGGTGACTGAACGCAGAGGCGCGTAGGAGAGGGAGAGGTCGTGGCGGAAAGGGATGCGTCGCGGCATCGGCGAAAGTGTTGCTCTCTCGCCTCGCGGCCGGGCCGCCGCTTCTTCTCATGCGCGCGCGCTTAACGCGACGCGTATAGTGCCGCACGCTGCCGCTGCCGAGTCGTGAGGGGTCAGTGGCATTGCGCGGTGATGAGGGAGTGTACAAGTGGAGGGTAGTGGTACAGAATGGGGAGAGAAGCAATCCGTGGGCCAGGTGATAAGAAATGAATCAGCGGACGGAGGAGAATGGCGGACCTCATCTCGCCGACGCAGCGAGACGCGTGGCCTCGAGGGCGTCCTCGAAGTTGAGGCCGTTGACGCCCCACGCCTTCCACTCGTGCTTGGCGATGCCTGGAGCGGGGCAGAATCAGCGCTGCTGAGCTGTGTCGAGCACACACGCGCAACTCACTGCCGCCGGTCGGCTCCCAGCTCGTTGACATCAGACTCGGCTCGCTCGAGTGCCAGCTGACGTCGCGCACCGTCGAGCCCGCCGGGCCACGGCCGTAGCCCATGTAGCGGCGGCCCTGCGCCGAGCGCTGGCCGGCGCTAGCTTCCTCGCGAACAGAGTTCACGGGCGCCGACGGGTCCGCCGCCAGCGGGCCGTTGCCGCCGGCAGCGCTCGAGCCAGGCTCGTACATCGGCGTCGTCTTGTTGCGGTCCAGGATCTGCACGACGCGGCCATCGAGCGACCAGATCTAGATGCAGTGTGGTCAGCACTGGCGCATGTAGAGATCACCTGGCGCATGCTCACGTGGATGCGTCCGTCGGCACTGCCGGAGTAGATGTACTGCTGGCCCGTCGTGGCCGCAGGGCTGAAGTGGCAGCGGATGAGGGTCTGCAGCACGGCGTGCCCGCGGTACGTCATGACGGAGCAGTCGTTGGGCCGCTGCTGGAAGCGCGGCTTGCGGTACGTGGCGTTGCGGTAGTCCCAGTGGGTCAGGCCCACGTCCATGCGGTTCGTCGGGTCGCGCTCAAAGTCCGAGCTGCTGACGAGGCTGCGCAGGTCCCACAGCTTGACGCTCTGGTCCTTGGCGTTGGAGATGCAGTAGCGGCCGTCGCCCTTTGGACTGACGTACGTCACGCCCTCGGTGTGTCCTGGCAGCACGCCCGCCGGCTTGCCGCCCGACAGCGAGCGACGATCCCACACCTTGACGAAGCTGTCGTCGCTGCCAGACAGCAGCACGTTGCTGCTGCCTGCATCGGCGAACGCCACGGCGTTCACGTCGTCGTGGTGCCCCTGAATGCGCAGCACCCGCTTGCGTGCCTCGACGTCGAACACGCTGATAGTGCCCTGATTGGCACCGGCGACAATCTCGCGCGAGTCGCCGCTGAAGCGGATGCTCCAGATCTGTGGGCAGGCAGAAGGCATTAGCTAGGCGACTTGCCGCCGCGCCGAGCTGGACGGCGCACGCACCGCCTGACGCGAATGGTACCTCACCCCACTGTCGTCAGAGCCGCCGCTGAAGTCTAGCAGCACCTGCCGGTCGTTGGCGCCGCCGTCGGCGTCTGTGCGCGTCGGCACGAGATAGACGTAGGGCGTGATCGAGCTGTAGATCATCCACTGCGAGCCGAGCATCAGCAAGCGCGCATCATACGAGCATGCGCGGCGCTCACCTGATTGTCGGGCGAGAGATGCGCGTCGGTAATAGTCCACTGTCCCTGCCGCCCATTGATCGTCTTGATGACCTTGAGGCTCGTCTCGTGCGTCTCCTCGCTGTTGCGGAAACGCATGCGCCCGCCGCCGCCCTGCGTGTGCATCTTGGCGTGCCGGTGCGGCGTCACGGTCGTGTCGTAGATGTGCACCTTGAAGTCTTGGTCGCACGTGTAGAAGAACGACGAGTCGTCGCTGTACTGGCCGCAGTAGACGCGGGCGGGGTAGCGCGCCACCTCGGTGCCGTTGGTATTGGGCACGTAGCGCTGCACGCTCATGCATCAGCGAGGCCTCCCAGCAGCTTCCGCGTCTGACTCACCTTGAACTCTGCCTTGGACACGACGCGCTGCCGGCTGGCGCGGTCCATGATGCGGGTGGCGGCATTCTTGGAGCGCTCAAAGGCACTGCAGCGCGCGTCTGGCAGCTCCGGCAGCTCGTCTGGCCGTCCAAAGTCACCCCCGCGACGCAGCTCCTGTCCTGCCTGGATCGGCTTGAGGCATGGGTCCCAGAAGCCCTCGAGAGGAGAGCGCGAGCTGCTGCCGCCATAGCCATAATCGTCATCGTCGTCCTCATCCTCCTCCTCCTCTTGGTAGCGGCCGCCGCGCATGGCTGTCGTGAGCAGCCGCAGCAGGCCGTTGGCGCCGAGTGAAGCCAGGTGCGCACGTGCACGGCCATTTGGCCCGCTCTCGTCGACCGTGCCGCCTGTTCGTCGTGTGTGGAGCACAGAGAGCAGCTCTGTCGCCATGCGTGAGCGAAGAGGTGGCGGGCGGGCAATGGTGCGACTCACCGTCCAGTGTGATTGTGTGCGTCTCGCCCGCCTCCTGCTCGGCATCGCCAGCACCTTCGCCGTCATCCTCAATCATCTCCTCATCACCGTCGAGGAAGATCTCGTCGCTGTCCTCGTCCTCGTCCTCGTCCTCGTCCTCCTCCTCTGATGACGAGAGCTCGTCGTCGTCTGCGTCCATCAATCCGAGCGGATCGACGACGAGCGGCCCGTCCTCGTCGCCATCACTGTTCAGCGAGTGTGAGCACGGACAGCTTGCACCGGCATACACGGCCGCAGCAGCTCACGCAGGCAGATACTCGCTCCCGCTCTCCGACTCGTCGTCGTCGCTGCCCTCCACTTCGCGCTCGAGGGCGTCGAGCTCCGCGGCCATGGCCTCGAGGGCGACGTTGTGTGCGCGGCGCTCGCTCGAGTCGCTGTCGCTGGGCGAGCCGGCATCGGAGGAGGCCTCTTGCCAGAAGCCGCTGCCCGAGTCGGAGCTCATGGTGCGGCGCGCGGTCGGAGAGGTGCGAGAGGGGTGAGGTGGAGGGTGCGCGGCACGGATCGGTGGCGTGAGCGCGACACAGCGCGGTGGGGCGCGGTGAGTGCGGAGGTGCGCTGAGAAGGGTGTGCCTTGTGAGAGCTGTCGCTGTCGTCGTCGTCGTCGTCGAGCGGCCGAGATGGAGCTGGGGGCGGGAAGCAGGGCCGTGAGCGTCGAGCGAGGCGGCCCCGATCAGTCAGCGGCCAGGGACCAGGCGAGTCCCCGCGCCGCTAGCCCGGCCAGGCACTGGAGCAGTGTCCGCGGCGCTGCCGCCGTGAGCTGATGCCGCCCGTGCGAGAGCGCAGTGTCCGCGGCGTCCGCGGGATGCCGCTCAGGCGCCGAGGCGTCTTCTCGCCCAAACGCGAGAGCTCGCGCCTCTCGGGTGACTCGGGTAAAGTTGGGCGTCCAAGGTGCCTTTCCCTCCACCACACCACCGGCTGCTGCACACACCTCGCCAGCAAGCATGACCGACGCACCACCGCCCGCTGCCGCGCCGCCCGCCGCTGAGACCGAGGAGCTCAAGTGCGTTTCGGGCGCATGCGTCACGACCGCGTTGCACTGACCTTCTACCCGGCGCACAGCGAGGACGGCACGCCGCTGTCGGAGAACCAGAAGAAGAAGCGCGCCGCAAAGGCAGAGAAGGAGCGCAAGAAGGCAGAGACGGCCGCGCGCCTGGCCGCCGAGAAGCAGGCCAAGGAGGCCAGCGAGGTGGTGAGTGCGCTGCCAGCGTGGACAGAGAGAGGCAGCCTATCGCTGCAGGGAAGCGATGCGGCGGAGGCCTGCACAGGCATCGCTGCGCTCGCGGAATCGGACGTGCGGGCACGGCATGCGGCAGAGATAGCGGGAACGGCGATGCGTGCTCTCGCACAGCCTCAAGCAGAGCCAAACGCTGATGTGTGCTCTCGCAGGACTTCGCTGCCCAGAACTACGGCCCGCAGCCGCTGAACCAGAGCCGCGAGCGCACGGGCCGGACGTTCAACCTGATCAGCGAGTTCAGCGGCGAGCGCGATGGCGAGGCCGTCATGTTCTCGGCGCGCATCCAGACCTCGCGCTCTCCCTCAGGTGAGTGTGCAACGACCGATGTTACGCTGGAGCGAGGCTCACGCAAGCGCTGCAGCCAAGATGGTCTTCTTGACGCTCCGTGCGCGCTTTGACTGCGTGCAGGCCATTCTGGCGCAGACGCCCGAGGTGGTGTCGAAGCAGATGGTCAAGTGGGCCGCCGGCCTGCCGGCCGAGACGCTCGTGGCCGTCGAGGGCACGCTTGTGAAGTCGCCTGTCCCGATCGAGTCCTCCACCGTCACGGTCAAGGACGCCGAGGTGAAGATCACGAAGCTGCACGTTATCTCGGCCATCACGACGACGGCACCGCTGCCGTTCTACGTCGACGATGCCGTGCGCTCCGACGCCGAGATCGAGGCGTCGCAGAGCACGGACCGCCCGATGCCGGGCCTGCCGCTGGACCTGCGCCTCGACAACCGCGTTCTCGACCTGCGCACCGTCACCAACCAGGCCATCTTCCGCATCGAGCACGGCGTGTGCCGTCTCTTCCGCGAGTACCTCGACAACGAGGGCTTCCTAGAGATCCACTCGCCCAAGCTGCAGGGCGCGGCGACGGAGAGCGGCGCTTCGGTGTTCAAGGTCTCGTACTTCAAGGGCGAGGCCTTCCTGGCGCAGTCGCCGCAGCTCGCCAAGCAGATGGCCATCGCGGCCGACTTTGGCAAGGTGTACGAGATCGGTCCCGTCTTCCGTGCCGAGGACAGCAACACGCCGCGGCACATGACCGAGTTCACCGGCCTCGACCTGGAGATGGCGTTCAACGAGCACTACCACGAGGTGCTCGACCTGCTCACCGGCCTCTTCACCTTCATCTTCCAGCAGCTGCCCATCCGCTACGCCAAGGAGCTCGCGCTGGTCAAGCGTCAGTTCCCCGTGCCCGACTTCCTCGTGCCCGACAAGATGCCGCGCATCACCTTCAAGGAGGCGATCGCCTTCCTGCGCGAGGACGGCGTCAAGAACGCCGACGGCTCGGAGCTGAGCGAGCTCGAGGACCTCTCGTGAGTGTGCGGTGCGGGTCTGCGTCTCTGCCTTCGTGCTCACTTCCGCCGCAGCACCGAGCAGGAGCGCATCGTCGGCCGCATCGTGCGGGAAAAGTTCCACTCCGACTTTGTCGTCATCGACAAGTACCCGCTGGCCGTGCGCCCGTTCTACACGATGCCCGACCCGGCGAACCCGGTGAGTTGCCGCGCGCTTCGACGGCTCGAGCCTGCCGTTCTGACGACCCGCCGCAGGAGTACTCCAACTCCTACGACTTCATCATGCGCGGCAACGAGATCCTCTCTGGCGCCCAGCGTATCCACGACGCGCCGACATTGGAGGCGTCGATGGCCAAGGCCGGCGTGCCGGTCGAGTCGATGCCCTCGTACGTCAACGCCTTCCGCGCCGGCTGCCCGCCGCACGCTGGCGGCGGCATCGGTCTCGAGCGCGTCGTGCAGTTCTTCCTCGGCCTCGGCAACATTCGCCGCGCCTCGCTCTTCCCGCGCGACCCCAAGCGCCTCGAGCCCTGAGCGGCGGGCACGAGGGAAAGACACAATGCGATGGTGAAACAATCTATGGCATGACGTGGCGTCTGGGCCTCTCTGGCAGGCCTCCTCCTCCCCAAGTGTGTGTGCGCGTCCGCACGGCGCGCGTGACAGAGCCTGCCAGCGCTGCTCCCGCGCCGGGGAACGAGTAAGAGTAGACGGGTGCAAAGAGACAAAGCAGAGGGAAAGTGGCGAGCGGCGCTGCGTGCAGCCGCGCGCTGCTCTGTGCTTTTGGACTCGCTTAGAGCATGAAGCTGCGGAGGGCGCGGGTCAGTGCCTGCTGCAGCAGCGCGCAAGAGCGCAGCACTCACCTGAGCGGGTTCTCGAGGGCATCCTTGAAGGCCTTCATCCACTTGGCTGCGGTGGCGCCGTCGACGATGCGGTGGTCGGCGCTGATGGTGGCCTGCATGACCATGGCCTTGCGCCAGCCCTGCTCGCTGGCATCGTCGGGCACGATGCGCGCCTCGGTGCCGCCGATGGCGAGGATGGCCGACTGCGGCGGGTTGATGATGGCGGTGAAGTGCGTGATGCCCATCATGCCCATGTTGGAGATGGTGAAGCTGCCGCCCTGGTACTCCTCGGGCTTCAGCTTGCCCTCGCGCGCGCGCGACGCCAGCGACTTGGTCGACGCGCTGATCGTCGCCAGGCCGCTGGCGCCGACGTCCTTGACGATGGGCGTGATCAGGCCCGTCGGCGTGGACACAGCAATGGAGATGTCGGCCTTGTGGTAGCTGCAGAAGGCCGTCAGTAGCCGTTAAGGGCTCGCGCAGCCGCACACGCGCGCAGACTCACCTGCGCACGAAGTCGCCCATCCAGCTGGCGTTCACCTCCGGCACCTCGCGCAGCGCCACACCTGCTGCCTTGGTGATGAAGTCGCCCACAGACAGCTTGGCGGCCTTGGCCAGCGCCTTGTCCGCGCCGGCCTTCTTCTCGCTGGCGTCGTTGAACGCCTGGCGCAGCTTGAGCACGCGGTCCATCTCGACGTCAATCGAGACGTAGTAGTGCGGCAGCTGCTGCTTCGACTCGGTCAGGCGCGAGGCAATGACGCGGCGCATGTTGCTGACGGGCGAGTCGGTGTAGTCTGCCGAGGCCGGGGCCGGCGCGCTCGGCGCCGGTGCAGAGGAGCGCGACGAGGAGGCAGCCGGAGCCGGAGCCGACTTGGCGGGTGCGGCGGGTGCGGCAGAGGGCTTGAATGCCTCAATGTCCGCCTTGACGATGCGGCCCGAGGGGCCAGTGCCCTTGACCTGCGCCAGCGGGATGCCTTGCTCCTGCGCCAGGCGCTTGGCCAGCGGGCTGGCAAAGATGCGCGAGCCCTCGGCGCGCGGCGCCGACAGCTGCTGCGGCTCCGGCTTGGACTCCTCCTTGGGCGGCGCCGGCTTGGACTCCTCCTTCTTGGGCTCCTCCTTGGGGGCCTCCTTAGCCTCCTCCTTGGGCGCCTCGCTGGCCGCAGCACCAGTGTCTGCGTCAGCGGCAAGCGCATCGGCGCCCGAGAGGTCGTCACCCTCCTCGCCAATGATGGCAATGGTGGAGTTGACCGGCACGCCCTTGCTGCCGTCGCCAACCTGTGCGCGGGCGGTGTGAGGGGCGCCTGGAGCGCACAGCGTGCAGATCACTCACGAGGATCTTGGCCATCACGCCGTCGTCCTGCGCCTCAACGTCCATGGTTGCCTTGTCGGTCTCCTGCAAAGCGGCGCGAGCATCAGCAGCAGCACCTCACAGCGCTTCTGCGCATCGCCAGCACCGCGCGCGCACGCACAATCTCGAGGAGCACGTCGCCGGCGCTGAAGCTCTCGCCGGGCTGCTTCTTCCACGCGGCAATGCCGCCCTCGGTCATCGTCGGGCTCATCGCCGGCATGTTGAACTTGGTGAGCGCGGCGGCGCGCGGCGTCGTGTGGAACGCAGCGGCGGCTGGGTGGAGAGTGTGTGAGCAGGGCAGGAGTGTTGGTCGAGAGCGCGCGGCCGCCTCACCGAGCGGGCGCGCGGCCGAGAGCCGGCGCGGGAGAAGACGGATGGCCTGCATCGTGAGGAGTGCAGCGACAAGAAGCGACGGAGAGAGGGAGTGGATGGAGGATGCAGAAGCAAGGCAGGGCCCGGATGATGAGGCGAGCCAGGTGGACCCGCGGCCGCGCACGAGCGAGCGAGCTCGGCGTCGGCCCCGTCGAAGAACTTGCGGCGGCGCTGCGCCGAGACCGCACCGCTCGTCTGCTGCTGCTGCTGCCAGCGCTCCGCCGCGCTCGGTGGCCGGCGCCGACAGAGGTCCCGCCGAGCAGTTGTTGTATTGCGCCGCGGCCGCAGTGTAAGCTGCGAATACAACGCAGGTGTGCCTTTGGGCGCCCGCGCGCACGGGCACCGCGCAGGCACGCCGCCTGCAGGCGCTGTGCTGGGGCGCCCCAGCGCTCGCTTTCGGCGGAGCGCGGTCCGGCGGCGCCCGGGAGCCGCCGTGGCGTGGGAGCAGCAGCTGTCGCGCCTCCTCCCCACACGGCTGACGTCTACCTTGTCAAGCAGAGAGGCATAGCATTAGGCACGTCAGGTCATGAAATACAGTCGGCAGGGCAGGGCAGCATCTACGAGTCGCGAGGCACCTCTCCGTCTAGGCGGCCTTCTTGAGGGCCTGCGTGTCCTTCTGCGCCTGCTGCGCCGAGACGCGCGGCACCGTGCCCAGGCCGAGCCAGCAGCCGGCCCGCTTCCACAGCGGCACCGTGTCCGGCCGGCTGGCGTTGCGCGGCAGGCCCGTGTAGATGAGGTCGTCCCACACGGGGAACGTGGCGCGCTGCAGGAAGCGCCACTGCCAGTCCGGGTACATGGCCGTGACGCGCCCCGAGGCCTTGTCGACGTACCACGAGCCGCAGCCCGTGCTGAACACGAGCTTCGCCATGGCGTGCTGGATCCACTGCTGCTCCTGCAGCTCGGCCTCGAGCTTGACGTCGACGCTGGGCAGCGCGCGCGCCGTCGGCAGCTGCGCCTGCCCGGGCAGGTGCTTGATCTGCGCGTCGGTGGGCCGCGGCGCCTGGACGATGGGCTTGATGAGCTCGATGATGTAGCTGATCTGCGCCTCGCTCGTAAAGATCAGGCTCATGTGGCCCGTCGCGCTGTTCGTGCCCACGCAGGTCTGGCAGGAGGCGGTCAGCATGCTTCTCGCGCAGTACGCCTGCTGGTAGCACTCACGAAGAAGTTGGGCAGGCCGCTGAGCATCGTCGAGCGGTATGACATGGGTCCGCCGCCGCCGTGGCGCTCAAAGTGCTCGTGGATCTCCCGGCCCTCCTTGTCCCAGATGGTCATCGGGAACCCGTTGCGCGCCGTGGCGAAGCCCGTGGCGAGGATGATCACATCCGCCGGGAGCTTGCGCCCGTCGGCCGTCTCGACGTGCTTGGGGTGGATCTTGACGAGCTTGCTCGACTCGAGGTGCACGTTGTTGCGCTTCAGCGCCGGCAGGTACGTCTCGTCAATCACGCGCCGCTTGCATCTGAGGGAAGGGCCGCGTCAGACGTGCATCGCGCGCAGCGCTGACCGCAGCGCACACTCACCCGACCTTCATCTCCTTCTGCGTCGTGAGCAGCATGGGCCAGTACTCCTTCGGCGCATTGTTCTTGACGTTGGCGGTGCACTTGCGCGCCCACCACCAGCGGAACACGTGGCCGATGGGGTTGAGCTGCGTGATGAAGAAGTGCGACTCGAGCACCATCCACACGAGGAAGCGCTGCAGGTTGCGGAAGAAGGCAAAGTGCCGCACGAGCCAGCGCCAGCCGGGCAGCTTCGTGAAGGGGTCCTTGGGCACGGGCGCGTACCAGTGCTTCGAGCGCACGAACTGCGTGAGCGACTTGGCCTTCTCCGCGACCGGCGGAACGAACTGCGTGGCGGAGCAGCCTGCAGCGCAGGTGTCAGACAAGTGCAGTCTCGCGCGCGTGCAGCGTGCAACCGCTCCCTCCTGCCCTCTCTCACGCCCCTCTGTCCGTCTGCCGTGCGACTCACCGTTGCCCACCACGATCACGTTCTTGTTGTTCAGGTCCGCGTCATGGTTCCAGCGCGCAGAGTGGAAGAGCGGGCCCTCGAACGTCTCGTGCCCGTCGATGGTGCACTCGTTGGGCTGGCTCAGGCCGCCAACGGCCGAGACAAAGACAGGCGCGACGTAGTGGTGCAGCTCGCCGCCGTCGACGTCCTCGCACCAGAGGTGCCAGAGGCTGGTCGACTTGTCGAAGCGCGCCTCGCGCACCGTCGTGGAGAGGTGCATGCGGTCGTTGAGGCGGTACTCGGCGACGACAGTGAGGAAGTCTGCGCGTGCGTGAGCGTCCTGCACAGATGTCACGCGAGCTCACCGGACGACTCACACTCGCGCAGCTCAGCCTGCTTGGGGAAGAAACTGCTCCAGTCCGTCTTCTGGCGGAAGGAGAAGGAGTACACGGGCGAGGGCACATCGCAGCCGGCGTTGGGGTACTGTACTCGAGGTCAGCGCTGTGCTGTGAGCTGACTGTTCAGTTGCTGCTCACTGTGTTCACGCTCCAGGCTGTAGTGGAGGCAGCAGTGCGTCAGCCAAGCTGCCAGCGCCTCGTCGCAACGACACCAAGTAGGGCGCCTGCCCTGCACTCCTCCCACCGCTCCACTCACTGCCGGCAGGCGCAGGCTCCTTGTCGAGGATGACAAAGTCCTCGACGCCGAGCCGCTTGCGCAGCATGCACGCCATAGCGATCCCGGAGACGCCCGCGCCGACGATGACGACCTGGCGGTACTGCGGGCGGATGTTCTTGCTTGCGTACGACGACATGTCGGGCGACAGCGAGATGGTGGAGCGGAGACAGGCGTTGCGAAGAATGCGGGGCCCGCCAGCGAGGTGGTGGAGCGGAGATAGGCGTTGCGAAGAGTGCGGGGTGCCTTATGAGGCGGCCGCTCATCGGGCGCCAGAGTGGCACGTCGGCGCAACCATGAGGGGCAAGCGAGCGAGACACCGCAGGCGCGCCGCGTGAAACGGCGGCGCAGCTGAGGGTCCTGACCGCCCGCTGCAGCCGAGTTCCGAAGCGCGGGGTGCTGACTAAGCAGAGCCCAACACCTCGGCAGGCGTCCCAACCCCTCCGCATTCTGACAAGGCACCGCACACCACCAGCCGAGAAGGAGATGAGCCGGTACAGCTGCAGGTGCAGGAGAGATACTGCAGGCAAACCGTGAGGTGAAGGAGCGCCGCCAAAGATGGCCGGACATCGGCGAGGTGGAGCAGCGGTCTGTGCGCGCGGCGCCGCGTCGGGTGACCGGTGCGTGCGGTGACTTCGCATGTCCGTCACCTGCTGAGCTCTACCACCACCTCGCTCCTGTCTCTTGTCTACGCGTCTCGCCAGCACCGCAGGCGCCATGTCGCCGCCGCAGCAGCGCACCTCGGGCCGCAAGCGCCGCGCACCGACGCATCTCGACGAGGCCTCGCAGTCGCCGCCGCCGCTCACCAAGCGCCCGCGCAAGGCCGTCGCTGCAGCACAGGCCGGCGGCTCGAAGCCAAAGGCCGCACGCACGACCAAGGCGAAGCAGCGAACAGCTTCTGCCAGCAAGAGTGCCAGCGCACAGCCAGAGGGCGCTCAGGATGGCGCGGCCTCCACCAACGGCGCGCAGGATGGGCCTTCTCTCGCTGCTGCCAACATGTCACCGGCCGAGCAGCCGGGCCAGGCGTCCGGCAGCGCAGGCGCAGCAGTCCACGGGGCAGCACCTCCGGCACCGCTCGCCGCGCCAGACCCAACCACGTCCGCACGAAGTCCCTCGCCCGTCATCACACGCGAAGCGCCCGAGGAGATCGAGCTGTCCGCCTCGCCCTCGCCGCAGCCACAGGCGCTCGGCGCCTCTGCGCTCACAGCACTTCCAGCCGACGTGCTCGAGGCACACCTGCCGGGAGCACGCGCACGCGTGCTGCAGCTGCTCGCTGGCTCGCTGCCGCCGCCGCGAACTCAGGGTGCTGAATGTGTCGGGCTCGGCAAGCAGTGGACAGACCTGCGAGGCGCACTCTTCTCCACTGTCGCGATGGGCGAGGGCAACAGCGCGCTTGTCATCGGGACGCGCGGCACGGGAAAGAGCTTGGTGAGTGGCTGAGCGTGCGGATCGGCGCCTCGCAGAGATGGTGGCCTGCAAGCCATAGCCATCACGTCTCAGCGCCCCTGTGCTGATGCTCATTCCCGTGCAGCTCTTGCACTCGGCACTGCGCTCTCTCCCGGCAGACAAGCCCTTCCACCACGTGCATCTCGACGCCTCAGTGCAGACGACAGACGCGCTCGCCATGCGCGAGCTGGCGCGTCAGCTTGTGCACGCCGGTGCTATCACTGTGCCGGATCAGGAGCGACTAGGTCTCTCGCGCACAATCGGCGGGCTGGAGGATGACGATGAGGCGTCAGAGGTCTCCGATGACGAGGAAGATGAGGACGCGGCTGCGCAGGCAGAAGCCAAGCCAGAGGCGACAGAGGAGGAGCTGAAGGAAGCGGTTGCCGGCGCAGTGCTAGTGAGTCAGCCTTGCGCTGTTGCAGCGGAGCGCTGCTGACGCGCGTGCAGTCCTCGATCGCGACGACGACGTCCACGCTCCTCACGCTGCTCTCGGGCGCGCCAGCCGGAGCGCTGCCGCTGGTGATCTCGCTCGGCACGTTTGACGCCTTCACGCCTCGGCCACGACAGGCACTGCTCTACGTGCTGCTCGATGCCGTTCAAGCCGGCTCATACGCGCCTGGCCTGGCTGTCATCGGCATGACGAGTCGGCTCGACACGACGGACCTGCTGGAGAAGCGTGTGCGCAGTCGCTTCTCGGGCCGCAGCATCAACGTCTACCCGCCCGGCGCCGCAGCGTGGCAGGCGTTGGCGCGCACAGCCCTCGAGCAAGGATTGTCCCCGAGCCTCGACGCGAGCGCTTTCAACACCGCTTGGTCACAGGACGTTGAAGTGAGTCTTGCGAAGCACGCGCCTCGTATCTAGCTGACACTGGAGTCCTCGCAGCGGATCATGGGCGACGGAGCATTTCAGCAGCTGCTGCGCGGACAGCATGAACTGAACGCAGACGTACGCGCACTCTATCGCATCTTTGTGCGTGTGCCGCTGAGCTGTCTACGAGTGCAAGTGCTGACTCTACTTCCGACCTGCAGACCGTCGCTGTCTCGGCTCTGTCGCCCGCCGCACCGGAGCTCGACCCACGATCGTTTGTGAACGCTGCGCTGGTGCAGCGTGCAGATGCGACAGAGAGCGTTCTAGGAGGTGCGTGCTGTCGCGGCGACCTCACGAGTCGCGTTGTCTGACCGCTTCACGCAGACCTGACAACGCCGGAGTTCGCGCTTTTGGTCGCTGCCAAGCATCTCGCGACGCGCGACCGCTCGGTCTTCAACTTCGAGATGTGCTTTGCTGAGCTTGCGCGCTGGGCCAAGCGCGCGCAGCGTGAACGCGAAGGCGCTGGCACCGGCGGCCTCGGTCTCGTAGGAGACGGGTCCACACGCAGTGCTCGGCGAACGGTTCAGCGATCCGGCGGCGGCAAGGAGGGCGGTGCTTTGGCCGATCGGCACCGCGCCATGATGGTGAGACCGCGCGTGCGTGCAGGAGCGAGAGCTGAAGCTGACTCGCGCACCTTCAGTCGTTCAACTCGCTCCTCGAGCTCGAGCTGTTCCTGCCCGACGCCATGTTCGCCACGATCTCGCACCTGCCCGGCCCGCAGGCGGGCAGTGCAGCCCTCTCGCGCACCGCGCGCGGCGCAGTGCGCACCGAGTACCTGCGTGTGCGCTGCGCTCTCGACGCTCCCGTCATCGCCCGCGCTGCCCGCAGTCGGGCTAGACGTGAGGCGCTCAGCACGAGCCTGATCCAGTGGGCCACCGCGGCCAGTGGCTGAGGGCCGCTCTTCACTCGCGCAGCGATGCCGGGTCTGTATGAATATAATCTAGGTGACTGAGCAGGTGGTGGTACAATGAGGTAGAAGGAGCAAAGGCACGGTCGATCAGGACTGCAGCACCTCGTGGCGCAGCGACGAGCCGGCACGCGGGCGGAAGAGGGTGGCTCCGCCCATGCCAGGCGGCGCCTCCTCGGGCGTCTCGTTGAGGTCCCAGACGCGCACCTGGCGGACGCGCGCCTTGAGCCAGCGCGGCTTGAGGCTGCCGCTGATCTTGGAGGCGCGCATCATGGACATCTCGCAGGAGAGCATGAGGAGGTGGGCGCCGTTCGAGACCATGCAGGGCCGGCTCGGAAGCGGCGCCGAGGCAGCGCGCCCAGGCGCACCGCCGTTGACGAGCACATGCGGCGGCGGAGCGGGGCCGCGAGTCAGGCGGGAGCGGCCGAGCGACGAGGTCCGGGCAGTGCGTGCCTGCGGGGCGACGAGTGGCGCAGCGGCCGCCTCAACGCTGACGCTGACCACTTTGACTTCGCCCGCGCGACCGCGGGTGTCGCTCGACTCGTCATCGCTCGAGCTGTTGGGGTCGACAGCGCCGACAGGTGGCAGCAGGGCGTTCTCGAGCGGCGCGGGCGGCGGCACGGCAGCTGCAGCGGCAGCCTGGCGGAGATGCTGAGCGGCGTGCGCAGCGGCCGCGGCGTAGCTAAGGTTGGGCGAGCTGCGCACGCGCGGCAGCGAGACGGCGGAGTGCTGAGAGTCGCCACCGCGGTTCGAGCGTCGCCGAGTGCCGGGAGAGCTGGAGAAGAGGCCGATGGCGTTCTGGCGTGGCGTCGCAGTCGTCGAGGGACTGGAGGTGCGGCCGGCGCGGCCAGCGCGACCGCGTGACTCGCGGCCGCTGCTGCGGCTGCTCGCCGCCTCGCGCTCGCGCGAAGCAGAGCCACGAGGACGGCGCGCGTTGCGCGGCACCTCTTCCTCGGAGGCTGAGCCTGAGCCTGAGAGCGAAGAGCCGTATGCGCTAAACGTCTCGGGCACCGGCTCCTGCACGGCTGGACGAGAGCAGCGAGGCGCAGCGCCGCTGGGGCTGCAGCGGCCGCGACGGCCGCGGCGCACCTTGCGGAAACCGTCGCTGTCCTCGTCGTCGCTCTGCCGCCGCGCGCGTTCAGACGCAGGCGCCGCGGGCGTCATCTCGTCATCCGTCAGGTCATCCGTGGAGCGCGCCTCCTCGTCCGAGCGCGGCTCGAGGCGCTCCTTCGAGGGCGAGCGCGAGAGCGAAGAGCTGCGCAGCTCCGGCGACGTCGGCGCCGAGACGGTGGACTCGACGAGATTCGGCGGCAGCTCGAGGAAGTCGCGCACGCGCATCCGGCCTCGGCTCGCCGGCAGTGGCTGGGCGAGCGACTTGGGCAGCAGCGGCTCGGATCCGCGCCGACGAGCTGCCGAGCGCCCTGCAAGGTCAAACTTGCCCGCTGCTCCCTCGTCAGCAGAGCTGCGCCGATCGTCGCCCGCCGGCGCAGCGTGCTCGTTGACGGGCCCGCGGCTGGCGCTGCGACTGCGCGTGCTACGGAAGGTCTGCAGGTGCATGACCGAGGAGAGCTCGGTGTCTGGGTCGATGGGCGCGCCGAGACCACTGACGTAGGCGCCCGTGTCGCGATCACCGTCCAGCGGACTGACGACGCCGCGCGCCTCCTTGATGTGCTCCACCGTGCTGCTGCGCCGCGACTGCGAGTCGCCGCTGTCCGAGCTGCAGCGACTGAGCGGCGAGCGGCCGGGAGAGTTGGGCGTGGTGGGCGACGAGGGCAGTCCGATCGGCAGGACCGTGGGCGACGGCGGCAGACCGAGGTGCGTGGCGGCTTCGTGCGCATCGACACGCTTCGGCGACGTAGGTCCCTGCGCGTCGTGCGCCACTGCGGGCGCCCGCGCCGTCAAGGCCGGCAGAAGAATGAGGTTTGGCAGGCGCGCCAGGCGGCGCCACGAGGCGCTGAACAGGCTCTCGTCTGCATGCGTGGAGACCGCGACTGGTGCAGCTGACGCCGAAGGCACCATAGGCTCCATAGCCGGCGGCGGCACGAACGCCGCAGCCGACTGCGGTGCGGCGGGCTCTGTGCGCGGCGGCGAAGCTGGAGTGGCGGCGGCCACCGATGCGTCGTCCGCTGCAGTGCTGCGAGACCACAGGCGCAAGTGGCTGCCGATGGCAGTGATGCGCTCCTGGTACGCCGCCGCAAATCCGCTGCGGCGCGCAGCCTCGTGCTCGGTACCCTCGGGCGAGGCATAGGCGCCGCGCGTCTGGCGCAGACGGTTGCCGCTGAGGCCGCTGGAGCCGCTGGAGCGCCGCCGCCGCTCGCTCTCTGAGTCCCACTCGACGGCAGGCACAGCGACGAGGTCGGCGATGCCGCCCTGAGTTGGACACAGCAGCGGGTCCGCCTCGGGCTCCAGCTCGATGCGCAGTGCCGGCTGCGTACCACTGGCAGCGCTGCCCGAGCTGCCGGCGCTGCGCGCCAGAGCGCCAGCCGGTGGGCTGATGCTGATGGAGAGATCGCGACGCGCCGGCTGTAGCGCTGCCTCGCCGCCTACAAGCCGCGCCAGCTTCTGTGCCGCACGGCTAGGCGGCGGCGAGCGCGAAGCGAGCGCCGCGCGGCGGGTCGAGCGGCTGCGCCGACGGATGAGCAGCGCAGAGGCTGGCACGGACGCCGAGCGCATGTCGAGTCCTTCGCCCTCGTCATCCGCCTCGTGCGTCTCAGCGGCTGGAGTTGTGTCCTCGCGCGGCAAGACGTCGATAAGCACAGCGTCCTCCTTGCTTCGTTGCCGCCGCCGCGCTCGGAACTCGAGCGTGTGCTCGCAGCTGCTGCTGCGGCTGCTCACAACGCTCGTGCCGCTCATGCCGTCGTGGTCTGAGCTGGTGCTCGCGCTCGTCGTGGCCGTGCCCAGGCTTGTCGCACATGATGCAGGCTCCTCCGAGGCCGCGCTGTGCGCCTTGGCCGAGCCAGAGACGGGCCGCAGCAGCACGCGCAGGCCACGACGACGCTCGCGCGAAGCAATGCTGCTGCGCCGCGAGTGGTTGCGCGACGAGTGCGACGAGGCGCCAAGCTCCTCGCTGTCGGAAAGAGAGGACGAAGAGAGGGCATGCCGCTCACCCTCGTCGTCGGAGAAGAGCGCGCCGTCGAGATCGATGCTCGTGCGGCTCGGCGGACGGCTCAGAATGCTGCTTGCCCGACTTGTCCGCGTCGCAGGCAAGTGCCCAGCGAGGCGCACGGTTCCGTCTGCGTGCGCTGTCCGCTCGCTGTCTGCGCCACCGTCGCCGTCGCCGCTTGAGTCCTCAGCGCCACTGAGGACGCTCGCGCTGGCGCCTCTGCGGCCTAGCCGCGACGGCGACACGTTGGCCGAGCGGCCACGACTCACTGCAGCCAGACTCGGCAGCGCAGGCGCAAGCCGGATGGCCGACTCCTTGCCCGGCGCGCTGGCGCTCGGCCGGACACGCGGCGGTGCGGGCGCGCGCGAGGACGGGGCGGGCGAGGACTCGCGCGACGCTGTGGCGTTGAGCGCACAGAGCTGCGGCGACGAGCCCGCCGTCGTAAAGAAGGCAGAACGCGCCGTACGCAGCAGCGTCGGCGTTAGGGCGCCTGCGCTGGCGGCAAGCGACTCTGCTGAGACGGCGTTTGGCGGGCTGCGCGCGACAAGGGTGCCGGCACGCGGCCGCCGTGCCGGGCTTCCGGGCGCAGACTGCCGCGAGCTGGAGCCGGACGCTTCGCCGCCGACGGCGCCGGAGCCCTGCGTCGAAGCAGAGTCGTCGGACGCTGCGCCTGCAGCCTCGTCGCCGTGCCGCCGCCGGTCGCGTGAGGTGCGGCTGCGGTGCGAGCGGCGCGGCTCGTCCTGGTCGCTGAGCACGGCGGACGGGTCGTGTGCGCGCTGCTTGGAGCGCACGCGGCTCGAGGCGTTCGAGAGACTGCGGCTCGGGATGAGCGAGTAGGGCACGGGTGCGCCCGACGCTGCGCGCTCGGCGGCGAGGGCGGCGAGGAGGCGCTGCGCCTCGATGCCGCTGCTGCTGCCGGCAAGGCTTTGCTGCTGGTGCGACGAGCCGGAGCTGCTGCTGCCAGCGCGCATCGCCTCCGAGCCGCTGCTGCTGCGGTGTGCGCGCTGGTGTTGTTGCTGCTGGTGCTGCTGCGCGCGCGGCATGGCGTGCGCCGGCGCAGCGGCCACTGGGCCGTGGTGCATGCTGGGCAGCACGGGCTGCAGACGCGGCGGCGCAGAGGCGCAGCGGCGTGTGTGTGTGCGAGCGCGACGAGGGTGCGCTCAGATGTGGTGTCGATGGCGAAGGGCGCACTCAGGCGAAGTGGGGTCTGCGCGTGCGGTGCTTGAGCGCGTGTGCCGGGTGGCCAGGCTCGCTATCGCGCGACTCACGAACTCGGCGCTGGAGTGGCGGCGCGGTGTCGTGCGGGCGCGCGCGCAGCCAGACGGGCGCACGCAGAGATTGCGCAAGCGAGGTGCGCAGAGGGTGTTGTGAGAGAGCGAGACGATGGTGTGTGCGCCCGGCGGTGGTGCGAGGCGTGGGGTGATATGATGTGAGGAGTCAGTGGCTGCGCCCGGGGTGCTGGTGCTCGTTCGGGCTCGCGCTCGCGGTGGCCAAGCTCGGGCGTGCGCACGCCGCACGCCAGCTCCGGCCAGCGGCAGCAGCGCGTGCGGCGAGAGAGCGAGAGGACGCGCGCGCGGCACCGCAGCCGCGGCGGCAGCAGCGTGCAGGCGGCCGCCTGAGCCCTGCATGCACAGGCACTAGAGCAGCGTCAGCATGCAGGCGCCGCAGGAGAGCAGCGGCCGCCCAGCACACGACTCGTCCCCTGCCGCGCGTCCTCTCTCGCTGCCCGCGCTCGCATCGCTCCACAACGGCCCATCAGCACCACGTTTTCGCTGCTCCTCGCCTCCGGTTCCGCGCTTCGTCGCCTCTTGTTCGCGACGAGAGTGCAGCACATCTACCTCCTGTCGCCAGGGCGGTCGCCTTCCGCGAGGAGCGTGGCGCATCATCGCGGCGTCTCGCAAGAGGCACAGAGTGCGGGCGGAGCTGGCGCGCGGTGCCGCGGCTGCGCGCGTGACTGGCGGCTGGCGTGCGGCAGGGCGAGTCACGGCGCGCCCAATTCTGCCCTTCACGGCGCGAGTCACGCGGCGGCTCCTCTTCCGCCTCGCCGAAGCCGAGCCCGCATCTCGGGCGCATGGCCAGCCAGGCGCGCGCCAGAAGCAGTTGAGCCGCCCGGTCTGCGGGCAACTGCAGGGGCCAAAATGAAGCAGCGGCGGCAGGCACCGCAGCGGCCGCGCAGCGACGCGGCTTCGGTGCGGCGTTGCGCCTCCTCGTCACTTCGCGGCGCCCGACTTTGCCGGCCGGGCGTCATGCAGGCAGATCGCCCGCAAGGCTGCACGCTGCACGCGTGGCAGCAATCAACGGCTCGCCTCGTTCGAGCGCAGAGGGGCCGCGCCGGGAACGGCGAGGGGAGAGGCGGAAGCCCTGCGGTGCCGCTGCATCTGGACGCCGCCCGAGGTGCCGAGCATGTGCGCAGCTCTTGCTGCAGAGCAACGCGCTACGGTCAAACCGTCCTGGCACACGAGCTCGGCCGTGCTCGTCGCGGGCAGCGGTATGACCGCACCTGGAGCGCGGCGTGCAGAGCGCAGGAAGAGAGCATCTCTCGCGCGGCATCAGCGCTTTCGTCCGAGCCACGAGCCGGAGATCTGCGCGACGGAGGAACAGACGCTCGGCACACGGCAGCGGTGCGTCCGAGAAGCGGCTTATTGGTTGCGCGCTCGCAGCCTTGGCTTGCCATGGAAGCGCAGGCAAGTGCCAGCGCGGGCCTGCTGCTGCAGCTTGCGCCTTCCAGCGCTCGGAGGGTTGCCTTGCGGGGCCTTTGTGGGTGCGCCAAGGGACACGGCGCTCGGCAAAGCGGCATGCGGGCGTGGCAGCGGGAGCGGGAGCAGCGCGCCGGCGGCGAGCGCGCCTCCTCTGCGCTGGACGCCCTCCTCGCTCATCTCTCGCGTTGCAGCGTCGTCGCCACGCCACGTCAACCACATGTCCAGCAGCGCATGAACGGCCTCCAGCAGAGCTCCTCTCCTGGCTGGAGGCTGTCTGCTGCTGCGTCTGCTGCGTCTTCCGCGCCGCATGCCCTGCGGTGGCGCTCACGAGTTTGGCGGGCCAATTCTGCGCCTTTCCTCAGCCGCACTCGTGGCGAGGGGAATTGAAGCGCCGCCGCGCGCACCCGAGAGGTCATTGTCGTCGTTCGCTGCAGAGGGGAGTTGAGGCCTTCGCCACGAAGCTCCGCTCCGCCGGTCTGCGAGGGGCGGGTGAACGAGCGCTGCAGCCCTGCAGCGAGCCCTGCAAGCTGGTGCTGCGTTTGCCGCCTCGCCTTCTTTCTCATTTCCGCCGCGCACCGTGCCTGGTGCTACATTTCGTCGCGGAGCCGAGCATCCCCCTATGCGATGGGAAGGGAGGCACTTTGCGCGTCAGCGGCGTGCTGTTTGCAACTGAGAGGGGCGCTTTGCTCGAGAAGAAGCTCGGCTCAGGGGAAAGGGCGTCACCGAGACGCTCGCGTCGCGTTTTTGGAACGCCGAGGCGCGGCGCGCCCCATCGAAAGGCGTGCTGGCCAACCCCAGAGAGCGGACTGCAGGCAAATCGTGACTTGGCTTGCAGGCTGCAATGCGGCAGCATGCACCACGGACGTGCGTGCGGGACGAGAGGTGGCTTGTCGGCCGCAGCAGCAGCGCATGCAGTCGCAGCGTGCAGCATGCAGAGCCGGCACACGAGGCGGCAGCGTGCAGCGGCATCCGGAGGGGCCGCGAGGGGAGCAACTCCGCCGCTGTTGCGAGCACAGAGAGGGCAGCGCAGCCGCAGCAGCCACAGCTCCGCAAGCGTCTTCATGCACGCCGTAATGCGGCCTTCGCCACTCTGACGCCTCTCCGAAGAGCGCCTGCGCTCGAATTAGGCTTGCACCGCGCACAGGTCGTGTGACCGAGCCATGGCTCGGCCGCACGCTCGGCAACCCCAGCGGAGTCAGAGGCCTCGGGGAGCAGCTGACCAAGCAAGATGTGCAGTAGAACCCCAGGGCCCCTCCTCAGCAGCGAGAGCGGGCGAAAGAGCAGCTTAGAGCGCTGCACCAAGCACTCGGCACCGGCACTGCTGCACGGCCCCTGGGGCGCTGCGGCTGGGGTGCGGCATCTGCCGCTCGCTGGCAAGATGATCCGCTGTGGCTATGCCGCCGGGACCTTGTGCGGAGTGTGGTGCGGCAGGCGGTGGGGCAACCGGACATCCCGCTGGAGGCTTCTTGGCCCGGCCTGCGGCCGTCTGCTGACCCTACATACTCGGCTCGACTCGTCTTCCGCTGCAGAAGCAAGATGCACTGCGGTACGGCCGCGCTTCGTCCAGCAGAGTGGGGCTCGCTGCGGCAGATGTGATCTCAGCGGAGTTTGCCCAAGCTGGGCCACGCTAAGCAAGGCGCACCGAGCTCGGGATGCCCGCTCCGACTTGGCCGTAGCGTCGTGTACCCCGCACCACATGCTCACCGGTCCGAGCCGCCGGGACACCGCACCGCTGCAAGCTTGCTGGCAGACCTCGGGCTCACCGGTCCTGCCTGCTGCGTCCCTGCGGACACATGCCCTCCGCTTGCAGCTGAGGCGAGTGCGCTGCCAAGCTCAAGGTGTGCAGCGACGCGGCGGAGAAGCAGCCTCGAGCCCGCCACGCATGCGACACGCTTCGCCTCTGCGGTAAGGTCGAGTCCAATCTATAATGACATTGCACGGAAGACCACATCTTGCAGCAGTACCGCGGCTATGAGCTCCACGACTCGAAGCCCGTGTACCGCACGCCGGCGCCCTCCTGCACGGTGCCCATGGTGACGACGTCCTTCTCGCCGCCCTGTGCGAGCGCCTCGAGCACGCCCTCCACGCTCTCCTTGGCCACGACGAGCACCATGCCGATGCCGCAGTTGAATGTGCGGCACATCTCCTTGGCCTCGACGCCGCCGACCTTCTGCAGCCAGGCGAACAGCGGCGGCTGCTGCCACGCGCTCACGTCGACGACGGCGCCGAGGTGCGCCGGCAGGATGCGCGGGATGTTGTCCGTGAAGCCGCCGCCGGTGATGTGCGACAGGGCGCGCAGGCCCTTCCAGCTGGCGTGCGGCGCGGCGCCGTCGGCGAGGCCGAGCAGCGGCGAGAGGGCATCGACGTAGATGCGCGTGGGCTCAAGCAGTGCCTCGGCGAGCGTGGCGTGGCCCTTGGGAGAGGCAAAGGGCGTAGGCGCAGAGAGCTGGGCGGCGCCCCGCTCGACGATCTTGCGCACGAGCGAGAAGCCGTTGGAGTGCACGCCCGACGAGCGCAGGCCGAGCAGCACGTCGCCGGCCTGCACGGCGTCGACGCGCGGCAGCAGCAGCTCGCGCTCGACGGCGCCGACGGCAAAGCCGGCCAGGTCGTAGTCGTCGCCCTCGTACATGCCCGGCATCTCGGCCGTCTCGCCGCCGATGAGGCCGCAGTGCGACTGCCGGCAGCCGGCGGCGACACCGGCAACGACAGCCGAGGCAATCGGCACGTCGAGCTTGCTGCACGCAAAGTAGTCGAGGAAGTAGAGCGGCGCGGCGCCCTGCACCAGCAGGTCGTTGACGGACATGGCCACAAGGTCGATGCCTGGTCGGATCCAGTAAGCGGAGGCGCGAGTCAGGCGGCCGCGCAACACTCACCGACGCTGTCGTGCTTCTTGGCGTCAATAGCCACGCGCAGCTTGGTGCCCACGCCGTCCGTGCCGCTGACAAGGACGGGGTCCTTGAACTGGCAGGCCTTGAGGTCGAACACGCCGCCGAAGCCGCCCAGGCTGGCGTCGCAGCCTGGCCGCCGTGTGCTCTTGGCCGCCGGCTTGATGGCCTCGACGAGCGCGTTGCCCGCGTCCACGTCCACGCCCGCCTGGGCATACGTCAGGCCGCCCTGACTTGCAGCTGCCTGAGCGGGCTTGAGAGCGCGGTGCGCAATGTCCCGGCGCACCACCATGCCCTCGAACGAGATGCAGTCCACGCCCGCGTATGCGAGCTTGACAGCGTCCTGCAGCGTCTCGCCGGCGGCAGAGACGACAAGCACGCGGCCGCCAGCCGTGAGCAGCTCGCCAGCCGGGCCGCGCTTCGTGCCGGCGTGGTAAACCTTGACGCCGGCCGGCAGCTCGCCGATGGTGATCGGCACGCCCGTGCTGTACTTGCCCGGGTAGCCGCCCGAGGCAAGCACGACGGAGACGGCAGCGCCAGGCCGCGTCTGGCACACGACCGAGTCAAGGCGGCGCTCGACGCACGCCAGCATGAGCTCGGCGAGGCCGACGCCGTTCGAGACGTCGATGAGCTCGAGCGCGGCCTCCGTCTCGGGGTCACCGAAGCGAACATTGTACTCCAGCACCTGCGGGCCCTGCTCGGTGAGCATGATGCCGGTGAAGAGCAGGCCGACGAAGGGGAAGCCGTCGCGCCGCATGCCGGCAATCGACGGCGCAATGATCTCGCGCTCGATGCGCTCGGTCATGCCAGGCACGAGGCCCTCGGGCGCGGGCGTGTAGGCGCCCATGCCGCCCGTGTTCGGGCCCGTGTCGCCCTCGCCGATGCGCTTGTGGTCCTGGCAGCACGGCAGCGAGTAGGTGCTGTAGCCGTCCGAAAAGGTCAGGATCGAGAGCTCGGGGCCAGAGAGGCGCGCCTCGATGAGCAGCGACGAGCCTGGCGCACAGCTCCGTCAGTAGGTGCACAGCCAGGCGCTGCGATGCCAGCCGCATCGCGCCGGCACTACACTCACCAGCCTCGCCGAACGTCTTGCGCACGAGAATGTCCTGCAGGCCCTCCTCGCACTCCTCCTCCGTCTCGGGCAGCAGCACGCCCTTGCCGGCGGCCAGGCCGCTGGCCTTGAGCACGACGCGCTGGGCGCCGCCGCAGCTGCGCACAAAGTTGCGCGCGTCGACGAGCTGCGTCGCGTCGAAGGCGGCAAAGGCGGCCGTGGGGATGTTGTGCCGCGCCATGAAGGCCTTGGCAAGCGTCTTGCTGCCCTCCATCTGGGCGGCGATGGGTGACGGGCCGAAAACGGGAATGCCGACTGCAGCACGCGGGTGAGCGGAGAGCGCACGGCGGATCCACAGCAGCAGACGCACCAGCGCGGAAGGCGGCCTCGACGCCGTCGACGAGCGGCTGCTCAGGGCCGGGAATGCAGAGGTTGATCTGCGAGAGGTATCAGCATAGAGCTCCGTCAGGCGTGGTTTGTGCAACGGCACGCGCTGTTGCCAGCACGATCGCAAGTGACTGCGCACTCGCGCTGCATGACCGCGCACAGGAGCCAGGAGCTGTCGTACTGGCCATGTCAGAGCAGAATTCGCCTCTGACGGTCCATGCCCGGCAGCATATTCCTCTCCGCGCCTGCTCTGCCTACGTTCCTCCAAGCTGCTCTGCCTGGCTGTGCTGCAGAGGAGTGCCCTCTCTCTGGCTACGCGCACGAGAGTTGCCTCGCAGCCGGCTCCCTGTGACTCCCGCTCTTTGAAGCCTTCGCCGCCGCCGTCTGGCGACCGCACTCACCTGCTGCTGCACGGCCCACTGCACAATGGCCGCGAAGCCGTCGGCCGGCGTGGCAGGCACATCGACGTTGCTGGCGCGCGGTGGCATGGCGGTGCCGCCGTTGCCGGGCGCGACGTACACGTGCTGCACGCGCGGCGAGGCGAGGAGGTGTGCGGCCAGCGCATGCTCGCGCCCGCCGGCGCCGAGGAGAAGCACGCGCAGCGGCGCAGGTGCAGGGAGTGCCATGGTGAGAGTGAGATGAGTGTGTGGAGAGAAGGAACGGCGCCGCCAGGCGGGCGAGTCAGAGGATCTGGACCGCGGCGCGCGTTGCACTGCGCGGCCGCGAAGCTCTTCCCGCTGCTCTCCTGCCGCAGAATTTGGCGGCGGCCATCTCCGCGGCGACCGCGGCGCAGGCGCGAGAATTATCTGGCGGCGCCTTGCCTCGACTTCGCCCGCCGGCGCCCTCCATCTCGCCCTCACCACACCAAGCAAGACCCTCAGACAGCCGTTCTTGTCGCCTGCGTCGTCACTCGCACCGCCGCACACGCTATACATACACCGGCGCACGCGCGCCTGCCTCTCCGCCGCCATGCCGACGCCCGACCTGCTCTCGTCGCCCACCACCGCCCTCCTCACCCTCGTCAACGTCAGCGCCACAAAGCCGCACAAGCGCCGGCGCTCGCTGCTCGCCGCCTCGCCCGCCACACGCCGCCGCCTGGGACACAGTGCCGCCGAAGCAGACGCAGCGGGCTCCGAGTCTGCACCCAGCGCCGTCGAGCGCCTGCATGCAAAGGCCAGCGCCGCCGTGCGCGCCGAACGCCGCGGCGAGCTGCCGGCTCTGGCCGGTGCCGAGGCCGAGGTGGAAGAGGCCCTCGAGGCAGCGCACAGCTCTGACGAGGACGACGATGCCGCGGCTGGCAGCAGTGCCAAGCCCGCCGCGGCCGTGGACGGCTTCGAGGCGCACTTTGCGTCCGAGGGTGCCGGCTGCCATGCCGAGCTGCTGCAGAGCCGCTTCCCAAACGCGCAGGACGGCGCACTGCCGCTGGAGTGGAGCGAGGGGGCGGACGCGAAGCGCGCAGCTCTGCTTGGAGCAGCAGCACGACGGGCGCGCGTGCAGGGCATTGAGGAGGTGGAGGCAAAGGTGAGTGCGCCCGTGTGTCAAGCCCGCAGACGCGCCGATCTGACTCCTGCGCCAGCCCCACGCGAACGTGCTAGCTGCGCTCAGCAAGCTGCGGTCACAAGCGCGTGCGTATACTCGTCCTGTCTGTCATGCCTGTCCCTAGGCAACGCTCACACGTAATGCGCAGCCATGACGAAGGAGCAGCGCTCGCTGCTGAGCTGCATCAGCGGCTACGGCGATCTGCTGCACTCGCACGTGCCGCACTCGCGCCGCGAGCGGGCAGACATGCGTCAGGTGCTGGCCACGCATGCCATGAGCCACCTCACCAAGTGCGTTCTTTGCCTCTGCTGCGCTTCATCCAGCTAATACCGGCGGCCTTGCAGGACTCGCCGGCGGATTCTGCGCAACAACGAGAAGCTGGCGCGTGCGGCCTCGAACGGCACGGCGCTCGTAGCGCCGCGCGACCAAGGCTTCACTCGGCCTACGCTGCTTGTCCTTGCGCCGCTGCGTTCGACTGCGTACGAGTGGCTGTCGACGCTCTTTGCCCTGTCCGGCTGCGAGCAGAACGACAACCAGTCTCGCTTCGAGCGCGAGTTCGGCCCGGATCCGCTGCTTGAGGCCGCCGCATCTGCTGGCGAGTCGACGGGAGACCACGCGCAGATCTTTGCTGGCAACGCAGACGACAACTTCCGCATGGGCGTCAAGATCACGCGCAAGAACTGGCGCGCCTTCAGCGGCTGGTATGAGAGCGACATCGTCGTCGCATCGCCGCTCGGCCTGCGACTGGCGATTGAGAAGGACAAGTAAGTACTGCAAGCCGCGCTGCTCAGCTTAGACGGTGCTGAGACAAGCGCTCGCCAGGGATGCAGACTTCCTGAGCTCCATCGAGATCGTCATTGGCGATCAGCTTGACATCATGCAGATGCAGAACTGGGAGCACGTCCAGGTCAGTCGTGAGATTCTCGTGCCTGTGTGGCGCTGCGGCTGACACCTTCTCGGCGCCGCAGTACGTCTTCTCGCACCTCTCCGCCATTCCCAAGGCCTCGCACGACACCGACTTCGCGCGTGTGCGGCAGTGGTACCTCGATGGCCGCGCACCGCACATGCGCCAGACGATCCTGCTCTCGGCATACGACGCGCCCGAGATGCGCTCGCTGTGGCGTGGCCTCGTCAATGTGGCGGGCAAGCGGCGCGCGGGCGTCAAGGAGGAGGGTGTGATGGGAGAGATCAGAGAGGGCATTCGGCAGGTGAGAGAGGAGCGGCATCGCACTGTGATGCAGCCTGCTGACACTGCTGCCAGAACTTCACGCGCTTCGACTGTGCAAATCTCAACGCCGAGGCCGATCTGCGCTTCCAGCACTTCACGAACAAGGTGAGCTGCTCCTCTGCTCGCCTGCTCTTCGGAGAGTTGCTCATCTCGCTGTCCCCGCAGACGCTGCCTCTCCTGCTCAAGTCGGCCGTGAGCGCCACCAAGACGCTGATCTTCGTGCCCTCGTACTTCGACTTTGTCCGGCTCGACGCCTACCTGCGCAAGCAGGACGTCTCATTTGCCGCCATCTCCGAGTGAGCAGCCGATCTTGTGCTGCCATGCTGCCTCAGCGACTGATCCCGGCTGCAGGTACTCCTCGAACAAGGACATCTCGCGGGCGCGGCAGGCCTTCTTCTCCGGCAAGAAGGCGTTCTTGCTCGTCACTGAGCGCTTCCACTTCTACCGGCGGTGCGTTGTCGTCTTTGCTTTCAGCCTGCCTGGCTCTCCCGCTCACCGTCCTGCCCGCAGCTACGTGCTTCGCGGCGCCCAGACGCTCGTCTTCTACGCGCTGCCCGAGCGTCCGTCGTTCTACGCCGAGTTTCTCTCCTTCCCCTTCGCGCCGCGGCAGGCGCGTGCCGGCGCCGCTGCCGAGGACGACGACGAGGAGCCGGAGCTCGACGCCGCAGACGTCAGCGTGCTCGCGGCCTACTCGCGCTACGACCTCATGCGCCTGCAGCGCATCGTCGGCTCTGCGCAGGCGCAGCGTATGGTCACGGAGGAGAAGAGCAACTGGCGGTTCACCTAGGCGGAGGCCAGGGCAATGAGATGCGCTGCCTTCTATCAGTCTCAGACACAGTCGCACAGGTGACGCGTGGTGATTGCGGCTCGCTCTGCCAACTGCATCCGGGCTAGGGCATTCTCACAGGTGCGCGAGGCATGGCCGCCGCCAGGTCGGCGTGCGAGGTGCTGGTGTCTGGGCTGAGGCTGCTGCGCGCAGCCCACGACGTGTCCATCTCGACGTCCTCGGGCTCGTCGGCGAGGAGCGACTTGTGCGGCGAGGGCGCGGCGCCGCTCATGAGGAACGCCGACGGCGGCAGGCCGACGCTGAGCTCGGGCGTGGCGCGGTGCAGCGAGTGGGCGTGCATGAGAGGGTGTGGCGGATGAGGGTGCGGCGGGAAGGAGAGACCGCTGTCGTTGGACATGGGCGAGCCGTCGATGAATGGAGAGACGCTGCCGCCGGCAGCCGGCGACGAGGCGCCGCTGTGAGGCGCACTGCTAAGCATGGGGCCATGCGCGTGGGTGCGGGGCAGGACGCCGGGCGGCATCGTGTGCGGAATGGAGATGGACGCCGTGCCGCTGGGCGCCGAGAGCATCGGCCCTGAAGAGGCCGGAATGATGGGCGCAGGAGCTGCGGACGTCGATGCCGGCGCTGCAGAAGAGGCTGGCTTTGCTGTGGAGCCTGAGGCCTCGGGCGCCGAGGAAGCGCCGGCCTTCGAGGCGCCACGGCGCACTGGCTTCTCCTCATCGTACTTCGGCGGCGGAGGCACGTCCGGTACCTGTGGGGACACTGGCATCAGCGCACAAGTGTGAGGGACTGACAGCGCCGGACTCACCACAAGTCGACCAGCCTTCCATCTCGCGCCACAGGCATTGCAGAGCTGGCTGGGGCCGGCGGGGCCGCGTCGCCACATTGGCGTCGACAGTGTGCCGCAGGCGCCACAACTCTTGCGGCTGCCATCGGGATTGTGCGTTGCGACGTGGCGCTTGCGCTTCTTCGGTGGCTCCACCTCTCCTGCGGGCCCAGTTGCTGCCACAGTAGAGGATGATGTGGCAGCTGCAGGTCCACGGAAGAGAGCGCGACTTGCGTTGCTGGTCGCTGTGCCCGTCGCGCCACTGCCGCTTCCGTGGGACTTCTCCTCGGAGACGATGGGCATTGATGGCCCTGCAGGACCGCCAGCACCTCCGCTGGCGATCTTGCGCTTGGCGCTGGGGCGCCCGGCAATTTGCATGATGCGCACGCCGAACTTGTCCGAGAGATGCTCCTCGAGACCCTTCGGAATCAAAGCTGCGGGCACGGAGTAGGCGAGCGGCTTGGAGCGAGGCAAGGCTGCCACCTGGAGTGCAACAGCGTGTCAGCCAGTCAGGTCTGTGCAACGTGCAAAGCAATAGCGACACTCACGAGTCTGGCAGTCTCTCTGATCGTCTCATCGCGCACCGCGCTCTCCTTGTGCTGCATCTCCATGCCCTTCTCGTCCCACGTACGGCACGCCTCAAAGCGACCGAAGGCATCCCACAACGCCTCGCTGACGCCCTCCAACGTCCAAGTGATTGGCGCACGTGCCGGCGGCGCATCTTTCAGGCCGGCCGGCAGCGCCTCGGAGCCAGGGAGCGGCAGGAAGAACGTAATACGGATGCGTGCTGGCGAGCCACGGGCGACACGAGATCCGGTGCGCTTCTCCGCGCCGGCCTGCTGGCTCGCCTCGGCGACGGCAGCGGGAATGGCGGTGCGCCGCTCGATGCTGGCATCGCGCCAAATGGGCAGCGAGAAGCGCGCCGACGGGTTTTCGCGGTACTCGAGAATGAGGATAGGCACGGGCGCGGCCGGCGTTGCTGATGATGCAGCGCTCGTCGATGCTGCTACGGGAGCAGAGGAGGAGCTGGGCTTGGACGCTGCCGGCGCTGATGGCGCGGCGGGCGCGGAAGAAGCAGAAGCGGCGGGAGCAGAGGTGCTCGTGCTGGCTGCACCGCGCGAGCCAGGCGGTGGTCCGGGCGTCGCAGCAGGAGCAGTGGCTCCCTGAGTCGCCGTCTTTGTCTGCGCACTCGCAGACGTCGAGGTGCCGCTCGCCTTTGGGTCCTCCAGCAGGCCCTCCTTCCTCAGCTCCTCCGTCACGCCGCCGATCCAGACGCCGAGATGGTGCAGCTGCTCCGACGTCGCCGAGCCCGACGCCGCCGCGTGCAGCAGCGCCTGCAGCGCCGGGTCCGTCGCTGCCTTCTCGTTGACACGCGTGACGAGCGCAGGCGAGATTGGCGGCCGCGGCTTAGGTGCCGGCGGCGCTGGCGGTGCGTGCGCAGAGGGCAGACGTGACGGCGCAAAGGGCACGTGCTTGGAGGAAGAGGACGTCGAGGCAGCGGTAGGAGGAGCAGCTGATGAGCTCGACGCTCCGGCGCTGCTTGAGGCCGCAGCGGCGGTGCCGGGCTTTGGCTCCTCCTCGCGCACCTCCCACACCTTGGTGCCGCCAAAGACGTGCGGCCCACAGCGGATCTCCACGCGGCCCAGCTGCAGCAGCACGTGCGGCTTGCGCGGATCGAGCGCACGCGGCAGGCGCTGCGTGACCGGATAGGTGATGCCGTTGCGCTGCCGTGTCGAGAAGACGGGCAGCAGCGAGGTGAGGTGGAGGAGACGCGACTGGCGCAGCGATTGCAGGAGGATGGCGCTGCGAGGGATGAGCCTAGGGCGAGATACGAAGATGAGAGCAACTCACCTGTCGGCAATGCTCAGCGCTGCGGGGGCCGGCGAGGCCTGCTTGCCCTTGCCCTTGCCCTTGCCCTTGCCCTTTCCCTCGACTGCCTCTTCCAGCTCGTCCTGTTCCTCCTCTGCCTGCTCTTCTGCCATCTCCGCATCGTCACCGTCTGCCAGGCGCTGCTGCTGTGCTCTGCGCTCTTCCTCCTCGCGCAGCTCTCTGTCCCTGCGCTCCTCCCACTTTGTGCGCTCGCGCAGCGTCGGTAGCGCAAAGGGCACGACGAGCTCGGGCGCCGCTCGCCGCGCACCGCCGGCGGCCGAGAGCGTGCCGGGTGCGGCCGGGCCCGGCAGCGAGAAGCCGATGGTGCCGCCGAGCTTGGAGGAGAGCGAGGGCGCGGCGGCCATGGCGGGCGGGTGCGTGCGGCGGGCCACGCAGAAGGCAGCGAGGGAGGATGGTGGAGAGGGAGAAGGCCGGAGCGCACGAGAAGGTCGAGGCTGAGGTTGTATTGCGCACTTCAAGTCCCGGCGCTCGCTGCTGTATTGACCCTGGCGGGTGTTCCCACGCGCCGCTGCGCTGAGCTGGCAGTGCGCACGGCCGGCGTCCTCCCTAGAATAGCCATTCCCGCCCCTGGCTGCTCACCACATCCTCCTCGTCGCACCTCTCGCCTTCCGATTCCTCTGGCCTTACTCTGGCAGAGCGCTGAGAGTCCGCTGAGCAGCATGGTCTCGCCTCGCCCGCAGCCGCAGCGCGGGCTCAGCTCGCTCGCCGCGCGTGCAGCGGCAGCAGCAGCGGCCGTGGGCGACGACAGCGCTGTGCGGACGCCGCAGTCAGCAGCTGTGAGTGGCCGGCTATCGTGTCGACTGGCATCAGATACCAGCCGCTCGCTGAGGCAGGCGCATCGCTGACGCTATCCTCGCCTGCTGCAGAGCACGCCCCGCCCGGCCTACGCGCGGCGGCAGTCCAGCGCCGACTTTGGCGCCTTTGTCGGCTCCTCGTCGGCGCTCGACTGGGGCATCGATGCCGGCGCAAGCTCTTCTGCTTCACCGTCTGCTGCGGCGCCGACGTCGCAGCCCGACTGGTCGGCGTGGGACTCGCTCGCCTCCTCCTCCACCGCCACGCCGCTGCCCTCCACCACGGCGGGCAACAGCGGCGGGCTGGGCTTCAACGCCGCAGACGACGCCTTCTTCGCCGCCTTTGAGCAGGCCACGCTCTCCAGCTCCGCCTCTGCCGGCGCTGCTGCAGCAGGCAAGGGCAGGGAGAGCCCGCCGATCATCGACCTGCGGCCTACGGAGCGCAAGCTGGCCGCACAGGCTGCCGCACGCTCGCCGCGCATCAGCACGGGCACTTCCGCGGGCAGAACGGCGTCGCAGTCGCGGCAGGCTGAGGAAGACTTCTTCGCGGCATTCGAGCGCTCGCCAGAAGAGACACTGCGACGCCTGCCGAAGCCGCCGGCTCTGATGGGCGACGACCTCGAGGCGATGACGGACGCGCGGCTGAGCCCCATGGCCATTCCCGCTTCTCCACACACGGCGCGGCAGGAGTACTTCTCTACAGCACAGCCAGCGGCGCAGGAGCGGGAGAAGCAAAGCCAGCAGGAAGAGGAGCAGGGCTGGACGGGCAGCCTGAAGCGCACGTGGGGCTCATTGCGCGGCCTTCCCGCCGGCATCGTTGAGCACCTGCCGTCGGTGGCCGACTTTGTCGTGCCGCCCGGCGATGGTTCAAGCGGTGAGGAGGAGGATGCTCGCATCTATGCAGAGAGGATGAGGCAAAGGGCGGGGAGAGATGGTGCTGGCGCCAAGGAGAGACGACCCTCGTCTAGCTCGACGAGCAGCTCTGCCTCTGCGCCCAAGCGGGGTCTGGCGCATGCTGCAGACTATTCCTCCTCGACACCCTTCGGCACTTCCTCGTCCGGCGGGCCTTCCTCCGCGCCTCGACGTGGCTCCACGCTCGGCTCCACCAGCGGCGCCACGCTCTCCGGCGCGCCGGGCTTCGCTGCCGGCACGCCTCAGCGCTGGAACACCGGCTCCTGGTCTTTGCCAGCCGCCTCACCTTCCGCAACACGGCAGCCCATTCCCGTCACGCTCGTTGGGCGCGCCGAGGAGAGCGAGACGTGCATCACACACTGGCATGCCTCGCGCCTGCAGGCCCAGCTGCCGCCGCGCTCGCAGCTGGGCAAGACGTGGAAGCTGCTCTACAACCTCGATCAGCACGGCATCTCGCTGCAGACGATGTACGCAAACGTCGCCTCGGGCCTCTCCTCGTCCGGCGCAGCCCGCGGAGACAGCGAGGAGGTAAAGGAGGGCTGGCTGCGCGGTGCCAGCAGAGAGGCACGGGCAGCACTGGGCGAGTCACGACGTGTGGGAGGCGGCCTGGAGCTCAAAGACGCGGGCATCGTCGTGGCCGTCATCGACTCGCGGGAGAATGTTTTTGGCGCATACCTCAACGAGCGGCTACGATCGCAGAGCAGCTACTACGGCTCGGGCGAATGGTGAGTGAGACTCTGTCCCATGCTGATTACTCAGCTAAGACATCTACCTCCAGTTTCCTGTGGAAGACGACGCGCGGATCCTCCTCGACTGCCGACGATGCCATCAAAGTGTTCCGCTGGACGGGGCGCAACGACTACGTGGCGTTGACGGAGCACTCGTTCCTCTCCTTCGGCGGCGGCGACGGGCGCTACGGCCTCTGGCTCGACGGGCGCCTCGAGCACGGCGTCTCGGCGCGCTGCCCGGCGTTTGACAACGACGTGCTGTGCGAGGGCGACGCAGACGTCAAGACGGAGGCGGACGCCAAGGAGGAGCGCTTTGAGGTGCTGTGTGTCGAGGTGTGGGCCGTCGGAATAGACTAGGCATGCTCGGCGCCACGACGAGCATTGAGATGTCTGAAGGCGGCTGAGCATGCAGCACATATGCTGCAGATGTGTACCTTGTGTTGGCACGCATACTAGCAGACGAGGAAGCGCCGAGAGCAGGATCGAGTGGAGCCGCTGCTGGAGGCTGGCGGAGTGGCCGCCAGGCGCACGCGTCACGTGCGCAGTGCGCCTGGCGGCGGAGCGGCCCTTGCTCATCTTGCACCTGCAGCGCCGCGCCGCTTCCTTCCCGCCGCCCTCTCCACGCCCTGTCTCGCGCCAGCAGAGCACCATGTCTCTGCACACTCTGCGGCCCGTGCGCCTGGCGCTCGCGTCGTCGTCGCGCTCCTTCGCCACCTCGTCGGCCGCGCTGGCCAAGAACCCGCCGGGCCGCGGCCGCGATGCCGCAAAGCGCCTGCGCCGCGCCGAGCGCGCCGCAAAGGCGGCTGCCAGCGGCGAGACGGAGGTCAAGAAGGAGGAGCCTGTGCTGGGGCTCGAGGATGCCGTGCGCGTGCTGCAGGTGAGCAGGAGCTGCTGGGCGATGTGTGGCACCAGGAACAGGCGAGGCGAGGCGGAGCTGCAGCTAGGCGGTCAGGAGAGACAAGTGCTCCTCGGTCGGGAGGAAGGAGCATGACAGCGCTGCTGGACAGAAGCGGGCGATGATAGGTGGTCAGCCTTCTTATTCTGGGTTTCTGGCCATTTGCTCTCACTTGCTCCGCCCTGCATTCCATCTCAGCCGCCGCCGCTGGCCCAGCCGCGCTTCCGCAGTGTAGCTCACTCGTCTTCCACTAGGCTGTCGAGGTCACGCGGCCGCTCGCCGCCTACGAGCTGCACGTCGTCACCACCGTTTCGTCGCACGTCGCCAACGCACTGCGCGGGCGCATCTCGCTGCCCTACTCGGCACGCACCAAGCCCGAGAAGCTGCTCATCTTCGCCTCGGAGGACTCGGCTGCTGGCGTCCTGGCACGCCGGCAGGCTGCCGCCGGCGAGCCCATCACCGTCGGCGGTGCCGAGCTGATTGCAGACGTCGTCAGCGGACGCGTCAGCGACTTCTCAAAGGTGCTCGCCACGCCCGACCTCGTGCCGCAGATCGCAAAGGCGCTGGCCAGGAGTCTCGGCCCAAAAGGTCTCATGCCGTCGGCGAAGCGCGGCACGGTGGTGGAGGGCGAGGAGGAGATGAAGACGGCGATCCTCGAGGCGCAGGGCGCCATGGACTGGCGAGGCGACCGCAACGGTGTCGTGCGGACCGGTGAGTCCTTGCGGCTAGTCTGACTGCTGCTGCGCTGACACGAGGACGTTGCTCATAGCGGTGGCACGGCTGCATCACCCGATTCCGTCACTGCGCTCCAACATTGCCGCCTTCCTGGGCGCCGTGGTGGAGCGCGCTACGAGCGGTCTTGGCTCGGCTGCGGCGGCAGGTGTACAGCAGGGCGTCGTGGTGGGCGCAAAGGAGCCGATTGCGCGGAGTGCCGGCGAGATGAAGAAGGGTGAGTCTCGCGAGAGGAGATTACGGCCAGGACGCAGGGCAGGGCCAAGCTTGAGGCATGGCGGCAGCTCGAAGGGTGCAGGCTTCTCTGCTGAGCAGGCGGGCGCTAGAGAGAGACTGCGAGGCTGACCGTGCACCCGCCCCGCAGCACAAGGCGTCATCAAGCAGATCCACCTCTCCAGCACACAGGGCCCCGGCATCAAGCTGAGCCTGGCAGACATCTACTGAAGGTGTGGCGCTGCAGGGCAGGGCGGAGGCGCACGAGGGAGATGGCTGGTCATTGCGATGGATGATTGGTGATGATGACGATGAGCTGAGATGGACTGAATGGGTGCGTGTGTGGAGACAGTGTCGAGGAGCGGGACGATGTGAGATGTGGATGGAAAAGGAGGCGCTAGAGATCAGGATGAAGCGCGACGGGCTTGAATGGAAGCGTCAGTCGCGCGTGGTAAGGGTCGTGAAGGGATCTGCCGTGTGGGCATGCGAACTGGAGAAGATAGCCGTATTGCTCAGCGATGCCTCATCACTGTCGGTCCTCGATAGTCGGCTCGCCAAGCGATGCGCCTCGCTGTCTCGCCGTGGCGAGTCGGCGGCCCGCCGCATCAGCCTGCTCCTCGCTCGCTCCGACAGCAAGCAGCGAGCCGGCGCGCAGACGTCTCTGGCCTGCAGCAGCGTCGCTTGCACTTGCGTCCTGGTGGGCGCCGCGCGACGAGCGCACGGCGGCGGCGCTGCCGCTGCGAGCGCGCATCGGCGTCGCTGCCAAGAGAGCGCGGGCGCGAAGGCCGCTGGGGCTCGGTGCACGCCCGTCGCTCTCGTTGCCCGACACGGCACTGCCTGCCGACGAGACTCTGCGTCCGAGACTGGGCCGCGACGCCGTGCCGCCTGCGCCGTTTGTGCTGGCTGCGTCCTCGTCCACCGCGCTGAGCGAGAGCGAGAGGTCCTCGACCGACGCCATGAGGCCGTGAGCCAGCAGAGCGTGCAGCTGCGCAGGCGGCGCCGGCGAGGCACTGCGGCTGGGCGAGAGCAGCTGGTGCGGCGTGGAGGTCGCTGCCGTGGACTGCGTCGCAAATGTCGGCGGGGCAGCGGCAGACGAGGAGCTGCCCGCACTGGTGTTGCTGCTGCTGCGCGCCTTGCGCGGCGACGTATGAGGAGTGCCGCTCTGAGTGGCCGGAAGAAGCATCGGCGGCGACAGTGGACGACGAGTAGTGGGTGAGGTGGGCCGCATGCCAGCTGGCGAAGCCGGTCGTGCACCGGCGCCGTTGCTGCTGCTGGTGGCGACGTAGGACGGCGGTGCACGGCGCAGCGTCGCAGACCAGGCCTCGAGCAGTGCTCTGTCACGCGACGTCTCCATCTCCTGCGCATTATCTGCGCGCAGCGGCTGCGCCTCAGAGGCGCGCTCGTGCGACGGCGATGTAGGACGTGCCTGCTCCTCTGTGCGTGTCTCGGCCGCAATGGCGGCAGGCGGCGTGGAGCGTACCTTGTGGCCGCCATTGCGGCGCACGCGATGCGAGAGGCCATCATCGGTCGTAGCGGCGGGAAAGCAGACAGGCGTTGAGGGCGGCTTGCCGGTGTCGTCTGTCGAGGAAGCGGAGCTCGAGGCTGAGGCAGCGCCCGACGGCGTCGGCGGCAGTGGCGATGCGGCCGCGCTGTCCTGAGTGCCTCGGTCTGCACCTGGCAGTCCAGCGTCCAGCTCCATCGGCGTGCCGGCGCGCGAAGCAGCTGTCGGAATGTCGCGCGGCATCGGCCCGTTGAGCCGCTTCCAAGCCTCCTCCTCCTCGGCGAGTCGCTCCTTGCGCAGCTGCGCCTTCTTAGCCTGCCGTCTCGCCTCGCGCCACGTCTCTCCTGGCCCAGCATACGGCGCATACATCTCGGCGCCGCGGCGCGAGCCTCCCGGCGTCTCCGTCACGACGCTCGTGCGCTCGTGCACGTCGCAGGCGCGTGCCGTGAAGACGACGCGGATCGCCTTGTGCAAATAGATGCGCGGCGCCGTGCGAGTCGAAGACGTCGAGCCGTCCGCTGCGCTGTCCTGCGCGCCCTTGCTCCGTGCCGTCGCTGGCGGCGAGCAGAACTGCAGGTGCACAGCAAAGCGTAGCGTGTCACGCGCTGCAGCTGTGCTTTGCCGTGCATTGGCCGCCGGCGATGAGCGAGGCGAGCCTGGCGCCGCCGGCGACGCAGGTGCAGTGACGGCCGGCAGCGCTAGGCACTTCTGCCGCACGAACGTCTTGGTACCCGGCGGCATGTCGCGCAGGTCGTACGGCACCAGAAAGAGCTTGACGGCGGTACGCTCCGCGTTCTGGATCATCAGCTGCACCTGTCCTTGCGGCGGCACGCGGTAGCCGGGAAAGACGGGTGCAGCGCCTGCATCGCTGCCGCTACGGCCTGGCACTGGTGCAGCAGCGCCGACGCTGGCCATGAGAGGCGCTTCGAGATGCGGCGCCCATTCTCCGTGCGATGCTTTCGCCTCTGCCGCAGCTCGTGCCAGCAGCTCCGTCGCATCTGCGCCGGGCGGGCGCTGCGCCGCATCGAGGCCGAGCAGGCGGCCGACGTAGTGCGCCTCGAGGTCGATGGTGCCCACGTACGGGCTGTGCTGGCTGGGCTTCGACGATACCGGCGCCGCCGCGACGCCCTCGAGGCTGTAGAAGTGCGCCGGAAACTCCAGCGCCACATGCGGCGGACAGCGACGCGCTGCACTGCCTGCCGCAGCGCCCAGCACGCCGAGCTCGGCGGCGAAGAGCAGCGGGCGCGAGGGCACACTCGACATGCGGCCCGAGAGCAGCGACTCTTCGTAGCTGCCTACGAAGCTGCTCGAGGCGCACTGCGGACTGCCGGGTGTCGACATGCGCCGCCGCGCCAAGGAGCTCGGACTGCTGCTGGCGCTGCTGCTGCCAAACGGACTGAAGGCACACGGCGGCGAGACGGAGAGATGCCGTGCGCCGCCAGCCAGGGCACCAGCAAGCGGCGTGGGGTTTGAGACGCTGCGTGCAAAGGAGCGCGGCGCCGAGGAGAGGCTGCCGCTGCTGTTGCTGCCGTCGCTGCTGCTGCTCATGCCGACGGCCAGGCCGCTGAGCTCGCTGTGTGCTCGCCGCGGCGCCGCATGGCTGCCCCAGCGCGGCGGCGAGGCCAGCGGCGACGTCTCGCGCGGCGAGTGCGGGTGCGCAGCGGGAGCGAGGCGGCGCGGCGAGACGGCGTCGGAGGGCCAGCGGCCCGGCGAGGAGAGGAGCGGCGAGGGCGAGAGCGAGGCGGTGCGCTTGGTGTGCCGCATGTCGCCGCTGCTGCTGCCGCTGGCCTCGCTGAGCTCGCGCGGCACGAGCGGGCTGCGCGGCGCGGGCACCGTGGGTGCGACCATGATGTGAGTGTGGGGAATGTACGATGCTAAATGTATGCGTCGCTAGAAGCGACGGAGCACGGCGTGCAGTGTGTCAGGCCAGGCCGTGCCAGCAGGCGACGCCCCCTGCCCCGGCTGGCGAGTGGAGGGCGCGGGCGAAGAGGCTGCCGGCGATGCCGAGGCTGCGAGCCGCAGCAGCGGCAGGCAGGGCAGCGCAGAGGCCACGACGGCGCGGGAGAGGGCGCGGCACGGTGGCCAGGTGGGGTGCGAGCGGTGCAAGGATGGGAGATGGAGGAGGAGAGGACGAGAAAGCGGGGCTGGCGGGCCTTTGATAGGGCGCCCGGCGCCGCCAAAAAGGAGCAGCGCGGCGCGCCAGCAGCCGCACCCGCTCGGTTGCCGGGAGCGGCAGCGGGCGCCGCCGCCGCATGCCTCGCCGATGCCGTGGCGCCGCGCCGCGCATGCCCCCCGCGCGCCCGCAAGCGCCTGCCTCGGCGCGCGTGGCCGGCCGTTGCGCCTCGCGCTTGCATGCGGCGAGGCCCGATCTGCCGGTGGCTGGCGCTTTCGCCTTCTTCTGACCTGATCTGGGCCGACATGCGAGGTGATTTGGAGCCAATTCGTCACTCCTGGCTGCGTGTCCTCGCTCGGCTGTGCCATACGGTGGAGGTGCCGTGGCCAGCTAACGCCGTCGCGTGCTGTCCGCCATGCCATCCACGATCGCTGAGTTCGCAGGCCTGCGGCGTAGGTGGACGATCCTTAGCACGCCGCTTCACCCCGTCAGCAAGCGCCATCCATCTGGGTCACACCCGTCGAGCAATGGGGTGCAGTGTAACATTGAAAGCTGATCATCTTCGCCGTCTCCGCCGCCGGCGCTCCATCGTCGTACCCAGGTCTCTCCCTCCCTCTCATCACACAAGTACAGAGCATGTGCACAGGAGCAATGCAGTAGCAGCAGCAATGACGCGCGCTTAACGGTTGCTCTTGGCGACACGCTCGAGCTCGTCCCGCTTCTTGATGGCGTACGAGTTCGACGAGCCCTTGGCCGCGTTGATCAGCTCGTCGGCGAGGCACTCGGCCACCGACTTGACCTGAGGGTGGGGAGCACGGCATCAGCAGCTGCTCTATCGACCTGCACGCTCATTCCGCCCTCTCTGCGTCCCTCTCCGACCATCTCCTGCGAATGGCACTCACGTTGCGGAAGGCCGACTCGCGGCAGCCCGTGGTGATGAGCGTGATGCTCTGGTTGACGCGGCGCAGCGGCGACACGTCGACGGCCTGGCGGCGGACAGTGCCCTGCGAGCCAATGCGCGTCGAGTCCTCGCGCGGGCCGGTGTTGACGATGGCGTCGACAAGGACCTGGACGGGGTTCTGGTCCGAGAGCAGGTGGATGATCTCGAAGGCGTGGGCAACAATGCGCACAGCCATGAGCTTCTTGCCGTTGTTGCGGCCGTGCATCATGAGCCTGGCGGGAGAAGGGGTGAGAACGCGTTCTCGACGCCAGCGGGAGAGGGCATCCTCGGCGCCATCCGCAGCCGCAGCTTGCGCTCCAGCACCCTGCGCCGCAGCCGCGCTCGCCCCGACTCCCATCTGCACACACCGCACAACACTCACGAGTTGACAAGGCGCTCAACGATAGGCATCTGGGCCTTCTTGAACTGCTTGCTGGCATAGCGGCCGGCCGTGTGCGGCACGTACACGGCGTTGCGCAGCGAGATGTAGTCCGTGAGGGAGATGTCCTTGACCTCGACCTCCGACGCGTCCCACTTGCCGAAGAGCTGGGAGAGGAAGCGCATCAGCATGCGTCCGGCGCGACTTGTGCATCCTGTCGCAGTGCCACCAATGGCGCGTCACCACGAGGTGATTGCCGCTGGCCGGCTCACTGCTGCGGCCAGCTACTGCACTGCCAGCCCTACACCTGCTGTGCGCCATCTACGACGCCGACAGCGCGTCCTTCGTGCCGCCCCATTGCCCGCCCGTGCTGTCCATCGCTGCCCACGACCCAGCCTTGCCTGCTCCACTCGCGCCGGACCCTTCCAGTGGCGCGAGTGGAGCGCAGCCGTGCCCTTCGATGGTGAGGAGGCGTCGCTGCTGGCGCTGCCATGGCGCCACTGTGATGCCCTCCTCTTCGTGTGGCGCGTCCATCGCCCCACTGCTCCGCGGCGCAGCTCACCTTGACGGAGCCCTGGTTCGGCAGCGAGACAGCCGCGATGTCCTTGGGCACACCGACGCGAGCCATGATGACGGAGAACGGAGGGTCGGAGAAGGTGGGTCGGGAAAGGAGGCCGTGAGGAGTTGCAAGACAGAAGCGGAGTCTTGCAGCGGGACCGGAGAAGAGGCGGGGAGCTTGAGGTGGTGAGGGTGCTGGTGGAGAGGCAGGCGATCCGAGGCGGGAGTGGAAGCCGCGCGGCGTGCCGCCGCTGCTGCTGCCGTCGCGGCGCGCTGCGGCTGCATTGCGCGTCGCCCGCCAGGCGCGGTTGCCGCAGTCGCGCTCGCGAGGGCGAGCCACTTCGCAAGCGCACGTGATGCTGTTCTCACGCTCCGTCCGTGCTGCTCCCACGCTCTGCTCCCCTCCAGCGCCGCCCCATCATCATGCCAGGGCCCGCACTTTGCATGCATGCTCATTGCCTATGCCGGCGCCACCAGGCCCGCCTTGGAGATGGCATGCTCGCGGCTGATCAGGTGGCTCGTCGCCTCGACGAGCGCCAGCAGCTGGCCCATGTCGGCGCTCCAGGCGTTGAGGTGCTCGGCCGTCTCGCGCCGCTTCACAAACGCCACGACGCCCGCCGGCCGGTCGATCTTGCCGTACACGGTGCCGCCCTGCACGAGCTTCGCGAGCGCCGCCTCGGCCGCGTCGGGCGAGAGGTCAAGCAGCTCGCTGAGCCGCTGCAGCGTGATCTTCGTGTAGTACTTGGCGATCACGCGGATGTTCTGCAGCCGTGCGGGTCAGCAATGAGATGGAGCGAGCGCAAAACGCGAGGGCCGAGAGGTGTGCTGGCTGCGGCCGCAGAACGCTGCGACTACCCACTGGCGCTCCCGCGGCAAATCACGAGAGCATCCGCGCATTCCCTGCCTCTTGCTCGCACAAAGCTGCACTACTCACGTGCTCAACGACCCGCTTGTGCAGCTCCTCCCAGCGGTAGTCGCCGTCAGTGCCAGGCTCGAATGTAGGCGTGGCGCGCAGCAGCGGGCCGTACAGCGCCTCGATGCCGGGCCAGCGCATGAGCTCGGGCGTCGTGAAGCACTTGAGCAGGTTCCTGCGGTGAGCCGTGGTCAGCATCTCTGCACGCATGGAACAGGCCTTGCCTACGCACTTGTGCTCCGGCACGCGCTCCAGCCCCTCCGTCTCTTCGACACGCGCCATCAGATCGCTCTGCTCGTTGTCGTACGGCGCCAGCACGAGGAAGACGACGACGCTGCGCAGCACCTCGCGCGCCCGCGCCTCGTCGCGCTGAATCCGTGGCGTCGCCAGCACGGCACGCGCGTACCGGCAAACGTCGAGGTGCTTCTTCTCGTGCAGTGCGTAGCGCTCCATGAGCGCATAGTACGTCAATTTCAGGTCCTGGGAATGAGACATGTCAGCGGGTGATGGTAAAGGCGCTCTCCTGTAGCCACACACATGGTTGCGCGAGTCGTCGAAGAACTTGGTGTTGATCTTGCGCGAGACGATGTTGCAGCGCGTGTAGTCGCCCTTCTCGAGGTTGAGGCGCATCTGCTCGAGAATGAACGACGTCTTCTCGCGGCGGCCCATGCTGCCGAACGTCTCGACGGCCAGCTCCTGCAGCGCCTCGGTGGCGCCCGCCACGTCGCCGCGCGAGTAGAGAATCGAGGAGAGCAGCCGTGTCACGCGTGCCCGCTCCACCTCCACGAAGATCTGGACGCCGCCGTGGTCAGCAACGGCATGAGAAGTCGGCCGCTAGAAGCTGTCCAGCAGGATGCGGCGCGCTGCGCAGCTGTTCACGCCTCGTCGACGCTATGACAGACTATCGTCCCTTGCCAGAGCTCCAGGACGTGAAGCTGCCATCGCCCGATTCACCGACCCCTACTTCGTCCCTCTGGCGCGCTCCAACGTTGCCGCAGCTCATAGCAGCCCGAGGCCATCTAGCAGCTTCGGGCACGCCGTAGAGTCCCGGCGCCACCAACGCACGGCCAGACTGCCGATTCTCACGCCCTGCACTCACCTTGCCCTCGGTCACGGTGCGCAGGCTCTCGATGAGCTTCATGCGCTGCTCCTCATCGACGCCCTCGTTGCCCACGGCGCGCGCCTCTTCCATGAGCTTCTGCACGCGCGGCTCGAGCTGGCCCTCGCCCTTGTCCTCGATCTCGCGCTCCTCGCCCGCCTTGCGCTTTTTCTCGTCCTTCTCCTTGGCCGCCTTCTCCTGCTCGCTCGGCTCGTCGAGCGGGTCCAGCTCGCCCATCTCCTCGTCGACGTCCGGCTCGCCGGGCGCGTGCAGGAAGCGCATCGCCAGCTGCACCATGCGCGTCACGGCCTGCTTCAATTGGCCGTGCTTGCGCGCCAGCGCGCCCAGCGTCTCGGCCAGCAGCGCCCAGTCCGTCTGCTTGGCCGATGGCGAGATGCGGATGAGCAGAATGCTGAGCAGCAGCAGGCGTGTTGTGCTCGTCAGGTCGGCCGCCTGCGAGAGCGAGCGGGTCAGCTGTGGATCAAAAGTAGCAGCAATAGAGTCACACACGTTGCGCGCCTTCTTCTCGAGCGCATTGAGCTTCTCAAGCGCCTCGGGCAGCTTGCCGGACTGTGATGGGCGCACGCGGTCAGCAAACGAGGGTGTGCGGCTTTGCGGCGCCACGCACCGAGGCTAGCTGGCGCGCTGTCGGCTCGAGGGCATCGACGTCGGGCGAGAGGTCGGCCTCCTGCTTCTTCTCGGCGGCGTTCATGGCTGCGGCGGCCAGGCGCGAAGCAGAGATACGAGAGATGAAGTGATGTGAGAGTGTGAGGTACGCGGCAGGTGCGAGAGGGTGTCCAAGGTGGCAGATGCGGCGAGGGAGGAGCAGGTGGAGTGGAGTGAGAAGGGGCGCGCTGGAGGCGAGGTGCTGTCCGTGCGCCGCTGACGACGCGTGCTGCTCCCACGCTCCTCCAGGCTGCACGTGACGCCGGCGCCTGGTGCGCTTGGCTGGCAGGCAAGCACGGCGCCCGGCCTTGCTCCACTCCACGTCCTCCACTCCTCGCCTCTCCTTCTCGCCTCACCGCCGCCGCTCGGCCCGCCATGGAGGCCCTGCTGGCGCGCGACCTCAAGGTCTGGCAGCGCGCCTTCCGTGCCGAGGTGTGTGCGCGGCACGCGCTGTGCTGCACGGGCCCTGGCTGACATCGTGTCTCGCAGCACGGGCGCGAGCCGTCCAAGAAGGACATGGCGCAGCACCCCGAGATCGCAGACACGTACAACACCTGGTCCGCCATCCGCGCCGCCACCTCCAAGCCTGCAGCGCGCGCGTCGGCTAGCAGCACCAGCGGCAGCAAGGCCCAGCGCACGGCCCGCGCCAGCAGCAGCCGCAGCGCGGGCGAGAGCAGCCGCTCGGCGGCGTCGTCGAGCGCTCTGCCGCCGGTGACGCCGACGAAGAAGCGGCGGCCAGCAGCAGCGACGCCGCGCACGCCGGCACCGCCGGAGACACCGAAGGGCGTGGCTGCAGCATCGGCGCGCTCGCCCTTCCGCACGCCCTCGCGGCCACGCTCCGCCGCGCGGCCAGCTGCCGGCGAGACGAGCGCTGCTGCCGCGTCGACAGCGACACCAGGACGCAATCCCTTCGCGACGCCCTCGCGCAACCCCTGGGCCACGCCCTCGCGTGCCGTGCCGCCACGCACGCCGGGGTCCGCCGAGAGCGTGCGTTCTGTGGTCAACTACCCCGACCTGAGGCCGAGCCGCTCGCCCACCACGCCCGGCGGCGGCAGCGGCGGCTACGAGGCGGTGCGCTCGCCCGCGGCGCTGCGCAGTCTGCTCGCCTCGCGCTCGCCCGGCGGCGGCAGCAGCTCGCGGCGGCGCGTCGAGATGGCTCGCACCGAGGCGGCGCTGCGTGTGGCATATACGCCGCGCACGAAGGCGCGCAAGCGCCTGCGCGGTGACGAGGTGCCGCCAACACCAGCACGCGCTCCTAAGCGTGGGCGCGGCTCGGAGACGCTCGGCGTACCTTCAGGTCCTCTGGTGAACGAGGCTGGCGGCAGCTGGGCGCGTACGGCCAGCGGCAGCCAGAGCCTCAGCCAGCAGCCTGCGTCGCCGCAGGACGAAGAGATGTTCGGCCCGTCGCCCGTCAAGCGCGGCCCGAAGGCATACGTGCCGCTGCTGCCTTCGCGACCGTCGGCGGCAGTCGCGATGGAAGAGGATAGCGACAGCGAAGATGACGACGATGAGAGCGGCGATCTGGTCGCGGGCCCGTTGAGCAGCACATTGCGCTCCGAGGCTCGTGCTCCAGGCGAGGCAGGTGCTGCGCCGCTGCAGGACGAGCGGCTTGCCACGCCGCCACGCCGCGAGCGCATCAAGCCTAGGGCCGAGCGGCAGCGTGTCGAGCTCGACGATGATGACGATGAAGAGGCAGAGGTGCAGGAGCTCATCATCCGCCCATACCAGCGCTACGGCGCCGTGCGAGCCGGCCTGCAAGGCGAGGCCTCCGACGACTCAAGCTCCGACTCAGATGGCGGCGCGGCTTTCTCGCATCTCCGCGCAGGTGAGCGGCGACGGCGACGGCACGGCCTTGCCACCGCCACGCCTCCGCCGCCCGACTCTCCAGCGGACATCTCGACGCAGCAGAACAGCGACGCGCCCGGGCTGGAACGTCTCACGCTGGCGTCGCCGCAGACGAAGCATGCACGGGCATACGTGCGCGCACGCGAGGCCGAGGCGCTGGAGCATCTGCTGGGCGGCGGCGCCGAAACGCTGGAGCTCGAGGCGGAGCAGGCGCCCGTCGAGCCCGAGGGCGGCAGCAAGAAGGCCAAGAGCTGGGGCGAGGCAAAGGCGCGCGAGCAGGTCAGCAAGGGCAAGGGTCGCAAGAAGCGCTACGACGCCTCGCCGCCGCCCGAGCGCAGCGCAGCGCAACAGCGTGCCGCCCTTGAGGCGCAGGCCGCCGCTGATGCGCCGACGAAGCTGAGCCGCGCGGGCCGCGCTGGTGTCGGCGATGCGGAGCAGACGGTGCGCCGCAAGCGCGTCGTCTATGCCCAGCGCGTCGAGCTCGACTCGGACGAGGAAGACGAGGAGTCGCGGCTGCAGGCGCCGGACGAGGATGGCGAAGATGAGGACTGGGCCAGCGAAGTGAGCTCCACAGAGTTCGGCCTGGGCGATGGAGAGATGGAGGAGACGGACATCATCTGAGCCGGCGGTCGTCCGCGCTACGGCGGCCGCGGCTCGTGTATCTTTATAGTCGGCAGATCTGCGTCACCCCCAACAACATACCCCCGGCTCCCGGCGGCCAATCTATGCATTAGCCAGCGTGTGCGGAAGCTCATCTACTTTTGCGTAGGTGCCGAGCCTGCCTCTGCCGCGCCCTCGGCCTCGTCCTTGCTGGCAGCCCACGCTGCCCGCTCCTCCTCCCGTTGCTTCTCCTCCTCCTGCAGCAGCGCCTTGTCCTTGAACGCATCGGCGCGCGGGAAGCGCTCATGTGCGGCCTTGACGAACTCGGCTCGAGCGGCATCGTCGGCACCAAACGACGGGAGCAGGCCGAGCGCCTCGACGAGCGTCGGCAGCTCGAGCTGCGTCTCGGCCCGCGGCAGCTGCTGCAGCATGGCCAGTGCGTCGGCACGCCCGGCATCGCCGCGCAACGCCAGCAGGGCGCGAGCTCCGCCCAGAAGGTGGGCGCCCGAGGCGGGGTGCGCCTGCACGTAGGTGGAGGAGAGCGCCTCCAGGCTCTGCTCCTGCGGCAGCAGCTGCGCCTTGGCAGTCTCGATGCCCGCGCGCACCGGTGCCGGCGCCGCTGCCAGGTCCGGCAGCGACGAGAGGAGCAACACCGTTTGCCGGTGGACCTCGGGATGCTGTGGCTCGAGGCGCTGCGCATGCGTGAGCGCCCGCGCAGCCAGCAGCCAGTTGCGTTGCCGCGAGGCCACCTCGAAGGTCGCCAGCCATGTCTCAACGCGCGTGGCGGCGCGCTCCTGCAGCACGGCCAGCAGCGAAGTGGCAGCGACAAGAGGCTTGTTCAGCGCTGCCAGACGCTTGCTGCCTGTCGGGTCCTCGTCCTTGGGCGGGCCCGGCAACTCGTCGTCGTCGGCCTTCTTCGCCTCGACCTTGGCTGTGGCGGACATTCGATGTGAGCGGACGCAGGGCAAGGTAGTCAGCACCGCATGCAGCACTCACGCTTGGCGGCGTTCTTCTTCGCATCCTCCGCCGCACGCAGCTCGGCGCGCTTGGCCTTCTTGGCCTCCTTGCGCTGCTCGTCGGTGAGCTCGCCGTTCGTGCCGTTCGAGCCGCCCTTGGCAAGCGCCGGCTCGTCGTGCAGGCGCGTGTAGAGCTGTGCAGCAGTGTCAGCGCTGCATCAGCGGGCGAGTCACGGTAACGCCTCACCTTGATCGTGGTGAGCGCGGCGCGGAAGTACGCCGGGTGGGATCGCAGCTGGTCCTCCCACCGCACCATCGACGCGTACGAGCGCAGCGTGAACTTGCGCATGCAGTACGAGTGGAAGTCAAGCTGGTCGTCGTAGATCTCGTCGAAGGTCTGCAGGCGAATTGTCAGCGCTACGACATGGTGGCCTCATCACAGGCGACACGCACGCGATCGATCTGGTCTAACCGCTTCAGCGCCATGGCGAAGTTGCCCGTCCGGATCCACGCGTCGGCCTCCTCGGCGAGGTACCAGAAGGCCTGCATCTCGAGCAGGTCCGCGACCGGGTCAGGCGCATCGGCCTTGGTGAAGAGGCCGACGATCTTGCTGGCCTCGGCGGTCCGGCCGATGCGCAGCTGGTACTTGGCCGCCTTGCAGTTCAGGAAGCGGTCCTGGCCGTCGAGCGTCCGAGCATCCTCCATGGCATGCGCCGCGGCGTGCAGGTCGCCGGCGCGCTTGAGGATGCGCGCACGCATCATATGCAGCTCGGGCATCGTGGGCGAGTGGGCAATGGCAGAGGAGATGAGCACGAGGGCGCGGTCCGTGTTGCCGAGCTTGGAGTAGTGCTGTGCAAGGAAGTACAGCGACCAGAGATAGGAGCTCGGCTCTTCTTGGTCCGCTGCGAGGCGCATCGTTTGAGCGGGGCTCGCTATCGCCGAGCCAACTGACTCACCTGCGCTCTCGCTCGGCGCCCACTCTTCTCTGAAGCCCTCCACAATCTCCTCTACCACTCTCCGCTTCTCATCATCCTTGTACAGCCCGTACACGTCCGCAAAGATCGAAGGCACGCCCTTCTGCAGCGCGCTCTGGATGTACGTCGCGACGCGGCTGCGGAACTCGTCGCCCTGCAGATACACGAGCGCCACGCGCCGGGCAGCCGCCGACTTGGGCAGCAGCTCGGAGAGCTCTGTGAGCGCCTTGGCGGCGGCAGCAGCCTCCTCTGGCGTCGCGGATACTGTTGAGCCCCGATCAGCACAGTTGCGACATGTCCAGCAGGCGCGCTGCATCGGTTCGTGATCGAGAGCACTCACCAGCCTTGACGCCCTTGGCGCTGAGCCAGCCCTCCACCACGCTGCGGTCCTCTCCGTTGCGCTTCAGTAGCGTCTCGTACGTCATCTCCGCCTTCTCCGACGCGCCAGTCGCCAGGTAGGCGCGCGCCCGCAGCAGCGCCACGCCCTGCGGGTCCATCGTCTGCGCCTCGCGCGCCGAGAAGAACTCGAGCATGTCGGCGTAGCGCGCCGCCTCAAAGAGGATGGAGGCGTGGTAGAGAAGCACCTCGGAGTGCTCGTACGAGCGGGCAGGGACGTCCTGTCAGGCTTACAGTCAGTATGTGCAAGGCGGCGCGATGCCAGACGAGCGTCGCAGGCAGCGCTACAGAGGCTAGCTTCGCACAGAGCCAGCTTGGAGTAATGCGCCACAGCCTACTGCTCGTGCCTTCACTTCTCCACGCGCGACTCACCCGCAATGTCTCCTCGTAGCGCTCGAGCACGCGCACAGCCTGCTCCAGGCTGCCGGCCAGGTGGTGCGCCGTGGCGAGGGCAACCCAGTTCATGCGCAGGTGCGGCTGCACCTTGAGCAGGTTCAGGCGGCTCTCCACAAAGGCCGGGTAGTTGCGCAGCTGCATGTGCAGGTAGCTGATCTCGCGCATGAGATTGACGTTGGAGCCCTGCGTGCTCGAGCATCAGCTACTGCTCTGGCCACAAGCCGCCAGCCACTCGCACTCACACCCTCGATGCGCAGCGCCATGCTGTAGCACTTGACCGCCTCATTCCAGTTCTTGTCCATGCGCTGTAGGATGCCGAGTGCGTGCCAGGCGAGGAAGCTGCCAATGTCGTGGCGCACGCCCTTGCGTGCCAGCTCGAGGCCCTCGGCGCGCTGCTCCATCGTCGCGAGGATGAGGCCCTTCATGCAGAGCGTCTCGCCCGCCTCGGGAAACTTCTTGAGGATGGCATCGGCCGTCTTGAGGCCGAGCTTGTACTTCTTCGTCTCGTACTGCAGGGCGCAGCTGTCAGTGCGTGCGCTTGAGGGCCGGGTGCGCGCGGTGCTGCCTCACTTCCTGGATGAGCCGCTTGAAGAGCGCCCGCTCCTTGGCGGGGCTATGAAGTGGAAGCGCCAGGTCAGCAATCGCAGCGCCGTGCTGCACAGCGCCGATAGGCGACGCACAGCTCCTTCTTGGGCGGCATGCTGGCTGCGGCGGGTGGGTGGTGGAGGAGCGGAGGTGCGCACGGCCGGCGCGAAGATCAGCGGCTCGTGGCCCCGATGCCGGCGCGCGCTGCAGTCACGTGCCCTCATCTGGCCACGCTCGCCCCTCAATCTTGCTCTACAGCGACAAAGCGGCGCCGAAGCGCACCCTCGGTTGCTCTCATTATTCGTCTACCTGCCAGATGGCAGCGTCCGGCTTCCGTCGCGTCTAGCGGCGGGCCGCTGGGAGGAAAGAAGGCGAGGAAGGCACGCAACGGCCGTGGCGCGCGGCTCCTGAGGTCCGTTGCATCCGCGTGCCGCCGGCCGTTGAGCGCCTCTGCTGGGGACAACGCGGCCTCGTCCTCATCTCATCACTGCAGGGACAGGCTATCTCGGCAGCAAGCCCGATGGAGGGCGGTGCTTGACGCTGTACTGTGCAGCCAGCGGCAGGCAGGTGCCGGCATCGCCGTCGCTGCCGATGCTCTGTGTTGAGGCAAGAGGCCCAGCTTGAGCAGCGCGCTCCATGGCCTGGCGTGTATAAAGGCGGGCCATGGTGCAGCATGAGGCGCTGCTCAGCCACAAGCCGCCGCCATGTTCGCCCCTCTCGACTTCTCGCCGATCGTGCTCTCGCCCAACTTCCAGCAGTCGCCGTCGACGTCGCCGACGCCGTCGCCGACGCTGGCACGGCCTCCGCTGCCGGCACGCCGGAGCGACTCGGCCTCGACGCATTCGCGCTCGCCCACGCTGCACTCGTCGCCCGACGTCGACCGCCGGCAGAGTGTCTCGTCGAAGAAATCGAGCGGCACTTGGTCCAAGCCCGTCGTCTCGACGCTCAGCATCGGCGATGCGCCGCAGCATCCCATCGGGCTCGGGCTGGGCCATGCGCCGACGCATGTGCGCATCGGCGACGCCCGCGTCTGGAGCGCCGACACCACGGCCGCGGGCGAGCAGTCATTCCACACCGCACGCGAAGCAGCGGCTAAGCGGCGTCTGACGCCAGAGGAGCGACAGGCCCTCTTCAGCCAGGAGCTCATCTCGTCCAGGGCGAAGAATGCGCAGGCAGACGAGAAGGACATAGAGGAGGACGGCGCGTCGGAAGGGCCCGCAGCGCACGAGATGGAGAAGATGGGCGCCTTCAAAGCCTGGGCCAACTTGGTCGCCTACACGTGAGAGGCCGCCAGCTCTCGTCCTCTCTCGACACCTGGCTGATCACATCTGTCAGCGTTGCCGTTGTCGTGACTGGCGCGCCATCGGTCAGTGAACGGGACTGGGCACTGGTGACTGCGCCGCGTTGCTGATGTCCGTTCTCAGGTGATGGCTTCGCTCGGTATTGTACCAGTCGTCTTGATGTCGCTGCTGTTCTGCAGCATTGCATACTGGAGCGGCATGCAGTACTTTCAGTGAGGACGCACCAGAGCCTCTGAGCCGGGTTGGCGCTGACGGCCTTCGCACAGCCTGCGGATGAAGTACCCCGGCATCTGCAACCTCGAAGATGCCGGCTACTTGCTGTACGGCCCAGTCGGCAGAGAGCTCTTTGGCTGTAAGCGGACGCCACTAGCCTCGTCAAGCCGAGCTGACAGCATCTGCTCGACAGTGTCGCAGCTGCTGTTCAGGTGAGCGGCCCAGCATGCATCACTGCGACTATGTGCTGACTGTGCCTGCAGCATCTTCCTGCAAGGCTCGCACGTCATCCTCGGCTCCAAGGCTCTCGCCACGCTGGGCTGGCACGACGACTGCTTCCTGGCGCTTGGCGCCGTCTTTGCCATCATGAGCTGGATCTGCAACATCCCCCGCGACTATGCCAAGCTCGGCGGCCTGGCTGGCGTGGCGTTCCTGAGCATCTGCAGCGCGATTGTCTTCAGTGAGCGGCGCAGGACTCACTGCAGATGTACGATGCTGACCCGCCCATAGCAATGATCGTCAGTGGCATTGAGGGTCCGCAGGTGCCGGCCGGTGCCATCATCATGAAGAACATCAGGGCCTTTGGACCTTCTCGTGCGTGCTGCCTCTGCAGGTCGGCGTAGCACTCAGAGCTGACGCACTGCCGCTGTCAGAGCCCGAAGGCATCACAGCCACTGCAGCGCTTCTACAGGTCACCAACCTCTTTCTCTCGTTCGGCTCGCACACGGCATTCCTGCCCGTGCTCTTTGAGATGAAGAAGTGAGCGCTAGCTGTTCCATGAGGCCCGTTCCAGATGCCTGACTGGCCTTGCGTGTTCCAGCCCGGCCCAGTTCCCGAAGGTCCTGCGCGGGCTCATCGCCGTCAACTTCCTCATCTACGTCGCCACGGGCGTCGTCATCTACGCCACGCTTGGCCGCTACGTTGTCACGCCGGCATTCGACTCGCTGCCCGCCAGATTCGCGCAGATCGCCTACGGCATTGCTTTGCCGACGATCATCATCGCCGGCTGCGAGTCGGGCCAGATCGCTGCCAAGCAGGTGCGTTGCTAGCATGCTCTCCGCATTCGAGGCACTCACTGACGGCCGCCTTGCAGGTCTTCGTGCGCATCTTCCGCAGCCGTCCGCACCATATGACGACGAACAGTGAGGCGATACGCTGCACGTACTGCGACTCGCACTGACACTCCTGCAGCTCTCCTCGGCTGGGGCACCTGGCTTAGCATCAACGCCGTCACATGGGGGTGAGAAGGCAGTCTTGATGCTCAATCGAGCCCGTGCTGACGCAGCTTCGCCAGTCTCGCATGGCTTCTCGCCTCCCGTGAGCCGCTCTGCCGCTTTCTTGCTCGCTGCTGCGCTCACCTCTGGCCTGCAGTCATCCCCTTCTTCCCGCAGTTCCTCGGCCTCGAGGCGTCCCTGCTCTGGGTCATGTTTATCGCATACGGCGCGCTGTGAGTGCCGCCGCACCCGCCTTGTCTCTGCTTGCTGACCGAGACGTGCACAGCTTCTTCGCGCACCTTAATCCCGCTGCGCTGCTCAACTGGCGCGCCTACTGGCACCACATCGCCGCTGCTGTCGTCACGGTCCTCGTTTGCGCGTTCATCTGCGTCGCCGGCACGTACGCCAGCGCCCGCTCCATCGCAGGTGAGCTAGGTGGCCATCACCTTGTAGATACCTCGCTGAACCTGGCGCTCGCAGATCTGTACCGGCTGGGCGAGGTTGCTGGAGTCTTCTCGTGCGCACGAGCAGCTGGCGCTGCTTGATGCCTGCCCTAGCCGCCCGCTATCACGACTCTTACGCCTTGTCACGCTGACGAATCTAATGCTTGATACCTCTTTTGCACTTTCACCCCACCATCGAGCGTTTCCGGCCTCTCAGCCGCACTGTCGAGTCGAGACCTTATGAGCTGCAGGCCTCAGACGAGGGCACGCACTACTAACCTTCGCTCAGTTTCCGCTCCACCTCCTTCCAGAATGCCGCCCTGCCCTTCTGCTTCTTGCTCGCCACTTCTGCGTAGCTCTTGAGCACCTCGGCAAAGAGGTGCTCCGACGCCGGATGTGTCGAGGCAAAGGCGCGCTCCAGCACGTAGAGGTCGACGGCCTTGTCCTCGGCCACTGTGCTCGCAGATGTGAGGCCAAAGTCGATGAGCACCTACAAGCAGGCCGTCAGCCCACGTCGGTCAGATATCAGACACCTGCGTGCTCACTACCTCGTCGAAGCCATCGGAACATCGATGCATCATGTTGCTGGTCGTCAGGTCGCCGTGGATCACGTCTGCTGCATGCATCGTCGCCAGCTGTTGCCCGACCAACCGCATCAAGCCCACTGCGTTGCGTCCCGGTGCGAGTAAGCCGCAGATCAGACAAATCTCATGCACACCTCGGTGCAGAGCTGCGGGCGCGTGGACAGGTCCAGCGCCTGTGCGCCGGCAGTGTGGCACCTCGCTCCTCGCATGCGACTCACCTTGCTGCTCATCACTCATCTCGGGCGCCTCCAGACCCGTCTCCTCACCCTCCTCCGCCTCCTCCCACATCTCCTCGCCCTCTGCGCCGCCGCCAAGGCATTGTCTGATGCTCTTGCCGTCGACCCAGGCCATGCCCAGCACGCCTTCGCGCTCGTCGACGAAGCGCAAGCCGGGCACATTGACGCCCTCGCGCGCACAGCGCACCAGCGTGCGCGCCTCGAGCGTGGTGCGCTGCGCTGTCAGCTGCGTGGACAGCGAGCTGTGCCGGTACGTCTTGGGGAAGCGGTGCTTGAGCACGAGCGGCGCCGGCGCCGCCGGTGCGGGCGCAGAGCTCGGGAAGACGCTGGCCGCCGCAGGCCGGTAGAGGTAGACGCGCGCCTCGGCGCCCTGCGAGATGAGCTCGCAGGCGGGCGACGCCAGCAGCGCCAGCGTAGGCGACGGCGCCGACGTGGACGCTGTGGACGACGACGATGCAGCAGTCATGGCGCGGGTCGAGAGGGTGCAGAGGCAAGAAGGTGCGAGCTGCCGCAGCGGCGCGTTGTGGAGCGCCGAGCTGAGGAGCGTGGGAACAGCGCGGGACCCAGCCTCCCCGCTGCCATGTCTCCCTCTTGGCGCGCTCACACGGCGGCGGGTAGTAGATGGTGACACAGTGAGCCGGATGATGGCGTAGCGGTACAGATGATGAGGGGTCGCAGCGGCGTGTGGGACGGGAAAGGGCCGGGCCGGGGGCGAGCGCGGCGCGAGCGCGGCTCAGCCCTGCAGCGTGCCCTGGTTGCGTTCGGCTGAGGGGCGGAGCGACATGCGTGAGTGCTGCGCGTCGACTCGCTTCTGACGCCACTCACGGTCGGCAAGCTTGTGGACGCGCACGGCATTGCCAAGCGTGAGGTTGGCCATGCTCTGAGGCTGTTCGGGCGCGCAGTCAGGTCAGCCGATGAGCAGTGGCGTCCACTCGACCAGGACGCACCGTGATGAGGATGTACTGGACGCCCTGCGCCGTCTTGGCGGCGTCGATGATCTGCAGACTTGTCAGTGTGGCACGCAAAGCGGAGGCGTCTGCAGCACCTCACCATCTTTGACGAGATGCGGCGATTGACAGCTGCGAAGCAACAGGTCAGCTCCCAAAGCAAGGCGGATCACGCCCGGTACGAGCGTACCGTCCTGCAGGGTAGCGAGAGTGAGCCGGGATACTGGACAGCAGCAGCCAGAGCACGCACCATGAACACGTCGAACTCGTCGAGGCTAGAGGCAATGCTGTCAGCCCGCAGACGCTGTCAGTTGTCTGGAGCCACTCACCAGCGGATGGGGCAGCCGATGGCCTCCCAGAGGGCCAGCAGCAGGCAGATGGTCGAGAAGGACTTCTCGCCGCCCGAGAGCGACTTGGGGTCCTTGTCGCGCTGCTGCTTCGCCGAGTCCTCCGTTTGCACCTGCGGCGGAACGGACGTGAGCACGCTGCGGATCATCGAGCAGGCGCAGAGGTTGCTCACGCGAAGGCGCAGCTTGCCCGCCTCGTGGTTGAAGTCGAGCGAGCCAGTGTAGCCGCGGTTGGACAGATGGTAGGTGAACTGGCCCTTGGCACGCAGCGCGATGTTCTTGCGGAAGTAGTGCCACTTGGACAGACGCGTGTTGAGCGCCGCGTCCAGGTGCTGCGTGTGCTCGGGTCAGCAGGTCGCTCGTACACAGAAGAGACGCCGCTCGCACCTTGATGGCCGAGGCGAAGCCTGCAAGCTCAGTCTTGGCGTTCATGAAGGCCTTGCTCGAAGCCGTGACCTCGGCCACGATGTCCTCGACGCTCTGACCCTCACTGCGATGTCTCGTCAGCTGACGCGGGATGCAGACTGCGCCGCAAGAACTCACAGACGCTCAGCTTCTGCGAGCTGCTTCTCGATAGCGATGATTTGCTGCGTGCGGAGCAGTTAGCGCACATGCGGCGCTGCGCATTCCAAAGGAAACTCACGCGGCTGTACCACTCGGGCTGGTGGCTAATGTCATCGGGGCGCTCCGCCTCGAAGGCCTCGGCCGAGGTGGTGAACTCGTCGAGCTTCTCCTGCACTTCGGTGGACTGCTCCTGCAGCTTGGCAATCTTCTTCTTCTGCTCGGCGATCTCCGTCTTCCAGTGCGTGTTGTGTGTCTGGGCGGTAAGGCGCCTCTTGATAGCCTCGAGCATCGGCGCCTTGCCTGCCTCGAGCGTGTCCCTGTACTCGCGACTCTGTGCCTTGAGCGCGTCCAGCTTCTCGGTCAGCGGACGCAGCTCCTCTATGCTCTTCTCCTTCTCGCGCTGCACCTCCTCGAACTGGCGCTTGATCGTCTCCATCTGGTCGTTGGCCTCCTAGAGGCAAGCACATGAGGATTAGCACCGCAGTCCGGGCGTCAGCGAGGCGCGAGACGGACCTGCTTGGCCTCCTCGAGCGCAGCCACGTTCATCGGCTCGTCCTCGCGCATGTCTTCGGCCAGCCGGGCCTCGTCGTCGACACGCGCGTTGATCTGCTTCTTGATCTGAGGCAGCTCACGCTGGGTGGGTACGGGTGTCAGCGGCGACCTGCAACGAGAAGCACGGCTGCGCTTACCTTGATCTTCTGCGCCGCATCCTGCAGGGCGCGGCGCTCCTCGCCGATGCTGCGCAGAGCGGCATCGGCAGCCTGAAGCTCCTCGCCGGCCTGGCGCTGCTCCTCCTGCGCCTGCGCCAGCTGGGCGGTCACGTCCGACGACAGACGCGGCGGGCCCTTGTGGGGGTTGAGCGTCTGTGTGGCCGAGCCCTGGTCGCTGCGAGACGTGATGGGTCAGCGGAGTTGACACACAGCCAGCCGCTTCAACTCACCCGCCGGAAATGCGATACATGTCCTTCGAGAAGGCGAACTGCACGTTGGGACGACGTGCGCGCATCAGAGTGTCGCCGTCGACACGGCGCGGCACCAGGGCAGCACGCTCGATGTGCACGGCGTTGACGAGCTGGCGCATGACAAAGTCGTTGTCGATGTCGAGCACGCGCAGGATCGTGGCAATGTCCTCCGGCGGCTCGCCGTGCGAGAAGTCAAACGGCTCGTCGCTGCCCGTGAGGATCGAGACGAAGGGGTTGTTTGTGCGGCGCTTGTGGTTCTCCAGCAGCCGACGGTCGTGGTGGTTCGTCACGCAGAAGGCGTTCAGCGTGTTGCCGATGACGCTCTCGAGCACGGGTGCCCACTCCATGTCCTTGAGCTTGAGGTGTACGCCAATCGGACCGACCGGCTTCTGGCGCCAGCCCTTCTCGCGCTCGATGGACTGCATCAGCTGCGGGATGTTGGGGCCGTAGGCGGCAAGGCGATTGCCTCGCGCCGAGCGCAGACGATCCTGCAGCGTCTGCGCCTCTGCTACGCGCGTTCGCAAGCGGTCGCGGCCCGCTGCGGTCTCGCGCTCGCGGGCCGTGACACCGGCAAGATCACGCTCGATCTTGTACAGCTCCTCGCCCAATTCCACTTGCTTGCGCTCCAGCGCTTTGCGGTCCGCGATCGCCTGCTGCTGCTGCGCCTCGAGCGCCTGTCGTTTGGCGCGGTTGCCGTCCGACATGCGCGTCGCCTCGTCGTCGATGCGAGTCTGCAGGTCCTCCACGGTGCTGCGCTGCCGTGTGAACTGGCTGCTCAGCTGCCCCTCGTGCGCCTGTGGTCTCGTCAGTCAGCAGAGCATCGACGTCCGCACAGCACATGCACACGCACCATGATGTCGCGCTGCTTGTCCTTCGCCTTCTTGCTCTGCTCCTTGAGCGCGTCCATCTCGTCCTTGAGGCCCGTGTCGCGTGCGCGCGCCTCATTGATGCGCACATCGAGGGCGCTCAGGATCTCGTTCTCCTTCGCCTCATTGGCCTGGATCCGGTGCTGTCAGCAGGGCTCCTCGTGCGTCGACACACCGAAAGCGCACCTCTGCCTCTGCAAGCTTGCTCTCCTGCTTCTTGAGCTTGTCCTCCGCCTTGACGATGGTGCTCACGACGGCCTCGAGCTCGTCCTCCTTGGCGGCCACCTGCGCCCACACATAGGTGCTCCTGTACGTCTCGAGCTTCTCGGCCTGCTCGCGGCGCTTCTGGATCGTGTCGTAGCGCGCCGTGGCCTCGCGCGCGCGCGTCTCGAGGTCCGGCAGCACCTGCTTCTTGCGCTCGACGACGGACCTGATCTTTGCGATGTTCGTCTTGACCACCTCGTACTCGTTGGCCAGCTGCGTCAGCTGCGTGCCGCGCAGGAAGAACTGGCGGGGCGGGTCAGCATTGGTGGGCATAGCGACGTGCGGCCGTACGTTTGCTCACTTGGTACTTCTCGGCTGCGTGCGAGGCGCTGAGGAACTGGCGCGCGTTGTCCTGGCTCAGCACGTTCATCGGATTGTCGACCTGGATGTTCGAGTGGTCGCAGATGGCGTTGAGCTCGTCGCGCTTGGTGCTCACGACGCGGCCCGTGTCGCTCTTGATCTTCCAGCCGCCGCCGCCGTCGGCGTTGATGCGGCGCTCGATGGTGATCGACTTGCCGTACAGCTCCGGCTTGAACGCCTCGCTGCCGCGGTTCTTGAGCGTAAGCTCGACTAGCGCTCCGCTGTGTGTCCACACCGCGTTAGCATGGCACGCTGGGTCCCAGGCGATGGGATACATACGCCTTGCCCTCCTTGACGAAGCTCTTGAGGCTCTTGCCGCGGTCCGTCGACGTGGCCTTGCCGCCGAGCGCGATTGTGATCGCCGTGAGGATCGCACTCTTGCCGCCTGGGCGCGAGCTGCTCAGCGCAGCGCGGACAACATGAGCGGCGACGACTCACTGCCGTTGTGTCCGATGACGAAGTTGATCTGCGGGCCCAGCCTGATCGTGAGGCGGTTGTGGCACATGAAGTTGGTCACGTCGACCTTCTCGATGACACCCATCTCGGCGACGTTCTGTGCAGCCGAGGCGGATCAGCGGGGGCTCGCCACGAGCCAGGTCGCGAGCAGCAGAACTCACTCCGGGCGTCCTGTGGCTCGCCTGAATCTCCTCCGCAATATCCCGCTCGAGCTCGATGTCGTCCTGGCTCCTCTCCGCCTCCTCCAGCGGCTCGTCTTCGTCGCTGTCTGCGCCCTCGTCTGCGTCGTCCCCGTCGCCCGTCGCCTGACGGCTCGCACGCTGCTTGCCGTTCGCGACGCCGTTGCGGCGCGCGACGGGCTCATCCTCCTCTTCTTCCTCCTCGTACTCGTCCATGCTGACCTCAGAGCCCGACTTCATCTCGTCCTCCTCTGCGCTGCTGCTGGGCGGGCGGCGCGGTGCGATAGTCGAGAAGGCGGACGTTGCGCTGGTGCGTGCGCGCTTCGTCTGCGAGCGCTGCTGTCAGCCTGCGCCCGGCGGCCTCTGCGGCGCACCTGCCGCTGCTGCTCACGGAAGGGCCCGACGAGGGTCCGGCCTCGGACTCGGAGTCCGAGGCCGCGCTTAGCCGCTTGCGCGACATTCGGCGCCGAGGAAGGAGGCGGGAGAGAAGAGAGTGTGAGGGAGAGGTGACGGTGGAGGAAGAAGGAGAGACCGACACGCGGCCAGCGCTGCGTGGGCGCCGGCGCGTCAATCAACGCGTGCTGACTTGAGGCGCCGTCTCGTGTCCAACACTTTGTAGCCGCGACTTCAACGACAGATTGTAGTGCCAAGTTGTAGTCGCCGTCCAGCGTGGGAGCGGCGATGCACGCGGGCTGTGCCGCCCGGCTCAGGGGCTCATCACTTCTGGCGCGCGCGGGCCTGATTGCCATTTTGGGCAGCTGCCGCGCTGCTGCTGCCGCTGCTGCTGCTGCCGTGCCTGCGCCCCGCGCCGGCGCTGCGCTGCGAATACACGGCCTGCTCCCACCGCCGGCGCTGCTCTGCCTCCGTGCCCTCCTCTCGACCGTCCTCTCCACCACCTCATCCCCGTCTCGGCCTTCACGACCTCACGCCCGCCTCGCTCACGACCCCGCTCACGCTCACGACCCTCACGAATCACCCTTCACGACACCGCCGCCCAGCGCAGCTCTGGCCTGCCTCCACTCGGCCGCATCAACACAACCCGCTGCGCACACAGCCCCTCCGCCGTCTCGCCGGACCTTCTGCTGCGATGTGGTGAGTCTGGCACCGCGCCACCAGCGCAACTCGTCTCTGACGCTCCACTCTTGCTGCTTCTGCCACCCGTCAGGTGTGACAACTGCCTGCTCGGTGAGTGCGCCTGCGTGCGCGGCCTGCCAGGCTTGACCACGTCGCTGACCATGCCCCTGCAACGACAGTCTTTCCGCTGCGTGAGTCTGACGGTGGATTGGACCATACACAGAGGAGAAGGAGGAGACGCTGCGCGCGCTGCGCCGGCATCAACTCGCGGGGCCGCCGCTCCGTAGACTGCGACGCTCCAGCGCGTCACAGGGGCAGGGGCGCACTGGCGGTCTCAGGGGCAGATGCGCACGCAGAAAGGGCGAGAAGGGCAGGAAATGATGCTGGGCACGGCAATCCGGAGACACCGAGGGCGAGAACGGACATGTTCATGCTGGGGCTGGGACGCGACGCTGACACCGTCTCGATGTGTCAACAGGCCACGGCGCAATGGCGTGGTGCAGCCTGATCGCAGTGAGTGCTTCGCGCCACTGCATCCTAGCCCTGCGCTGACTCCATTGTGCAGCTTTACAACTTGGCCGGCTCGATCCTGCTCTTCCGCTCGGGCCAGTACCTCTTCTTCACGTTCCCGGAGTGCGTCCAGCCATGCGTCGTGTGCCGTGGGCCGTGGGCTGACCGCCGCGCAACCACAGATGGCAGATCTACGGTGGCATTGGCATGGCCGTCATGGCCATCTGCATCCTCAACATTGTCGGCTACGCAAACAATTCGTACATGTGGGCGCGCCTCTGCTTCTACCTCTGGCCCGTCATCCTGCTCGTCACGGCCGTGCGCGCCGGCTTCATGAGTGAGTGCCAGGCGATGCGTGGCCTCTGCCGGACGGCACCGCTCGGTCCATCTGCTGACACCGCACGCCGCGCAGTCTTCCAGCTCAACCGCGAGCAGAACAAGATCATCTGGGAGTGCAACAACGGCGGCCAGCTGTGGGGCGAGTCCGTCGAGAAGGGCTACGGCGAGGGCAGCGGCATGCCCACGGGCATGTGCAGCGCCGGCTTCCACAGCCTGTACATTGCGTTTGTCATGTCGCTCCTCGTCGACCTCGCGCTGCAGATCTACGCGTGAGTCGCCGCTGCACCTTGCCAACGACGAAGCAAACCGGCTGACCCGCGCACAGCTACTTCATGGCATGGCGCTTCATGAAGCGCATCGAGCACTACTATCAGCTCGTGCAGAAGAACCAGAGTGAGTGGCTCGGCTGGGGTGTTCTGACGGCGTTCGCTGATGTACTCGCTTGCAGACGTGTACGGCTAATCGCCCGACCACGGGTGGACTCGAACGGCCCACGAGCAAGCGCACGATGCTCCACTGCCCCCCAGCCTTGCTTCTCCCTGGGCTCCTTGCACATACACTCTGGAGCGAGACGTATGCGTGGCGCGCTTGCGCCGCGCTATCTGCTGCTCGCTAGCCTCTTCTCTTGCCTCCCTTCTCCGACTGCCCAGTCTCACCTTGCGTGCGCGTGACGCTTCGTCGCTGCAGCTTCCAAGTAATGCCAAAACTCCTGTTCGCTATCCCTGCCTTGGTGCGAGCTCAGGACCCTCTCGCGGCCGCATCGCGGCACGCAGGCGTCGCGCTGTCGTCCCGAAGTTGAGCTCGCCTGGCTTTGCACCACGTACGAGCGCTGAACCAGATGGCGGAGCGCTGACAGCTGTTGTAGTGACAGCCTCTCTGCCAGGGAGCGCTCACCTACGTGCTCCTCACCTACTGCTTCCTCCTCCCTCCCGTGCCATCTGCGCCCGTACCAGCATTTCTCTCCCTCTCTCTCACTTCGTGCAACCTGCGCTTCCCACCCCTGCGCCGTCCAAGCGCCAACATGCGTCACGTACCACAGACGCATAGCTGAGATGTGCTGGCATTGCTGCAGGCCGAGCGGCTCAGGCAAGGAGCTGGCCAAGGTAGTGGAAGAGGTACGGCGCTGAGTAGAGAGCATGTCAGCACGAGTAGCAGCGCTCCGGCACCGGGCCGGCTTCCAACCCGCAGCCTCATTCCTGCAGCTGTGCTCCTTGCTCTCTTCATTGCTGCACGCCATGAACGCCTCCACTCGTCGCTGTCTGCACTCACCAGCGTACAGGCCGGCGGCGTACGTGGCGAACGTCTTGATGGTGCCGTGCGCCTGCTGGCGCGCAGCGGCGAGCTCGAGGGCCGAGGGCGGAGCCTGGGGAGCTGCGACGCGGCCTTCGAGTCAGCCAGCAGGCAACGGTAGCTGATGCACGAGTGTGCTCACCGCCGAACATGCTGCTAAAGGAGGGAGATGGAGGAGGAGGAGGAGGAGGAGACGCGAGAGCTCAGCGCCGAGCGGGTGGAGTGGAGACTGCGCACGGCACGTGACGTCTCAGACGTGAATAGCAAATTGCCGCGCGCCCCTCTCTTGAGTTGTAATCTCGCACCGCCTCCTCTCTGAAATCTCGGCCCGCGACGAGAATGCTCCGGTCGCTCTGCCCCTCTGATGTCTCCCTCTGGACCGGAGCCGAGAGCGGCCCTCGGCAGCCGCCAAGCCGTCCCCTCGTGGCTCTGCAGCGCGCAGCACCAGGGGGCGCGAAGCCACGGCATGGCGCCGTGCAGGCCGCAGGAGCGAGGGGCGCGTGCGGCGATTTCTGGCGGCACGCTCGGCGAGATGCGCAGGCGTGCCTTGCAGCGCGCCGAGCGTGCGCGGGCGCCGGGCACGGGAGCAGTCTGAGTGTAGTGTGCTGCCGCCCGGCCGCCGGCCCATGCAGCGCTCGGCTGAAGGGGGCGCGAGAGCGGACATCGCTCTCGCCCCGCTCCGACGCCGGCGTCCGGCTCCCATCCACGCCCTCGACGCCCAGCAGCTCTCGTCTCTCACTACCACCACCACCTCGCGTCTGTCCCTGTGCCGTTCCATCTCTTGCTGCGTCTCCTGCCGCCGCCGCATCGCCGCACACTCCCTCCGGCTCGCCGCCGCGCCTCTCGCACCCTTCTCCTTCTCACCTTCTCGCCCACCCGACGCAGCTGCCCAGCATGGCGCAGTACCAGCGTCCGCAGGACATGTATGCCCACTCCAACGCCTCGCAGTTCGACGAGCGCTACACGGCGCCCGCACAGCCGCTGCCGCAGGGCGGCAGCAGCGGGCAGCAGGCCTACTACTCGCAGGGGCCGTACAAGCACGAGCAGGACCAGTACAGCTACGCCGGCTCCGAGACGCCCTACGGCGGCATCCCACCGCAGGGCAACACGTACCGCGACTACCCGCAGGGCGGTGCCGGACCCAATGCCGGTGAGTGCGCATCGCTGGGAGCACGGTCCGGTCGCTTGTCGCGTGGCGAGAGCGCGTTCGTTGTAGAGGCTCAAAGTGTCGCGCTGCACCTTGGTCCCGGAGCCCGGCATCCCGCTTTATGATGCAGGCTGTGACGTGCTGGTAGATCTTCATCATTGCTCGTCACGCAGCCGCGCGTCCAAGGAGGTTGCGTCGCGACATGGACGCGCACCTCGACGCGTCTCAGCGCTCGGTGGCGCGCATCCGCGCTCGTTGGTCTCTCGTCGCTTCTGCCTTGACGCTCGAGAAGGCATTGCCGGGCCTGAAGTCCGGATGGCTGGCCAGCTGGCTGTGCAGCTGGCTGTCTGGCATGCTCGCCACCTGGCGGACCCAGACTGCCGCGTCCGTTGTGGCAATGCGGGTTGCGGACGTCGAGTGTCTGCGGCTCTCTCCACAAGCTGCACGAGCTGCTCCTCGTGGAGCTCCGTTCTGGGAGGTGTGCTGCACACTAGCCATCCGCAGCTGTGCCGCCAGATGACTCGCGCGCGGCGAGGTGGCACGTCGCGCGAAGGTGGATGTGCCGCCACGCTCAGCACCCGGCATCGGAGGCTCGCTCTGCCATGCGCTGCGACGACCTCGTGGCCCACGCGCTGTTGGAGTGTCGACGGCAGGTGTCCATCTGCTGGATGCACATTTTCGTCTCTGCCTCGGTGGAGCGCGCTCGCCGCCGACGCACCTCCTGGCCTCCTGGCGGATGCGCGAGGGGGGCGGGTGGTTGTGCCGCGGCGGCGCGGGGCGGCACGGCAGCACGCGGCAGCGGCGCGCGTGTGCCTTGGCGGCCGAGGCGCCGCGCATCTCCGAGGCATGACGGGCGCGCGTGTCTGTGTGTCACGCGGGCGTCGCGCGACACTGGCCTTGTGCCTGCGCCTGCGGGCTGAGGCAACAGGTGATATTCGCGCCGTGCGCGGCAGACGAAACCCTGCAGCGCCAGATCGGCGCAGGCAGCCGAGCAGCGGCGGCAACGGCGCAGGAGGCAGTGCAGCGGCGCCCAGCGGCCGCCGCTCCTGACGCTGGGCAGCTACTTTTCGGGTGCGAGTGCCACCGGCCTGCTTCTGCTCCACCACCCTGTCCCGCTCCCTTCTCTTTCCTCGCACCATGGCCCGGGCCCACGAAGACGACACGCTCTTACCCTCCTCGCAACGCCCAGCACAAAATGCCGCGCAGAAGTACTCGTACGCGCCGCAGAAGAAGGGCGTGAGCAAGTGGATCAAGATCGGCATCCCGCTGCTGCTGCTCGTCATTGCCGGCGCCGTCGTCGGCGGCGTGCTCGGCTCGCGCGCCGCGAGCAGCAGCTCGAAGGGCGGCAGCAGCGCCAACGACAGCGAGACGAAGAGCACTTGGACGGGCTCCTCGAGCGGCGACAAGCCTGCGACGGCCGACGGCAGCACGCTCTCGGCCGCGTCGCAGGCGGCGCAGCGCGGCGGCGTCGACGACCTGACGTACCAGGGCACGGACCTGTACGGCAACCCGTCGTTCAAGGCCGCCGCCACGACGGGCTCGCCGACGTCGAGCGGCATGCCGGGCGACGGCTTCGCCGGCTCGACGTCGCAGCTGCGCTCGCACCCGCGCATCATGACCACCGCCGGCCAGTGGTCGTCGCTGGCCGACAAGATCAGCAAGGACGCCTACCTGACCGTGTGGAACGCGTCCATCTTCGAGAATGCTACGGCCTACTTCAACCTCCCGCCGACGGCCTACGACATCGACGGCGGCTTCACGGGCTCCGGCGTGCTCGACCCGGCGCGCGAGGTACAGCTGCGCATCAAGACGTTCGCCTACGCCTACCACATGAGCGGCAACAACACGCGCTGGCGCGACCGCGCCTGGAGCGAGCTGCAGACGGCCGCCGGCAACAACTCGCAGGTGCGCTGGGGCGCCGACGGCGACGGCGGCAGCCCGTGGAACGTCAACCACTTCCTCGACCTCGCCGAGGCTACGGCTGCCTTCGCCATCGGCTACGACTGGCTGTACGATGCCTGGTCGCAGGAGCAGCGCGACTCGCTCGTGCAGGCCATCGTGCAGAACGGCCTGACGTACGGCACGTACGCCTACAACCCGACGGACGCCAACGGGGGCAACAACTACGCCTGGTGGCGCACGACGAACGGCAACTGGAACTGCGTCTGCAACTCGGGCCTGCTGCTCGGCGCGCTGGCGATCCGCGACGTCGACACGTCGGGCACGGCGCAGTCGATCATCGACAGCGTCATCCCCAACATGCGCGACAACTGCATGCAGGGCGTGCTCTCCGACGGCACGTGGAGCGAGACGGCCAACTACTGGTACTTCGGCACGTCGGCCGCCGCGCGCGCCGTCTCGGCCCTCATCACCGCCACGGGCAGCGACCAGGGCCTGATGGCGGCGAACCCCAACTTCGGCAAGACGGGCGACTTCCACATGGCCGTGTCGGGCAACGCCGGCATGTTCTTCTACGGCGACAACGGCCCGAACAAGTACTCGGCGTCGGCCAACGGCATGTTCCTCTTTGCCAACCTCACCAGCCAGCCCGAGCACGCGCTCTTCCAGCGCGACCGCGCCGACGCGGCGGACCCGCTGTCCATGTTCTGGTACGACCCCTCGAGCAAGGGCGCCTTCTGGAACGGCCGTGCGCTCGACCAGTACTTTGACAACGAGCTCAGCGGCTGGGCGGCGATGCGCTCGTCGTGGACGGACTTCACGGGCACGTACGTCGGCATCAAGAGCAACAATCTGACGGGCCACCAGACGCACGGCGACCTCGACGTCGGCACGTTCGTCATCGACGCGCTCGGCACGCGCTGGGCCGGCGAGCTCGGCAACGGCAACTACCTCTCGCGCGAGTACTTTGCCTCGGAGCTGCCCGCCGCCACGCGCTGGCAGTACTACCGCCAGTCGAGCCAGGGCCAGAACGTCATCGTGCTCAACAACCAGAACATGAACCCGAACTGCGCGCCGGTGAACCGCTTCGAGACGACGGGCGCCACGCAGAGCAGCTCGGTCAGCTACACGCCGGGCACCGGCGATGTCGCCTACTTTGTCTCGGACACGAGCAGCGCCTACAACCTCACCGCCGGCACGATCAGCCGCGGCATCCGCATGCTCAACGGCCGCCGCCAGGTGCTCGTGCAGGACGACATCGGGCAGAGCGGCGACATCTCGCAGATCCAGTGGCGCGTGCACACCAACGCCTCCGTCGCGCTCTCGTCAGATCGCCGCACGGCGACACTGACGCTCAACAAGGCCGTCAACCCCAACGCGTACGGCGGCAACAACTTCGGCGGCCCTGCCACGCTCACGGCCAATTTCGAGACCAAGACGATGATCGTCAAGCTGCTCTCGCCCGCATCGGCGACGTTCGCCGCGGGTCCCGCGACGCGCATCTTCGGCACGGAGCCGGGGAACCAGCCGGCGGGCCAGGAGGCGGACCAGGACAATGTCGGCGTCACGGTGCTCTCCGTCTCGCTCAACGGCGGCTCGGTACAGAGCATCCAGGTGCTCTGGCAGCCGCAGTGGTCCAACCTCGGCAGCGCCGACAACGCCACGCCCAACAGCGTGCCGCTCTCGCAGTGGTCGCTCACGAGCCACAACTAAGCGTCGAGTCTCTCTTCGCCGCTCCGCTCCCGCCGCTGTCCCGCTGCTCTCGCCTCATCGCGCCGCTCTTCTCTCGTGCGACCCGTCACTCACTCCCCGCGCGGCGCTGGCCGTCCTGTCGCAACGCACACCACTCGGCGCGTGTATCATCTCTGCAGCTCTCCCTCTCATGTCTTCCCTTGTCCCAGCCCACCGGGCGCTCCTGCGGCGCCGCGACGACCACATACATCTCATCACAGCGCCGTCACGCGCGCTCTCCCTCATTTCAATGGACTCATACAGTACGTGCTTGTTCATTAGCGTGCGAGCGTGACGGAAGGACCAGCGTGAGACAGGATTAGAGGCCGCGGCGGGCTTTTCGGGCGTGGCTGGTGCGGGACAGGGACGAGAGCGCCGCAAGAACGCTTATGCGTGCTTGAAGCCGACGTCCTGCAGGCGGCATGAGGATCAGTCAGCTGCTCAAGACCACGTCGACAGGGGAGCGGCTCACCCAGCCGAGCTTCTCGAGCGACCAGCCCGACGCCGTGTTGTCCTCCTTGTTGTACGGCTGCAGGCAGAGGCGCGAGTGGCGCTTCTCGTCGTTCTTGTGGATGTCGTTGATGCGCTTGACCTCGGCGTCGGTGAGCTTGGGCAGCGTGATGTTGCCCTTGATGCGCTGCAGATCGAAGGACGCGTCAGCCGAGCACCAGCACGCGATCGGAGGGGCAGACTGACCTCTGCATTGGTCGATCTCGGGTTGACGGACACGCCGTTCGCCAGCGCCCACGCAAGGCACACCTGGCCAGCCGAGACGCCGTGTGCGTCGCCGATCTCGACGAGGTCCGCGTCCTTGAGGACGGTCTGGCCGTTGCCGAGACTGCGCCGCGTGTCAGCCGGAGGGTTCCAGCAGCGCACGGCCTGCACTCACGGCGAGTAGTACGACATGTGGATGCCCTTGGAGTGGCAGAACTTCATGAACGCGAAGTCAGGGTGGAACGGGTGGCCCTCGACCTGGCACACTGCCGGCGTGACCTGCAGCGAGAGTCAGCACAGAGTCATGCTGCACAGCCGCACCACGCACCTTTGCCGTCTGCAGCAGCTGGCCGAGCGTCTTGTGGGAGAAGTTGGACACGCCAATGGCGCGCACCTGCTTCGTCTCGAGCAGCTTCTCCATCTCCTCCCACACGTCGTTGAACGTAGGACCGTCGGGCGGGCCGTCGTACACGGTGCCGTCCTCCTTCTTGCCCTGCGGCCAGTGCATGAGCTGCGCCAAAGGTAAGCGGAGGCACAGTGCGGCAGGGCGTGACAGACGACACGCACGTAGAGGTCGATGTAGGTGCCGAGCTGCTTGAGCGAGTCCTCAAACGAGGCCTTGACGTCGTGGTGCATGGTGCTGGGCAGCTTGGCTGGGTGGCTGGTCAGCAAGAGGCAAGGCTGGCGCATGCATGCGGCGACGCACTCGTGATGAAGAGCTGCTCGCGCGGGATGTCCGTCTTGCGCACGCCCTCGCCGACGGCCGCCTCGGTGTTGTAGTTGTTCGCCGTGTCTGCGGCGGGTGTGAGCAGTGTGCAGCAGCGACGCAGCAGCAGTGCCACGCACCCAGCCCGCGGTAGCCGGCGGCCAGCGCATCGTGCAGGCCCTCGATGTCGGCCGTCTCGCGGCACTCGGGGCCCTGGAAGCAGCCGAAGAGCACGCCGGGCATGGCGACGCCGTTGTTGAGCGTAAAGGTGGGAATGTCGGCCATGGTGCGAGGGTGTGGGTGTGGTGGTGAGAGGCAGGCTGCAGAGGCCAGGAAGGGTCAGCGTCGGAGGGCCGTCGTGTTGGACGAGCAGGGCGGGACACCTCCACCCTGTGCATGACGCCCAGGCAAAGTTCGGGCGCGGCGGGGTCTGCTGGGCGCGGCGTGTGGCGCCGTGTTGGGCGGTGCGGCGCGCGTCATGGAGAGCTATTCGCGGCGCGATGCGAGGCTTCCCACGCTCATCCATCCCGCTGGTCTCTCTCGCGCTCCTCGGCCACGATGGCCGCCGCAGCAGCAGCAGCCAGCTCGCCGCAGCGTCCGCAGGCCGTGGCACGCCCCGTGCGCTGGCTGCTGCTCGCGGCGCTGGCCCACCGCTGCGCCGCGCTGCTCCTGCTGCTGCTCTTCGCGCACCTGCAGCGCCCCTTCGACGCCTCGGCGCCCGCATCGCCGGCGCCGCTGCTGCGCTGGGACAGCACCTACTTCCTCGCCATCGCGGCGCCACACGCCCTGCGCGGCGCACCGCACGGCTATGCCTACGAACACACGGCCGCCTTCATGCCCGGCACACCGGCGCTGCTGCGCGTCGCCGGCACGGCGGGCGGCCTTGCGGCGTGGAGCTCGGAGCGCGCCGCCTGGGGCGCCAGTCTTGCCTGTCTGCTCGCTGGTGTCGCCTGTCCAGCCCTGCTCTACCTGTGAGTAGCACGGCTGTGTGTGCCTGCCGGGTCTGACCCTCGTCCGCCACAGCCTCAGCGTGCGGCACTTCGCTCCGCGCTTCTCGCTGCTCGCCGCGCAGCTCTCCATCCTCGCGCCGGCACCTATGTCGCTCGTCACGCCGACGCCCGAGGCGCCCTTTGCGCTGCTCTTCCTCGCCATGTGCCTGCTGCTGGCACCGCCCACAGGAGCACGCGCCAGTGCACCGCTGCTTAGAGTCGGCCGCTTCGTTGCAGCGGCACTGCTCGGCGCAGGTACGACGGTGTTCCGCGCCAACGGCATGCTCAGCGCCGGCCTGCTGCTCTGGTCGTTACTGTGGGACATGCCGCGAGGCTGGAGCGTACGCACGGTGAGCATACTCTCTGCCGCTCTTGGGTGTCGCATCTCACCTCCTGGCCGCCAGCTACCGCGCTTTCTCTTGGTGCCGCTGGCCTTTGCGCCCGTCGTGCCGTTTGCCCTGATGCAGGTCTGGCTACACGCTCGCATGTGCCATGCACCAGCGGACGAGGGCCTGTTGTCGCAGATGAGCAGCAGCCTCTTCGCTGGCTCGAGCGAGGGTGCTGAATGGGCTGCGCCCGAGTGGTGCTCCGGCTGGCGTGGTGCCTACGGCAGCATCCAAGCGCGCTACTGGTGAGTGCCTTCGCCGACGCAGAGAGCAGCAGGGCGCTCATGACCTGCACAGGAACGTCGGCTTCCTGCGATACTGGACGCCTGCGCAGGTGCCCAACTTTCTGCTGGCTGCGCCGGTCCTCGTGCCGCTGCTGCACTACCTATGGCGCTACTACCTCAGTGCGCCACAGCGGATAGCCAGCCGCACGCTACTGCCCTTCCTGCCGGCGTCGGCCGTCGGCTCGTCGAGAAACAGCGCACTGCTGCCGGCGTCGGCCTTGCCGCTCATGCACCACACGCTCATCTCGACGGGGCTGCTGCTCTTCGTGGCGCACACGCAGATCGCACTGCGCTTGTGTGCCGCTATGCCGGCCGTCTGGTGGGCCTTTGCCAGCTGGCTTGTCGAGCCGGCACGCACGCAGCCGAGCGACAAAACGAGTCTGGACAAGCGCTCCTCGTACCTGCTGGCTTGGCTGGTACTGTGGAACGTCGCCAGCCTGGTGCTGGGCGCTGGCTTCTATCCGCCGGCCTGAGGTGTCTCGCCTCGGTCAATGCAACACGTCACACACAAGGCGACACGCAATCGGCTGCGATTCGTGCGATGCTGCATAGGCAGGAGGTACATGCTGGGTGTGGAGGCTGCGCATGAGAGCTGTATAATGTATGGGAGCGAAAGAGAAGAGAGTCGGGAGAGAGGAAAGGCAAGATGGGCGGTGACAGGCCCACCTGCGGCGACTGGCCGTCCAAGAGAGGCCCGCCGCGATGGTGCCGTCAGAGAGAGGAACACCTTTCGATGGGGAGCGCACTCGCGAGGGTGCGCTGACCGAGCAGGAGCGGTCGAGAAGGCCGGAGAGCGCAGAGACGAGCCGTGTGTGGGTGGAATCGAGACGGCATAAGGGCCGGGCAGAGCGCATGTAGGAGCTCGCATACGATAGGCGTAGAGGAGGCCAGGACCGAAGAGAGTGAGGAATCCGGAGAGTGGATGCGGCTGGAACGATGAAGGCCGGATCGCGAAGAGAGACGAGGGGATGCGACGAGTTGTACAACAGCGAGGGAGGACCGGCAGAGGTGCTGGTGGAGATGTGTGGGGTGACAAGGAAGCGAGATCGAGCGGAGACGACGCAGAGTGCGATAGCGCTGCATCAGAGGAGGAGCCTGGAGTCGGCGTGGACAAGAGTGCCCTCCGGTCATGCCAGGACAGCCGTGGCGCTGCTGGTAGCCACCGGCTCGGCAGGCGACGGCGACGAGGCCGCGGCCTGCTTCGTCTCGCTGCTCTGCGCGGCGCCGTCCTTGGCTGCTGCGCTGGTCGGCTGCTCCTTCTCCGCAGGCTTCTCCTCGCTAGGCGCGGCAGCCGCCTCCGGAGCCGGCTCGGGCTTCGCCTTGACGGGCGCCGGGGCCGAGAGGATGGCCGAGAAGTTGGCCTTGGTGGGCGCGGCGCCGTTCGTCGCAGCGCCACTGCTTGCCGGAGCGGCACCGTTGGCTGCCGCGGCCGGCGCAGCAGTCTGCGGGTTCGGCGAGATGGGCAGTGCCGGGAAGTCGTTCACCGTCGGCACGCGCTGTGCGGCAAGCTTGCGCGACGTGTTGCTGGCCTGGGCGGCGGCAGCACCGTTGCTCTGCTGAGCACCGCCGTTTGCGCCATTGCGAGGCGCCTGGCTGGCGCCATTGGCCTTGGACGCCGGAGCGCGGGCCGGAGCACTGGCGTTCGCGCCATTGGCGCTCTGGCCCTTGGGCGCTGCCGGGCGCGAGGCACCTGCAGCCGTGCCATTCGGCGCGCTGCTGGACGAAGCGCCGTTGGCAGCCTGGGGCTGGCTCGGCGCCTGGGCCTGCTGAGCAGGTGCGGCGGCGGGCTGCGACTGAGCCGGCGCATCCGATTGGGCAGCAGACTGCTGTGCCTGGCTCTGGCTCTCCTGGGCCTGGGCTTGTGCCTGCGGCTGCGGCTGCGCCTGCGGTGCCGACTGCGATGCGCCGTTGGCACCTGCGCTGGCGTGCACCTTGTGAGGCAGCGCGCTCTTCTTGGCCTGCGGTCCAGTGGGAGGCGCGAATGCGCCAGGTCCGCCGGAGGGCGTCGCCGGCAGAGCAGCACGGCCCTTGATCGGGCGAGGGCCATTCGGTCCGGCAGCGCCGCCGGCGGCCTGGCCGCGCGACGACGAGTACGAGCGCTGCTGCGCCTCGAGGCTGCGTGCATCAGAGCCGTCGGGCATGATGTGCGGGAAGCCGCAGTCCTCGCCGAAGCGGCAGCGGCCGACGTTGAAGAACATGCACGGCGGGCGGGCCGAGCCATCGCGGCTGCGGCTCGAGCCCTGGTACGGCACGGCACCGCGGCGGCTCTTGCCACGGAACGAGGGTCCCGAGCTTGCGTGGCCGTTGCCGTTGCTCATCGTCATGCCGCTGGCATCGACGGCCGGCGCCGGGCCTTGTCCGGGCTGGAACGGCACGGCGTGGTGGTGCAGGAACGAGTTGAACGACTGGCGCCGGTGGATCGGGCGGCCCTGGCTGTCGACCTGGGGCGCGGAGGCGGCGACCTCCTTGCTCTCCTCTGCCTTCTCCGCAGGCGTCTCGTCGACCGCCGGAGGCGTGACGGAGCCACCGGCCTTGGGCTCGCTCTCGGCGGCCTTGGTGGACTCCGCAGCGCTGGTGCTGGGAGCGTCCTTGGCCACGGGCGCGTCGCCATCCTGCTGCGGCGCCTCGGTGGTCGAGGCCTGGGCCTCCGACTCGGCACTCGGCTTAGCCTGCTGCTCGGCGGATGCGGCAGCGGCCTGCTCGGTGGGTGCCGGCGACTTGGTCTGCTGCGACTCGGCCTGCTGGCTCTGCTGCTGCTGCTCCGCAGCGGCGTCAAAGTGGTGCGGCGAGAAGGGCTCAGCCTGCGGCGCGAGATGGTGCTGCGCCGGCGGCTGCACACCGTGCAGGTGGCTCGGCTCGCCGTGCTGGCCACCGGGCAGCGACACGTGCGGCGGCGGCGGGAAGTGCATTGGCAGCGGCACGCCGGCGGGCGAGTACTGCATGTGCGGGCCGGGCGGCGGCATCGGGTAGAACTGCGGCGGACCGTACGGCGCGTAGGCGTATCCCGGCGGCGGTTGGTAGTACATGGGCGCGCCGCCCTGGGCGCCCTGCTGCGGTGCCTGTGCGGCATCGCGACCGGCCGGCGGCTGCTGGCCGTGGTGCGAGCTGGACGGCGACATCGGACCCGGCGGCGGCGGCAGCGCGGCCATGGGCATCGGGTGCGCAAAGGCGCACTTGTCGCCGTAGCGGCAGTTGGGGAAGTTGCGGCATGGGATCATGCGCGCGACCTCCGGCGGCGGCAGGTTCGCTGCCGAGTCCTTGCGCCCGTGCTCGCCGTTGCGCCGGCCGCCGTGCGGCGCAGCGCCGCCCTGGTGGTGGTGCTGGGCGTGGTGGTGGTGCGCGTAGCCTCCGTGCGGCGGCTGCGGCTGCGCCATGGGGCCCGCCGGCTGGGCCTCGTAGTAGTAGCCCTGCGGCGCGCCGTTGGGGTACGGCGCCATCATCGGGTACGCGCCCTGCTCGTAGCTGCCGTAGCTGATCGAGCCGTCGGGCAGCTGCTGGCCGCCGTGTGCGTCGACGGGCGCAGCGTGCTCCGGCACGGCCTCGGCAGCCTGCTCCTCGCCCGCCGGCTGCGCCTCGGACGAGAGCGCAGCGGAGACTTCTGCGCTCAGCTCGCCGAGCTCAGCCGTCTCTCCGCGTTCAGCACCTGAAGGAAAAGCTGCATCAGCATGTGTCCTCTCCATCTACCGTGCACAATTGCGAAGATCGCCCTTCGCTTGCTTCGAGGCTTCGAGTGTCATTTCGCACGAACACGCCGTCGCCAGCGCCTGGGCTGCCTTTCCTGAGACCAGCAAGCGGGCGCACTGCCGATCAGAACGCTCCATAGAGATCTCCGATGCCCTCTAGGAGCCAGCATTCGCTGTCACCTCCGATGCTATCTTCGCCAGCCGAAGGCCGGGTAGAGCAGCGTCTGCGCATCGAGGCGCAGTGCAGCACCCGCCTTCGCCCACGGCAAAGACTCTCCAACTGATCACTCACCACGCTGGAGCAGCTCCTTGACCGCCTCGGCCTGTCCCGCGGCCGCAGCCACAGCAAGCGGCGTGCGCTGGTCGGCATCGCGCGCCGCAAGCAGCTGCGGCTCGGCCTCGAGCGCCTGGCGCAGCGCCTCGACGTCGCCGGCACGGGCGGCGTCAAAGATGGGAGCGGCCATGCTGCAGCGAAGGCGAGCGGCCGGGATGCGATGCGAAGAGCAGGCAGGCGAGGAGGCGGCCGGCGTGTGGGCAGAGCTGCACACGCGCGGGCGGCAGGAAGAACGCGGACGCAGCAGCGGGCGAAGAGGGCAGGCGCGGGCAGCTGCGGCGGCAACAAGGAGCGTGAAGGAGCAGAAGAGGGCGGCGCAGAGGGAACAGAGAAGCAGCGGCAGGGCGGCAGGAAGAGGGAACGAGGGTGAGAGGATGGGATCCGAAGCGGAGCAGCAGAGGCAGAGCAGGCTGCCCGCCGGCCGAGCCATGATGAGCCGCCCGTCTGAAGAACCGGCGCCGCCGAGCCGCCAAAAAGCAAAAGCCCTAGCAGGCGCCGCGCGCCGAGAAGATCCGATGCGCCGCGTGCTCCGCCGGCCGCCGCTCGCTCGCAGACGCAGCAGCCACTCGACTGAAGACTGCGCATGCAGCTTCGGCTACGCTTACTGCTGGCTGCGTCAGTAGAAGCCAACAGCCTGCGGTGCATTCCGAGGCCCTCGCTGCAGAGCTGCGGGAAGCCGCGCCGGTTCTTCACAGCGCATCGGTGCGGCGCTCACTCTGCTCAGCGCCGCACCGAACAGCCCAGCGGCATCGCGCTCTCTGCTCCCCGTCTCATGCAGCAGGCGTGATGGGACTCACTGCATGCCGCAGCGGTGCAGGCTGTGATTCTCTGCGCACGACCCGCGAGTCTGCCAAGCGAAGCCTCAAGAAGAAGCGGCGCTTTCGAGGAGGGCACGTCGCGCGCCGCACACGCGGCCGCAGCTGCGGCACCCGCTCGCACACGCGGCTCCGAGTCCCGGCGCTCCCACGCCGTGCGCTTATCGCTGACAGCCGTCAGCCGTCGAGATGGCGCCTCTGCTGGACGCTCAGGAGGGCCACTCGGCTGAGAGCATACGGAAGGGCGTGCAGACACGGCTGTCTGCAGTGTTCGAAGCGCAGGCCTCGCGGTGGCCACCTGCGAGCTCGTCTTTGGACATTCGGTCGGGCGAGCTCGAGAGCCGCGGGACGTGGCTGCGCACGTGACGTGCACGGCTGGGCCAGCCATGCTGCCTCCTCCACTCCGCCGCTGCTGGCTTCTCACTCTCACTACCCCGCACTGCTCCCACTCCTCGCTGCCATGCCGCCCAAAGCCCGGCGCCGTGTGCCGCGACCATCGCCCTTGCCTGCGCTGCAGGCGCCCGTCCTGGCCATCGGCCTCGAGGGCAGTGCCAACAAGCTCGGCTGCGGCATTGTGCGCCACAGCCCCGACGGCAGCGTCGACATCCTCTCCAATGTGCGGCACACGTACGTCACCGAGCCCGGCACCGGCTTCCTGCCCGCCGACACGGAGCGCCACCACCGCAATTGGCTCGTCAGGGTCGTCGAGGAGGCAGTGCGGCGCGCCGGCGTGCGCGTCGAGGACTGCGCTTGCGTGTGCTACACCAAGGGTGCGTAGGCAGGCAGCAGTGCGGCAGGAGGAAGAATAGCGGCAGGCCGTGCAACAGTAGCAGTGACAGCAGCTGTAGCGGAGGTTGCACGACCACCGTTTCGCCTTGAACGCTCACGCTGCTCGCTCCAGGACCGGGCATGGGTGGGCCACTGCACTCGGTGTCGCTCGTGGCGCGCACGCTCTCCTTGACCTATGCGCTGCCGCTCATTGGCGTGAATCACTGCGTGGGCCACATCGAGATGGGCCGCACCATCACCGGCGCACAGAACCCGATCGTGCTGTACGTCTCGGGCGGCAACACGCAGGTGATCGCGTACTCGGCGCAGCGCTACCGCATCTTCGGCGAGACGCTCGACATTGCCGTCGGCAACTGCCTCGACCGCTTTGCGCGCATCATTGGGCTCAGCAACGACCCGAGTCCTGGGCAGAACATCGAGATCGAAGCGCGCAAGTGAGTGCAAGTCGTGTGCATGGCTCGGGCACCGGCGCTAATGCAGGCTTTGCAGAGGCAAGCGGTTATTGCCGCTGCCATACGCGACCAAGGGCATGGACGTGTCGCTCGGCGGCATCCTCGCGGCAACCGAGGCGTACACGCGCGACAAGCGCTTCCGGCCGCTGGAGCGACGGCACGACGCACCGACAGAGGACTGGGGTGCCAAGGCCAACGGCACGACGTGGAGCGGCGACGGCCGACACGTGGTGAGCGCAGAAGAGGCCGACGCGCTGCCGGCGCAAGTCGCCGAGCTGGCGCTCGACAAGGACGCCTCGGAGATCACGCCGGCAGACCTCTGTTTCTCGCTGCAGGAGCACATCTTTGCGATGCTCGTCGAGATCACCGAGCGGGCCATGGCGCACGTCGGCAGCAAGGAGGTGCTCATCGTCGGGGGCGTGGGCTGCAATGCGCGCCTGCAGGAGATGATGGGTGTCATGGCGTCGGAGCGCGGCGGCAGCGTCTTTGCCACAGACGAGCGGTGAGTCTGCGCACACTCTGGAGGGAGATGCTCAGGTGGCTGACAGTGCGTGCAGCTTCTGCATCGACAACGGCATCATGATCGCGCATGCCGGCCTGCTGGCACACCGCATGGGCATCGAGACGCCGCTCGAGAAGAGCACCACGACGCAGCGCTTCCGCACCGATGCGCCGCACGTCACAGTGGGTCGCTTGTTATGCTGCCTCAGGTCCTTCCTCACACGCTCTTCACATCAGTGGCGCGCATGAGTTGCGCGGCCCGCTGCTCGGCTCCACGACTCTGCTGTTCTCTCTCACTGTACGACACACGCATGCAATACCCACGCCGACTCTCTCTACGCACGCCGAGCACGTTCGTGCAAGCTGACATTCCATAGACACGAGTCTTCAGGACCGATGAGGCGCGCTGAGCCTACTTTGACTCTGACTCCTCGTCGCTCCGCGTGTGCGTGCCGCAGAAGACGCCCGTGCCGGCTGCGTTGTAGCTGCAATCGGGCCGAGCTTAGCGGGCGCCTCAAGCGTCAATGCAAGTTGCGGCTTACCAGCACCAAGGTCTCCAGGCGGGACCGGGCGGGCAGCAGCCTCGACCCTTCTCCTGCGCGTCGAGAGCGAGCCGTCAGTCTCGCGTACGAGCTGCACAGCCGTTCGAACTGCGACTCACATCGCGTGGCCGGTACATGACGACGTTCTCGCAGTGCGGCGGGCGCTTGTCCTGCGGCACCTGGTCCTGGGCGCTCACGCAGCCGAGCAGCGCAATGATAGCGAGCAGCACGAGGAGCACGGGCGCGCCGACGGGTGGCGCCACGGGTGCGGTGGTGGGACGTGAACGCTTGATCTGCATGGTGGCGTGTTGTTTTGGCGGGCACAGAGGGAGAGCGAGCGAATGAGACAAGGGAGAGAGAGACAGAGAGTGGAGGGGAAAGAGGAGACAGCTGGTCCATGAGGATGGAGAAAGGAAGGGGATGGGCGGCGTCGGCCCTTCTTGTACCTTTGCCGCCGGGCGTCGGATCGTCAGTGCGAGCGCTCGCCATCTGCAGACCCCGCTGCTGGCCAAGCCGCCCCGTTTCCCTAGTGCCTCCCGTCTGGACTAGCGCTCCATCCGTGATATCGACCACAAGGACAGCACGTTGCTGTCTGCACCGCGGCACTGCATCACGCGCGGGAGCGGCAAGGAACAACTCCGAGAGCTAATGAGGGCCCGGCGAGCAGCTGCCTGTCGAGTCGGCCCTCATGCGCCGTGTGAGCCGGCTGTCACTGAAAGACGCTGAGCTGCGTTGCCTCACCTTTGAGCTTGGTCTCATACAGCCCAGGCTAGCGCGCTTCGCGAGCGTGCGCGTTGGCGAGAACAAGGCAAAGCGCGCTCTTGTTCGCACGCGCCCTTGAGCAACCTATGCGCGCATGGTGCCTATGCTGTCGCGAACAAAGGCAGCCGGCATCTGCTGCGCAGTGCTGCAGCATGCGCAGCGGGTGGCAAGTACGCAGCACCAGGCCCGAAGGCGCTTCTCACAGGCGATGTCGTCGGCATGACAGGACAGGGCGATGGCCGCCGGCATGTGTATGAGCTGCTGCACAGGAGGATGGAGCAAGGTCGTGGTCTCCTGTGCCTGAGCGCAGGCTCGCACGCCTCGGCCATCTCCGACCCTGTGCGACTCTTTCTGTCACACTCTGATGCGCACTGGCGTCTGCGCGAGGGTCAGCAGGACTGCTCAGGAAGGCACCGCCAGCAGCAGGGCCACGGGGACGTGCATGCATGCAAGGTCACGGGCTCTCTTTGTTTCGTTTTCGAGGTATCTGTACATAGCAGCGGGAGCGGCGCACACGTCATCCGAAGCGAGTCGGAGCGGCACGGCTGTGTATGGTAAGGGCGCGGCGGTACAGTCGGGTGCAGGTCGGCTTGGACAAGGCTTACTCCTCGCGGTCACGCTTGAGGCCAGCAGCAGCGGCGGCAGCGCCGTTGACGGCGGCCGCAGCAGGCTTCGAGGCCACGGCGGGAGCGGAGGCGGGAGCAGCAGCAGCAGCAGCGACAGGCGCCGCAGTCTCCGTGCCCACGCCGCGCGGAGCGAGGCCGCTATCCCGCGAGCGCGGCACGGTGGGCTGCTGTGCTGTGGAGGGAGTGGCCGTCGCGGTGCCGTTCGTCGTCGGATTGCGCAAAGGTGCGGCCGAGACGCCAGGCGCGACAGGCTGGCCGTTGGCGAGAGGCGCACGGGCGGGCTGTGCAGCGTTCGGGGCGCGCACGCCGTTTGCGGCCGTCTGGCCGTTCATCGTAGGGCGCGGGATGTTGCCGGGACCCGGAACGATGCGCGTGGTGCCGGCGACGTTGCGGCTGGGACCGGCAGCGGCGCCGTTGCTGATGCCAGCGGGCATGCCCGGCGGCTTCTGGTCAGGCTTGACGTGGATGAGGCCCTTCAGCCAGCCGTTCTCCGTGCGCAGGCGCTCGTTCTCCGTCTCGAGCTCGGCGACACGGGCACGCAGATCGCGCGACGTGGCCTCGAGCGCGGCCTCGCGCTGCTTCTTCTTGATACGGAAGCGAGCTGGAGCGGTTCGAGTGTCAGCGATAAGCTCTGCGGCGCGTCCTCCGCGACGAGCAACGGAAGCCACACGCGGCACAGCACTCACCACTGGCGGCCGTGTTTCTGCGGCGCTTGTCCTCCTCAATCGCAGCACGGTTCGCCTCAGCATCCGCTTCGGGGTTGCCCGTGTCGATGAGACGCAGAGGCGGAATCTCGTCGCGCGCAAGCGCACGGTCGGCCGCGTTGCGCGCACGCTCCTCGGCGCTCTCGTGGCGGTCCGACGCCTCGGGCGACGCACGCATCGACGCGTCGCCGTTTGGCTCGGCATCGTCGACAATCTCGTCGGAGTGCGATGCGGCACGCGAGTGACCACGCGAGGCCACCTTCTTCTTCTTGCTGCTGCTGTTAGCGCCGGCACCCGCCGTGCTCTCGAGCGACGTGTCGTGCGAGTTCTCGGCGCTCGGCGCAGCAGCGGCAGCGGCGGCAGGCGCAGCCACGGGCGTGAACGTCGGTCCGACCGTGGGCGACAGCGCGCCGTTGACCGGTGCAGGCTGTCCGAAGCCGGCAGGCATGGTCCAGCTGTGCAGGCCCGAGCCGAACGTCGCGAGCGACGGCGCCGGTGCGGCCTGGTGCTGCATGTGGTTCACCGCAGGAGCAGCAGGCGCCTGAGGCTGGCCGAAGGCTGCGGCGTTCTGCGCGCCGTTGAGCTGGCCGAGCAGCGCCGCAAGCTGCGGGTTGAAGGCAGCCATGTTGCCCAGGCTTGCCAGCGCCAGCGGGTTCGAGGCGAGGAGCTGCTGCAGAGCCAGGGCGCTTGCGAGGTCTGGGCCACCAGACGGCGGCGGCGGCGGCGACTGCACGTGGTGTCCGTGATGCTGCTGCTGCTGTTGCATCTGGTGCTGCTGCTGCTGCGCCGGCGCCGGCTGCTGCTGAGGCTGGTGCTGGGGCTGCTGCACCTGCTGCTGCTGCTGGTGCTGCGGCTGGTTGAACATGAGCGCCTGGAACGGGTTGGGCGCGTTGCTCATGCCGTTCCAGAACTGCGGCGCTGCAGCCGCTCCGGCGCCCTGCGCCAGCTGCGCCTGGAAGTGGGCCGCCATCTGCGCCTGCGTGGCCTGCATGTGCTGGATGTTCTGCTGCTGCGCCGGCGTGAGGTGCGCGTACGGCGACGGCTGCTGGCCGCCGTGGTTCTGCGCGTGCTGCGGCGCCTGCTGTCCAGTGGTGCGCGGCTCGCTGTCGCGGCCATGCATCTCGAAGCCCGGACGGCGAGCCTCGTCGGCACGCGAAGAGGGCGGCGCAAAGTAGTGCTGCTGCTGCGCGAGCAGGCTCTGCTCCTGGTGCTCGCGGTGCGTCGGGTCGTCGCGCATCTCACGGTCGCGTGCGGCGAGCGCATCCGCGGCGCGGCCCGAAGCGTGAGCCTGCGCACGACGGCGGTCGGCCTCGTCGGCCTCGCGGTCAGCTTTCTCCTGGTCCGTCTCGCGCCTGTTGTCCTTGTCCTTCTCCTTGTCATCCTCCGCAAGGAGAGCATGGCCCGTCGGGCCGTCGAAGCTGAAGTTGGCGTTCGTCCACAGCGCCAGCTGCTCGGCGAAGCTGCCCTGCGCTAGCAGCCCGGCATCTTCGTCTCCTCCGGCGCCCGCACGGCTGCCGGCAGTGGGCGCAGGCCCGCCGATGTCTGAGCCGAAGCCGTCGAGCCCGCCGAGCAGGCTGTCGGTGCGGCCGCGCGCGCCGTGGGCGCTGGACGAGCCGCTGGCATTCGCACCGGCAGGCGAGTTGGCCGGCGGCGAGGCGAACTGGTTGAGGCCGAAGAGGAAGCTAGACGGGTCGTCGAACGGCATGCTGGCCATGGATCCGGCGGCCGAGGCCGGGCGGAAGGGTGCAGGTGCAGACACGGGCTGCGGCAGACGGCGCGGCGGCTCAGAGGGCAGCGCGCGGCCGTGAGAGAAGCAGGCGAGCCAGCGGGCGTCGCTGCTGCTGAGTGTGAGGTGTGTGCGCCGCGCAGACGAGCGGCTGGGATGGATGAGGAGAGGACGGAGAAGCGGCTGATGTGAGAACGCGGGCGTGTGACTCTGATCGGCACGCGCAGCCGCGCGCAAGCGCGAGGCGGCGCAGAGCGGGCAGCGCGCGACGAGCGGGCGGCGCGGGCGAGCGTGTGAGAGGCGCGGCGGCGCGGCGGCTCTGCCTGCATCCAGCGTGCCGCCGGGCGCCGGCCTTGCATCCCTGCGGGCGGTCAGTACAGCTGCACGCGATGGGAGGGCACCTCGCCAGTCTCCTCCTCCGGCGCCAGATTCAAGCATTAGCCGCCGCGAGTAATGCGCCTGCAAGCGGAGTAAGCACGCAGCACGCCAGCCGCAGCATCGCGCCGCCCACGGAGCCGTATCGCCGTGCTGCTGTGCTGCCTCGCCTCGGCCAGCACCATCTGCCACCAGCACCAGGAGATCAAGCGTGCGCTGCGCGCTGCGTTCGCCCGAGGCCGGCCGGCCGTCTGGGGCATCTCGACGGGATTGCCGCTCCTCCTCGGTGCCGCAGCGAGGCGCTCTTCTCGTCTTGATGGGCACTTGAGGCGTGCACTCCGATCGTTGAGCAGCACTTCAGGCACTGTCGGCCAGCGCAAAGGAGGCTTGCACAAGCACAAGGCAGGTCAACAAGAAAGAGCGCATCGCTGCACGCTGCGGCGCGCTTGGGCAGGCGCGGCTGCGTAAGTCCGGGCTCCGGCTCGCGCCTCTCCGTTCCGCCGGACAGGATCTGCGGCAGACCGGTGCAGCATTCATGCCGAGCGACGTCCTTCGCGGCCGCTCGGTCTTCTTGCTCGCTCCGCAGCCAATGGTACGCTCTGCGCATGGCGTGAACGAGAGATGGCCGACGGCGAATCGCGCGAGGCGTTCAGCAACGCAGCCAGCACCGCAGAGTACGCCTAGTGCTCAGGGGGCTGTGCGTTGAATGCGCCCGCTCGGAGCCGCAGCGACTGCTCCCCTTTTGTGTCGCTCTCCGCGAACGCTGGCCGAGTCTTCTCCTTGAGGCTCTCTTGGCAGGCCATCGGCCCCCTCTTCGCGCAGCTCGGTCCCGGCTCGCTGCACTTCACCGCGGCTCGACCGATGTGGCGCTGCTTCCGCCCATTCGGCCTCCTAACTGTCCCCTGACGTGTGCCTGGGCCGGCAGCTCCGCTCCAGGCGAGATTGGCGGGGCACGCAGCCCGCAGCATCCAGAGCTCGGCCCTCGCGGCTTTGAACGACAGCATCGCAGGCCGCCAGCATCTGCTCGCAAGCGCCACATCGGTCCGCCGCGGCCAAGAAGTGAGTCGAAAGGGGTAGCAGCGAGCAGTCGATGTGTCGAGAGACAGGGGTCGCTGGCTGCCGCCTCTCCCGAGCTGGACGTCCGCCGCAGCACGCCAGATACATGTGCGATGAGCTGCGAGACGCTCCCCTCACTCGTGCGCCTGCTCTCGGGCAAGACGGCGGGACGGTGAAGGCTTGCATTCTTATTGCAGGCGACTCCGATCAGAGCGCCTTCTGTCCCTTCTTCCACTCGTCAAACTCCTCGTGCACCTCGCGCCGGAAGGCCTCGTCGAGCAGCACGCGTGCCGCAGCAGTGGCAATGCCTGTGGCCGCCTCCTTGGTGCGCTCGTGTGCCTCGGGCGTCTTCGCCGCCTGCAGGGATCAAAAGCGTCAGCGATGGACGTGGTGGGCAGCAGCATGCGACGCACAGCAGCGAAGCCGACGGTGTGGTTCGCGTCGCCTGTTGGATTGGCCAGCTTGATGGCGTAGCACGGGTGGATGGCGGGCATGGCGTACGTGACGTTGCCCATGTCTGTTCAGGAAGGGCTGTTCAGCTGCTGTCGCTGGTCGGCAAACGCTGCGACACTTACCGGTTGAGCCCGACACGGGGTTCTCATCAACGTCAATGCCATACATGCCCTTGACGATGCCGCGGTAGGCCCGCGAGAGCGGCGCCGAGTTACGCGTGTCGTAATACGTGGCGCCCCACTTGACGCTCACCTCACAGCCTGTCGCAAGCGCTGCGGCGCGGAAGCACTTCTCCACGCGCGCCTGCAGCGTCTCGAGCTCGGCGACCGAAGGGGCGCGGACGTTGTAGAGCAGCGCAGCGTGCGAGGGCACGATGTTCCTGCGAGTTGCGATGGTCAGCGCGCTGCCGCGCCCGCTCGACTCGTGCCACTCACGGTGCCCACTGGTCGCCGCCCGAGAGGATGCCGTGCACGCGGCAGTTCGGCTTGATCTGCTGGCGCAGGGCGCTGATGTTGTTGTACTGCGCGGCTCGTCAGGCGACGTGCTCAGCAGAACACAGCCTTGATGCAACTCACGGCGAGCACAGCTGCGTCCAGCGCATTGATGCCCTCCCACGGCGCGATGCCAGAGTGCGCAGTCTTGCCCTCGTACTTCACCTCGACGGGCACGACGGCGAGGAACGAGCCAATGGTGTTTGTCGGAGTCGGATGGACCATGCTGCGCGGGCGGTCAGCTGTTGCTCGGCGTCAAACCGCTCATCATGGCTCACAGAGATGCGTCCATGCCCTCGAAGGCACCGGCCTCGAGCATGTTGATCTTGCCGCCGTCCTTCTCCTCGGACGGCGTGCCGAGCAGGACGACTTTGCCGGGCTTGTTGCGTGCGACAAGAAGCTCAGCCAGCGACAGAGCCGCAGCCACGCCTGGGAAAGAAGCACGATCAGCAGTGGCCTGTGGTTTGCGCCTCGCTGCAACTCACCGGCGATAGCAATCAAGTTGTGGCCACAGGCGTGGCCGATGCCCGGCAGAGCATCGAGCTCGCTGCAGAAGCCGACGCAGGGGATGTCGCTCTTGCGCACGCTGGCCGGCGCGTGCACGAACTCGGCCCTGAAGGCTGTCTCGAGGCCATGCGCGTGCGGCGTGACCTTCCAGCCCTTCTTGCCCGAGAGGTACTTGACGAACAGATCGTGCGTCTTGCTGCGATTTGAGCAGGCTCAGTGCTGCATATGTCCTGCCAGCACGCTGCCACTCACAACTCCTCCCATCCGAGCTCGTGCAGGTCCCACACCTTGACGCTGAGGTCGCGCAGCTCGGCGTCCATGCCGGCGATGTTCTTCTCCAGCTCGCGCGCCACGACGGCCATCTCGCCCTCGAGCGGCGTCGGCTCCGTCGGCGGCGCGTAGGCGGGCAGCGGCGAGAAGTCGCAGCACGCGGCGTGCGGCGCCGTCATCTGATGGCAGGCGCTGGAGAGGGCCGCCTTCTCATCACGCTGCGGAATGGGCTGCGTGCGCGGCTGGCTGGCCGACGGCGCGGTGTGCGAGCTCCGGCGCAGCGAGGAGGCAAGAGCAGACAGGCAGGACGGCATGCTGGGCACGGCGTTGAGGGTTGATGTGGTGCGGGGTCAAGGGTCTGGCCGAGCTTCGCGGCGCTGTAAGGTGTCCGTGCGCTGCGCCGCCTCCAGCAGCCTGCGCCTGAGCACGCTCACGGCGCTAGCTCGGCGCTTCCGCCGCCGCACGCCGGCCGCGGCGCCGCGGCTCCTCCAGCTCGCCATGCGCATGGCGCCTTATCACCCTCGTGCCTGGAGCTGCACCTCGCTGCGGCGGGCCAAAGCATCGGCTTCCGGTGACCGACACTTCCGAGGCTCACAGAGACCAGGTCAGGATTAGACGTGGCATTCCGCAGGCCGGCTGAGCAGCCGCAGCCGGCCAGGCACCGTAGGGCGAAAGGAGTGGGGGGACGTCCGAGGGGCGGCAGAGGCGCCAGGTCGAGCAGGGGCAGGTGACACGATGATCCGGGGGGCGGGCGCGCGGGAGAAGGAGAGTGTGGGTGTGGGTGTGCAGAGTCAGGCTGGTGGTGTGTGTGAGAAGAGAGTGGAAGAAACGGCGAGGGAGCAGCGACAGCAGAGGCTACATGAACTGCTCGTTCATCACCTCGCACCACGCAGCCGCAGCCTCGGCAGAGGGTGCAGCAAAGTAGAGAATGTTCTTGGCGTCGACGATACGCAGGTCTGCGGAGAGCGAGGTGAGCATACGCATGTGCGAGGCCGATACGCGGCACTCACTGCTGTGGCCGTAGACAGAGACCGGCTTGCCCTGCTGCGGGTGCAGGACAGTGTAGAGCTCGACACTCGACGCCTCGTCGCGCCCCTGCGACGGGTCCGTGACGGCGACAACAAAGTCGTTGCAGAGCAGGATCTGCAGGTACTTGCTCATCGACTGCTGCTGCAGGCAGTCGACCTGCACGAGGCCGAACGGCGTCGTCTCGGCCGCGCCGTCGGCCATCAGGTCCTCGGGCGAGCCCCACGACGCGGCGGGCACGTGGAAGGCCCGTGTGCGCTGCACCACGCGCTTGAGCACGAGGCCGCCGTCCATGAGCAGGCGGCGGTGCGGCTGCACCAGCGGGCTGGGCCAGCGGCCCTTGATGCGCGCCTGCCAGGCCAGCAGCTTGCGGTCCTGCTCGCTCTGCCGCTTCGACTCGTTGACGCTCGAGGCGAGGATCGTGATGGCGTCGAGCGCATTGACCATGCTGTCGGCGCCCTTGACGCACTCCGGCGGCGTCGAGCGCACAAGGTCGGCAATGAGCAGCTTGTAGCGCGGGATGCGCTGCACGGGCAGCAGCAGGTACGACTCGACGCTGAGCTGCGAGTGGCGCGGATCGGCCTTGGCGCGCTGCATGAACGCCTTGAGACGCTTGCGCTCCTTTGGCGACATGCTCGACGCCGTGCTCTCCTGCGCGACGAAGCCCGAGGCCAGGCCGGCAGCGGCAGCAGCCTTGAATGCGTTGGCGGCCGTGGAGACAGCTGGCACGCTCCAGCTCGAGATGCGCGTCTGCGCGCCCTCGAGGCCGTTGACGTACTGCTGGTACATCTTGAACCACTGCGTGTGGCGCTCGAAGACCTGCGCGACGGCCACGGCCACGCTGCCAGTCACTGCCGCATCATGCACGACGTCGCTGGCCTCCGGCGCCGAGTTGCGCGGGCTGAGCAGCGGCGCGGCTGCCGCCTTGAGCGACGGCAGCAGGGCGTTGGCATGCAGGTGCAGGATGCTCTCGACATTGTTGAAGACAAGGCGGTGCTCGGCCGGAGGCACAAAGGCAGCACCCTCGCGGTCGACGGCGCGCGAGGGCGTGACGTAGATGTTGACGAGCTCCTCGAGCTGCTTGACGTACGTCTCCTCCGTCACGATGATCTCGCGCACGATGCGCATGCGCCGCACCGAGTCGTCCTTGTAACGGATCGGCTCCTCAGCTGCGACCGAGACGTCCGTCGGCGTTGCCGAGCCGTTGCTGAGCCCGCTCGCGTTGCGCGGGCAGCCCGGGCGGTTGCTGATGTTCATGAGCTGCTGCAGACTCGGGCGCTTGCGCAGCTGCTCGAGCGAGGGCGGCGACTTCAACGGTGTGAAGGAGCGCTCGCCGTGCGTCGGGCTGCTGTCTGTGCTGAGCGGCGACTCAGTCTTGCGGGACAGGTCGTGCAGGTCTCGCAGGTAGTGCAGGATCGCGCGGACGCGCGCCGCGTGTGCTTCCCGATCTTCCTCTGGCTGGACATGGTCCGCAGGCTGGCTCGCCGTTGAGGACACGCTCGGTCGCTGAGATGCAGGACTGCGGAGCGGCGCGCCGCCTGAAGCCATGGCGTCGAGGGCCTGCTGACTCATGATCGGAGCAAGCTTCGGGTTCGGTGAGGGCCCACGAGTTGGCGGCTCCGAGTTGGTCATCACAGACAGCCCGGCCGACGAGCTCTTGCGGCCCACCTTGCGCAGGAAGCCGCTCCACTTGCGATGGTCTGCCGCGCGCTCGGCAGTGTCGGGACGACGCAGAGCGGCAGTGTCCACTGTCAGGTGAGCCCGACGAATCCTGTCGTCATGAGCGTCCGTATTCAGCGCTGGCGCGCCCGAGTGCGCACGCGCGTCGGGAACGGAAGCATGGCGCGACGCTTCAGCCTTCGTCGAGCGAGCAGCGGCGCGGCCGATTGTGCCGTCTTGAGGGACAGATCCGCGTCCCTGAGCAGGTGCCGACTGCGGAGCCTCGGGTGAGCTGAGGCGCGTCCCGTCGTCGTAGCTGCCGACGAATGCAGCATGCTCTGCGGGAGCCGAGGCCGCGCCGGCTACGGCGGAGGAAGGCACCACAAAGCCTTTGCCGGGCGAGAGCAACGTAGCACCGACCTTGGCCCATGCGCCCTGGAAAGGGTTCTCGTCGACGCGCAGCCGCTCGAGCGGCAGGCGGTGGAGCCAGGTGGGCAGATGCGAGAGGTAGTTGTACGACACGCTCAGCGAGCGCAGGTCGGCGAGGTCGGCAAGAGCGCGAGGCAGGCTCAAGGCGCCGATATCGTCGGCGGTCAGCACGCGCAGGCGCAACAGCTGCCCAACGATGGGCGAAAGGCCGGCGTCCATGCGGTTGCCAGAAACGTCGAGCTCCTCAAGCGCCGAGCAGAGGCCAAGCGTGCTCGGCAGCGCCGTCAGGCTGGTGTTCGCCACGTCGAGGACCAGCAGCGAGCGCGCGACTGTGGGAAGGGTGCGCTGCAGCCAGCTGCCCAGCCGCTCGTCACGGCAGCCACGCAGCACGAGATGCGTCGTGGAAGGTCGCACCAGATGCTCGAAGGCCGACAGGGGCCGACCAGCCGCTTCGACCAGGTTGTCAGGCAGAGCCGACAGCGAGGCAAGTGGCTGTTCCTTGAAGTGCTCGACGAGGGAGGCGGGCACGCGCTCGAACGCCGCGCCACTGCCACGCTCGGTGTACGTGTAGCCGCAGTCGGAGCTCGAGTCCGACATGTTGCCGTCGTCGTCGTCTTCCGTCGCGCGCGCTTGCCGTCCCGACGTGCCGAAGCTGCGCTCCGAGGTGATCGACCCGGCACGCCAGCGCCGGAAGGTCGAGTAGAAGCCGCCCGAGCTCGTGCTGCCCGCACTCGGAGGCACCACTTCGTGCTCCTGGCTGTAGTCCGACGGGCCGATGCGCTCACGCGCCTGCCGCTCGCGCTCGTGGTCGAAGAGCGCCAGATGCTCCATCGGCCCGAAGCTGCGCTTCGAGTCGTGGCGCAGTGCAGGCGTCCGTGGCGAGACCGTGGCCGCAAGGTTGTGGTCCGACGAGCGGCTGCTGAGCTTGATACTGGACGCCGCGTGTCGCAGAGAGCTGCTGCGCGAGCGCGCCGTCGGTGCATTGGGCGTCACGGGGCTGCCGCCGCCCGTACGGATCATCTCGACGTCGCTGGTCGACGAGCCGGAGTGCGAAAAGGCCAGCGATGGCCGATGGGCGAGCGTGGCGGTGTGCGGGCGGCGCTGCGTCTCACGCGAGGCCTTGGGCGACTGCGCGTCGGCGGTCCGGCTCGAGCTCGACTGCGACGTCGTCGATGTCTTGGAGCCGTTGCGCGAGCGCGCCGAGATGGTGCGGTTGCGCGACTCGTTGCGCACGGGCACTGCGTGCGCCGGCAGCAGCGGCGGCAGCAGAGGCGGACGCACCAGCGAGCTGTTCTCGGAGAAGAGGCGGGTGAGGCCAGGTCGGACGGGCGTCTCAGCACCCACCGCACCCGGGCTCGACGGGCTGGACGGCTGCTCAGCCGCGACGGCATCGGCGCTTTGACTCGTCGGCGGCGGCGGCAGAGGACGGCGCGTCCACGACGGCGCGCGGTGGTGGGCCCAGGGCCGCGACAGCGAGACCGGCGGGGTCGAGTCATTGGTGCCGGCGCCTGCCGACTCGAGGCGCGAGCGGCCAACTGTGCCCTCGCCCCTGGCGCGGTCGGCCGTGATGCCGAGGCCGACGCCATCGGCGCTCTGTACGCTTGACGGCGAGTCGACAGAGACATCGACGCTGCTGTCCGCGCACTGCAGGAATGAGCTGCCCGGGCTCGTCATCGTCGAGCTGTGCTGGCTGCTCTTCTCCGTCCAGAACGAGCCGCGCGAGAGGCGACTCGAGTGCTCAGACGAGCACTGCGAGTGCGCCGGCGTGCCAAACGAGCCGCTACCCGCGCGCCGACCAACCACCGGCGACACCGGCGGCATCGCGACGGACGCGGGAATGGGAAACGTCGACGGGTCGGGCAGCTCGGCGGCCAGCGCCGCGGTAGCAGCATCAGAGAGCTTGCGCGGCACGCTGTGCTGGCTCGCCGCCGAGCTCGCACGGCTGGTGCGGCTGCGCATGCTGGTGCGGCTGTCGGAGCGAGTGCGCTGCGAGGACGCCGTGGTCGACGTGGCGTTCGAGTGCCTCGAGCTTGCAGCTGCTCCCGCCGCGCTGAGGCCAGACGCCGCGTGCTTCATCGCCTCGGGCTCGGCAGGCCCGCCGTGCTCGGACGCGGACTCTCCCTTCGACGGCCACGAGGGACCCGAAGACGACGAGGCTTGCCGCGAGAGGGGTGCGACGCCGGCTGTCGTCGGGAAAGGCGTCGCGGGGCCGCGCGACGAGGAAGAGCTTCGGTAGGACGAGTCTGTCGACGAGACGGCGTCGGAGCGCTGCGCTGCTCGCACGCGGATTGTCAGTCTCTCGCCGACTACATAGGAGCCGGGGCACTCACTCTCGGCGCTGGTCTTCGACACGCCAGGAATGTCCTTGGCCTGCGGCACGTGGCTGGGCGACGCGTGCTCGTCGCTGCGTGTTGCCGAGCGTGCGTCAGAGGACGCTGCAGTCGGCGTGGCGGCGGAGCTCAGGCTGGCGATCGACGCAGCCAAGGGAAGGGTCGCGGAGTGTGGAGGAGAGCCGGCGGCAGCAGGCGGCGGCGCCGGCAGCGTCTTGTCGAGCAGCGAGGCGGCGCTGGCCATGGCGCTGAGCGAGCGCAGCGGCAGGCGCGGTGTGGCGGCGTCGCTGGACGGCGAGGCGGGCTGGTGCTGCTGCGCTGCCGCTGCGTCGGGCAGGGCGCTGCCACTTGCGGAGAGGACACTCGGCGAGGCGCTCGGCACAGGCGGCGACATGGCCTCGGCTCCGAGCATGGCACGAGCTCAGCGGCGGCTCCGGCCGCCGGGACGCTGCTGCAGGGTGCGCTGCAGGAGCGTGGGGAGGATCGGCGGCGGCGTCGCGCTAGACGGCGTGGCGCACGGACGGTGGACGTCGAGAGTTGCTCTCGCGACGAACGTTCCAATGGGCGGCGGCCGCGCGCGAGGGTCGACAGGGGCTCGGCGGCGGCGACGGAGGTGCGTGGACGGAGGGAAGAGAGAGCAAGGGCCGAAACGTGCAAGCAAGGAGACGCGTGGGAGGAGGAGTGGTCGGTGTTGATGCAGCGGGCGTGGAGCTTCGGCAGAGGGCGCAAGCCGAGGGCGTGGGCGTGGGCGGAGCGACGCCCAGGACGTCGGGCGAGCCAGATATAGAGCAGGCCTGCCACAAGGTGCGAGCGCCGAGCACAGAACAGGGCGAGGCCGCAGCAGCGCTTGAGTGCAGTCTGCCGGCGGAAAGGGCAGCTGAGCTCGCCGCGTCGCCGAGGAGGTCAATCGAATGATGAGCAGACGCCACGGCCCTGATCGAGAGAGTGCTGATAGAGAGGAGCTGCACGCGAGCCGAGGTCCAGCACCGAGCGCGGAGAGAGGAGAGGAGAGAGCAACAGCGCAGACGCCCCTAGAGCTCGCTTACTGACGCTGGCGAGGTGCTGGCGAGCGAATAAGGTGAGGCGAGAGGCTGGCCCTCAATTTAGCAGCAGCACGAACCGGCGTGCCGCGGAAGATCGGCGGGACAAGGGAGGAGCAGGCCGGCCACGAGAGGGCGAGCGCGAGGCGAGGCGGCGCCGGGCCGTGCGAGAAGGCGAGCGAACGCCGCAAGCCTCTCAGCGCAGCAGACGATGCTCCGAACGCAAGCGAGCAAGCGGAACAAGCTGAAGAGGCGAGTCCGCCTGTGCTGCGCCAAGCCGCAGCTGCGACTGCCCTTGTCGGACGGAGGAGCGACTCGCTCCTTGTGGCCGGTGCCGGCGCGCAGGAAAGGCGCAGCAGCGGGCGGAGCGCAACAAACGCTCCCGGCGGCGGCGCGGCGCGTGGGCGCAGCTCGCAGCACGCAAGGAGGCGGCGGGCAGCCGGGCCCGTGGGCGGGCAGCGCTCAGCCCTGCTGCTGCAGACGCAGCAGCTCTCAGCCGAGGATGAGCTCGTTGCAGCGACCTTCCTCTTGAGGAGAGAGGCGCTCGCAAGCGTAGCTCTGCGCAGAAGAGGCAGGTGCGGCGCTGCTGAGGCGCGGCGCAGCGCGGCGCCGGCCCTCGGGCGGGAAGAATGAAGAGAGCGCGCGGCGCGGCGTCGCGCGCGTGGAGGCGCGAGGCGCAGCGGCAGCGCGGCGTGCGAGGCGGCCGGCCGCGGTGCAGCGAGGGCGCAAGGACGGCGCAAGGAGAGCAAGCGGAGGGATGCGAGCGGCGGCCGCTTGCCGGAAGAGGGAGGCGAGGAGGTGGAGAGGAGGAGGCAAGGCTGCGACGGACGTGGGAGAAGTGAGCTGGCGCATGGGTTGGATGCTCAATGCTGAGCGAGGTGCGGCTCCGCCTGCGGCCTGCTGCTGCAGCTGCTGCATGTGATGCTCCGCTGCCGCTCGCAACCTTCGCGAGATGGCCGTCGCGGTGCCGACCAGCGCCAGCTCAGGGGCAGCGCAAGGCGGCTGTGCAGCCTCGCAGCATAGGCGCGTCGCATCTTGGACCGAGCAGCGAGGCGGCAGCACCGCAAAGCGGGGTGCTTCGCCATCAGCCACCGCCGCGCCCGCCCGCCGCTTCATCTCTTCCCACCTTCATCTCGCCGCACGGCGCTGCGGCTCTGGCGCACCAAAGAAGCGCGCACGAGGGGCTTGCCGACGGGGCTGGCGTCGGGATGCGGCGCCGTTCCGCCCGCACCGCCTGCCGCTGGCGTGGGCGCTGGCTGCCGTCTGGCGCGGCTTCTGCCGAGGGAGCAGCAACGCCGCTGACCACGAGGCCCCTATCGAAGGCGGGCAAAGGCGCTGCGATCGATCCCTGCAGGCCTGCAGAGTAGCGGCAGGAGAGGTGAGCCCTTCGCTGTCCCTCGGCCTCTCTCGCTCGTCGGCTGCGTGAGAGAGAGAGAGCAGCAACGCGCGAGCGAGGCCGAAGGACGAGGCGTCGCGTCGCGTTGGCCCCTCTTGGTGCTGAGGCTGAACCGAGCGAGCGCCGTGCCTCTCTCTGGACGCTGCGTCGCTGCTGCGCCGCTGCGCTCTCTTTCTCGCTCTGTTTGCGCTGCGAAACCCCGCGGCACCGCCCTGCGCCTCGCCTCGCTGCTCGGCTGCGCGGCGGCGAGCATGGTGAGACGCACAGGCGCAGCAGAGCGGCAGCAAGCAGCATGCAGCCGCAGCAGCGCTGCACGCCGCAGCCGGAGTTCGGAGGGAGCGCCGCTGCCCGTCTGTGCGGGCAAACGTCAAGGGCCGTGCCTGCGAGCGCAGACGTGCTGCTGCGGCGCGGCGCCTGCGCCCTGCGCTGCAAGGCCGCCTCGCTGCAGCCCCGGCTCCAAGTCCGCGCCGCTGCGGTGCGGTGCCGCAGGATTCATGCGCTTCCGCTGTGCGGCGGCCGTGCACGGGTGCGCGCGCGCAGACGCCGGGCGGTGCCGCGACCTCCTCTCGAGGAGGCGGCCAGCAGCTCCGGCTGCACCCCCTATGATCGAGCACAGGCGGCATGAAGAGGCGGCGAGCAGCGCCAGACGTCGGCAGCAGACGCTGGCCGGACCCTGCCTCTTGGAAGCGCCGACCCGCTGCGCTGGAGCGAAGGCCGTCTCGCGCGTGCTGTCGGCGGCGCGGCTTCCATCGAGGACCGCCTTGCCTTGACGTTGCCGCTGGTGAACCCTGAGCACTGCCGCTGACGGCGCGCTCTCATGCGACACAGCGCCAGAGGCGCGAAGCATGAACTGAAGCGGCGGGGGCGGCAAGAGCAAGAGAGGGTGCACTCCGGCACCGGCGGCTCTCCATAGCGGCATCTCTGTGCTAGCGTCGATGAGCACGCTAAGTCCGCCAAGGTGGCACCCCCAATCTGACGGGTCGTGCTTATGTAAGCCACTCAGCAGCCGTCCCTCAATCTCGGCTAGCAGTAGACTCTGACTCTCAGTGCACATGAAGCAGCTCAGACGGCAAGCAGCGAAGCGCTCCAGTGCCGGAGGACTCTTACTGATGGCGAGAAGCGAGCCTCTCGGCCTTGGGCGCGTCTGCGGAGACGCGCGTGGGCGGCTGGCTGTCCGAGCGGCCTCTGTGCCATCATGCCCTCCTTGCTGCCAGTTCTGGACGGCCTCTCCTGTCCACCAAGGCACTCTGACGACGACACGCCGGCAGGCTGCGAGGAGCGCTCTTCTCGTTTGGCCAGCTGTTTGGCCGACCGGGCGAGCAGAGCAACGGAGAGTCGCACGATACGAGGCCATGCTTGACGCGCATTGATTCAGCCGCGCTCGAGTCGGCATCGCTGCAAGTTGAAGAGGTTCAAGCAGTCGGACAGATACTGCGGCCATCGGCCGGTATTTTGACACCCTCTCTGTTGCTGAAGAGGCTGAGCGGGGACGAGGAGGGGGGCTGGTGGCCAACGTCGAAGGCGCGCTGCACGTGATGCGGCATGCGCAAGTGGAGGCTGGCGGCTTGGCGGCGTGGTGCGTCGGCAGCGCTGAGCCGGTGCTGTGCCATCCTCCTCCATCCCGCCCTCCACCACACCAGACGCATTGACTCGCACCGCTCTCGCTCGTCTCTCTCTCTAGACCAGCGCGCGCTGTGTCTCGGCAGCGCGCTCTCCCTCGCATCCGCTTGCGCGCATAGTCCGCAGCCATGGGCAGCACCGCGCCGCCGCTCGCCGTGCCCGGCGCCGCGCTGAGCAGCCAGCACACGGGCCTCAGCAGCCAGCACACGGGCAGCGACGGCGACGCCAGTCGCTTCCGCTCCAACAACCCGTTTCTGCCGCTGCTGGCTCAGCGCACCGGCGTCAGCGACGCGGGCAGCGCAGCGGCGCCGCCTGCGACTACATTCGCACAGCCGGCTGGCCCAAGCAGCCACACAGACCCCGGCGCCACTGATGTCGCGATGCAGAGCTCGTCGGACACTAGCTCGGACGAGGCGATGCAAGTCTCATCCACAGCGCCTGGTCCAGTCGCAGCGTCCGCTCTCGGTGCCGCTGCGCTGCCGCAACGCGCCGGCTCGCCGCTGTCGAATCTCGCCCCTCTCTCCGATGCACTGCCGTCGTCTGGGCCGCCGCCGTTGCCAGCACGCCGGCCAACGACTGGCAGCACGACTGTGCCAGACACCAGCCGAGATGAGGAGCTGGCGCGCGAGCTGGCGAGAGAAGACGACGCGGCAGCAGCAGCAGTCGGCGGCAGCAGCTCCTTTGCGCCGCCGAACTCTCCGCCGCCCAGCTCGTTCGCGCCGCCTGCCGCTCCTCCGCCAGATCGGACCATGCATGGCTCCTTTGCTCCGCCCGTAGTGCCACCGCCGCACGCACGCGTACAGCCAGCAGCTCCGTCGCCGCCGCACACGGAGCTTGCCAGGCGCTACGGCCTGCCAGACCCGTTTCCTAGCGGCTACGAGCCGTCAGAGCGCCTTGTCCCCGGGCAGCCGCTGCTCAACGGCGGAAAGATGCTGCTGCCGCCGCGAGGGCGCCCGTGCCACAAGTGTGAGTGCCCAGTGTAGATGCTACTTCGTGATGTTGACAGTCGTCCGCAGGTGCCTACACGGGCTACAAGGCGGGCGATGCGGCGCGACCATGCCGGAGGTGCTGGATGTCCTTCGGCGTCGGCTATCCCGAGCAGGCGCTGCGCGTGCTGAGCATGCAGTACAATCGCGCCGAGCTCGAGCTGCAGCGCGGTGTGCCGCTTTGGACTCGACCAAATGCGCTGGCGCTGTACAACACGCCCGTGCTGCCCGTCGAGCGACCCGTGGTCCCGGCGCCAGCTCGGCAGCCACGACGGCCGGTGCCCGCGACGACGCGTACCGAGGCCGCGAGCGAGTCTGCCGCTGATGCCGACGGCGAGGCACCACCATCGTACGAGGATGTTCAGCGAGCGCCGAGTGACGCGCGGCTGCCACCACAGCGGACAGGCGCGGCAGCAGCAGCGGATGCCGCCGGCACGAGTGCACCAGCTGCGGCCGCCACAGCAGCGGCAGTCTCTCCGTCAGTCGCGCCGTCGCGGCCTTCCAGCCAGTACCAGGCTCCAGCCGGGCCGCCGCGCGTGCCCTCACACGGCTCGGGGCACTATCCAGGCCAGCAGGCGCCGTACATCCACGGCGCCCCGATGCCGCACTTTGCGCACCAGACGTCTGCCACCTTCGTGCCGCAGGGCATGATGTTCCGTCGCCCGCCGCCGGGCTCCGTCGTGGTGCAGCCTGGCGATCCGCGCATCGGCGGACGGCTGTGCTGGAAGTGCGATGGCGCAGGCGTGCGCATGAGGTGAGTGATGGGCTGACCTTGGTTGCGTTTGGCTCTGACGCGTGCCTCGCCGCAGTCTCTTCTTTGGCGACGAGACGTGCTACCACTGCAACGGCCTCGGACGCATCCGGTGAACGTACATACCCAGCATTATCACCGTCATCCGAGAGCAGCATGCGTGACGTTGTGGCAGAGGAGTGCACGGTATAAGTACAGGGAGTCTTGGCGAGTCGGAGCGGTCAGATGTCGAGCTCGAGTTGGTACGCGAGCTTCTGGTCTGCCAGGCCTGTGGAGAGACATCAGCCTCGGCAAGGCAGCGTCGCAGCTGCCTGGCGTACTCACGTTCCGGAGCGTCAGGGGAGGCATTGCGTTTGCTGCAAGGCGAGCGAGTCAGCCACGATGCACACGAAGCGCCACAGACGCGACGCACCGTTCACCCGCAGCGACGCTCGGGAAGCTGCTGAACGTGTCTGGGTGTGCCGGCTGCGGGCTCTCTTCGAAGTACGGGTGCCGCAGTGCTTCTTCGGCCGAGATGCGCTGATTGGGGTCGTACGTTAGGAGCTTGGAGAGCAGGTCCAGCGTCTGCTCGGTGCTGTAGCGCAGCTTCGTCCGCAGCGACGAGAATCTGTGTCGAGCATGTCAGCTCGGCCCGCAAAGCGAGGCTGCCGGACGGACTCACGGCTGAGCCACGTTGGACATGCTCTTCGCGCCAGGGAGCTTGGAGAAGCCTGGCCAGACTTCGTCTGACGGCTGTCCGAGCAGCTTGAAGACCTGATGCGCGATGTCAGCGAGGGGCAGCGGGCAATGACTTCGTGGCGCGCACCTTCATCATCTGGTCCGTCTCGTTCTTGCCCGGGAACAGCGGCTCCTTCGTGATGAGCTCTGCGAAGATGCAGCCGACGGACCACATGTCGATCGACTGGTCATACCGCTCTGCCCCAAGCAGCAACTCCGGCGCACTAGCGACAGCTTCGTCAGCGAGCGGCAGTCAGCGGTGTCTCGCTCCCTCACTCACCGGTACCACAGCGTCACGACTAGCTGCGTCATCTCGCGCGCCGGCTCGCCGTACATGCGCGCCAGGCCAAAGTCCGCCAGCTTGAGCTGGCCGCGGTTGTTCATGAGCAGGTTGCTCGTCTTGAGGTCGCGATGGATGATCCAGCGCGCGTGCAGATGCGCAATGGCAGACAGCAGTTGCTGCAGCAGCGTCTTGGTCTCGGACGCAAGAAAGGGCGCACGCATCGCGTTCAGCAGGGCCTTGAGGTCGTGCTCGATGAAGTCCATGCTGATGTAGATCCTGGCCAGACGTGTCAGCACACGTGTCACGCACGTCTCGGCTTCATCCGGGCAGTGCCGATGTGGCACTAGGCAACGAAGCCTCCCGGCACAGCCCGCTGCTACCTCTCATCACGCCGCCAGCGTTGGCCGTTCGATCTGTGACTCACTGGCTGAGGGTCTCGCCGACGACAATCTCACGCACGCGCACCACGTGCTCATGTCTGCCCTCCAGCGCCGTGCGGATCTCTCTCAAGCTCGTGACTGGAAAGCCGTTCTTCTCCTTGTCCATCTTGAGCTTTTTGAGCGCCACAACCTCGCCGGTGCGCACGTCGCGTGCGCGCCACACGACGCCATAGGCGCCCTCGTCGATGTGGTTCAGACGCTCGTAGGCCGAGACAGGACGCGCGCCGAGGATCAGCGGATGTGCGCTGCGTGGCGGCACGGCTGGCCGCGGCGCAGCTGGTGGCCGTGGTGCGGGCGGCGCCGGTGCGGGGCTGCCGGTCGGGCTCGCCTCGCTGGCCGGCACAGTCCTCGGCGACGACGGGCCGGCAGCGCTCGAACTTGCGTTCGGCGTCATGCTGCCAGCTGCCGGAGCGGCTGCTGCCGCCGCTGCAGCTGCTGCGGCGCGTTTGGCGGCCTTGACACGAGCACGAGAAGCCTTGCGCGCCGCCTCGCCGCGTGCACGCTCCAGTGCCGCCTCGTCGTCGGCGGCAGCGGCGCTGCTGCTCGAGCCCGCATCTTCGGGCGCGTCGTCGAGCTCCCAGCGCGAGCGCTTGCGTGCGGGAGCGGGCGATGCCATGGCGAGGCGTCGGCAGGGATGTGGAGCAAGAAAGAGGAACGGCGGCGAGGCGTGTTCGAGGAGGCCGCTCCGCGTGCTTCTCGGCACTCGGGCGAGGCGGCGGCGGCGTCGAGACCATTCGGCGCCCGCTCTCCCTGCTCCGCTGCGCCTCTGCCTCCGCATGCATCGGGAGCCCTATCCCTCCCTTTCCTGCGGCGCTACTTTGATCTCCGGCATTAAGCTCGCACGAGCCGATCCCGCAGCAAGCCACTTCGAGGGAGCGAGCTGCTGAGGCTGACTCCGGTTGCGGTGACTGTTGCGTGCGAAGTGCTGCTGGACAACGCCGGCGCGAAGAGCGGAGATGGCCGCGCCGGCCGGCTTGCTTTGTTCTCGTTGCGCGCGCGTCGCACAAGCTCGGCCCATCGCCGGCCTGCTGCGGGACACAGGGAGCACGCTGGACATCGCTCGATGTCCGCGACAGCTGGCACAAGCAGCCCTATCGGACGCTGTGCTGTGAGCTGAAAGGTCGCTGCGAAGGAGGGTGAGATAGGATGCGGGAGCGCCCTTGTGTGCCGTGCCTGCTGCCCAGCGCCGCCGGCCTTGGCACTTCGTCGCGCAGAGGAGGCTCACAAGGGCTGCTCTCGCTCGCCAGGGCCGCGCGGATGCCTCGGCGAGTGCAGGTGGGCGTACGAGAGTGCACCCGCTGCTCCATCCGGCGTGCTCCTGGCTGCTGTTCGCCGCCGTCGCGGCATCCCCGATGCCCCTGCTCTGGCGTGAGAAGCGCGAAGGCTTCGCTGCGCTCTCTCTTGCGGCGTCAGGCCACGCAGCGCCAGCAGGAATGGCTCCGGCAGGGTGCCTGCGCGGCGCTGCCGTGCGGGCGTCGCTGGAGCGTACCGCGCCCGCCGCTTGCTCGCTCGTGCCGCGCCCGCACGCCGCGCGCCCGCGAGCCAGCGGCAGCAGCCGAGCACGCGCGCGCCGTGCCGTCGCCGTTGCAAGGCGCCGCCGCCGCGCTCTGACCCCGCCGATCCATCCAGCGCGCCCGTCCCCGCCGTCCTTCCTCCGTCCCACCACCCGCCCGCCCTCCAGCCTCCACCCCGGCTCTCTGCAGCCGTCCCATCCGCACCCACACCCGTCTGCAGCTCCTCTCCTCGCGGCCGTGCCCAGCCACGCCGCGTCCTGCGCTCGCTCCGCCCGCCGCTCTCTCGCATCCCCGATCTCTCTCCCGCGCCCGTGCGCCGTCTGCTCGTCTGCAGCCCCGCCGGCACGGAGCTTACGCCGACGAACGTCTCGTAGAGGCACTCCTGTGGTGCCCTGACGCTTAACTGGAGTAGTTGCTCTGCGCTTTCAGGCAGTTGGGCATCCGCTCATCTGTCCCGCGAACAAGAAGTGAGTCGGCGCGAGCAGCAGGCCTAGGCGCGACAGTGCAGCAGCGTCGGCGATCATCGAAGAAGGGGACCAGCGACTGTGTGATCCCTAGCTTGAGTTGCTGGAGATGCTGGATGCGCTCAGAGGGCCGTCCTGCTCGATGGAAGACGCTCGGATCGCGCGCCTGCTGGATGCTCGCCGCTGCGCTGAGCTGGCGCTGGAGCGGGAATGCATTGCACGCGCCCCCGCTCTGCAGCAAGGCCACCTGACGGAGACGATACCGGGACCATCAGGCTCGGTCTCCGGCCATGGCTCGCGATGCATCACGCTCTGCTGTCGCAGCTGCGAGAGTGCGCCGCGAGAGGTCTGCCCGCTGCAGCGCAAATGTGCCCCTGTCGCACCTCCTATCAATCAGACGTCGTGCCTCGTCCTGCGCGACACTACACTTGCACATCACTGACACCATTCGTCCGCAGCGGACCTCCCTTCCCTTCACTAGCCCGTCATGGCCGCCGTTCCCGGTGCCGAGCTGCAGGAGAAGATCGCCGCTGCGCGGCGCGAGGCGGATGCGCTCAAGGAGCAGATCCGCAGCCGCAAGGACAAGATGGCGGACACGTCCTGTGAGTACAGCTGCGACAGACATGCGGCATGCCGCGAGCTCATCACAACTCTGCAGTGCGAGCGATGGCGGCCGAGATCGAGGCGCTGCCGCGCATCGTCATGAAGCCGCGGCGGACGCTCAAGGGCCACCTGGCCAAGATCTACGCCATGCACTGGGCGGCCGACAAGCGCCACCTCGTGTCGGCGTCGCAGGACGGCAAGCTGATCGTGTGGGATGCGTACACGACGAACAAGGTGCACGCCATTCCGCTGCGCTCGAGCTGGGTCATGACGTGCGCCTACGCGCCGTCGGGCAACTGGGTCGCCTGCGGCGGCCTGGACAACATCTGCTCCATCTACAACCTGCGCTCGCGCGAGGGCAGCGTCAAGGTGGCGCGCGAGCTGTCGGCGCACACGGGCTACCTCTCGTGCTGTCGCTTCCTCAACGACCGCCAGATCCTCACGTCGAGCGGCGACATGACGTGCATGCTGTGGGACATCGATGCGGGCGTGCGGGTCATGGAGTTCAACGACCACACCGGCGATGTCATGAGGTGCGCGCCTGCCATTCTGCCGAGCCCTGCGCACAATCTCACACCCGTCCCCGCAGCCTGTCGCTCGGCCCGAACCAAAACATCTTCGTCTCGGGCGCCTGTGACGCCCAGGCCAAGGTCTGGGACATCCGGACGGGCAAGGCAGAGCAGACCTTCTCTGGCCACGAGAGCGACATCAACGCCGTGCAGTGCGTGTGCCGTGTCGAGCCGCGCGCGGCAGCCTCGAGACTGACCGACTCGCGCCCCGCAGGTTCTTCCCGAACGGCGACGCCTTCGCGACGGGCTCGGACGATGCGTCGTGCCGCCTGTTCGACCTGCGTGCCGACCGCGAGCTCAACCAGTACACGCACGACAACATCCTCTGCGGCATCACGTCCGTCGGCTTCTCGGCGTCGGGCCGCATCCTCTTTGCCGGCTACGACGACTACAACACCAACGTGTGGGACACGCTCAAGGGCGAGCGCGTCGGCGTGCTGTCGGCACACGAGAACCGCGTCTCGTGCCTGGGCGTCAGCACCGACGGCATGGCGCTGTGCACGGGCAGCTGGGACGCCCGCCTGCTCGTCTGGGCCTAGATGCTGCACTCTCTCCCTGCATCCACGACATCAACGTCCTTCCCCGCACGTCATCTTCTCTCTCCTAGCACAACTCGCGGATGGCGACCCGCACTGGCCCCTTCCGCTTCCCCCCATATACCCCACTTCGCCTTGCCGCTCGTCGTCGGGCTCACGTCGGCAACGGACCTCCTCGACGCGGACTCGCGCAAGCCGGCCGGCGGCGCGCTCGCCGGACTCCCGGAACGTGCAGAAGCGTCTCTGCCTACTGCGTGCGGCGAGCACGGCCTGTGTAGTCCGACTGCCCCTCTGCTCGGCAAAGGCAGCTGGGTCAGGACGACCTGGCACGCCGCCTCCCTACCCCTCTGCTTTGCCCCACCCACCCTTTCTTCCGCCTCTCGAGGCAGAGCGTCGCGCCGCCCTCGCTCCGCGCCTACGCTGTCTTGATGCCACCTTGTCTGTCCATAGCCCCACGAAATTTGACTTTCTTCACGCCCACCGCTGCGCATGGTGATCGAGATCGAGAGCATGAGGCGGCAGCACGGCCTCTATGGCAAGGGTGCGGGTCCAGATGCTGACGTAAGCAAAAAAGTGCGCGCGGCGGCATGGCTTCGCCCTCCGCCGGGCGCCTGCTGCCTGGCTCCCATCCACACACTCGAGCGCAGCATTCTGCGGCTCAGATCCTCTCGCTCTTCCTCTCGTCCGCAGCGCCTGCGTAGCGCATCCCAGCCATGGGTAAGAAACAGGAGAAGAAGACGGCCAAGGGGTGAGTTGCGCACGCGCCGCGCTGCCCGCTTTTCGCCTGCACCGAGGCTGAGACCCGTCGCCCCGCAGTCGTCTCGACAAGTTCTACTGGCTCGCCAAGGAGCAGGGCTTCCGCTCGCGTGCCGCTTTCAAGCTTGTGCAGCTCAACAAGAAGTACGCGCTGCTCGAGGGCGCACGATGCTGCATCGACCTGTGTGCCGCACCCGGCGGCTGGCTGCAGGTGGCGAGCAAGCACATGCCGCCCAACAGCCTCATCGTTGGTGTCGACCTGGTGCCCATCAAGCCGATCCCGCGCTGCATTACCTTTGCAGAGGATATCAACTCGTTCCGCTGCAGAGACCAGCTGCGTGCTGAGCTGAAGGACTGGAAGGCAGACATGTGAGTGCGGCGTGCGGGTGAGGATGGGCGGCAGGAGTGGTGTCGAGGCGGGGCTGTGGCGGCTGCCACGATCCTGTCAGCATGGTAGCTGGTAGAGCTCAGGTGCTGCGCGCATGCTAGACTGCATGCTGGTGTCTGGCCTAGATTGGCGCTGCCCGTACCCTTCCCGCTGCAGTGCTGACGCCGCCCTCGCAGCGTGCTTCACGACGGTGCGCCCAATGTCGGTACCGCATGGGTGCAGGACGCGTACCAGCAGTCGGAGCTGGTGCTGCAGTCCCTGAAGCTCGCCGTCGAGTTCCTTGCGCCCGGTGGTTCGTTTGTGACGAAGGTCTTCCGCTCGAAGGACTACAACAACCTGCTCTGGGTGTTCAACCAGCTCTTCGGCACCGTCGAGGCCACCAAGCCGCCGTCCAGTCGGTGAGTGCAGCTGCCGTTTGCGTGCTGCGCGGCGTGAGCTCATTGGTGCGCGCAGTAACGTCTCCGCCGAGATCTTCGTCGTGTGCCGCAACTACAAGGCGCCGAAGCGCGTCGACCCCAAGTTCCTCGACCCGCGGCATGTGTTCAAGGACCTCGACCCGACCGCTGCAGCTGCTGCGGATGGCGAGGAGGGTGCGCCGCTCAAGGGCGAGCGCGGCGCCATTGCTCAGGCAAGCGTCTTCGAGCCGGAGAAGAAGCGCAAGCGCCGTGAGGGCTACGCGGACGGCGTGCGCATGCTGTACAGCGCGATGGGGGCGCGGGCATGGGTGGAGAGCCCGCAGCCGATCGATGGGCTGGGTGCGAACAACGAGCTGACGTGGCGGGAAGAGGGCGACAAGGAGTGAGTGCAGCAGTGTCGCAGAGGCCCAGCATCTCGGCTGACAAGCTCGCACAGGCTGCTCAAGCACGAGCTGACCACGGACGACATCAAGGCCTGCGCCTCGGATCTCAAGGTGCTTGGCAAGAAGGACTTCCGCAACCTGCTGAAGTGGCGCACTGCCATGCGCCTGCACCTCGGCCTGGACGCGCCGGCAGTGAAGCCGGGAGAGGAGGTGGTTGAGATCGTCGACGGCGAGGACGCCGAGCCCATCGACTCTGACGCCGAGATCGACGAGGAGCTGGAGCGCCTCAACGACGAGCGGGGCAAGGCGCTGCGCAAGGAGCGCCGCAAGCGCAACGCCGCGCGCGCCAAGAAGGTGCAGAAGATGCAGCTGCAGATGACGACGCCGATGGACGTGGGCCAGGACATCGTTGACGAGACGCTCGTTGGCGGCGCCGACGACATGTTCGACCTCACGCACGGCCCGTCGCGGCCGCGGACGGCCGAAGACAGCGACACCGACAGCGAGGAGGAGGACGAGGTGCTCGACTCTGACGCCGAGGAGCAGCGCAAGCTGGCGCGTCTCGAGGGCGACCTCGACGCTGCGTACGACACCTACCGCCAGCGCATGTCGGAGCGCGACGCCAAGTGGCGCGCCAAGGAGGCTCGCCGGTTAGACGAGAACCGCGACGAGTGGCACGGCTTCAGCGCGCCAGTGCGGGATGGCCGCGACGACGCCGAGGACAGCGACGGCGGCAGCTCTGTCGGCGGCTACGACGACGTCGTGACGAAGCGCAAGCTGCAGGAGGAGACGTTCGACACCGACGACGAAGAGGACGAGGAGGACGACCGCGCAGACCGCGCCGCTGTCGCTGCCGTCACGCGGAAAGCAGGCTCGGCCAGCAAGCGGAAGGCGCGCGCCGAAGAGAGCGACTCGGACGACGACATTGCTGAGCCGATCGACACGAGCGGCCTGGTTGCATCGCTCGAGTCGCGCGGCGAGCGCGACCAGCGCCAGAGCCGCGAGGCTGCCATCTGGTTCGACAACCCGCTGTTCAAGGGCGTTGCCGGTCTGATCCCAGAGGGTGACGACGAGGACAGCGAGGATGAGGTAGAGGAGGAGGAGGACTCGGACGAGGAGGACGAGGATGAGGAGGCAGACTCGGACGCTGAGATGGAGGACGCCGAGTCGGACGTCGAGGTCGTGGCGCGGAATGTCGCCGACGAGGACATGGCTGGCCTCGACGGCGAGTGGCGCTACGACGATGAGGACCTCGACGAGATCAAGCGCAAGCGCATCGAGGGTGAGCAGCACGACCTCAGACTGCTGGTGCTTGTGCTGACCCCCTGTGCCCGCAGCTGTCGGCCTGAACACTGCCGAGGCGCTCACCCTTGCGCAGCAGCTCGTCAACCGCGAGAAGACAAAGGGCGCGCTGATCGACGACGGCTTCAAGAAGGACAACTTCGTCGACAAGTCCGACCTGCCGACGTGGTTCCTGGACGAGGAGGCCAAGCACTACCGTGCCAACATCCCCGCGACCAAGGAGGCCATGAACGCACTGCGGGCGCGGCAGCGTGCGCTCGACGCGCGGCCGATCAAGAAGATCGCCGAGGCCAAGGGCCGCAAGAAGTTCAAGGCTGCGCAGCGCCTCGAAAAGGCACGCAAGAAGGCCGACACGCTCAACGAGACGGTCGACATCAGCGAGAAGGAGAAGGCCAACTCGATCTCCAAGGTGCTGGCGCGCGCCGGCGCCAAGCCGAAGCGCAAGGAGATCAGCACCGTCGTCGCCAAGGGCGTCAATCGCGGCCTCAAGGGCCGGCCGAAGGGCGTCAAGGGCCGCTACCGCCTCGTCGATGCGCGCGGCAAGAAGGAGCTGCGGGCCGAGAGTGAGTGTGCATGGTGTGGCTGCTTGCGGAGCATAGCTGACATCCGCTACAGAGCGCCGCAACAAGCGAGACGGCAAGAAGACGACGAGCTCGACGTCGAACAAGCGGCGCGTGCCCAACGGCTACTGAGCTCTGTTCCCGTCGTCTGCTTCACGCTCTCTCTCTGTTCCTGGGCATCCCGTCACGTCTATGCATTAGTGATACACTTTCTACACGCCGATGTGTCCTCGGACGTTTGACTCGAGCTGCCGCAGGATGTGGTCGCCGCGCGGCGCCAGTCTCTGCGCCAGGCCGGCGTGTGACCCGAAGCCTGTCCAGAGGACGGTTGCGAAGAGCGCGCATGCGACGCCGAGCGTGGCGCCGACAAGGCACTGCGCCGGCGTGTGCAGGCCCAAGCGCACGCGCGACCACATGACGACGGGCGGCGTGGCAGCAACGAGGGGCACGAGAGGCGCAAGGTTGCTGGGCATCGCCATGCACAGGTACAGGCACATGAACGTCATGGTGCTGAGACGGGGTCAGCCGCGGCTTGCAGTCACAGGCGCAGCACACACGCACGAGCTGTGTGTCGACGGCATGCCGTGCGTCTTTGTGATGCTTGAGCCCTCGGGCCGCGGCTCCTTGATGACCTTCTTGAGCAGCTTGGCTGTGCTAGGGGGTCAGTCAGGGCGCGGAAGGCATGCTCATCGCTGACGGCGCACCTGTCCATCCAGTGCCCAGCGCACCCGCGACGTAGTACAGCGCATGTGTGTCCCGCAGACACAGCACGCCGACCGTCGTGGCGGCCGTGACGATGCCCTGCGTGTGCTTGAGCAGCCAGAGCGGCGTGCTGAGCGCGGCATCCGGCGGTTCCTGCGCCTCTGTAGCGGCGGGCTGCTTGCCCTTGGCTGCGCTTGCGCCCTTGCGTGCACGGAGATTCGCCATGACTGCTCTACTGGCGGCTTGGCGCACACTTGAGCCCGGCTTTGTGGATGGCTCGCGAGGGGCCTGCTTGCAGCGGTGAGAGGAGAAGCAGAGGCACGACCTCCACCTGCTGTGCGGGCCTTGTCGGCGCAAGCACGGCGAGCTGCGGGCGCGACTGCCGCGAAGAGCGGTGCATGCAGCCGACACTGCCGCCCAATTTGACGGCACGGCGAGAACGCCGCACCTTGGCAGGGGCCACGTCCGCAAAGCCGGGAATCAGCTCGCACAGCAGCGAGCAGCTGCGGCTTTCGAGGATTGACTGGTGCAGCACGGGCAGACTCACGGACGAGCGGAACAAGCGCAGGCTGCCCGGCCAAGGCGACGCCCAGCAGCCTCGGCGCATCCCCGCGTTGGCCGGCGCTCGGGCCCGATGCCGCGCCGAGGCGGAGTTGCAGCCGCTCCCCCGCACAGACGTCGGCCAGCGCCGCTCCTTCTTAGGGCCGCGCCTGCCGCGGCCAAGCATCCGGCGCAGCGACATGCACCGGCACTGCAGCGTCTCGCCCTCCTGCCTCCCGACATCCATCACCCACCATGAGCGCACACGCCTTCAACTCGCGCCGCAGCACCGTGCACAGCTCGCGCGGCCTCGTGTCCTGCTCGCAGCCGCTGGCCGCGTCGGCAGGCATCGCCGTGCTCAACGCTGGCGGCAACGCAGCCGACGCCGCCGTCGCCGTCGCCGCGGCGCTCAACGTCACCGAGCCCAACTGCACGGGCATCGGCGGCGATGCCTTCTGCCTCTTCTGGGACGCTCGCGAGAAGCGCGTGCGCGGCATCAACGGCAGCGGCCGCGCGCCCGAGGCCATGACGCTGCAGCGCCTGCAGCAGGCCGGCCTCAAGGAGGGCATCATCCCGCTCGAGAGCGTGCACAGCGTCACGGTGCCCGGCGCGCCGGCCTGCTGGGACGACACGGTGCGCCTCTTTGGCGCGCGTGCACACGGCGACAAGGACGGCCCGACGCTGGCACAGGTGCTGGCGCCGGCCATCCGCCTGGCCGACAATGGCTACCCGGTGTGCGCCGTGGCGTCGGGCGACTGGGTGCGCTCCGAGGCGCTCATCAAGCGCGCCAGCCCCAATTGGGCCGAGATGATGCACTCGTCGGGCAAGGCGCCGCGCGAGGGCGAGTTCATGCGCATGCCCAACCTCGCGCGCACCTTCCGCGAGCTGGCCAGCAAGGGCAAGGCCGGCTTCTACGAGGGCCGCATCGCCGGGGAGATCGTCAAGGTGTGCGGCGACCTCGGCGGCCTCATGACGCTCGATGACCTCAAGCACCACGGCGAGGTCGGCAGCAACGAGATCACGCCCATCTCGTACCTGTACAAGGGCGCCGCCGGCCAGAAGGACCCGTCGAAGGCCGTGCGTCTGCACGAGTGCCCTCCGAACGGCCAGGGCCTCGTGGCGCTAGAGGCGCTCTCCATTCTCGACGAGCTGCAGGCCAGCGGCGCCGTGCCGGACCTCCTCTCGCTGGAGCACAACAGCCCCGAGTACCTGCACGCGCTCATCGTGGCGCTGCGTCTTGGCTTTGCCGACGCTGGCAAGTACGTCGCCGACCCGGACTTTGAGGGCGCCAAGCACGTCGAGGCCATCCTCAGCCCGGCCTACGCGAAGGAGCGCGCCAAGGTCTTCGACGCCAAGACGTTCAAGCCCGTCGAGCACGGAAACCCGCGCAACTCGAGCGACACGGTGTACTTTAGCGTCGTGGACCAGGAGGGCAACGCCTGCTCGTTCATCAACTCGAACTGTGAGTGCAGTAGCGAGCCACACCTGAGCCATGCACTGATGCTGCTCCTATAGACGCCGGCTTCGGCAGCGCCATCATCCCCGCCGGCTGCGGCTTCACGCTGCAGAACCGCGGCTCAGGCTTCGTGCTCGAAGAGGGCCACGCCAACTGTGTCGCGCCGCGCAAGCGGCCATACCACACCATCATCCCGGCGATGGCCACGCGCGAGGTGAATGGCGAGGCTGAGTGCTGGCTCAGCTACGGTGTCATGGGTGAGTGCCGAATGATGTGCGCTTGGCCTGCCCATGCTGACCTCCTGACTCCTAGGCGGCTTCATGCAGCCGCAGGGCCACGTGCAGGTGCTGCTGAACATGCTGCGCGGCATGAGCCCACAGCAAGCCATCGACTCGCCGCGCCTCATGATCGGCGCCGGCACGCCCGACCAGGGCGACGTGCTCTCGACCGTGTTCCTCGAGGACGGCATCGACGAGTCGGCCGTCGAGGTGCTGCGCGGCATGGGCCACGACGTCAAGCACGTGCAGGGCTGGGACAAGCGCGGCCAGTTCGGCAAGGGCCAGTGCATCGCTCGCATCGACTACGGCGCGGGACGCAGCGCATGGGCTGCCGGCTCAGACCCGCGCGGCGACGGCTGCGCTGTGCCGCAGGTGTAATGCAATGCATTCGCAGGTCATTAGCGGCGAGAGAGGAGAACGGATTGATGCAACGGTCAGGTGTGCGAACCACGCGCGCGTCCATCAAGCCCACGAGCGCTTGCCGGCGACCATCGGCCCGCTGCGCTTCACGACCTGGTGGTCCTTGGACTTGAACTGCTCGAGCTTCTTCATCGTGGCGTCCGAGAAGCCGAGGTGTGCCTGCACGACCTTGGGCGGCGTGAGCGCCAGCCAGTTGCTCAGCGAGATGTCCGAGTAGCGCGGCGACTTGAAGACCTCGAGGAACGTGAGCGTGTCGTTGCCGATGTTCTCGACGTAGTGGCCCACGCTCTTCTGCAGATAGCCCACCGAGCCGGCCTGGAACTGGAGCCGCATGGGTGTCAGCTGCTGCGTGAGAGTCAAAAGCAAAGCGATGCTCACGTTGTACGTGCGCGCGTTCGAGTCGCCGGCGAAGACGGTGATGCGTGCCGAGCCAGTGAGAAAGTAGTTCCACTCGTCTGCGGGGCGCTGTCAGAGGGCCACTCGCTCTCGCCAAGCCGTACTGCTCACCAGACAGCGGGTGCCAGTGCCTGAAGGCAACGAGGGTCAGATCGCAATCTGTTGAGCCTGTCCGCTGACACTCACAGCTCGCGCATCGCTCCGGGCTCAACCGTCACGAGCGCCGCAGAGATCGTCTTGCTCGCTGGAAACTTTCGCGTATCGAGCACCTTGACGGTGCCTCCGTTGAGCTGCTTGACGGGCTCCTTGGACCACGGGAAAATGAAGCTATAGATGGCGTCAGCAGGCGCGAGGATGACAGCGCAAGAGCCGCCACCATGCCTCACGTGCTGGGCACCTCGCCGGCGGGGTTCTCGACCTGCTCATCGTCGTCTCCCGGTGCCTTGCTGGGGAAAATGTAGAGCTGCTCTCCTGGCACCTTGTTAAAGTCGTCGTTGGTGAGCCCCGGAAAATTCTAAGAAGGGCGCAGATGTCAGCTCGGAGGCGTGGCAGTGCGGCGCAGGGCTGCGTACCTTGACGACGACCTCGCGCGGGATGTGAGCCGTGAAGTCAGTCAGAAGCAGAGTGCTGTCCTCGCTAAAGTTGCCGTCGTCAAACACGAGCAGGAACTCGCCGCCACCCTTGGAGAGCGCTTGGATGTAGTGAGGCACGCCGGAAGGGAAATACCAGACGTCGCCGGGCTCGAGATCGCCGATCTGGTTGCGGCCCTCCTCGTCGACGGCTCCGACGCGGAAAGAGCCCTTCATGATGTATGCCCACTCGGCACTTTGATGCCAGTGGAGCTCTCGAATGGCACCCTCTGTAGAGAGCGGTGTGAGCAGGCGAACGAAGCGGCGGTACGAACAGGCGAACGGGAGCCTCTCGCGGCCCCCATGGTCACGGGCGCGTCGTCGCCTCGTGCGGCATCGCGCGCCTCGATGCCTCTCGCGTTGCAACCACCCTCATCCCACTCAGAAACCCGTATCAACACTCAACTTCCAAGCGCATGTTCACGGCCGCCATTTCCGTTGCGACGGGCAGGACCTTGACGTTCTGCTGGCGCGCCCAGCCGCCCGTCTGGAGGCGATTGTGCGAGAGCGCGAAGGGCCATGCGGCGTTGGGCACGGTCCCGTGGTCCGTCGACGGCGGCGCAAGCATGTCGGGGTTCTGACGATCGATCGCTGCACATCACAGGTCAGTACGGCCATGAGGAGGGCCATGAGGAGGGCTACAAGACATGAAACGCACGCGTGTTGTGCGGCCCCTCCTGCGACGCTCCCGTGTTGCCACGAATCGGCTGAGGCAGTTTGCCCTTCTCGTGGAACTCAGCCCACATGCTTGTGTCGCTGATGTTGCTGATGTACTCGACGGGGTACGTGCTGGCCTCGTTCTTGACAGCCTCTGTCTGCGCGGCGATGCGCAGCTGGAAGCGGCGACGCAGCTCGGCCAGCTCTTCGGGCGACGCGGCGGGCGCACGGCGCGCCAGACCGCCGGCCTTGGAGAGAGAGGCCATGTCGGGGAAGGCAGGGATGGCTGCGGCGAAGGGCAGCAGCGCAGCCAGGGCCGCGAGCGACGGGAGAGGGACGAGCATGGCGGGCGGGCTTGACGTGGTGGTTGCGGGAGGGGCTCTGCTTGCGAGCAGGGTGGGCGGCGCAGAGGGCCTCCTTATGTATGCGAGCGAGCATGGCGCTCTCGATCGCCGGGGTCGGCTGCTCGTGCGGGGCACGCCATCGAAGGCGGCTCGAGGGCAGGGCTCGGGGCATGATAGTCATGCTCCACACCCTGCCGCTGCTGCCGTGCGGCAGAGAGGGACAGGCGCCTTCTGCTGCTGCTCCCGAGCTGCCTGCATGCTGCGGTGTGCGTGGTCTGTGCACACAGCGAAGCGAAGCTCTCCCGCGGCGTGCTTCTGAGCCGCCGGCCCCCGCAAGCGCGGGTCCGCCTCGATGCCGGCTTGCGTGCGCCGCAGCGCCATCATCTTACTCTGCCGCCGCGCCGCTGCCGCACAAGCGTGCTCGCCGCTTGGTGCCGGCCGCGGCATCTCGTTGCTTTTGCGCCGCCCTCGGTCAGATCTGCTTTCGCTCACTCCGCCATCAAGCGCACACAGCGAGGGCAAGACGGCACAGAGCGACGCATGTCCGACACGTCCGAAGCGCCAAAAGTCGCGCCTCCACACGCATGCATGCGCGGGCGCGTTGCTGCCGTGCCGCTGCGGCTTGTGCCGGCCGCATGCTACGCACTCTTCCATCCTTTACAGGCAGCCTTGCGCTCATCCATGACACCCACGACATGTCTCACACGCACTGAGATCTGCGCCTAGCGCAAGCCATCTCTCTGGCTGCGCGTGCCGAGGTTTGATTGCACCCGCGCATGGCATAGAGCGCGCGCCGTGCCGCCGGCTCTCACCCAGCATCACAGCTGCGGCATGCCAAGGGTGTATCGGGCGAGATCGCCCGGCGATGATCATTAAGGATAGATGTTCTCATGGCGAGGCATAAGGAGGCATAGCGAGAAGAGCGGGCAAGCGCATAGGCAGCATGACCGAGCAGACCGTCGAGCGATCAGGCCTTCTGCGACTGGTTGCGCGCGATCTCGCCGCAGTCCGAGAGGCCGAAGTTGGCGTTCACGGTGGCGGGCGCAAGGCCGACAGCCGATGAGCTCCAGCTCTGCAGGCCCTTCCACTGCATCGGCGTGGGCGTGAGGGGCGAGTAGGCTGGGATAGAGTACGCAGGTCAGTGTCGGCCGCAGATAATGACGACCCAGCGCAGGACTCACTCTCGACGTCGCCCGTGGCGAAGAAGGGCTCGGCGAACGGCACGGTCCAGTCGAACGTCTGCGTCGTGCAGCCATCGCCCGAGTAGGTGATGGGCTGGCCTTGAATAGCCTGGAACATCTCCGCAGTCACGGATCGCTGCGGCGCCGGCTCGAAGAGCGCCTCAAAGCGCGGGCCCTCGGGGCCGGGTCCGTCAATCTGCATAGTCTGCGTTTAGTATGGAGGGCGTTGCCGACGAGGCGCACCACTCACGGCATTCGCCAGACCCTGCAGGATCTGGAAGGAGAAGAGACCGGGCGCGATCTGCGAGTAGGCCTGCAGCAAAGCGTGAGTATTAGAAAGCCCTGCTTCGTCGAAGAAATTGCCTCACCGCATCCTTGGGCTTGAAGGTCGCGACCTCGGAGTCGATCTTGGCAAGCACGCTGACCGTCGAGGGGATGAGCTGGTCCTGGTAGACGTGCTGGATGAAGGAGAAGGGCGTCTTGCCGTCCTTGGCCGCATCGACGAAGGGCACGATGAGGGAGAAGGAGTTGAGCCGGTCGATGCGGAGATCGATGCCGGCGAGGCGCTGGCGAATGTCGCTCATGTACCTGGTGCCGACGGAATCAGCATCAGCAGACGCTCATACAGAGCTCTCTCCACTCTGTGCTCACTGCTGCGAGAAGAGCAGCACGTGCTCGTCGTCCTTGAGGAAGTCGGCCGGCAGGCCAGTCACGGGCAGCAGCTGGATGTCGCCGGCGAGCTGTTGCGCAAACGTCTTGGAAACGGGCGCCAGGTGAAGCGTGAAGTTTCCAGCGGACGTCATGTCCGTCTCGTGGCCGTAGAAGTACTGCAGTCGGCGAGAACGGTCAGATATGTCTGTGGTCAAAGCCCACGCAAGCGACGCACCGTGTTCGGACCCTGACGCGGCACAAGGCCAGCGAGGGCGAGCGGCACGAGCGCAAAGACAGAGACGATGGAGCGGAGCATGGTAAAATGGGAGAGATAGAGAGGGTGGTGGGGCTGACGGACCCTTGCCTCGCAGCGAGCTCGGCCTTATGAGCGCGATCCCAAAGCAGACGCGGCATCGCCAGGCCGAGGCTGAGGCGAACGATGGGCCCACACGGAGCATGCTGAGTGAAGCTCGCCCACCCCTGTGGCCGCCACACTGAGTGCTTCTAGGGCCTCTGACTTCTCTGAAGCGCGGCAGGGGCCGAGCCGCGAGTGCAAACGTGCAGGCTCTCGCTGGTCTCCTGCGGCCTGCTGCCCACGAGCGGAATGCGTACCACCTCTTGATCAACAGATGGAATGACGAGAGGGGCACTCTCATATCGCCCCGTTCTTCTCCGGCACCCGGCAAGGTGCGCATTTGCCTGGGCGCGGAATGCAGATGCCGACGCAAGGCATCGAGGAGGAGGTCCGCGCACGCTTATAGCGCATCAGCGGCTGTGTGTCCTCATCGAGAGGCCCCGGCGTCCGAGACCTAAGCCTTAGGCTCGCAGGTCTCGCTCCCACGCTTGATGGCCTCATGAGTGTTCGTCAGAGCACAGCGTTGTCCCTGCTCTGCGATCGTGCTGCGTCGTCGAGGCGCAGCATGCAGGCATCGAGGTGTGGTGGTGCTGAGCATGGGAACGGCGCGCCTCGCGCGGCTCGCCGGTGGCCGAGCGAGCGCTTCCTCTGCTGTGGTGCCGCGTCGCCGGCCCAGCCGGGCCGGCGCGCTGCCTGCACCTGCCTCTCTGCCCCGCACTGCCCCTCGCGCCGACCTTCTGCCCTCACCACTCAGCCCCGCGAGCATGCCCGACGCCCTCACCCTGCCGCCCATCCCGGCGCCGAGCGCGCTCTTCGACCTCACCGGCCGTGTCGCGCTCGTGACGGGCGGTGGCACTGGCCTTGGTCTCGCGATGGCCACGGCGTACGTGCGTGCCGGCGCGCAGGGTGAGTGTCGCAGCATCAGCGGCCCGAGCGAGATGGCGTCTGCGCGATGAGCAGCATGCAGCGGGAACAGAGCGCTGGCTGAGGCCTGGACTGCAGTCAGCGCCCGTCGACTCAGCAGGCCGTCGGCTGACCTTCTGCGCTCAGTGTACATCTCGTCGCGCAAGATGGCCAACCTCACCGCCGCGGCGTAAGTGACGCAGCTGGACAATGTGACGAGAGCTCGCGCTGATGCTGTTGCAGCGATGCGCTCAATGCGATCCGTGCTGGCTCGTGCGTGCCCATCACGTCGAACCTCGGCGATGCGGCCGGCTGCCATGCGCTGGCAGACGAGATGGCGAAGCGCGTGCAGCAGCTCGACATTCTCGTCAACAACAGCGGCGTGGCGTGGGCGAGTCCGATGGAGTCGGTGGAGGAGCGTCGCGGCTGGGACAATGTCTTCAACCTGTGAGTGCAGCAACGGTGCAGCTCGGACGGCACGCTCACGTCGACGCAGCAACACAAAGTCGGTCTTCTACCTCACCGTCGCGCTGCTGCCGCTGCTCAAGAAGGGCAAGAGCGTCGAGCAGCCGGCGCAGGTCATCAACATCTCGAGCATCTACGGCAGCCTGCCGCACGCCAACATGCCCACCGCCAAGGTCGGCCACGGCGCGTGGAGCTATCTGAGCTCCAAGGCCGCTACGTCTCATCTTACGCGCGTGCTAGCCGCGAAGCTCAAGCCTGGTGAGCTGCAGCGGGACGTGCCCAGGCTTCGCGAGCTGACCCTGGCGCAGAGCACATCAACGTCAACGCACTCGCACCAGGCTTCTTCCCGACGACCATGACGCGCAGCGGCGAGAGCGATGCGCTCGACGCCTCGCACCCGGGCGGCCGCATGGGCTCGCAGTACGATCTGGCAGGGCCAGCACTGCTGCTCGCGACCAACGCGCATCTGTCGGGCGTCACGCTGCCCATCGACGGCGGTGCCACACTCATCCCTGCTGCCAGACTGCCACCAGGTGCGTCTGATCGGACGACGAGCACCTGCCACTCGCTGACGCGCTCTCTCCCAAAGGCACGCGCGAGAGACACATGCCCGTCGAGCGGGCAGATCGACTGAATGCCAAGCTGTGATGAGAAGCCCGACACGGAATGCATCGGATGACCACCCAGGCTAGGGATTTGCTTGCGCAGGTTCGTCTATGGATTGCGGAGATGTTGCAGCACGGGAATATTAGCAGCGCAGACGCAGCGACGACCGCCTCACTTGCGCAGCTCGGCGAAGCGCTTCTCGGCCTGCCGCTTGACATCCTCGAGCGTCGAGAGCCCCTCGTGGCCGGCGTTGCTGACGGCGTTCTTGAGCTCGCCGCCCTCCTTCTCGAGCCACTGCTCGAGCGACTGGCCGGCCTTCTTGGCCTCGTGTGCCGCGTCCTGCAGGCGCGACACGATGGGCGCCTCGAGCCGGTCGACCTTGGCGTCGATCTTGGCCTCGTTCTGGCCGCCTGCGGATTGCACTGCAGCGGACCGGGCGTCAGAAGGACATCAGCTGGGCACGGCACACGCAGCACTCACCGCTCAGGTACGTGTTCCAGCCCACCGACACGGCGTTCCTGCGTAGAGCATGAGCGCATAATCCACCACACGCGTACGCAGGAGCTACTCACACGAAGAGCAGCCGCAGGTTGACCGGCACGACGGCAAAGTTGAGCGCCTGCACCGGCGCCCACACACCCAGCGCCGCCTTGTACGTCGGGCCCCAGGACTGTGAGGCAAGAGCGCGCTTTAGCACACTTGAGTAGACAGTACCACCGCGCGCAACTCACCTTCTTGATCTTGGCCTTGGCCTCCTCCAGGCTCTTGCCCTCCATCAGCGTCGTGGAGGTGAAGAAGACGCAGATGATCACTGGCGACATGAGGAGCTGGTCGAGTGCCAGCTGCAGACGCGTGACCTGGCATCAGAGCTAGCACAGAGGCCTGTACTTCTCGCAGCCGCACTCACCTTGGTAGCGATGTTGCCTGCGCGGCTGCCAGTGTTGACGCGCTCCAGCACCTTGCCGAACCCTGGGCGTCTCAGGTCAGCGCATGCACGTCAGGCCAGTGTGAGGTGCCGACGCGCAGTCGCGACAGCATGTGAAGACTGCTCCCGTCGCTAGTCTCTACTCCTCGCCTTGACAGTGCCGCTCATCGCAGGCCTGGCTGCTGCCCGGCGCACCCTCCGGTGTGCTGGACCTCCTGGCTTGCCCAAGTCACTTGCGATCTGGCGTGCCTGTGTTCGCCTCACGGTAGCCTGGCTCAGCACTCACACGTGCTCATGATGGGCGCAAAGATGGCGCCGCCGTACGTGGCGAGGCGCGCCGTGCGCACGAGGTCGTGGTTGGCGCCGCGCTTCTCGACGGCCTGCTGGGCGATGGTGTCGCCCGTGGCAAAGAGCACGGCGGCGCTCGCGCACTGGCGCGGCAGCGTCGACGACGAGGCGTGGAGCATGCGCATGAAGGCGGCCATCTTGGATTGCGGATGCGACGTGTTGTGGTGGTGGTGGGAGACGGAGCAAGAGAGGGGCGCGGCCGCTTCCGACTGTTGGTTCTGCTGCGGTGAGAAGATACGAAAGCAACGGCCGGCCACGCCAAGCGGAGGCGCGCGTTGGCAGCGGTGACGTCGCGCGCCTTCGCACGCACCGCTCTGCTGCGCCGCCGCCGGCGTGCCGACCGGGTGCCGTGGGAGCAAGGAGGGCGCAAGCTGCGCCCCGCGGACTCCACGGCGCACGCTTCCCCGCCAGCGTGGCCCCTGCGCCGCACGCATCTCGACCTTCTCGCAAGACGTCCACCATCCCCTTCTCACCTCTCGTCGCACCCTCATATCACGGCAATGGCCGACGCGGCCGCCGACGAAGAGCGGGCACAGCGTGCTGCGCGTGCGCGCAAGGCGCTCAAGAAGGCTCAGGCTGCAAAGCGCAAGGCGGCCGAGGCCGATGCTGCTGGCAGTGGCAGCGTCGACGCGCCGACTGCCGCGGCGGGCTCGCCAGCACCCGAGAGCGGGCCCGTCAGTGGTGTCGCCACGCCAGTGGCTGAAGTACCAGACCCGGTCGTGGCACCACCAGCACCTTCGGCGCCCTCCGCGCCCACAGAAGAAGTGCGCGATGCCGCCTCCCTCTTTGGCCCCGACTCCGGCGCCATCGGCGAGGAGGACGACTTCTTCAGCGCGCCGCCGGCCGCAGCGCAAGAGGCACCCACTCTCACTGCCTCTGCCACGCGCGCGCCTCCAAGCGCCATCTCCACGGCAGCCGGCGCAGGCGCGCCCATCCTCTCGCCGCCGCTGACGTCGCCGCCGCGCGCCAATGGTGCCGGCGTGGCGGTCAACGTGCGCCCGGCGCATCGCCGCTCCGGCAGCCAGTCAAGCAGCACGCACTCCCGCTCGCATGGCCGCACCGCCTCCTTCGCTACACAGACCGAGGGTGAGGCGTCGCCCGAGGTGCTGGCGCTGCGAAGCACAGTGCAGCTGCTCCTCGGCGACAAGTCGAGCCTGACGGCTCGCCTGAACGAGCTCGAGACGCGCCTCGAGGAGCGAGTAGCGGAGGCGCAGAAGGCAAAAGAGGAGGCTACAGCGCAGGTGGATCAGGCCCAAAGACGCTTGAAAGAGGGCTTCGCGTTGCAGCGAGAGGCTGAGGGCCGCGAGCGAGCTCTGGTACGTCGCAGCAATCTCACGCTCCAGCGCAACGCTGATGTCCTCTCTCTTGGCGTCTTAAGCAAGATCAGCTGAAGAGTGCCAGCAGCGAGCTCTCTGCGGCTCAGGAGCGTCTCGCAGCAGGCCAGGCCTCAGCGTTCAGCGACGCCGCAGCAGCCCGGCAGCGCGCTGACGCCGCTGAGGCCGCCCTTGGCACGCTGCGAGCCTCGAGCGAGGCCCTGGCGCGCGAGAAGACGCAGCTGGAGGAAGCACGCAGCGCCAGCGAGTCGGAGCTGCGCTCCCTCCAGGACTCGCAGCGAGAGCGTGACAGCAAGGCGCAGGCAGAGTTGGCGGACGTGCGCAAGCAAATCGAGGAGCAGCGTGAGCAGCTGGCTTCTGACGCTGCGAGCGCTCGCCAGGCTCTCGAAGCGGCTCAAGCCGAGGCGCAGAGACTCAAAGGCGAGGCTTCGCAGAGCGCTTCTGCGCACGAGACTCGCCTTGCAGCGCTTCAGGCAGAGCTCAGCGAGTCGAAAGCGGCTGCAGGGCGCCGTGCAGAGGAGCTGGCTGCCGAGGCTAAGCAGGCTCGCGAGACATTGGCTGTCGCAGAGGCAAAGGCCGCGAGACTCAAGTCGGAGGCGTCAAGCAGCGACTCAGCGCACGAAGCGAGCCTCGCGGCGCTCCGCGCAGAGCTCAGCGGCGCGAAGCAAGCTCAGGATCGACAAGCCGAGCAATTGAGCACAGCGCAGCAGGCTCTCGAGTCTGCCAAGGGCGAGCTGGACACACTGCGATCCACTGCCTCCGAGAGCTCCTCTGCAGGCGCCGCGCGCCTCGAGGCACTGCAGCGCGAGCTTGCCGATGCCAAGAAGGCCACCGACGCTCAGCGGCTGCAGCTCGACTCTGCAAAGGAGGAGCTGCAGAGCGCACGCGCCGAGATGGAGTCGCTCCGGTCGACTTCTGCCGAAAGCTCCTCTGCGGACCAGAAGCGCCTCGCGGCGCTGCAGGCCGACTTCGACTCTGCCAGCGAAGCACACAAGGCGGCCAGTGCCCAGCACGAGAAGAGCCTGGCTGAGGTCCGAAGCTCCCGAGAAGCGCTGGAAGCTCGTCTTCAAGAAGCGCAGGCGCAGCATGCTACCGCGCTCGAGCAGGCTCAGACTGAGAGCGCAGCTTCCCTGGATGCACTGCGGGCCGAGCATGGCGAGGCGCTTTCAAGGTCGCAGGAGGAGCAGACGGCGCGCGAGCGGCAAACGCAAGAAGCCCACGCTGCGGCTCTGCTCGCCGCCGAGTCGCAGGCTCTTGGCTCGGGCGACGAGGCGCTGCAGGCTGCGCGTGCGGCGCATGCCAAGGAGCTCGAGGTGCGGGAGAAAGCTCACGCCTCGGCACTTCAAAGTGCTCGCGATAAGACAGCCTCGATCAAGGAGACGCACGCTGCCGAGCTGTCCAGTCGCGAAGCCGCTCATGCCAAGGACCTCCAGACTAGACTCGACTTGGCTGCTGACTCTCATCGTTCGGCTCTCGACTCTGCCAAGCAAGAGGCAGAGGCCCTGCTGGCGAAGACGCGCAGCGAGCACGTCGCGGCCCTGGCGGCCGCTGAGAAGACGCGGGCTTCAGAGCAGGCAGAACTCAAGCAGGCGCATGCCTCGTCGACGACCGCGCTCGAGAAGCAGCTTGCGAATGCGCGGGGCAGCCACGAGCAGGAGCTCAAGTCACTCCGAGGCAATCTCGACGCCAGCACCGCTCGTGCCAGCAAGGCGGAGGAGTCGGCGCAGAGCATCCGAGCCTCCGGCGAAGCACAGGCAAAGAAGCTCAGTGCCGAGCTCGACGCCGCGCAGAAAAAGGCCGACGACATCTCCGGACGGCTCGCTGCACTCGAGAGAGAGAAGACGGCGGCTGCAGCCACTGCAGCTGCGTCGCTCAGGTCCGCCCAGGAGGAGCGTGATGAGCTGCGTGCCGACATTCAGACCTTGCGCGAGTCGCTCAGCGAGGCGGACGCAGAGAAGCGCAAGGTCGATGAGCGGCTCAAGGCGGCTGATCAGCGCCTCAAAGACCGTACCGCTGCCCTTGAGAAGCAGGTCACGCAGACGAAAGAGGAGCTGCGTGGTGCCAAGGAGTCGGCTGCGAGCGAGTCGAAGCGGCACGTCGAGGAGCTCGACAAGGCACGGTCGTCGCACGCGGACGAGCTCAAGAGCGAGAGGGAGAAGGCTGCAGCTGCGCACTCCGCGCACTCCAGCGCTGCCTCGACGCTCGAGGAGAAGCTGCGCGCACTCGATGCCTCGCTGGCCGAGAGCCGCTCGGCTCACACCAGCGCCGAAGAACGAGCGTCTGGGCTCACTGCCAGCTTGTCGGCGCTGCAGTCGGAGCGCGACTCGCTGCACGAGGCGAGAGACGCGGCGACGGCACAAGTCGAGAAGCACGAAGGCTCGCTCAAGGAGGCTGCTCAGCGCGAGGATGCCTTGCAAATCGAGTTGAGCACCGTCCGCACACGCGGCGAGGGGCTTTCGGCCTCCTTGTCTCAGGCTCGAGACGAGCTCGACAGCATCAAGGGCGAGCTGCAGCAAGTGTCGACGAAGCGCGACGAGCTGTCTGCTTCGCTCGAGAGCGTCGAGGGCGCGCGTGACGGCCTCAACATCAAGCTCAAGCGCACGGAACGGCGAGCAGAGGGCCTGGAGTCTGAGCTTGCCGCCGCAAACACGGCGCGCGAAGAGCAGGACAGGCTGCTCGAGGCCGAGAAGCAGTCGCATTCGCAGGCGCGCGAACTTGCAGAACGGAACGCAGGCGAGCGGGATGAGCTGCGCACGCAGCTTGAGCAAGAAAGTGCACAGCTTCGCGACACTCGAGCGCGCGCCGAGGCACTGCAGGCAGAGCGCGATGGCCTCGCAAATGACTTGCGCTCGTCGCGCTCACTCCACGAGGAGGAGCAGAAGCGGGCCGAGACGCTCGACCGCGACTTGCAAGACACACGAAAAGCGCTCGACGAGCAGAAGTCATCCACATCGGCACGCGAAGCAGAGCTCGAGGACGCCCGGACACGTGGCGTCGACCTCGAGTCTCGGCTGGCGCAACTGAGCAAGGAGCACGAGGAACGCGTTGAGAAGCTCACTGCCGATCTCGAGTCTTCTTCTTCAGCGCGAGACGGCCACGCAAGGCGCGTCGAGGAGCTCACTGCATCGCTGCAGACGTCCGAGGCCGCCGTCGCGCAGCTGCGCGAGGACACGAGCGCAGGTGCCGTTCGCGAGCGCGAGCTTGCTGCTTCCCTGACGGACGCCAAGGAGCGTATCGCATCCGTCGAGAAGGAGCGCGACGGCGGGCAAGCCAGCATTGCCGAGCTGAGAGCCGCCGTCGACGCTGCGGATGCGAAGGCTGTCGAGCTCAATCGGAGCATCTCAGACCTGCGCGCCGAGCTCTCGTCGAGCGAACAGCGGCACGCTGCCGGGCAGACGCGCATCAGCGAGCTGGAGCGTGCCGGCGAAGAAGCGGCTGTTGCTGCTGCCGCCGCGGCCGCATCTATTGCTGCACTGGAAAAGAGCGGCGCCAAGGACCGCCGCGCCGTCATTGAGGCCAAGTCGACGGGCAAGGCCCATGCCAAGCGCGCCGACGAGGCGGAAAGCACGGTCAAGAGCCTGCGGGAGGAGCTAGCCACAACGAGCGCGACGCTAGTCGAGCGCGAAACCGACTTGTCCGCTTCCCGAGACGCCCTCGCTGTCAAGAGCCAGGAGCTCGAGACGGCGCTTTCGGAGGCGGCAGCTAGCCGCAACACGGCCGAGGCTCGTCAGGCAGAACTCGAAGGCAGCCTCAGCAAGACGAGCGACGAGCTGCGCACCATGACAGCTGCTCGCAACGGCCTCTCCGACGAGCTGGACTCGATCAAGTCCGACCTCAGCTCGACGCGTGCAGAGCTGCACTCCGTCACTGCGGCGCGCGATGGGCTCTCTGCCGACCTCACCTCCGCCCGAGCCGACATCGATGGGCTCTCTGCCGACCTCACCTCCGCCCGATCCGACATCGAAGGGCACGTCAGACGCAGCAAAGGGCTGGAGGACGACCTGGCCTCTGCACGAGAGCATCTCGAGAGCGAGAAGACAGAGCATGCCGCTCGCCGCGACGCCCACGCCGCGACAGATGCCGAGCTCAGCTTGGCGCGCACCGAGCTCGAGGCTCGAGCTGCTACGATCGCTTCGCACATTGCGGCGCACGACTCGACGAGTGCGGCGCTGAACCGCCTGCGAGGGGAGCATGTTGAGCTTGAACGACGTCTCGAGTCGACGCAGACGGAGCTGCGCGAGGCTGTGCAAAAGGACCAGGACCAACGAGAGCAGGCTAGGCTGGCAGAGGCGGCGTTGCAGAGCCGTCTCTCTGCTGCCGAGGCTGCGACGAAGGACGTTCAGGCCAAGGCGGATCGCGACGTTCAGGCTTTGGAAGACGACCTGGCCAGCACTCGAAGCAGCGCTGAATCGGCTCAGCGAGACTCAGACTCGCAGCTCGAGAAGCTGCGCTCCGACATTGCAGAGGCCGAGTCGAGTGCCCGAGACGCTGCTGCTCGAGCAGCGGACGCGCTCGACGCCTTGCGACGGGAGATGGAGGCAGGCCAGGCTGCAGCGGCGCGGCTCGCCGAGGAGGCCGCTGCTGCTTCCGCCGCTGCTCTCGCGTCTGCACGGCTCGAGGCCCGTCAGCAAGCCGACGCCGCCGCGGCCGAGCTGTCGGCCAGCCGCGCTGCGGCCGAAAGGGACGGCGCTGCAGCGGCCGAGCGGCTCGACGAGGCCGAGCGGGTGCGTGTGGAGCTGGAAGAGCAGGTCGATGAGCTGCGCGACGAGCTGTCGGACGTCAGAGAGGCGTCCGAGGCCGAGGCGAGGCGGCTTCGAGCAGAACTGGAAGACACCACGTCGCGCGCCTCGACACAGCTCGAGGAGGCTCAGGCTGCCGCTGCAAGTGCGGCCGACGAGGCACGTCGGCGCATCAAGAGCGAGCAAGAGGGCCATGCGACGACGCGCAAGAGCCTGCAAGAGGCGCACAAGCGCGCCGAGGAGACGATCTTCAGCACCGCCGACCAGCTGCGCGCGCTGCGAGGCGACCTGGAGCAGACGGAGCAGCGCGCCAGTGCGGCCGAGGCGCGCGTCGACGAGCTGGAAGAGGCGCTCGGCAGCGCGCGCACGGCGGACAACAAGACGCTCTTTGACCAGGCCTTTGTGGACGGCCTGGTGCAGCAGCACGAGCTGGACATGTCGGCGACGCGCAGCGCCATCCGCAAGCTCGAGGCGGGCGTGTACGAGGAGACGGACCGCGCCAACCGCGCGCTGCGCCGCGTCGCCGAGCTGCAAGAGGGCCTCTTTGCCGCTGGGCTCGAGGCGCCGCCGCCCGTCGCCTCGTGGATGCGGCAAGCGCCCTTGCCGCGCGAGCCGGCAGCCGCATCGAGCGTGGCCTCGTCACTGGCGAGCGAACGCGCTCCGCAGCTGCACAACGTGCCGCGCATGCAAGTCGTCGCTGCGCCGCCCGTGGTCGATGATGAGGATCAGTCGGACGAGCTCGGCTCCTCAACGCCGGCACTCAGTCTCTCGCCGCCGCCGAGAGGTCCGGCACGCGGCGGAGCGAGCAACGACGGCGGCGGCAGCCGTGCCTCGACGCCCGCCGCATCGGACGGCGCCACAAGCGCGGCGCCGTCGGCTGCAGCCTCTGTCAGTGAGGCGCCAGAGGAGCGCGACGGCGCAGAGAAGGCGGCGGCGCTGAGCGATGCGCGGCGCAAGGCCCTGCTCAAGGCTGCACGCAAGAGCCGCGAGGCTCGAGGCTGAGTCAGCCCCACGTCAGCCGAGCCGCAGGAATGCGCTGCGCGCAAGGTCTCCAGCACGTCCTCTCTCGCTGCTGGCTCGTTCACATCCTTCTCCTCCATTCCACTCCTTGCACCTCTGCCTCTTTCGCTTGCATGCCTGCCCCTCTATGCATGCGCCTCAAGTCTGTACTTTAGCTCCGTGAGATGACATAGACGCGACTTTGATCGTTGGTTGTAGGCTACACGAGCAGGCGCGCCGTGCATAATGCGCCTGCGGTGGACGGATGGGATGCAAGGGAACAGACCAGGCGCTGGCGGTAGTCCAGGCTCGCCCTCTAGCGCGCAAACGTGACCTTGAGCCGCTCGCCCGCGCCAAACTCGTGGCCATTGAGCGCGTCCTTTGCGACGGCGCTCGAGGCCGAGTCGGCAAACTCTGCGAATGCAACGGGCCGCCCTGGGATGAGACGCACGTCGGTGAAGCCTGCGTATCTGTGTGCAAGAAGCCGCAAGGGGCAAAAGGTGGTCAGCCTGACGTCGCGCGAGCACAGGGAACACTTGCGGCAGCCCCATCGGCGCAGCTCGAAGGCAAGGACGTACCCTTGGAACAGCTTCTCCAGATCCTCGCGCCCCACATTGCCCGGCACGTTCTGCAGGAAGAGAATGGGGTTCGGCGGCAGATATTCGTCTGGCATCTGCGGCTCCTGGCGCTTGCTTGCCGCCGGCACGGGCACGGCGGCTGCGGCCTCTGCGCCCTCTTCGCCGCCCTCTGCCGCGGCCTTTGCAGCGGCCTTGGCGGCGAGCACCTTTGCGAACATCTTGCGCCGCAGCGGGTTGTTGCGCCGCGTCTTGCGCTTCTGCTCCAGCCGCGCGGCCTTGTGTGCGGCGACTTGCGGCGTGTCGACGCCGCCGGCTTCGTCGGCGACGACGGCGTCGGAGCGCGAACGGGCGTAGTCGAGTTGCTGTGTTTTAGAGGCGCAAGCGCAAGGCCCGCGTCAGTATTGAGGGAACGTCGAGGGGCAAGACAAGCTCGCGCAGATGGGACTGGCCGAATACATTGCTGTGTGCGATGCAAACTGCGTGGCCGGGCCGCGAGATGGGAGAGAAGCTTCCCTCGCGTGGGCTTGCCCGAGCTCCGAAAGCCACCTCTCTCCCTACATCCCACCACTGCCTCCTCAAGGGCCTCTCTCTCCCTTCATCCCAGCCCTGCCTGCCTCAAGCACCTCTATCTTCCTCGTCCCACCCCTGAACCTCGCTCCCTGCACTTCAGACGCGCTCCACTCACCATGGGCTTGCCATACAGCGGGAAGCCGGCGACTTCGGCCTTTGCCTTGGTCGCCGCGTCCTGCTCCTTGAAGGCGACGAAGGCCTGGCCACGCATGCGCACGTTGCGGTGTGCCGTGACGGAGAGCACCTCTCCATACGTGCCAAACAGGCCGAGCAGGCTCTGCTTGAGCACGTCGAGCTTGACCTTCTGGTTCAGGTTGGTAAGGTAGAGGGTGCGGTTGGCGGCGCGTGCGTCGTCGGCAGAGGAGGCGTCGCCTGCGGGCTTGGCGTCGGCGGAGGAGGCAGGGCCCGCAGCGCCCTCGGCCTTGACGGCGGCATCGGCGCCAGACTCGGCCTTGACGGCAGAGGTGGAGGCGTCGGCCATGAGGGAGTCGGCGGCAGACATGGCTGGCCGGAAGCGGGTGGAGCGGGAGAGGAAGATGGCCGGTGCGGAGGCAGCACGACGTGGTCGAGCTGGCTCTGGCAGGGCGCGAGAGCGACGCCCGCGCCGCGCCTGGCGCGTCGAGGGGCAAGTAGGCGTGGGCGCACGCCGCTGCTCCACTTGCTACGCTACGTCTCTCTCTCTCTCCACCACAACCCTCCAACGCAGCCGCACGCCGCTGCTTCCAACTGCCTTCACACACAACACTCCTCCCTCTTCGCACGCCAGCGCGGCTCTCGGCATCATGGGTGGCGGGTGCGTGTGCCGATGCGACTGCCTCCTCTCTTGATCCGCGCACTGACACTTGGCGCCCGCGCAGCGATCTCAACATGAAGAAGTCGTGGCATCCCCTGCTGCACACCAACCGCGAGAAGGTGTGGAAGCAGGAAAAGGCCGCGCTTGAGGAGCGGCGCAAGGTCGAGGAGCTGCGCCGCGAGCGCGACCAGGAGCGCGAGATGCAGGAGCTGCAGCGCATCCAGGAGGCGGCGGGAGGCAAGAAGCGCAGCGAGAAGCTCGAGTGGATGTATGCCACGCCGGCGACGGGCGCAGGTCCGAGCGCCAACGAGCTCGAGGACTACCTGCTGGGCAAGAAGCGCATCGACAAGCTGCTGCAGCAGGACGAGACGGCAAAGGTGAGTCTGCTGCGCCGCCTTCAGGCCGCCTGTGCGGCAGCTAGCTGACGAGCCATCGTTCCGATGCCAGGTCTCGGCAAGCGACACCACCGGCCCCATCGCGCAGCAAAACGCCAATACGGCGCGCGACCTGGCGGCAAAGGTGCGCCAGGATCCGATGATGGCCATCAAGGCGCAAGAAGCGGCGGCGTATCAGGCGCTGCTGAAGGATCCGGCGCGCCTCAAGGCACTGAGAGCACAGCGCGAGAGGGAGCAAGGCGGCGGCAAGGAAGAGACAAAGGAGGAGAGAAGACGGAGAAAGGAGGAGAAGAGGAGAAGACGGGAGGAGGAGAAGTATGGCTCTTCCTCTTCGCGCCCTCGCGAGGGTGCATCGTCGTCGCGCCATGACGACCGCAGCGAGCGCAACGAACGACACTCGTACTCACGCCGAGACGACTACGAATCCGAGCGCGATCGCCACGCGCGTCGTAGCGGCGACAGCGAGCGTGGCGAGTCCACGTCGCGCCGGCGCGACTCGCGCGAGTACTCTCCTTCGCGCACCGCCCGTCGCTCGCCGTCGCCCGCGCGCTATCGCAGCGAGGAGCGCCAACGAGAGCGCTCGCCTGCACGTCGGCACTACAATGATGAACGCGAGCTTTCTCGACACTCTCCGCCCCCTCGTCGCCACGACGACGAGCGCCGCGCTGCGCCGCCGCCGCCGCCGCGCGAGGGGCGCGAGGAGCGCTACGCCGGCAATAGCAGCAGTGGCTATGCTGCGCACGGCGGCGGCCACAACAACGGCTACCACAATGGTGGCCGCGCTGCTGCCTACGCTCCTCGCGGCGGCGGCGCACACGTCGAGCGTCGGGCCTACGTCGCGCCGGCGCCTGCAACCCGTGTACAAGACAGCGCCGCCGAGCGCGAGGCCAAACTGGCCGCCATGGCGTCGAACGCGACGGCGCTGTCGGCGGAGCGCAGTGCCTACCTGGCGCGCGTCGAGGCCGAAGAGTCGGCCGAGGCGGCGCACGAAGAGGCGCTGCGCGCCAAGCTGGCGGCGCAGCGAGGCAAGAGCGGCGAGGGCAAGGGCAGCTTCTTGATGGCGCAGCAGCGCAGGACCTTTGGCGTCGACGGCGAGGCGGATCTGGGAGAGAGGATGAAGAGAGGCAGAGAGGGACTGCAGCGCATGGCGGCGGACTAGGCAGCGAGCAGAGAGACCCTCAAGCATGGCGAGGGAAAGGGAGGAAAAGGAGTGGGGAGGGGGGAGCAATGTCACACGTGTCTAGCGCATCTCTCTGTCCCGAGCGAGTGTGCAGTCTGAGTCTCGATGGGTTGGGTGAGTGCTGTGTCATTTCGCTGTGCGACGTGTCGCTTTTGGGGGGCTGGCTTGCGCACGATGGTGCGTGGGCGATATCTAAGTGCGTCTATGATGCGAAGGAGGGCGGCATGGATGAGAGGGGTATGAGATGGGTCGATGCGAGGTGAAGCTGGCGCACAGAGAGGCAAAATGGGGGCAATGGAGGGACGGTGCTCAAGGCTGCACAGCAAAGCTGCTCCGTTGCCGCAGCCGAGCTCCGTAGAGGAAGAAGAGCGGCGGCAGTGTGCAAAGCGCGCCTGCGATGCCCGTCAGGAGCAGCATGCTGGTGCGCACAGTGAGGGCTTCAAACATTGGCTGTTGGGTGGTGTGCAAGCACCGTCTTTGCGTCAGTATAGCTGGTGGCAAGCGTAGTGAGGCGGGTGGAATAGGGCGAAGGCAAAACGCACCTTGGCGAGCAGAGGCATGACGGCGCCCAGCACTCCGCGCAGTGCGGCGTTGGCAGCGAGTGCCGAGGCGGAATGGGCAGCGTACACATCGACGCTCCAGCAGAGAGAGGAGAGCAGGACCAGGAGAAATCCAGCGCCTGTCAGCAGCCCAGAGGCCAGCAGTGGGCTCGCGGCCGCCAGGCTAGCCGGCATCGGGGCAGTCGAGGAGGAGGAGGAGGGGATGCTGAGACTGAACAACAGCAGTCCGGCGGCGAACAGCACCGCGCCGAGCCCGAGGGGCAGCAGACGATCTTCGGGCACGCAAGCGCCGGCGCAGCGCCGACGATGCAGCCGCGGCACGAACAGCAGATGCAAGAGCACGCCGAGGAGCAGGCCGAGGAGCACGGGGAGCAGCGCGAGGCTGGATGCGAGAGGTGTCCAGTGCAAAGAGGCGAAGACCCGAGGATAGGCGCCGAAAAGGAGGTAGAGGAGCGAGAAGACGAAGGCGACGCTGGGGTTCGTGTGGATCGTCAGTCAGGGCTCGAAGGAAAGAAGAGGGCGGGACGTACTAGATCGAGAGGAGCGCCAACATCAATTCGCGCGCGAGCATGACGAGCGGCCTGGCCAGATAGACGTGTACGAGACGCTTGACGTCGGTGTGCACCAGATCGGCCGGCGCATGCCAAGCCCACTCGCCCGTTTCGATGCGCAAGGCGCATGCCTGGCGCTGCAGCAGTGTGCCTTCGTGCGTCTCGCGCAGTGCGCATGCCAGCAGCAGCGCCACGCCGGCGCCGAAGAGCACGCATGCCCAGCCTGCGCTGCGCCAGTCGGAGAGAGGGAGGAGAAGCGAGACGAACGTGGGCGAGACGATGGCGCCGGAAAAGGAAAAGAGGAGCATGCATGCCAAGGGCCACGTGGTGGCGTAGGCGCCGCCCCAAATGTCGACGAGCGAGGCGCCGCCTACAGAGACGGGCGTGGCTCCCAGCAGACCTTGCAGGAAGCGAGCTGCGAGAAAGACGGGGAAATGCAGCGTCGTGGTGGCCATAAGGCCAAAGAAGACACTGGCCAGCGGCGGCAGCACGAGCAGCTTCTTGCGGCCTTGCGTCTCGGACAGGGCAGAGCCAAGCACGGGACCGATGGCGAGACCCAAGATGAAGAGACTCGTGGCGAGAATGCCGACTTGGGGCGAGACGTGGAAGGAGGAAGAGAGGGAATGCAAGGCGAGGCCGCCGGAGAAGAGAGAGGAGCCGAACGAGGCGGGCACGGCGGCGAGACAGATGAGGAGCGATTGCAAGAGGCGTTGCGTGAGGGACCAGGTGGCGGGTGAGAGAAGAGAGGGCGGATGGAGCGTGTAGGAGGGCGTGACTTTCTCATCGATGACGGCGCCGTCTTTGGCGAGGTGCAGCTCGGAGGAGGCACGCCGAGACGTGGCGGTGGAAGAGGACGGTGTTGTCTGTGCACTGCACGAGGCCATCGCGGACGACATGCTGGTGTTGAGGTGAATCGAGGGAGAAGGATGATGAGCAAGTGCAGGGATGGGTGCAGAGCGAAGGAGGAAGAGTCAGAGTAGCGAGAGAGAGAGAGAGAGCAGGGCCCTGCCTATCTGGCCTCGTGCAGCAAGCTGACTCGCTGACCCTCTTCCTCTCTCTTCTCGACGATCGCTTCCAAGCCACATACCACATCTCTCTCCTCTCTCGTCTTTCACTCGCTGCGCGCCGTGTGCGCCGCATGCCCGTGCCTGCCAAACGTGCCTATCGCCCCCTGGGCGCGCCCATGGAGCTCGCGGCCGCGCTCAGCGCAGGCGGCACGGAGAGCGCACCGCGGCGCAGCGTCCGCCTCTTCCGCGCTTGCCGTCCAGCCAAGCCGTGTGTTCCCACGCGTTGAGGGCGAGACGGAAGTGCGGCCGCGGCGCAGGCGCGACTTCAAGAATCGACTTCAAGGCGCGCTAGATTTACGAATTTGACGAGAGGGAAGAGGAGGGAGCAAGAAGACGAAGCCGCCGCGGAGAGAGGTCCGTGAGCGGCGTGGCTCCATCTGCAGCATCGTGCGTCTGCCCTGCACCTGTGTCGCCGACGGAGGGCGTGACTCGACGGCTCCTGGCCGCTGCTTGCTGCATGCGCTGTGGCCGAAGCGCTTGTATGGCATGCCCTCATGGCTGCTCGCACTAGACTGGCGCTGCACGCAACGGCGTCGTCCATTTGCCTTGGCTGCTCGCAAAGGCGCAGCAAAAAGTTCCCGAGGCGACACTCTACAAAGCACCGCAATGCCACATCCACACCCCACACACGCGCGCGGAGGGGCCGAGAGGGAAACAGGGGACGTAGTAATGGTGAGATGAGAGGTAGCATAGAACAGGTCGTTTGGGGGGGGGGGGGCAACCGAGAGAGAGGGGGGGACGAGCGGGCGCGAAGCGACAACAGAGAGAGGGACAGGCGCGCGGTGGCACAGGTGGAGAGAGAGGGAGAGTGGAGGTGGGCAGCGAAGGGAGAGAGGGAGACGTGTGTGCAGTGAGGGAAGCGGACGCTTGAGCAGCGACGCGGCAGACGGCGGCGAGCAGTGCAGAGGCGCCGAAGCTTGCGGTGCCGCTCCTGCACCCTCACTCTTTCTCTTCCTTCCGTGCCGAGCATGCTGGAGGAGCGAGGCGAGAGAGACGTGAGCGATGCGTCGTAGATCCCCAGTGGAGGTGGTGAGGTGGATGATCGGGTATGCTGGAGGGAGTGTCGGGTGCCGAGGGCGAGGAGGGCGGACGCGGCAGAGCAAGCGCAGAGCGAGACAGCGCGAGAGGCTGCAAGCAGGGCCGGAGCAGCGCAGAGCACTGCGCAGAGCCGAGCGATTGATTCAGCTCCGCCCGCTCCTCCCTCAGCAGCTCCGCATCTCAAAGCGTCCGCATCGCCTCCATGCAGGAGCTCCCGCCGCGCTTGCTCCTCGTCCGCCCGCGTGGTGCTAGAGGGTCGCACCGTCTAGAGAATCGTGCAGTTGCGCTTCTTCTTGGCCTTGATCGGCGCCGGCGCAACTGGGAGGAGCAGTGCACGCATCAGCAGCTGCCAGTCGGCATGCAGCACCTCTGTCAGTCTCGCACGCGCCAACACTCACGGACGCTGCGAATGGCCTCGTCGAACACGCCCTTGAGGCCCTTCTGCGTCAGCGCCGAGCACTCGAGGTAGCGCGTGGCGCCAATGTCGCGCGCCATGGCGTTGCCCTGCGCATAGGCAATGGGCTGCATGCGCCGCTCGCGCAGCTTGCCAATCGTCTCGCCGTCCTCGCGCAGGTCCAGCTTGGTGCCGACGAGAATCATGGGGATGTTCGGCGCGTGATGGCAGATCTCCGGCCACCACTGCAGGCGCACGCGTGTGTGAGCCAAGGCTGGTGCGGCACGTGCGCGCCTGCATCTCGCCGCTTCCGGTACACACCTTTGTCCGCACGTTCTCAAACGATGGTGGGCTGACGAGCGAGAAGCAGATGAGGAAGACGTCGGTTTGTGGGTACGAGAGCGGGCGCAGACGGTCGTAGTCTTCTTGGCCGGCCGTGTCCCACAGGCCTGCAATGCCCGCGATGCCTCGGCGTCAGCACATGCGCCTGGAGCAAGGCTGCGCCCACGTCGCCGTGCTGCGTGCGTGGCGCGCGCACACTCACCGAGGCTGACGGGCTTGCCGTCGACCATGACGTTGGCCGAGTAGTTGTCAAAGACCGTCGGAATGTACTCTCCCTGTCGTCGCACGCGTCCCTCTTGCGTCAGCTCACGCACAGAGATGAAGCTCTTGCGGCGCACATGCCCACAGCGCAGCACAGCACACTCACCGGAAACGCATTTGTCGTGTAGCTGATCAGCAGACACGTCTTGCCCACTGCTCCGTCGCCCACGACGACACCTGAGAAAAGAAGCGCAGCGTCACACGCGCGAGGTCAGCTCCTGCAGGGGCGAGGGTGCCAGCAAGACGCACATTTGATAGTCTGCATGATTCTCGAGTCGGCGCCGCGAGACAGCAAGGGACTGTCGGATGCGCTGAGAACTGTGCGCGCGGCAGGGAGGCGATCAGCGATGCACCCCTCTCTTGTCAATTCCCCAACAGATCCTCGCGTCGACAGGGCAGAACGCGCAAGACCGTGACCCCGCCTTGCGCCCCAGCACAGGCTCCAGTAGCTCGGCCTTTCGCCGTCATGCAGCGCAAGCTTCTCTTGCGGCGCAGCGCGATGTTGGCAAAGACAAGAATGCGCACACACGCTCTCTCTCTCTCGCTCTCTCGCAGGTTGCCAGCAACCGGCTGCACGAGACGCTATACGCTGCGCTCGAACGCAGAGCATCAACCGTGCACAGGAGAGGCGCCCTGTGTGGCCTGTGTGCGCAGGATCGGACGTTCGCCGAGTGATGCGCTCCGCCTACGGGCGCAAGACATCGAACGTCGAGACAGCGTGGTCCAACAGAAGCCCACTCGACTGTGCGAGTGGGGCAGCGATCCAACGCATGCGCCCCAAGCGTCTGCCTTCTCGACCCTTCTGCCGCGGGCGGAGCAACAGCAAAGCTCGAGCGGGCGTCATGGCTCCGTGCTTTGCAGCTCAGACGGTCACTGCGAGAGAGCAAGCACAGCATTCTGGCTTTCTCCTCCTGCACCGCTGACATCGCGTCCCTCGCCAGAGAGCTGGTTGACGCGCGAAGAGGCACGTCGGAGTGCCTCGCCGCGCCCACGCCTCCGCAATGCAGCGCAATGCAAACAACAAGGCCGACGCTTGTCTCTTTCGTCTAGCCCTTGCGCAAGTCGCAACATCGCAGGGTGCGCCGCGAGGGCCAAAGCTGTAAAGCGCAACGCGGCAACTCAAGCGAGAGAAAGGAGACGGGGCGGGCCACCGCCGCGATGTGGATCCCTGAGCGACGGGTCCAAGAATGCGTGCACGAAGGACGCCCTCTCCGTCTCCATTCTCTGCACACGAGCCGCGAGACGATGACCCGCTCGCAGCCTGCGCCGCGCATAGAGGTGACGACTTTTCCTCAGCGCCGTACCGATCCTCCCCTCATTCTGGCCCCCAGATAACTGTCCGCTCGAGCGCCCCGTCTCCCCACCGCTGCCATCCACGCGCGCCTTGCTGCTGAGGGCAGAGGCCGCGGCGCCGCGCATACAGCGACACTTGACGACCTGACCATGCACTCTTCCCGACGCCTTGCCTCGCCTGTCCCAGCACCGCTCGCATCCGTCTCTCCTGCATCTGTATTCCTCGTGCGCCTGTGCGCCGGCATGGCCTGCGCCACGTCCAGCTCTGCACTCACATTTGAAGAGAGCTCGAGAAGGAGAGCCGAACACGCGCAAGAGGCAGCAGCAGAGATGCCTAGGTTCGCGCAAGAGGCAGAAGGGCAGAAGCGAGGGCCGCAGAGAGTGCGATGCGGTGCCGGGCAAAGAGAGAGGAGCAGACGACGCTGAGGGGCTGCTGCGCGTGCGAGGCGGCCTGCGAGCGGGCGAGCAGCGAGCGAGGCGGAGGCGCGCGAGGGCGACGAGGCGCGTATGTGCGGGTGGGCGCTACGACGAGAGTCTGAGAGCGAGGGCGAAGAGGACGAGCAGGAGCAGGTGCGAAGGCTTCGAGGTCGAGGTGGGAAAGACGAGACGAGCTCAACGCTCTGGAGCCGTGGCCGAGCGCGAGGCGCGTGCGGCGGTGAGGCCGCCGCCGCCTGCCGCACGCCAGACGGCTGCGCGCCAGACACGAGAGGCAAGGCACGCGGCCAGCACCACGCGGCAGCCGCAACCGCGTTGAGCTGCAGCGCGCAGCCGAGGAGGGAGCGCTGCCGCTGGCGTGCCTTGCCGCGCACCATCTCCCTTGCCGCTGCAGCTGCGCGCCCTGCAGCAGCAGCACCAGGCAGCCTCAGCCGGCGTGCCTCTCCGTTCAGGTTGCTGCTGCCCCTCGCAACACTCGCGCGGCTCCGCTCCGCAGGCCATGTGCCGCTGCCGCGGCACGGCTGCCAAAAGGGGTGCACGCCGCTCGCTGTTCGGCCGCCGTCCGCGTGCACCGCGGCCAGCGCTGAATTCTCACAGCACCGCAGCGCGCGACCAGCGGCTCAGCAGCTCGGCCTCAGGAGCCGGCTCACGCTCCGTCCGAGGCGTGCCCCTCCGCACGTCCGAGTCTGAGTCGCAGGCCGCAGGCCAAGCCGCTCGACGTACGAAACACAGCAGCGCAGAGGACAGCTGCACAGGTGCAGACCAAGCTGCAGGCTGGCAACTGAGGCGTGCCCTGCGCGCCTGCAAGACACCGGACGGCTGGGAAGCAGCGGCTCAAGCGACAGGGTGCAGGCAAGGCTCGCCGTTGTCTCTCGCGCTGCTTCCAGCACAGCAAAGCCCTGGACTCGATCGCCCAGGCAGGGCAAGCTGGGCAAAAGAGGCGGCTCAGGCTCTGCTGTATGACTGCGATGGATCGTCGTGGGCCGAGAGCGTGGGCTGTGCGGTACGCGCCTGCGGGAAAGCGTCCTGGCAGCTGCGCCCCACTTCGCCCTGTCTGACACCTAGAGTCTTGGCCAGAACAGCCTCTCTACCTCGAACGCTACAATATGAGCCGTACAAGTGCCTCGCATCAGATGCCAGTGGGCAGAGCGAAAGAGCAGCAGCGTCTCGCCTCGAGTGAGGCGCAGGCGGAGGTGGCAGCGCGTCACGTGCGCGCGGCGCGCCAGCACGGCCTCCGGCCGCGCGCGGCGCCTCTCCACGTCGGCCTCGCTCTCACCTCGCTCCGCTCCGCTCCTCCACCTCCTCCCACCCCCGGGGGCACTTGCACCATGCATCCCGCCCTCCTGATCCTGCTCTGCGTGCTCGCCACTTCGGCCCTGTCCGCCGTCGGGCACGCGCGCATCACCTCGCTCCTCTCCCCGCTCTATCTCCGCCTCTTCCACGCGCGCGCACACGCCCACTCGCGCGCGGCTCGCGCCGAGCTGCTGCGCCTGCGCCTCGAGCTGGGCGGCATCTCGGCTCAGGACGACTTTGCCAAGTGGGCCAAGATGCGGAGGAGGGTCGACAAGCTGCAGGTCGAGGCCGAGGCTGGCAGTGAGTTATGGCCCCCCGAGTGCTTGCAAGAGCTGCTGCGGGGCGGGTGTGGGCTGCGCTCCCCTGCCCAGCGCGCTCTCCGAGGTGGATGCGAACGCCACGGCCCAGACGCTGATTCTCTTGCGCCTCTTCCAGATGCATCCACACAAGCAGCACTCTCCTTTTTCGCGCTGCTCATCCGCGCCGGCATGCTGCTGGCCACGACGGTATTTCCCTTCGTGCTCACCACGTACTACGGCAAGACGCCCATGTTCTTCCTGCCGCCCGCGCGCCCCAACGCGCCAGAGGGCACGACGTGGCTGGGCCCGATTGGCTGGGTGCTGAGCCTGACGGCTGCGCCGGCTGGTGAGTGCGCAGAGAATGAGCCGGAAAAGAGAGAGTGTGGGAAAGCTGCGTGAGGATCGTAAAGCAAGGGTCAGGACAGATGCTTTGCAGACGCTCTCGCTGCGCTTGCATCGCCCCCTCCTTCTCCTCCGCCGACGTGACCAGAAGGCAGTCGATGCCCGCCGGAAGCTGACGCCTATCTCCACGTCCTCTCCCTCAGGCTCAGTGTCCGCAGGCGTCTGGAGCACCGTCGTGACGCGCGTGCTGGGCCTCGCCATTGGCGCCGTCGCGTCCGTGAGCAAGGACGTGCAGGGCGTGCGCAGCAAGCGCGCCGCTGCCCAGGCCGGCACTGCTGCGGGCGCGGAGGGCGAGAAGGCGGGGCAGAAGAGCGCAGTGGGAGCAGGAGGCAAGGGAGAGAAGAAGATGCAATAGACTCGCGAGCTCGATGCATTGGAGACAACGAGCGCAAGCTAGAGCTTTGACCTTTCGCCGCTCTTCGATTGAGAGGACGTGTGCGCGGGCCGTCGAGAGCGAGCGCAGAGCGCGCACGAAGGCACACGCCGCTGTGGCTGCGTGTGCATATTCAAATGCTTGCTTGTCATTGCTCCGCAGTCGCATCAGCTACAGCAAACCCTCCAGCGCCTTGATCGTTGCTTTCAGTCTCTCTCCCTCCTTCTCCTCCTCGTCTTCTCCCTCTCCGTCCTCCGAACCTGCACCGCCAAGCAGACTCAAGCTACACACCACCGGCCGTGTCTCGCCCCTTCGCACCAGCACCTGCGTCAGCGCAGAGGCGTACACATCCCACAGCGTCTGCTGAGCGGCGGAAGTGGGCGCGCCAAAGAGAAGCGCGAGCTGCGGAGCATCGGCACCGCTTGAAGTGTCGGCATCGACCACTGCATCGGCGGCGGCAGCGGCGGATGTGACGCCGCCCTCGACTTTCTCGAGATTCTCGGATGGGGCGCGAGATGCAGGTGCGGAGAGCTGGTCGGGATCGAACGTGGGCAGAATGTGAGGCGCACTTGAAGGCGTAGCTTGTACCTGAGTAAAGCAGAAGCATGAGTGCCATGAGGACTCGGGTAGCTGTGGCAGAATCCATTGCGCGAAAGCGGGGACAGCCGTCTCTGTGCTCTCTGTACGAAATGGGACGAGAGCGAGGCCGTACGCGTGCCTCTCTCCCCAGCAGGTTCTGTTTCGGCACGACGGTCTGCACAGCAGCGGAGACTCGGAAGGGGCAGAGAGAGAGCCAACAATCCATGTTCGACGCGAGGTGCGCGGCGCATGGTCAACCACGTGAGTGCAGACGCCGATCATGCGCCATTGCACAGCATCACGCTGCACAGCTCTCTGAGCACTCTTGCGAAATGGCTTGCCATTCTCTGTGCTTCTCCCTCTCCGCCTTGTCTTCTCGCATGCCTGAGCAAGACTCACCAAGCATCCAACGCCTCGCCTTTGCTTGCCGCGCCGCGACTGCTGCACGAGCACGAGCACCCTGTCGCTGAAGCGCATCAGCCGCACCTCGCCTTGCTCTTCATCAGCGCCGGAGCTGATGGGAGCAGAGGAGGTGGGCACGCCGTACGAGGCGGGCAGCGGCGTGAGGACGGGCAGTTGCGCCGAGACGGCCGTGGAGGCCGACGCCATGAGTGTCGCTGGTGTCACTGGCGCAGGGGTGGCAAAGAGAGTACGAGGAGACAGGTAGAGAAACTGATTTAGGTGAGGAGCTGCCGATGGGGAGAACGAGAGGCAGTGAAGCAGTGGAAGAAGAGGTGGAGAGGAGGGAAGAAAGGCTTGCTCGGCGCGGCGCGCGCACGGACATGCGGCAGCGCGTGCGCGCGTTTTTCGTGCGAGAGCCCTCCGCCGAACAGGCTCCCGTCTGCTGCTATTCCGATTGCTGCCCTGTCGCGATCGAAGGTTGAGGTGCAGCATAGCCTGCGGATCCTGAGCTGGAAAGGCAGGCTGCAGCTGTGCATTGCTGGAGGATGCAGGGCAGTGAGGGTGGGCTGGCCGTGAGCGGCGTGCGGGGCGCGTATCGCGGCGCCGCGGCGGCGCGCGCTTCGTGCCTTGCCAGCGCTGCTCTCCCGATCCAGACGCGAGAGCCGCGGGCATCAGCTTGCCTTCACTCCTCGTCTCCCCAAGCCACACAGCACCTCGCGCGCTCAGTGTCGCGCCTCGCGCCTCTCCTCGTCGTGATCGTCTGACTCCAAGGGCCACACTGCGCTTCGCGAGCGCTTGCTCCGTGCGCCAGCGAGAGATCCGCCCTGCGCCCTCCACCCCCCTGAGCGCTCCCGTCCGTGCACTCCGCGCGCCGTCATGTCGCGCGGCGACGACGTCGAGCAAGCCAAGGGCTCGAGCTCTTCGCAAGACGGCGTTGCCTTTCCTCGCAGCTCCTCGCCCACCTCGCACGGCGGCGAGCCCGGCGCTCGCCATGCCCGCACCCGCACCTCCTCCTCGGCGCGGCGTCGCTCGCTGCAGGCGCCCATCCTGGACCCGCACAGCTCGACGGGCGCCAGCGCTCAGAGCCCGCTGGCCAAGCTGGGCATCAAGGGAGACGGACTGATGCTCTTCGTCACGTGCTTTGCGAGTCTGGGAGTGCTGCTGTTTGGGTATGACCAGGTGCGTTCTGTTCTTTCCTCGCGACTTGCGAGGCGGGGCGCCCGAGGCAGGCATATGCGGAACTTGGACTTGAGCTGCTGCGATGCTCGAGAAGAGGCATGAGAGATGAAAGCGCGGAGCGTGAAGCAGCAGGAGAGAGGGTGAAGTCAGAGAACACTGTATCCAGCCCTCTTTCGTCGCAGCTGCGAGCGCGACAGGGCAGGCGCACGCCGCTTCTTTTGCGCCGGCCCGCATTGTTCATGGAGAGCAGAGCCGTCGCTCGACGTGCTGCTGCCCTCTCGCAGCCGCCTCACGTGCGCTCGTGCTCCATGCTCACGCCGACCCTCCACGCTGGGCAGGGCGTCATGTCCGGCATCATCACGGGTCCGTACTTCAAGTCCTACTTCGGTCATCCGACGTCGTACCAGATCGGCACTATGGTGGTGCGTCTCTTCGTCCCTCCTCACCCCTTGCTGCGCTGCTGGCTGGCTACTCACGCTTCGCGCAACTCAATGCACAGGCGATCCTGGAGGTAGGCGCCTTCATCACCTCGCTGGCCTGCGGCACGCTGGCCGACATTCTCGGGCGTAAGAAGCTGCTCTTTGTCGGCGCACTCGTGTTCTCGACGGGCGGCGCGATTCAGACCTTCACCACTGGCTACGGAAGCATGGTCATCGGACGCATTGTTGCCGGGTTTGGCGTGGGTGTGCTGAGGTGAGAGGATACTGGAGTGCAGAGCTGCGAGGACAGCGCTGATCAACCCCGCCTCTCAATCAGCATGATTGTGCCGACGTACCAGTCTGAGATCTCGCCCGCCGAGAACCGCGGTCGCTTGGTATGTTGCTGGCCCGGGCGGAGTTCAAGCCATGGCCGTGCGCATCTCACGTCGTCTCCTCTCACCCAGGCCTGCATCGAGTTCACCGGCAACATCGTCGGCTACTGTCTCTCTGTCTGGGTCGACTACGGCTGCTCCTTCCTCTCCGGCGACATTTCCTGGCGCCTGCCTCTCTCGCTCCAAGTCATCGTCGGCCTCATCCTCGCCTTTGGAAGCCTGCTGCTGCCCGAGAGCCCACGCTGGCTGCTCGACCACGATCGTGACGAAGAGGGCATGCGCGTGCTGGCCGATCTGCACGGCAGTGGTGATCCGACGGCGGAGCGCGCCGTGAGTCGCGGTCATGTCCCAAGGCGAGAAGACAGCGGCTGACCTTGCCCTTGTGCGCTTCAGAAACTCGAGTTCAGAGAGATCAAGGAGAACGTGCTCTTCATGCGCGAGCAGGGCGAGCGCAGCTACCGCGCCATGTGGAAGCGCTACCGGTGCGTGCGCAGCTCACGTCTCACGTCTCCACCCCTGACCCTCCTCTCCCTTGGCACAGCTACCGCACCCTCATTGCATGCTCCTCGCAGGCATGCGCGCAGCTGAACGGGATCAACTTGATTAGCTACTACGCCCCCCTCCTCTTCGAGGCTGCCGGATGGTTCGTCGTCGCTGCCTGCTGCTCGCCGACACCGCTGACATGGCACACAGGGTCGGGCGCGATGCGATTCTCATGACTGGCAGTAAGTCGCCGCCTGTAGCCTAGCGCCTAGCAAGTGCTCGCTCACGCTCTACATCTCCCGCAGTCAACGGCATCATCTACGTGCTCTCCACCATCCCGACGTGGTTCCTCATCGACCGCCTCGGCCGACGCGTCATCCTCATGAGCGGCGCGCTGATGTGCGCCCTCGCACTCTACGCCGTTGGCTTCTTCCTCTGGATAGACGCCAGCTACACGGCCAATGCCGTCGTGGGGTGCGTTGTGCCCTGTCCAAAGAGGCGCGTGCGGTGCAGGTGCTGATCCTGCGCTGCGCTGCATCAGGAGCGTCATCGTCTTCAACGGCTTCTTCGGCTACAGCTGGGGCCCTGTACGTTGCGTCTCGTGCCTCGAGGGACTGCGAGCTGATGCACGCTTCCTCTTCAGGTGCCGTGGATGTATCCCGCAGTGAGCTTGGCGCGGCGACAGTAGCACGCATGTGCGCGAGACGGCTGACGTCTTGCGCCTGTCCCTTCCTTGCAGGAGATCATGTCCGTGCTCCTGCTGATGCTGTGGCCCGCATGTCGCTCACTGACGTTGCTTTTCCCCCCACCCTCGCGTCTCCTGCTCTCTAGGCCGTGAGTGCTCATGGCATTGGCCGAATCAGCGCTGCTCACGTCCTGGCTGCATCCTCACAGACTCGCGTTCCGCGCAAAAGGCACGTCCTTGGCGACGGCCACAAATGTGAGCACGGCGCCTGTGCTCTTGCCCCTTGCCAGCCAGCTGACGCCAGGGACTTGCAGTGGGCCTTCAACTGTGATTGTTGCGGCTTGGCGAGGCGCCGCCGTCGACTCTCTATCTGACTCGCTTCTGCCCGCACAGACATCGTGGGCGAAGGCACTCCGGTGCTGCAAGACCTCATCAAATGTCCGTTCTTCGCCTGCGCTGCGGCCCGCCTCGAAGCACCAAATGCTGACGCTCCTCCTCCTCAAAGGGCGCCTGTACCCGCTGCACGGCACGTTCTGCCTCGGCTCCTTCGTTCTCGTCTACTACTGCTACCCCGAGACTATGGTGAGACGTTCGAGCCGATGCGCTGATCTTGGCTTTGCTGACGCTGAGTTGCAAAACAGGGCGTGCCACTAGAGGAGATCGACAGGCAAGTTGCCGCGCCTGCCATGCGCAGGTGGAATTCACGCTCACTGTCCACTCCTTGCAGTCTCTTTAATGACAAGCCAAGCTCGGTGCCCCAGGACGATTCAGACTCTTCCGGCGACGAAGAGGCAGCAGAGACACGTCCTCGCCGGCCGCTGCGGCGCTCCATCTCTTCGCATCCACGCTTCGAGGATGACTCGCTGCGTGCCGCGCGCAAAGCGGCACGCGCACACGAGCGCGAAGTGCGCCGTCAGCAGCGAGGCGGCATTGTGCCGGGCTTTGTGAAGCGGCTGTTTGGACCTTCCACTCGACCGCAAGTCGGAGAGTATGAGCCAGTGAGAGGCGATGAGCATTAGGTGCGTCTCTCGCAGCGATGACAAGCTGACGAGCCGCTAGCTGACTCGGAGCTGCGTACTCAGGGACTCGGGCCCCCCATTCCACTTGCGCGCGTAGGCCACTCTGCGCCGCATGCGTCTTCCTCCTCTACCTCTCGCGCCGCCGCGCCTCGTCGTTCGCACGACTCTCTCGCCTCGCCCTTTGCTTCGTCCGACGATGAGCAGTCGCAGTTCATCCTCGGCGACGCAGATGACGCTGGTGCGAGCACGACAGACGAGCATCAGCCTGCTGCTGCAAGGCGCGCTGAAGCAAGCGACGAGGAAGAGGAAGACGACATGGAATGGGAGGGCCGAAGGGTGCCGCTGCTCTCTCCGCCTGCAGCTTGAAGACTCTCGCTCATCGAAGCGAGACCGACACACACACACACCACATACAGACTTGAAGCGAATCGTACATCCGTCACCGACCTCCACGCCTCCGCGGCCACACGTGATGCTCTTGCTCGCTGCTTGCGGATACGTCGGCTCTCGACTGTCTGCGGCCGCGGCGCCGGCCCCGCGAGAAGGTCGGGGCTTGACGGCTGTGTGCACGCTGGCAGCACACTCGCATATCGCATATCGCGTTGCGCTGCATGGGCTGGTGCGGGGTAGGAAGGCGGCATTGGGCCGATGCGCGAGCGATGCTGCGAGAGGTGCCAGGGGGCGGGCGCGCCGGCGTTTGGCTGGTGCTGCACGCCCACACGCTTGTGCCTGCGCTCAGAGGTGGCGGTGCACCTCGCAGCTGCACATCTGCACGCTTTGGGCGGCTATTCGGCAGCTCGAGCTTGCGAGGGCTGCATGCTGAGGCGGGCGAGAAGACGGCGGCTCTGGGGCAGGGAGCGGTCAGGATAGACGCAAGCGCGGGTCTGGTCTCGCTGGCGCGGAGCTGAGGCGAGAGAGACGCGCTAGCGCCGGACATACGCGCGCGGCTGCGCTTCTAGCGCCGCCTTGGCATGCGCGAAGGAGTGCAAAGTGGTGCTGCGGCGAGCGGGCCTCCGCTCCGCCTTTATCGTCGGCAGCAGATGAGCCAGCGACAGCGCTCAGAAGGGCGCTGGCCGCGGATCTCTCATGCCCCTCCAGCGCCGAGATGCGCGTCGGCGCCCTCGCCGAGCCCACGCGCGCGCACGCGACACCCGCCGGCTACGGCGTGATGTCCGGCTTGGCGCCGCCGTCCTGCTGGCACCTTGCCGCCGGACGAAGCTCCGGACATCCGTCCGCGAGACGACGCTAACCCAGCGCCGTGCTTGCCGCTCCCTCGGCATGCGAAGACTCTCGGCTGCGACTGCTGGCGCGCGGAAGTAGCGCCACCGGCGGCTGCACCTCGGCTGCCCCCTGGGGCACCCCGCGACTCTCCGCGGCACACGACACCTCGCGCGTGACGCCTCCGCGCACCTCTGGCAAGCTCGGGCACAGGCATCGCTCCAGCTCGCGCACCATGCTTCGAGGATGCATGCTGCTGCACGTGTGTTGGCCTTAGCGTGCCTCAGCAGCATGCGGATGCAGCGATGCCCCTGACGCTCGCCAGCGCCGCAGCCGCACAGACCCTGACTCAGTCCGAGTGCCGCCTCTGACGACGCGGCGCCCAGTCATGCCCCTCTTTCGCCGCCACAGCGCCCTCACCGTGGCCTCTATCAGCAAGCCGCTGATACGTACGGCGCCAGCTTGAGCAGTGGCGAGCATCGGCTATATAAGGCAGCTGTCCATCGGGCTGTCCAACGCTGCAAGCTCCTCACCTCCCATCCTCCCTTCCTCGTTCGCCATGCAGCTTCTCACGCTCCTCACCGCCGCCGCCTCGCTCTCCAGCGTCGTCGTTGCCGCTCCGCAGCCGCAGCGCAGTGGTCCTCCGGGTCCCCCTGGCCCTTCGGCGCCTCCCGGACGGCCTGATCCCCGTCCTCGTGGCCCCATGGTCAAGTCCAAGCAGCTGCGCGACCGCGTCACGCAGCGCGACCTCGCCGCGGGCGCCGACCGCCTGCAGGCCTTTGCCACCGCCAACGGCGGACAGCGCGCGTTTGGCGGCCCGGGCCACATGGGTGAGCAGGCTGCTTGACTGCTGCTACCTGTGCTGGCACTGACGGGTCGTGATCAGCTACGGTCGACTACATCTTCAACGAGCTGACCGCTACGGGCGCCTACGGTGTGTGCAGCTCAGACTTTGCAAGCATGCCGCAGGCGCTGATATCATATTGTGCAGACGTCTACAAGCAGGAGCTCACGGCCACGTACAGCGAGGTTGCCGCCAAGGTGCTCATCGACGGGCAGAATCAGGAGGCCGGCACCTTCACGTACGCGCCGGGCGGACAGGTCACCGAGACGATCGTCGCCGTGGACAACCAGGGCTGCACAGCCGCCGACTTTCCGGCGTCGGTGAGCGGCAAGGTGGCGCTCGTGCTGCGCGGCTCGTGCGACTTCGGGACGAAAGTGGCTCTGGGTGGCGCCGCAGGTGCCGCGGCCGTGCTTATCCGCAACAACCAAGCTGGCGCCATTTCTGGCACGCTTGGTAGCAAGGAGCGCCCCGAGGGCCCCTACGTGCCTGCTGCTTCGCTCAGCAAGGACCGTGGAGATGCACTGGCCGCTCGCATTGCCGGAGGCGAGAGCGTGACGGCCGTCATCGACAATGTTGGCATCACCGAGGACCGGTGCGTGCACCTTCCTCCTCCTATGGATCTTCCTCGACTGACGCAGTGCCTGCCGCAGCGTGACGTACAACGTCATTGCCGAGACGAAGGTCGGCAACAAGGACGAGGTGTTCAGTGAGTTCTCATCGTCGGCGGCGGCCCTCGGCATGCCGCAGCAACGCGTGGAGACTCACACACGCGTCCCCCTCTCTCAGTGGTCGGCAGCCACACCGACTCCGTCGCCGCTGGCCCTGGAATCAATGACAATGGTAGCGGCACTATCTCGATTCTCACGATCGCCAAGCAGCTGGCACGCTTCCAGGTCAAGAACGCCGTCCGCTTTGGCTTCTGGACGGCCGAGGAGTTCGGCCTGCTGGGCAGCAAGTTCTACGTCGCCAACCTGTCTGAGGCGGAGCGCAACCGCATCCGCATGGTGAGCGTTGCAGAGTGCCATCGACTCTCTGAGCTGCGGCTGACGTTTGAACATGCGAACAGTACGGCAACTTCGACATGGTCGCGTCGCCCAACTACGTGTGAGTACCCCTTGACGCGCGGCCGTCTCGGGCGTCTCGAAGGCTGACGCTTTCGGCTTGCAGGCTCGGCGTGTACGACGGCAGCGGGCGCAAGTTCGGCAACAGCGGCCCGGCCGGCTCTGCCGAAGGCCAGGAGCTGCTGGAGGGCTTCTTCAAGGACCAGGGCCTCAACAGCGTGCCGAGCGACTTCACGGGCCGCAGCGACTACGGGTGAGTGCCCACCTCGCACGTCACCAGACGCACAGCTGCCCTCTCTGACACATACTGTGCGCCAGACCGTTCCTGGACGCCAACATCGCCGCCATGGGTCTCTTCACGGGCGCCGAGGTGGCCAAGACGGCCGAGGAGGCGGCGCTCTTCGGCGGCACTGCCGGGCAGAGCTACGACCTCAACTACCACAAGGCGGGTGATGATCGTTCTAACGTGAATTTCGAGGCGTGGGTGCCCAACGCCAAGGCCATTGCCCACGCCGTCGCCACGTACGCGCAGAGCTTCGACAGCCTGCCCGCAAAGGAGCCCGCGCTGGCGCCGGCGCCGTCGGGCGCGCGCATGGCGCTCGACCAGAACACGCCAAAGGAGGAGCACCGCTGCGGCGAGACGCTCGTCCTCGCATAAAATGCCCCCGGCATCCGGATCAGTGCCCCCCAAGAGCCTGCCCCGCATGATGTACTACTGCTCGCTGCTGCTGCGAATGCATGCTTGAGCTGCATCTTGTCGCGGGCGCGCGACGCGCGTTAGACGCACGCCGCGCCGCGCGCGACGCCTCTTGCAATGCAACACCACAGCCCCCGAGAACCACGTCAATCTGTGAGCGCGAGGGTTGATGTGGGTGCGAAGCATAGATTGAGGAGGCGCAAAAGAGGGCCTCCTGGAGGAGGGGGCGGGGGAAAGAGGTCGCACAAGGCCGCACAGCGGACGTGCGGCCGCCTTCACTTCTTGGCCCAGCCGCCGAGCTCGGTGTAGAGTGGACATGTGGCATTACAGCTGACTTTGTGAAGGAAGGATGAGATGGGGGGGGGGGGGGGGTCGATCTAGCAGGCGCAGAGCGAAATGGAGTAGAGTCCGCAGAGGAGAGGAAGCCGTCAGGGACGAAGCGGCGCGGTTGGGGCATCGCCGCGTCGCCCCCACTCGACTTTTTCACTCTTACTTGGCCCAGCCGCCCAGCTCGACGGCAAAGGCCGACGAGAGGCGCACAAACTGCACGAGGTGCTCAAAGGAGAAGCCCTCGATGTCCATGCGGTCGTTGCCCGTGTGGATGTTCTGCGAAAAGAGGTGAATGGGGGCTGCAAGCAAGTGGATGCCTCGGGGGCGCCACAACGCACCTTGAGGTTCGAGTCCTCAAACGTAGCCTCGATGGCAAAGGCACTCGGCACGCCGATCTTGGTCTGGGTCGCGAATGCGGGGGAGAAGTCACGTCAGCGACGGGCGGCGAGAAGCTAGAGCCGTGCGGGGCGCCTGGGCCGCAACGCACCCAGCTGGCATGGTCGCTACCTGCGTAGCCCAGCTTGGTGGGCACAGGCGGAATCTCGAGGCTGCGGAGGTTGTACGACGCACGACGGGGGGGGGGGGGGGGAGGGGGAAGGCGGGGCGTCAGGGCTGAGCGACAGACGTGCAAGAAGAGGCAGGCCTGGCGGGCGTTGCTACGCACTACTCCTCCACGAGCGTCTGGATAAACGCCGTCAGCGGCTCCGAGACAAAGTCCGCGACCATGCCGACGCGCGGCTGCGTGCCGGGCTTGACAAAGGCCGTCACTGCGCGCGCGCGCAAAGGCAGGTCAGCGCCAGTTGATGAGGAGGGGGGCATGAAGAAAGGGCGCGCGGCAAAACGCACTGTCTTGCTGAAGCATCGCTCCGACGGTCACGCCCTTGCTGGCGTAAGACTGCGCCACTTCCTGGCTGCCCAGCAGACCACCCTCCTCCGCGCTGTACCTACAGTCGAAGGGGCAAGCGCGTTTGCGTCAGCCATCTGCCTCGTTTGAGCCCACACAAGCTCGCGCACCAGTGAAACTCGACGTTCCTCTCCGGCTGCCAGCCCTGGCTCAGCAGCGCACGCAGCGCCTCGATGAGCGTCACGGAACCACTGCCGTCGTCGTCGGCGCCCGGCGCGGCGAAGAAGGGAATCATGTGCGTGCTGTCGAGATGCGCGCCGAGGATGGCCGCGACCTCGGGCGACTTCTTCTGCGCGGCAGCAGCGGCCTGGCTGCCCGCGACGCGCAGAATGATGCTGTTCTGTCCCCAGGAATGCGTGTGTTCGCGCACGCTGATGTAGTCGACATCCTCCACCTGCGGAGCGTGGTTCAGCCCAGCCCCCTGTCATTCCTCCCCCCCGCCCTGGCGCTCTGTGCCACGACGCACCACGCTCTTGATGAGCTTCAACAGCCACTGCTGGCTCTGCTTGCCCGTCTCGCTCTTGTAGTATCGGTTGCGGAAGCTCGTGAAGCCCTCGAGATTCTTGCGTGGGCCTGCCTCGGTGACGTTTGCAAACACGGCCTGGAGCTGCTTGCTGTGCGAGGGCTTCGAGGGGAAGCTGGGCTCCGAGGAGAGGACGGAGAGGGAGTCGCCTTCGGCTGCCTGCCAGGAGGAAGGAGAGAGAGAGGGAAAGGAGGTGATGTCCATGAAGTTGGTCGAGGAGTAGCGAAGCAGGTGCTTGCCCAACTCGGTCGTCCAGTACGCAGGAGCATCGTCGCTCGCTGAGAAGGAGAGAGAGAGACACGCGAGAGGGTGAGCATTTGATTGGCGCAACAGGACAGAGGTGACACGTTCTGCAAGATCCTCTCGCTGCCCTCGCCTTGTGGTCGTGCCCAGATCGCTTGCGCAAGTGGAGGCTGCGTCGGCAACAGCGCTTGCCACTCTTCCCTTCGAAGTGGCCAAGCCGCTGCCCGCTGCTGGCCGTTGTTCCAGCCAGCACCCTCTTCTCTCTCTGTGCCCCACCATGCAGCGCGAGCCTCGCACCTCGGCCCGCCCTCTCGCTCCTCTGCCTCTCCCTCGTGCGCGTGTGCAGCCTCGGCCACAAACTCACTCTGCACCAATCTGGCCTCTGCCAGTCCGGCGCCCGGCAGCTTTGCCAGCGGCTGTAGCACGCGCATGTAGAGCGGCATGGTGGGCAGCGACGTGGCCGCCGGCTGCTGCTGCTGGGCGGCATGAGGAGCGGCGAGTGGAGCGGCAATCGGCGCGCCAGGAGGAGCCGCAGCCAGCGGCACGCCGAGCGGCAGCTGCGCGGGCGCGGGCGCGGCGAGTGCGCCGCTGCTGGCGCTGAGCAGCAGGGGCAGGAGGGCGAGAGGGAGCTGCATCGTGGTGTTGTGTGTTTGCTGATGCGCCTTGCCCGAGGGTGTGTGAGGGGGCAGAGGAGCGAGAACGGCGGCGCGAGACCAGGGGGCAACGACACGCGGCGTGCGTGGCCCCACCGCGGCACAGCAGGCAACGGCCGCGGCCGCGCGCATGCGCATGCGCCCCTCGCCCCCCGCACTCCGCCATCGCGCGCGCAGCGCTGACGCACCGCCGGCCAGTGGAGGCGTGCGGGGCGTGCACGTGACGCGCCTGTGCATAGCGCTCGAGCCCCGCCTGGTGCTGGCGGCTGCCTTGCAAGCCAGGCAGGAAGGGCGCAAGAGCTCGAGCAAGTCGATGCTTGCATGCTGCATAGCCCGATCTCAGCGGCGTGGGCGCGAGGCGCAGCCGCCTGTCCTGCGAGGCGCGGCTGGCGGTGAGGCGCCTCTGAGCTCCGGCGTCCGGCGGTGCCGCGCGCGGTGCTGCACAGCCACGGGCCGCCTCGAGGCGGTGCGGCGCGCGGCGGCGGCGGCGTGGGCGCCGTTCAACCTCTCGAGCGCGCTAGCCTGGTGGGGCAACTGACGGACGAAGCGCGCCTCTCTTTCGCTCCACCACATCGCACCGCCCACACCTCCAGCACGCCTGCTGCCTCACGCTCAAGCCCTCGGCTCAGTCGCTCAGTACAAAGTCTCGCGCCTGCGCTCTGCGCCGTCACTCTCTCTCTCTCTCTCCCTCTCCCTCTCGCTCGAGAAGCCGCAGCGCCCACGTGGCGCGCAGGCCGCCGGTCATGGGTGCCAAACGTCGGCACAATGTCGAGTTCTGCTGCTGCGTGAGTAGCAATTCGAAGCGGCTGTAATGGCAAGGGCAAGAGCAGGAGCATGTGGGAGGGTTAGTGAGGTGCGCGTATCGATTGGCCGCGCACAGAGGTCGCATGTGCAGTGCAGCAGGCTCGCCTAGCATCCCGCAAGGGCGGCCGTCAAAGAGCTGGGGCGCCGCCGAGACGGCGCCCGGCACGTATTGCCTCGAGGATGGCAGAGGCAGAGAGAGAGAGAGAGAGAAACGAGCGTGTTTGTGCTTTTCGGAGTGCAGCCACATCAAGCGCATGCTTGGCTCCCTCTTGTATGCCCCCTTTCGCTCACGCCTTCTTCCCCATTGCCAGGCCATTCCCCTCGTCAATTTCGGCGCCTACGCCATCCTGCTGGAGCACTCGCTGATCGCCCTCTGCGTCATCGTGCTCGCTCTCGCGCCGCCGTCCATCGTCGCCGCCACCGGCTCGCTGCCTGCTTCCTGGCCCAAGATCGTCGTGGCGCTGCTCGGCGTGCTCGTGCTGCTCCTGCAGCCGCTCGGCGTCATTGGCGTCGCGCGGCAAAAGCCGACGCTCTACCGCGTCTACCTGCGTCTCACCACCGTGGCGGTGCTCGTCACGCTCGGCGTCTGCGCCGCCTTCTTTGCCGTGGCAGCGGCGCGGCATGCAGCGGCGCTGCAGAGCTGCATCGCCACGTATGCCAACACGCCGCAGGGCGACGGCAGCGGCGTGTCCTTCTCGCAGACGAGCAGTGCGCTCGACTCGCTCGGCGATACGATTTGCAACATCTGGCTCTGGGTGCAGGTGGGCACGATGGGCCTGGTGCTGCTGCTCGTGGGCATGACACAGGTGAGGCTCCCTTCCTCCCCCACCGCCGCCGCCGCCGCCGCCGCCGCCGCCGCAGCTGCCGCCGTTCTCTCCCCCTCTCGAGACACACCGACTGACGCAGCAAGAGCACACAGCTATACATGCTCTTCCTCCAGCGCGCCTACGGCGCACAGCAGCGCGCCGCATACACGGCGCACAAGTCGCTGCATGCCGGCGGCGTCGACATTCCCCTCTCGGCGCGCCTCGACGACGAGCGCGGTGGCGTCGATGGCGACAACCACGCCTGGAGTGCGGCGCCCGCACAGCGCCTCTCCGACGAGTACGCATACCCTGCCGCTGCGCCGTATGGCGCCGCGGCGCGAGGAGGAGGAGCACATGCAGACAAGGCGTACAATCCGACGGGCGCGACGTACGCCGACGAAGAGCCCTACCAGCCGTATCCGCAGCCGCAGTACGCACATGCGGCGTATGACTCGTACGGCGGCGCGGGACACCATGCAGCGGCGCCAGGCGCGGCAGGGTATGAGTCGTATGGCGCGCAGGACGCGTACCGTCGCTGAGCGCCCCCCCCCCCCCCCCCCACCCCCCCCCCCCCCCCCCCCCCCCCCCCCCCCCCCCCCCTCCCCCCTCGTGCGATCGCCACCGTCTCCTTTGTCCCTCTCTGCCTCGCGCTCGCCTGTCAATTGTGCATCGTCTCTGCTCACTCCACACTTGCCTCTCACTTGATCGCGCGCGAGAGGAGGGAGAGGGGACATCATGTGTTTCATTCAATCGAAAGAGAGCGAGGGGGAGGGACATGAGGTGTGTGTGAAGCGGAGAGGGGAGTTGCAGCGAAGAGCGAGGCGCTTCACGCAAGCCCGACCAGTCCTGCGTTCAGATGGGGTATCACAGCGTTGCGCGCGCGTGTGCAGACAGGGAGGGGGGGAGGGGAGAGAGACGCAGCTAGACCGGCGACGATGCGGAGGAGGCAACCATCTTAGTTGGTGTGCTTGTCGACCGTCTTGGCAGCCGAGTCCTTGACTGTGGGCGGCAAGCAATCAAGCGTCAGCACTGCGCAGACCTTGGGGGGACACCGTGCTGCCCGATGCTCGTCGCGTGTCCGGAGCTACTCACGCTCGCCCGCCTTGTTCTCGGCGCTCTTGGCCGCGTCCTGCGCCGCGTTCTGGTTGCCGCCGATGATGTGGCTGGCCTGGTCGACGACGTTGGAGGCGAGCGTGCGCGCCTGGTCGACGTAGCCCTGCTGGCCGGTGGAGTGCGGCTTGATGTACCTGCTCGTGCGCGTGCGTCAGCGGCTGTGTATGTGCGCGCGCGCTGGCGGCGACCACGGCAGAGGTGGGCCCACGACGGCCAACTCACTCGTTGGACTGGTTCAGCACGTTGGCAGCCAGCTCGCGGCCCTGCTGGATGAGGTTGGCGAGCGACTTCTGTGCCTCCTCTGCCGTCTGCTGGCCGTCCTTGCTGGCCTGGTCCGTGACCTTGGAGGCCTCCTTGCTGGCGTTGTCGGCGGCCTTGGAGGCCTGGCAAGTGGCGTCAGCGGCTGCAAGGTGCATGGCGAAACACACGCGCAGGCTCACCTGGTTCGACGCATCCTGGCCGTGCGACTTTGCGCCGCCGAGCACGGCCTGGGCCTGCTGCTGGGCGTAGGCAGCCGTGTCCGCGATCTGCGTGCAGCCGCTGCGGGTCAGCAAATGTGTACGTCAAGCTCTGCAGGCGAGACACGCACCAGCTGCGTGGCCTGCTCGACGAGGCTCTTTGCCGTCTCCTGCGCGTTGGCGGCGGCGTCCTTGGCGGCGTCGGCGGCCTCGCCGCCCTTCTTCTGCGCCTGGTTGCCCAGGTCCTGCGCCTGCTTCGACGCGTCGTTGCCGGCGTTGCTGGCCGACTGCAGAGGGAAAGAGAGTGAGCCAGGTGCGATGGATGGAGCAGGCCGTGCCCGCCATGCGCCCGCACGCCGCCGCGCCCGCCGCGCCGCCACGCACCTTGGACGCCGAGTTGGCCTGGTCCTTGACGGAGTTGCCGATGTTCTGTGCGGTGTTGGACATGGTGGAGTGGGGTTTGGGTGAGGGGTGGATGTGTGTGTGTGTGTGAGGGTGGTGTGGTGGAGAAGGAAGGGGCGGCGAGCGGCGAGCGTCGAACTTGAGCCCGGCCCGCGCGCGCGCGCGCCAGGCGGCACCGTGCGCTGCGCTGCGAGCACGCACGCGAAGGAAGCTCGCCGTGCCGCGGCCGTGGCCGGCCAGGCCCGCTGCCGCCCAACACCCGCTGACCCGAGACTGCGCAGCTGCCTCGGCGCCCCAGCACCAGAGCGGCAGCGTCAGCGCCACGACCCTCTCGCGGCGGTGCGAACAAACGCAGCGCCGGCCGCCCGAGCCTGCGAACGATCGACGGCCGTGCGCAGCATTCACAGGCTTGCGCAGCAACGCAAAGCGAGCGCGAAGCACGCCGGTGCGCCGCGAGTCGCCCTTGACGTGCGCGGCGTGAACCATGACGTCGTCGTGCCGGCAGACGCGCCCCTACACACTCGTGGCGTGCCCGTGCGAAGAAGCCGAGGCGCGCGCGTCTCCTCCACAGCGGCAGCACAGCCTCCGCAGCGCACCCTTGGAGTAAGAGTTTCGCTCGTCGCACCGCCGCCGCCACGCTCAGCACAGAGGCAGCGCTTGCGCTCTCGGCTCGCCCTTCTCGAGACGTCCCTCGTCGAGCGAAGGCTCCACGCTTCGCCCGCACGCCGACGCTCGGGCGCGCTGTTGAAAGGCGCTGGGGCGGCTGTTCCCACCGCTCTGGCTCGTGCCATGGGAACATGTCGCGCCCGCGAGCGACGACGAGCCGCCTCAGGTGCGCACTCGACTGCTCTGTGGCGGCAAAGACCCCATCGCACTCTGACTCGTCGCCGCGGCCACGGGTCGCTGCTGCCGCGCCAGCAGCAGAGCTGCGCAGCTGTTCGGGCCGGGCGCGAGAGGCAAAGAAGAGGAGGCCACTCTGTGCAGGGTCGATGACCGCCGCCAAGGCGCCCCTCCAGCACGCAAAGCGGCAGCGGCAGCGGCCCGTCTGGACAACTAGACTCGGCGGGCGGAACGCGGGCTGCCTGTGGCTCGCAGCAGCTGCAGGCTCACAGCAGCAGCCGTGACTGCGCAGGCACAACGATGCAGGCACGGCCCCTTTGCGCAAGGCACGACGTGCCATGCAGCCTTGCAGGTGCAGGCGGGCCCATGGCCGAGCTCGTCTTGGGGCTGCGGCGGCGTGCGACGTGCGGTGGAGAGGGTGGGCCGGCATCCGGGCCGGGCAGCCCGATGCCGCTCCGAGCGCCGCACCCCCAACGCAGCGCCGCCGCGCCGTCGCCGTCGCCCGATGCCGGGCGATGGGCCCGGCCGCAGCCTCGCGCTGCGCCTGCCGCTGGGCATGCGAGACGCTGCGGCGCCGTCTGTTGTCTGTGCGCCTTGCGCTGTCTGCTGTCAGAGGAGCGCTTGTGGCTGGGCGTGCAAGACACATGGAGGCGCAACCTGCAGCTGCGACGCGTGACGGCGGCTGCCAGCATCTAGCATCAGGGCCTCTTCCTTGAGCGGACACGCACACGCAGCGACGGCGCGGCGACGTCTGCGCCAGCTCGGCGTCCTTTGTCGCGAGGCGGAGGCTGTGAGCGCTGCATGCTGCATTCTGCATCTGCCCGAGTCGAGTCAGCGCAGAGCTGAGCAGCCAGACAGAGGCCCCCGAGTAGAGCAGGCCCCATCACGTGCCTCAGGACGCCGGCGAGCACAGCCACACGCTGCGCTGCGCGCGCCCCCGCACGGGCTCTCCGTGCCGTGCCGTCGGCGTCGCGGCGCACAGCGAGACAATCACTCTTACTTGCCTCGTCCCACCTCCACTCTCTCTCCCTCTCACCACGACCGCCACCCTCACCACACCACACCACAATGGCCTATCCACCGCCCTCGGGTCCTCCTCCCGCCTATGCGCCTCTCGGCAACTCGTCTGCTCCCTCGCAGCAGGCGCCCTACCCGCCCGCCTCCGCTGGCTACCCGCCTCCGCAGGGCAGCTACGCTCCGCCAGCAGGGCCGCCGCCGGGACATCAGCCCTACGGCGGCGCGCCGGGCGTCGCCAGTCCCGCCGCCTACGCACCGACCAATCCCTTTGCCGACTCGGCGCGGCCTGCCTCCAGCGCGCCCGTGCGGCAGAACAGTGTGCTGCAGCACGCCGGCCGTCTCTCGGGCGCCGGCGCAGCAGGCGCAGCGGGGGGCATGAACGAGAATGCCCTCGAGCTGCTGCGCTCGTTTGATACGATCTTGCTGGTGGACGACTCCTCCAGCATGCAGGTGACGGAACAGCCGGACGGCACACATGGGCCGAGCAGGTGGGAACAGGCACGAGACGCGCTTGCGGGGCTCGTGGAGATTGCGATGCGGTACGATGAAGTGAGTAGGCGCCGCCGATTGGCGTGGTGAGAGAGATGAAGGGAAGCGATTGGCGGGGAGACCGAACGAGGCCAGGCCGTGCCTCCCGAGCTTGGCGACCCGCAGCTCGTAGCTCGTGGCAGCGTTCGGGAAGGCCAAGGGGCACTTGCGCATGCAAAGGGCACTCTACTGTGCCACACCTGTGCTCTCACCTGCCGCACTCTCCAGGACGGCGTAGACATCCATTTCCTCAACGCCTCGGCCTCTCTCCAAGGGTGTCGCGATCCGGCCGAAGTGCGCGCGCTGTTCGACCGGCTCGAGCCCAACGGCATCACGCCTACCGGCGACGCCCTCGAGCTGCTGTTGCTGCAGTACATGGATGACATCGAGACGGCGCGCACAAAGAAGAGCGCGATGCCAAAGAAGCGAAACGTGAGTGCCGAGTCCCATCCTTGCCCCTCTTCTAGTCGTCTCCCTCGCTTTTCTCATCGACAACTCGACGACGACGACACGTGCTGACACCACGCTGGTCATGGCGGCCGAGCAGTACCTCGTCATCACAGACGGCCGAGCCACAGACGATCCCGAAAGCGTAATCGTCGCCACTGCGCGTCGGCTCGACTCGCTCAATGCGCCATTGACGCAGATCGGCATCCAATTGTACGTCTTCACGAGCCTTTGCGCCACGTGGCGTCAGCTTGAAGACTGCACCGACTGACGAGATTGCGGTTCAACGCACCACACACGCAGCGTTCAAGTTGGAGCCGATGCGGAGGCAAAGGCGGCATTGGAGGAACGTGAGTTGGCCTTGCTGCGCGGCCTACTTCACTCTGCTTTCGCCTTTCTGACTGTCCGCCTCGCCTCACTGCGCTCGCAACGACGACGACACAGTCGACGACGCCCTCTCCAACGTCCACCGTGTGCGCGACATCGTCGACACTGTGCCGTATGCCGGTGAGTTGCGCGCGCGCGCTGGCTCGTCTCTTTTGAGTCTCTCTATTGCGCTCGCACAGTCCCGCTCATTCAGAAATCTGGGGCGCGCGTTGGACACAGGCATGGCTCTCGACGCAGATCTGCTCGTCAAGGCACTGCTCGGCGGCATCAACCGCAGACTGGACCGGCAGAAGTGAACGAGTGCAGGCACGCCCGGCGTTGCGGGTCACCGTCTCCTGCGAAAGCATGCATCCCGCCCTCTGCGAGCGGCCGGCGAAGAGCCCCTTCTTCGCCGTGGCTCCCGTGCAGCTCTCTCCGGCGTGGGCTCCCGTGCAGCTCTCTCCAGCGTTGCTCCTGTGCAGCTGCTCTCCAGCGCACTCTTGCGGTCTCTCAGACTCTCGCTCCCCGCCTTCTCTCGTTCTCTCGATCTCGCATCCCTTGCGTTCTGCCCTCGTCCCCGCTCAATGTCGATCCGCTACGCCCTCGTCTCCATGCATGAGCGTGCCTGTCTCTCTGATCCTCCGACTCTTCTCCCCTCGCATGTCCGCATTCCCTCCCTCCCGTGCGCCCTCTATTCGCGCGCTCTCCCCTTGTCTGACCCTCTGACCCTCCTCACGTGCATCGTTGTTGCGGGAGCGCAACGTGTCATTGATGAGCGAATGGCAACGCAGCAAGCACCCCGCTTTTGCTCAGTGCCCGACGGGCTCGGGAGCATGGTTGGCGAAGCGACGAGTGACAGCGCAGTGAAGCGCTCACTCGTCGTCCTCGGCGTCGACGCCAGCGACGTTGAAGAACTGCGAATGAACGCGGGCATCAGCATCGCTATGCGGGAGGGGGGGGGGGGACGACGCCTTCTGGTTGCTTGCTCCGGCACCCACCTTGATCTCAAAGCCCTGCTTGCTCGTGGCGACGACGCGGAGCCAGTCGCGCAGCTGGCTGCGCTTGAGGTACTTCTTCGTGAGGTACTTGAGGTAGCGCTTGGAGAAGGGAATCGTGGTGCTGATCCAGATCTTGCCCTCGCCCTCGCGCGTCACGCTCACCGCCTCGCCCAGCTGGCCCGCCTTGCCCTCGACCTTGATGCGGTCGTGCAGGAACTTTTCGAAGCCGGCGGCATCGAGAATGCCGTCCGAGGCGGGGCCGGAGAAGTCGACGAAGCTGCGAGGTGGCAAGGAAGGGAGGGGGGGTCAGCCCGCTGCAGAGCGCCTCCTCCTCCCTCCGCCTCGTCCCTCTCGTCGCCCAGCCCACACTGGATACGCACTACTTCTCGCCGACCTTCTTGGCAGAGGACTTGGCAGCAGGCATGTTGATGAGAGAGAGAGGGGGGGAAAAGGCCTACACGTGAGATGTGCAAAGCAGGATGGGGGTGGGTGGACAGGAGGAGCGGCTACGGCGGCGCGCAAGAGCTGGCCGGGCCGCAGCGTCAGAGTCGCGACCGCTTCTCAGGCGCGCTGTGCGCGCGCAGAGGAATTTCTCGGCCGAGGCGCCCGTCGTGCGCGGCGCTGGGCCGCCGGCAGCGGGAGTCGCACGCGCCGAGCGCCGCGGGCCCTCTCTGCCCTGCTCGGCGCCTGCTTTGGCCGCCGTGGCAAGGCAAAGCAGGGTGATTGCGAACGAGTGCGAAAGAGAGGGTGGACGAGGCGGACATCGTGACGGGCATGCCGTGCTGGCGTGCCAGTCTGTGTGAGTGCGCAGGCGGCGCCGGCGGCGCGCGCGCGGTGAGCTGCAGCCTCGGCCTGGGCGGCCGCCGCCGCCGCCGCCGCGGCGCCTCGTGACCGTCGCGGTGGATGAGAATTCTTGGGCCGGCGGCGGCGCCGAGCTTCATCGCGCGAAGCTCTCGCCGACTCTCTGGCTCTGGCTCCATCTCCACCCTCTCCACCCCCCCTCTCGCCCTCCTCGCCAGCCATGTCGGTGCTCGGCGAATCCTCCGCGGCAGCTGCAGCAGGCGCCGGCCCGTCGGTGGCCGCGGCGCAGGCGAGCCAGAGCTTCATGATTGCCCCCGACCACTCGGGCGCCAAGCTCAACACGGCCGACTGGCCGCTGCTGCTCAAGAACTACGTGAGTGCCGCAGCGAGAGGCAAGGAGAGAGCGGGAGAGTGGGCTGTGGGGGCGTGAGGCGCGCTGGCCGGCGTCGATGAGCTGTGGGGGCGTGAGGCGCGCTGGCCGGCGTCGATGAGCTGTGGGGACGTGAGGCGCGCTGGCCGGCGTCGACTCGCGGCAATGTCGCGGGCGCGCCTCGGCTGGGGGCATCGCCGCTGGCCTGCACAGCGCGGGCGAGCCGTGCACTTGCTTCCCGACCGGCCAGCCTGCACGCTGCGGCGCAGACGCCGCTCGCTGCTCGACGCACGCTGCACGCCAGGCAAGCCGCTGCTTCTCGCCCGCACGGCGTCTTGCACGGCCCAAGTGTGCCGTGGGGGCATCTGCTGACGCCCGCGCCGCTCTCGCAGGACAAGCTGCTCGTGCGCTCCTCGCACTTCACGCCCATCCCGCACGGCTGCTCGCCGCTGAAGCGCGAGCTGGCGTCGTACATCAAGTCGGGCGTGATCAACCTGGACAAGCCGTCGAACCCGTCGTCGCACGAAGTCGTGGCGTGGATCCGGCGCATGCTGCGCGTCGAGAAGACGGGCCACTCGGGCACGCTCGACCCCAAGGTCACCGGCTGTCTCATCGTCTGCATCGACCGTGCCACGCGCCTCGTCAAGTCGCAGCAGGGCGCGGGCAAGGAGTACGTGGCCGTGCTGCGTCTGCACGATGCGCTGGCCGACGTCAAGACGCTGCCGCGCGCCCTCGAGACGCTCACCGGCGCCCTCTTCCAGCGCCCGCCGCTCATCAGTGCCGTCAAGCGCCAGCTGCGCATCCGCACCATCTACGAGGCCAAGCTGCTCGAGTTTGACAATGAGCGCCACCTCGCCGTCTTCTGGGTCTCGTGCGAGGCCGGCACGTACATCCGCACGCTCTGCGTGCACCTCGGCCTCCTGCTCGGCGTCGGCGGACACATGCAGGAGCTGCGCCGCGTGCGCTCCGGCGCACTCAGCGAGAACGACAACATCGTCACGATGCACGACTTGCTCGATGCGCAGTGGCTCTACGACAACCAGCGCGACGGTGAGTCGGCGCTCTGCAGTCTGGAGGAGCAGATGGGTCAAGGCAGAGCCGGCTTGTGGCTGCAGAGCGGCACACTTGGCAAAGCTTCTTGCATCTCGCTGGCCGCGTTGCAACACCCGTTGCACTGCTCCTGCCGCAGGGATACCCCCAATGCTGACTCGTCTCTCTCTCGTGCAGAGTCGTACCTCCGGCGCGTCATCCGCCCGCTCGAGTCGCTCCTTGTCGGCTACAAGCGCATCGTCGTCAAGGACACGGCGGTGAATGCCGTGTGCTACGGCGCCAAGGTGATGATTCCCGGCCTGCTGCGCTACGAGGCCAACATCGAGGTGGGCGAGGAGGTGGTCATCATGACGACCAAGGGCGAGGGCGTGGCGCTGGCCATTGCCCAAATGTCCACTGCCGACCTGGCCACCGTCGACCACGGCGTCGTGGCAAAGGTGAAGCGCTGCATCATGGAGCGCGACACGTACCCGCGGCGCTGGGGCCTGGGGCCCAAGGCCCTCGAGAAGAAGAAGATGGTCAAGGCGGGCACGCTGGACAAGCACGGCAAGGAGAACGACAAGACGCCAAAGACGTGGTCGGCCGCCTACGTCGACTACTCCAACGTCGACGAGGCCGCTCCTGCCGCTGCTGCTGCCGCGCCTGCTCCGGCACCCGCTGCGACGCCCGCGCCCGTGGCGCCAAGCACGCCGGCGCCGACGCTGAAGCGCAAGGCGGAGGACACGCCTGCGGGCGCGAGCGAGGCGGGCGGCGCCGCCAGGGAGGGCGAGACGGAGGAGGAGCGCAAGGCGCGCAAGGCGGCAAAGAAGGCAAAGAAGGTCGCGGCTGAGGCCGCGGCGGCGGGCAGCGCAGAGGCGCCGGCGAGCGAGAAGAAGAAGAAGGAGAAGAAGGCGAAGGAGTAATGAGCGTGCGGCGCTCGTTCGACCTCCCCCCACACACACACCATCATCACGTTCCCCGCTTTGCACCCTTCGCTCCTCTTGTACTCTATCTCCCGTCGCGACAATCTGACTGCCTTCACATCCAAGCAATGCGCGGGTGTGTGTGCTCGGTGACGTAGTGTATTTCGCATTGCCCTCCCCCCCCCTCTCTCTCCCAATCACGGCTGCGCGCTCAGCGCCGGCATGGCAGTTTCCCAAGCGTCGCCGTAGCCCTTTGGCGCGCCCGGCACGCCGACTCGAGTGCCCTCGCGGCGCACCAGCGTCCTAAAGAAGGGCGCGGGGCGATCGGCAATCTCGCGCGCGTCGGGCTCGGGCGTGTGGATGCGCACGCCTTCCTCGTCGTACTCGACGCCCGCGGCGCGCGTCGAGCGCCGCGACACTTGCTTCTTGAGGAGCCGATTGATAGTCTGAGAGAGGGGGGGGGGGCAGGAAAAGGCGGGGCGGAACATTCAGTAAAGGGCAGTTAGGCAAGCGAGCGAAGTCGCGCAAGAGCATGCGAGAAAGGGGAAGCAGAAATGGGGGAAGGGGGGGGGGGGGGAGGGCAACGAAGGAGCTCGAGCGAGAGAGAGAAAAAAGACGCACCTCAATCTTCTCGTCCTCGAGCTTCTTCTCCAGCTGGTTCTTGCGCCGGCGCGACATTTCCGACTTGCGCAGCGCCACCTCGACCTCCGACAGCTTGCGCTTGCGCGACTCGTCCTCTGCAATGCACCCACGGACGAGCGTCTCGTCAGCCTTTTCTTTTTGCCTGTAACTTTGCACCGCCCCCCCACAGAAGAAGGAAGGCAAGAAACGTACCCATCGGCAAGCTTAACAGTCCATCGCCCAGCGCACCTGCGCCAGTAGGCTCCACACTGCCCTCCTCGCCCTCCTCTCTGCGCGCCTTGGCCGCGAGGCGTGCCAGTTGCCTCGCCGTCTTGGGCGCGCCGCCATGCTGTGGCGCAGGCGTGCCGCTCTCGGAGCGCGCAGAGCCCGATTGTGACGAGTCCTCCGCTTCCGAAGAGGAGGCGGGCGTGGCGTCGTCGTCGGGAGGAGTGGGGGAACGCGCTGCTGCGGGGGGCGATGGCAAGAATGGAGATGTGTTGAGCGGGGGTTGCGCGAGCCCAATGCAAAGCGCGTAGGTGGAGTGAGGAGGGAGAGACAGGGCCCAACTTACTTTTGCGTCTCTTGGCACGAGCACTCGAGCCGGCAGCAGCCGCCGCCGCCTTCTTGGACTCAGCCTTGGCGGAAGCCGAAGTGCCCTTGCCGGGACTCAAGCGCAGGCGAATGCGCAGCGGCGTCTTCGTAGCCGCCTCCGCCGCCGACGCGGGCACTTTGCTCTTCTGCTGCCCTTGCTCTTCCTCCTCCTCCTCTGAGGCCGAGCCAAGCTCATCCTCCTCCACTTCACTTGCCTCGGCGTCCTCCTCGCCCGAGCCCTCGCCCGAGGCCGAGGCAGACGCCTCGGAGCCCGCATCTTCCTCCTGCTCCATGTCAAACGCCAGCTCCTCCTCGTCCTCGCTCACGTCGACGACGGCGCGCTTGGCCGCTGCTCTGCGTGGCGGTCTCGCCGCAGCCGCAGGAGTCGCCGGCGCCGGCGCCGGCGCGGGCTTGGGCTGAGCTGCGGCTCGTGTGCTTGCGCGCGACGTCGAGGCGGACGCAGAGGCGCCCGAGAGGCGAGAGCGGCGTGCAGGGCGCGCCGTCTTGGCCGCGCGCTGCGATGCTTGCGACTCCTCCTCGTCGGAGTCGAAGTCGGCGGCAGACTCCATCTCTCCATCCTCCTCCTCCTCCTCCTCCTCCTCTGACTCTTGCTCCTCCTCTTCGTCGTCCTCCTCGGCGTCGAGCCTCTCGGCGTCTGAGTCGCCGGCGCGCGCTGCAGCTGGCGAGGGCGGGGCGGAGAGGCCCGACGAGGCGCCGTCGTGCTCGTGCGGCGAGTGGGGCGAGGCGGAGCTGTCGGACGAGTCGGGCAGGAGAGAGGAGGACATGGTCTCTCGTGCAGACAGGCGGGGGGGGGGGGAGAGGTCGAGAGAAGGAAGCTCAGGGCATGGCTCGAGGTTGCATGTTGAGGCCAGGCGGTCCAAGCGCCTCCGCACAGCTCTCGCACGGCAAGGCCGCTGCAATACAACCTCGCAAGCCTCGCGAGTTCAAGCTTGAGCTTCACATCTCCCCCCCCCTCGCGTTGTATTTGGCGCTACGGATCTCCGGCGCGCGCTCGATTCAAATGCAAGCTGCACCCTGAGCGCGCTTCAAGCGCCGGCGCGGCGCGCGCTAAACTTTGGCGTGCGGCGTGGCGGTGACAGGAGCCAAGGCGCGATGCGATCGAACGACGTTGGCGCTGCTCCACCACACCACCACCACAAAGAACGCACCTCGCTCATCCTCCCTCACCTTCTCCTCTTCCGTCCGTCGCACGTCGCTCCCTTTACCACGCTCCTCACTCCTCGTCGTCTCGCTTTGGCGCGTCTGCGTCTCGGCGCCTCTTCTCCCCCTTGGTCTTGCGTCAGCCGCAGCCATGGCCTCCTCTCGCGCCTCTCGCGCGCCACGGACAGCCGCGCTGCTCCTCTCGCTCCTCGTCTCGCTGCTCGCCCTCGTCTCCGCACAGCGCGTGCCCACGCCCATCACCACCTCTGCCGCGGCCAACAACGGCAACAACAATGGCGGCAACGGCAACACGGCCTCTGCGGCACAGTCGAGCAGCGCGGCGCCCGCCGCCAGCAGTGCGGCGTCGTCGAGCATCTCCATTCCCCAAGGCGCCGCAGCCGGCGGCCTCACCGTCACCGATCCGGCGCAGACGGCCGATGCCTCGTACTACAAGATTGCCCAGGGCGTCGCCGTCACGTTTGGCTGGAACCTCACGTCGCTCGTCATCACGCCGACCAGCCTCACCGTCGCCGCCGTCAACTCGGCGCAGAGCAACACGGTGACGCTGGGCGTCGTGCCCGGCTCCGCCACGGCTATTACGTGGTCGCCGTGGGAGATCAACGAGGCGGCCGCTCGCAGCGGAGGCGTGGCGCTGGCGCAGGCGACGTACAGACTGCAGATCTACGACGAGAGAGGCCTCGGAGGCGCCACGAACCAGGCCGGCATCTTTAACCCAAACGAAAAGGTCCAGTTTGCACTGTATATCCCACAGCCTTATACGAGCCTCGCAGGTGAGTTGTTTTGCGCGCGCAAGCTTGGGCAAAAGGAGAGAGGCATGGAGGAGGGAGGGAGGGGGCAGAGAGAGAGAGAGAGAGAGCGAGTGAGCGAGAGAGGATGGGGCAAGGAGGAGCGGACAATGTTGAGGGGAAAGGCAGGGCAGCGGCTCGTCCGCGCGTTGGCAGTGGCACCAGGGTTCCCGAAGTGCCTTCCCGCCGTGGGCAGCGTAGGGAAGTCCAGTCGGGGGGCGCTGCGGTAGTCCTGTGCAGCGTGTGCTCTTGAGAGAGAGAGATGCTGGGCGTAGTGGGCGCGCTACGGAGGAGTGTGCGCGGATGGTGGGGGGGGACGTATAAAGCCCCGCTTGTGCCCTCTCTCGCCTGTTGATGCCCCCAAGCGGATTGAACGGCGGGGCGAGATGTGTGGGCACGCCCCTCGTGTGCCTGTCGGTCGAGGTCCATCTGGCGCCTCGCGTCTTTGTCCATTCAGACGCCACCTGGAACCTGAACTGACTCCTTCCCCTCTCCCCCCTTCCCCCTCCCTGTCTCGAAAAACACAGACGGATGGGTCTGTGCCTCATGCAACGCCGCCGCCTCGGCTCGCGCCGGGTCAGCGACAAGCCTCTCGCTCGCACTCGCAGGCCTCGTCGGCGCGCTGCTGCTTGGTGGCTGGGCATGACCGTGCGCGCGCTACCACTCCTCGTCAAGGCCGCAGCGCTCTCTGTATTCCAACCGGCCATACTTTCTTGTCTCCTCACGCACGCAGCACGTCTTTCCCTACCCCTCCCCTTCCCTTCCCTTCCCTTCCCTTTCTCTCCCTCTCTCTCACGACCTTCTCAAAAAGCTCACGGCTTGCCCACTCTCCTCACCTCGCGCCGGGTCTGTAAGCGCATGCTCGGGACCAAGGGGATGAGAGGAGAGAGAGAGAGAGCTTGAAAGTTTGACGAGGGCGCCACACGCTCGCTTTGGAGCGGAATGTGAGCCGGCGAGGGGGCTAGAAGTACAGGATTGTCGTAGAGCGCAAGGGAACGCATGCAGGGGAAGGGGAGGGGGAACAAGACGGGAGGGGGGAACGACGGAAGCAGAGCGTGGATGGAGTGGTGTGCTCAAGAAAGGGAGAGAGGGAGAGAGAGGCGCCCTTTACACCTCGAACAGCGTCGGCGGGTGATGCTAGTCGCGCAGAGAGAGAGAGAGAGAGAGAGAGAGAGAGAGAGAGAGAGAGAGAGAGAGAGAGAGAGAGGGAGAGAGATGTCAGTCAGGCAACGCCATTGAGACGGATGCCCTTTTTTCGAGGGGGGCAAGGCGGAGGCCAAGCCCCATGGCAGAGAGACGCACAATCTTGGACAGACGAGCGACGAGGGCGCCGAGCTGCACGATCGTCGAGACGCCCTCGAGCAC